TGGCCTAGAAAAGAAAGGAAACAAAATAAAATAAAACTCCATCTTACAAGCTCCTTCTTGTTCTGAATTGGATCGGAGTAAAATTGTTTTTTTTTCCTCTTTTCTTTTCTCCAATGCCATGGCTAGTATGCCTACAATACTTTTATATACTATGACTATGGTGTAGTATAATATATATGATAAATAGAGCGAGCTGTTTGTTTTTATGATCATTGCTACGATTTGTCAATCGTCATGGTGATGATAAGTTTATTTTCTCCCTTTATCTTAGTAGGTTTTTATTTTCTTTTCTTTTATTTATTTATTTTTCAAAGACATGGTTTGTCCCCCCTCTTCTCTCCCTGTCGTTCATTGTCCCCTTGACTTTCTTTTACCTAATAAAAAACGGCAAAAAAAAAAAAAAAAAAAAAAAAAAAAAATGATTTGATAAATGTCTCGAACTCTAGAATAAGGGGATAAGCCCTCTTTTCTCTCACTGGTACATCACATCGAACCATATACGGTATATGATACACACTAAAGAAAGAAAAAGAAAGAAAGAAAGAAAGAAGGAAGGAAAGAAAGCTTAATCGCATAAACGCAATAAGGCATTCTTTCTTTTTTTTTTTTCTTTTTCTTTCTCTCCGCCTATAACCGCGGTGCTGCTGCAAGGACAAATAGATCGAGAGACGTAAAGTGCCTTTCTATAGAAAGAAAGAAAGAAAAAAAAGACTAAAGCAAAGCGTATGGAGGATCTACACATGTGGTTAGGCTGGTTTTTTTTTTTTTTTTTTTTTTTAAATAAACACAAGATACCCCAGTCCAGTGAGGTTAGTTTCATTGAATTGGTGAGAATCTTTTGGAGTACTGGACCATAAAAATCCCCACGCTTTTATTTTAGGCTTTTTAGGGGACCGGACTACTTTGTTCACATATCCGTGATTGCCTACGAGTAGAAAACGTTCTTTGTTCTTTGTTTTTTTATTTTTTATTTTTTGTTTTTTATTCTTTATTTTTTATTTTTTATTTTGGGCTGATTTCTGGTGGTGTTTCAGGCGTGTTCAAGAAAGCCCTTGTTATTCACCCTATCCCTCGACACTTTAGTTTGTATATTTAGATATGGTCAAAGTGCTATATTTATTCGTTCATTGATCCACTCTCCTGGACAGAAGCCCGTTCACGCACTCCATCCTCCTTTCTCCACGCATACAACTGTCGAAACTAACGTTTTTTTTATTTTTATTTTTATTTTTATTTTTTTCTTTTGCTTTGCTTGTCGATCATTCTTGGACAATGTGTCCTTTAAGATAAAGTATACCCTGAGTGGGCATGGGCCTTCTTCTTTTCCTCTTCGCCTTGTGTTCAGAATGTTATACGCGTAAAATAAAATGATGCAAAGAAAGAAAAACTAGATACAAATGCATGAAATAGAAAAAAAAGTAAGTTTTCGTAAGGAAAGAAAGGTGGACCGACAAAACCTTTTTTTGTTGCGCGTGCAAATGAGAGTCAATGCGTAGATATTACCATTTGTTTTTTTTTCCTTGATCTTTGCACGGGGAAGGAGAGGAGGAAGATACTTCCATTATTTACTATAGAATCGTAGCCAATAGGTACGAGCGCGATTTATTTAGACAATCTCATGTTGTGGAAAAAAGAAAAGAAAAAAAAAAAAAAACCACTTCCATCGTTCTCTCTCTCTCTCTCTCTCTTTTTCCTCTCTCTTCTCCGTCTATCTATCTATCTATCTATCTATCTAATATTTTTCTTTTTTTGTTCACCTCCTTTCTTTTTCCTCCCTGAAATTGAGGCTAACCTTTGTTTTCAAATATTTCGAATATTTCACATATTATCCAAATCAATTTTAGTCCTGCTTTTTATATTTTGTGTTTTATTGCTTGGTTGCTTACTTGCTTACTTGCTTATTTGCTTATTTACTTGTTTGCTGTGCCACCGTGTCTTTTATTCTCTTTTTCTTTTTCTTTTTCTTTTTCTTTGTTTGTAACAGGTGCAATACAATCACACAATTTACGATGTACTCGGGTGGACGTGATCAATTTTCTTCATTGCTCTATACAATGAAATATTACGAAATATATATAAAATGTAAAAATACACATGTACTGAGAGAGAGAGAGTATTTGAACAAAAAAAATAATAGTCCAAGAAGAGCCAGCGATGACCCTTTTCCTTTTTTTTTTTTTTTTTTTCTTTGAGGGACTCCAGTCGACTGGAATTCAAACTTTTTTGGGATAGTGTGCTGCAACAGCAACAGCGTAGGGTTATAAGAATGTGTGTCGTAAAAAGACAAAAAAAAAAGCATAAAATGTAGAAAAGTTTAAAAGAGCTCTTCTCCCCCTGAATTGCAAATTAAAGTTTTTTTTATTGAAGAATAAAATTATAAAGAGCACTTTTTGATTTGAGATTTCAATGGGGTTGAAAATAGTTGCAGAACATTTGATTGCAATCCTCCCTTCAGTCCTACCGATATTATACATTTATACCATGCACCATGTAATGTACAGATGTATCATGGCTCCGCTTATCCTGTGTTATACATGTATATGTATATCATCATTACATGTTTTTTTTTTTTTTTTTTTTTTTTTTCTTTGAGTTGAGCTTCAATCCCTGTTCATGTCCATCATTTATCGCTATCAACCAAAAGATATCACTCACATTTATGACATTCTACAAACAAATACAGGTGTATATTGAAAATATATCCATTCATCCATCATCATCATCAACTTCGTATCAATGATATAGTAGTATATATATATATATCCATATAGAGCAAAATACCCATCTGGAGTCACACAAATGATTCTTTGTTCTTTATGAAACATCTTCCTCGGTCGCCGATTTGGACATTCATGGATTTTGCAATATTTATATATATATATAATACATCATATATGCATTATATATATTATACATCCATTCAGGAGAACACAGGATGACGAAAAAGGCAGCTCAGGTAGATATACTGAAGAATGCATGTAGTCATGTGGTAGTAGAATGGTATAGAAAGGAATGGTGGAGTATTTCACTTTTTTCCCTTGAGAGAATGATGGTATGTGTTTTGGTTCTAGCTTCGAGCATGAGCAAGAAATTTGATCGAATGAACGGACAAACAAACGACCAAGCAAACGAACGAACGTTCTCCTTCCTCCCTTTTTTTTTCTTTTTTCCTCCTTCTCTTTTGGTAAACCCCCTTCATTTCACTCCTCTATCTCCATATCTCTCCTGTGTCTCTCTGAGGGGTGGGGAATGGGTTTTTGTTTGTCTACGGCTTGGGTATGATCTATTTGATTTTTTTCTTGCCTATGCTTTCCGTACTTTTGTGTAGTTTATTGCTGTGTATGGTGTTGTAGTTGCAAGTCATCCCTGACTTTTTTTTTTTTTTTTTTTTCTTCCTTTCTTGTAACGCCTTCCATAATGAATGGCGATGAGTATATTTTCCTCCTTTGTTCATTTTCGGACTCCCTTTCTACTACACGAAAAAAATAGTAAAATGTCATCTTCTTCTTCTCCTCGAGGCGCATCGCGAAATTATAATAAAGTATCCTCTAGTCGATTGGTCCTGATGGATGATCGTCCTAGGTTATCGTCCTTTTTTTTTTTTTTTTTTTTTTTTTTCCTTTCCTTTCCTTTCTTTTTTAGTACTTGATTTTCTCTGTTCATCTCTTCTCTGCCCTTACTGGTCTTTTTTCAACGATCCACTGAAATGCAAAAATAAAATCAAAATAAAACCATACTGTCATATCATAGATATACGACGTGTAAGAGAGTATGCGAGAAAGGGGTAGAGAGAAGGACATTTTTTTTTTTTTTCTCATCTGATGATATTTCCGTTGCAGCATATCTTCTGTCTCCTTGCAAGCCATCTTTCCTCCTCCCCCCCCCCCCCCTCCCCTTCTGTTGACTCGATGTTGTTTGATATGTCTACCACAATCAGCTTTTTTTTTCTTTTTTTTTTTTTTTTTTTTTTCTCTTTTTTACCTTCTTTTGGATTCCCGTTGTTGATGTAGCTAAGGGGTAGGATAGGTTGACAGACTCGATGGTGTTACTTGGATATTTCTTGTGATAAAGCTCTGCATTCAAAAGATGGTGACTATGGAATAGGAAGCCGTTGATTAGAGTATAGGACTATAGGAGATAGATATAGGACTATAGGACATGTTGTTTTCCGTTGACTGGCACGGTCCCTGAGATTGTGAGAGAGTTCTTTTGGAAGGAAAGAAAGTATATACAAAGTGTCCAGGCATTTGATAGGACTGTATATATTTCCAATTCAATGGGATCTGTGATTACGGGAATAGACTATAGGAATGAATGTACATGTATAAGAATATAGAGTAAAGATGAGGATGCGATGAGAGGAAAAAAAAGGGTGAGCGTTTTACATCTGTAGCGTAATATAACTATCATATACATTCAACATATATATTTATATACACATATATACATATACGTATAACCAGCCAGACATTGAGAACGAGAAAGAGAGAAAGAGAAAGAGAGTAGAGGAAAAGGAGGGATGCAATGCAATTGATTTCTGTTGTATTGTATTGTATATATATATATTGTATATATTGTATATATATTTGTAAATTAGTTTGCCAAGATTGGCTCTTATTGTAATTTCAATTCAATCGCAACGTCTACTTTGGTCCCTGCGTTCCGCCTCTCTTACTCTTTTTACTCTTTTTACTCTCTTTACGCTCTTTTTACTCTCTTTTTACTCTCTTTTGAACATGTGTAATACATCTGTACACATGTATAGTATATATGATATATAAAAAAGATATATATTATATAGAATATTTACTTCTTTTTATTATCCGTATTCAATCCCTTTCAATCCCTTTCTATGCTCCTCTTGTCCCCCTCGCGTCTGATATAAAAACCATTGGCCCTGCCCTGTGCCTTGGACCTTTTTTTGATTTTTGATTTTTTCTTTTCCTTGACATTGTCGCTTCCATAGCACATCTCTCTTTTCTCTCTCTCTCTCTCTCTCTCTCTCTCTTTCTTTCTTTCTCTCTTTCTCTCTCTCTCTCTCTCTCTTTCTTTATCCTTTTCTCCTTCCTCACTCTCACTCTCTCTTTCTCTCTTTCACTCCTTCTTTCGCTCTCATACTTCACGTACACACCCATTCCTTATACACACTCTCTCTTTCTTTTCTTTCCTCTGGACATTTTTCAGACACGCGCACACTTCTCTTCTACCCTGCTACTCTTCTTCCCTTTCCTTTTCAAGCAAATAAAAGACTGTAACAAACCCTGTCTTCTTCCTTCCTTCCTTCACACACACACACACACATATATATTTATACAATTCTTTCCACAATGCCTTCTCTTGCAGAATCAAAGACATTCTCAAATCGGGCACTAGAACGGCTCTTTCGTAGTCCAGTCACCCAACAAATGATCGGTACGTACCTGCGCCGTCCTCTCGCAACTCAATTGCGTTTGCGTGCACACAAAATCAAAAAAAAAAAAAAAAAAAAAAAAAAAAAAAACAACACGTTTTATTGCTCCCCGTTCTTGACTAGTCCCTCTTTACTCTATCACGCTCATATTTATTTTATATATTTTGTGTGATGGATCGAAGATACAGAGCGGCTATGACAAAATGACATTGGAATGATCACCGTTGTTTGATTAATATCCTGACCCATCGACCTTGTTTTTATTTATTTTATATATATTTTTTTTGCGCGGCGCCGCTTTGCCCTTGGCTTTGCTTGGCTTTAATTAGATCACATTGCCAACTTCGCAAGCACAGTTATTGAATGCAGCCCACCACCTCCATCTCCCTCTACCGATGTCTACACCAGTTCTCTCTCACCACCAGTCACTCCACGCCGTAACAGCAGTCCCAACAATAGCGATTCGACCGCAGTAGTCGTACCGCCATTGAATGAATTCATCCGTATTTTGGTCATCAACTCGAACGTGCAGGCATCAACATTGTTGCCAACTTTGGTATATCTCGAGCGTCTCAAGTACAAGCTCCCTGTAGCAGCAAAGGGTAAGTCTTTTTTTTTTTTTTTTTTTTTTTTTTTTTTCCTCCCTTGCCTTTTCCCTTCCCACTATTCTCTCTTTTGTCTTTGTCGCTTTTTTTTTTTTTTTTTTTTTTTTTTTTTTTCCTTTCTGTTACACCACCACTTCCCTTCCCATTTTTTTTTTTTTTGCCGTCTGAGTGCGTGTACAAAAGGAAAATAGCAAGAGATGTGTGCCCATATCACAGGACAAATATGGATAGATGAGCCTTCTACGCTTTTTTTTTTTTTTTTTTTTTTTTTTTCTTGCATTGACCTCATGCGCGTCGTCGTCGTCTTTCCCCCTTTGTTGTTATCCCTTCTCATTTTTCCTGTGCTCGAGCGTAGTTTTTTGTACAAAGTTTGCAATGTTGTTCCTCTTTTACCATCTCTACACATTATCCATCCCTTACCCCTTGTTTCCTTCCCCCCCCCCTACCCTTCTTCTCTTGTATCATTGCACAGCCTGGGACATTGAAAATACAAGAGAGAAAGAGGAAGAGAGAAAAGTGGGACAGCGGGAATTAGTTGACATTGACTTGAATCAGTGATTTTTTATTTATTATTATGGACTGTGCTCATACCACATTTTAGTTGTAAAAAAAAACCCCCCTATTGATTGCCACCATCAGCCTTCCATGTTACTCTTTTTAGTTCCCCCCCCCCCCCATCCTCCCCATTCCAAAGCTTTATTGGTTGTCTGTGTAAAATGCCAATGTCATCACATCATTTCACCTTCTATTCCTGCAGCCATCTTCCTCTTCCTCCTCCCCCTCTCCTTTTTTATTTTTTATTTTTTTATTATATTTTTTATATATACAAATGCTAGTGGTCTCTACCACATGCGGGCTACTTTGTTTTCATGCGTGTCTCTTGAGCCAGTTACCACAATTTCCCGGAAATAAGAGTCATTCGTAATTCAGATGTGCCGCATCTTTATTCTTATTTTTATTTATAAACACTTTCAATGTTCGCATAAACATCGAGTTTGCGCGCGACATCTTCCTTACCATGCACGTGTGTGTGTATGTGTAGCATGTTACATGTAGTATATATGTGGCATGTAAACATTTTTATGCTCATAATAATGAAAAGAAAAAGAATGGTGGAGGGTTTATTGTGCAATTCTAGTTCAAACTCATGTGTACTAATTCGGTTGATTAATTTTATTATATTGTACCATATTATCATATCCTAGGTATGCATTGCACTTGTCATCGTGTCTTCTTGGCAAGCTTGATCGTGGCAGCCAAGTACCTGAACGACCAATCACCAAAGAACAAGCATTGGTCGACACATTCTGCTGTCTTTTCCGTTGGAGAGGTCAATCTGATGGAGAAGCAATTGCTTTCTCTTCTTGTAAGTATTTCCACATTGATATGAATCGTATTTTATACTTTTTGTTGGGTTAATGAAAAAGAAAAATACCCTTTTTTGTTCTTCCCGAAGAAAAATTCCAATGCAATGCCAATGCCACGAGGGAATTTTTTTTTTTTTTTTTTTTTTTTTTATACTTTGTTCTTGGACTGACCAATCTGTATGATGATGTTTGTTTACGCCTTTTTTTTTTTTTAGGATTTTGACCTTCGTATCACGGAGGCTGACTTGGCATCTAGCCTGCATGATTTTTTACAGCAACAACAAAAGTCAAACATCTCCGCGGTGTTTGGCCCATCGTCAGATCTATCCAATCAGAAGAATGGTCGCTATGCCTTACCAACGGCCATCTCCACCAGTACCGCTCAGAAGGTCCCCTCCTCGTCCCTCATCACTCCCTCAACTCCTTCTCCCCGAAATAGCTTTGTGCCACACTCATTGCCCCAACAATGCTCCAACAAGCGTGGATCTGTCGGTGCATCCAAATCAACTCCAGTTAACATTCAGCAGAGCCGATCACAATTGCACATGTTGCAGCAGCAACCGCATGATGCCTTCCGGAGACGACCTTCTCTGCCGAACCAGCCAAGTCTTGAAGATGATGAGGTCCTTCCTGTATACAAGCGCCCTCTTCGAAGCCATCAAAGCCACCAAAGCCATTACCCTTCTCCCGATAGCGGTTCGGAAGTGCTCCTCCATACAAGTTCCGCCTCTGGTACGACTCAGTCGATCCGGGATGAGGACATGACCACCTCTTCATTCTCCTCACCCGAGTCCACACATGGCAGTGTAGCACCACCACCAGCAAAGAGGGCCTCCTGGGGTTCAGGCGCACCCTATGGCCGCCACTCGATGCCTCCTCCAACAGTATCGCTCGCCTTTGCAAGCCAAGAGCACGTCCACCCCCACCATTCCTTCAACCTGGCTCATCATCATGCTCACCCCCATGCTCAACCATACCATGCTCATCACGCTCATCATCCTCACCATCATAAAGTGGTCGGCCACAACGGAGGCTGGACTGGTCCTTCTAGCCGAGCCATGTGCTAAAATAACAACAACAAAAAAAAAAAAAAAAAAAAAAAAAAAAAAAGTTGGCTTTATTATGAACAAGAAACAACACAATACCATAACTTTTACTCTTCTATACTTGTATTTTTAATGTAGTCTCTCTCTTTTTTTTTTTCTTTTTTCTTTATTGCTCTTTCCGCCTACGTTCTTTTGTACTATATTACAACAAACCCCTCCATAACTTTTTTTTTTTTTTTTTTTTTTTTTTTTCTTCTTCTTCTTAAACTGTGATGCCTCAAATAATATATTAAATATTTTAATGTCCTCTAATGTTCAATATATTTTTATATACATGTATATATAATGTAAATATAATATTTCGATAATGATTGATAATGCCTTATATAAATCTTTATTCATCCAATCAACTCAGCATTCAACAATGGCAAATGTCATTAAAAAAAAAATAAAAAATAAAAAATAAAAAAAAAAGTTTAAAAAGTCAATGATAAATCAGGATGGGGTATTATTCCCCCTTGATATTGTTATTCGATTCGATAGCGACCATCATCAATACCCGCAGAATCATAGGCAACTTTTATTTCCTTCCCCTTGCCTGGTTCAAACCTCTCAGACCTTTATTCTTCTTCTTGACCTCTGGTCCGAGCGTCTGATTCTTTTACGCTCAAAGGTTACAAGGAACAATAACCGAGTCAAATTTGTCTTGTTGTTTAATCACAATGCGTTGCCCCCCCCTCCATACTTTCTACCCTAAGAGAGAGATGGTCATTAATAGACTTTATTACTGCTGTCATAGGTACTCTCCTAGCTATTTTTTTTTTTTTTTTTTAAACTAAAAATGAACCTCATGAGTATGCTCTGATAAATACCTTGGGGCTGCAAAAGTACAGTTTAAAAGATCTTTTCCGATTGAAGACGGTGGGATGGTTTCTGGGATATTCAAGAGATCCAATTTTTAATATTGTTCATGTTGTGAAAGAGACGATGATGGAGTGTGATAACAGATCTGTTGTCATTTCGTCAACTATATAATACAAACTTGTCTTCTTATGATTCGCCTTTCCCTATAATGTTGAATACCGTGTAGACGGAATATGCTGGCGATTAATTCGACAATATCCGGATCGTTATTCAGCACACCATCAAGATGTTTGATTCTAGTCCAGTTCTTTACAATCCACCTCGCTTCTTCAGGCCCTATTGCTTGGCATATATCATATGAGAAACTCAATGTTGTCAGGCTCTTCAGATTGGCCAGCTCATTGAGCCCAGCCCTTAGCCTTAGATCCAACGTTCGTGTGCTGTAGTGATCTGCCAAAGCAAGCTCTTGCAGTCCAGTCAGCTCCCCTAGTCGTTTAAACACTAGCCGTTGGTTCATCATCCCTTCCTCAGATTCTGGATCAAGATCCATATTGAAATAGAGCCTTAGATTCTCAATTCTCGAACACACCCACTGTGCCCCGTGTACGATCTCCGTCACTGTGATTTTGGACGCTTGTAGAGACCGCAGACGTGGGCAATTAGACAAGATTGCTTGAGCAATACCGTCTGTTTCGTCGTAGAACGGCGCAGCACCCAGTACCTCAATCGTATTACAAAGTCTGTCTGTCCCCGTCATCCTATCTCCATCTTTACAATCACCCGGTTGCCTTCCTCTATTCCTATCCACCAATAGTTCTTGAAGAGCAAGCGGCCCAAAATAGGAGTGCGAGACCTCAAGGGTCCTGACTCGAGACATCTCTCTGAGGACAGTCGCCAGTTCTTTATCGCTTATTGAGACATTTAGAGTTAAATCCCTCAGATGTGGAAAGATCCACGGACATTGCAATAGCGCTACTCTGTATATAGTATGATGCACATGATATAGGAAATACAGTTTCTCCAAGCTTGGACACTTCCGGACTAGCATCCCCCAGGAATGCAATATTGAGCTTGGTAAAGAATGACTATCAACACGATCATAAAGAGTCAAGTAGCGAAGCTGCGGCAGAGCAAAGTCGCTGGCTTCAGCCTGTATATAATCCGGGAACTGAGAGATAGACCCAGTATCCAAGGCCAGTACCCGAAGCTTTGTGCAGAGTTGGAAGAATAGATCAGTCTCATCGGGCCTGAATCTCATGCGACCGATTACTATGGAACTAATATTAGGACACTCTAAAAGCGTTCTCCAAAGCTCTTGACCTGAAAGCAGCTCCTCAACCTCATCTCGTACCTCAATTCTAACGTCCCGAATTGTCGAACTGTGGGCCTTGATCAAGCCACTCATCTCTGTCAGGAACGAGGAGATGCGCATGGCTGGCAATTCTGCACTGTTTATAGTGTGAAGGAGTTCACATCCCTGCAATGACATATATTCGCGGGGAGGGTATCCTTCAAATATGAGTCTTTTAATATACTTTTTGTGGTCCTGTAGCACCTTGCCTGTTGGTAAGCCGGCTAGTCCTTCCCAAACATCGATGGTTTCCCACACGCGCTTTACCAAGACATGATGGAAAGTCTTGGAGACCCGAAGGCAGGTCACAAGGTCTCTACCGTGAAGGAACTGCCCCAAGATTTCGATTATTTCAGGCGTGTCCATTGGATGGTGCTGCATGTCGCGATGGAATTATGATGAATCAAATTGTATGATTCGAAAGCATGTTTGTGTAGGAAGATGTCACAAAGGTGACAATGGTTTTTTCAACAACGCCTTTTTTTTTTTTTTTTTTTTTTTTTTTTCTTTCAAGGGTTTAGGGAACGCATAAAAAATACTGCTTATAACTAACGCCGCGTATGGTGCTGATGACCCCCAGCTCTCTGATTGCATCAATTTCTCAGGAACTTGGTATCGCCAATGTGTCCAGTAAGATCAATGGCTGAATTTTTTTGACTGAACTTGAGAACTTTTGTCAAAAAAAAAAAAAAAAAAAAAAAAAAAAAAAAGAACTTTTGACCCAAGAGACAACTATTTTTTGGCATTAGATGTGAGCAGAAAGAAATGCTTCTTAATAAAAAAGTCAAATGGGCAAAATTGGTGGCGTAACCTTATTTATTCTCTCTGGCTTTTACCCTTTTTTAATTAAGCTTCGACCCGGACAAGGATAAAATCCGCAAAAAAAAGAAACTCAAGAATGTACAGCTGGAGGATAGCCATGTGGTTAAGAGATGCGGTTTAGATGTGTATAGAGGAAGGGAAAAGCGGAGGAGAAAAAGAGAAATCTAGGCAAATTAGTAATTGCTAATCTGCGGGAAACTCCCCTCCTCCCCCCCACCATTGCATAACCCATTTATTTTGCAAGCTGTGAAGGAAAGATATTAAGTGGTGGTAAAACTGAGGAGATCTTTTCAAACTTCATAAACTCGATCGAGGTCAGTCCCGTAAAAAAAAAAAAAAAAAAAACAACTTTGGTTTATCTTCAAAAAACGGAGAAATCCACTTCTATCCTCGGCTTATTCCTGTGAATCCATTATGGTTGCTCTTCTATATATACCATATTGTGATCTGAACTATGCGTATTCTTGTTTCTTTGGTTGACACGGAGGGGCCTTACGCCTAACGGCAATAACCCAAGAATATATCGCGCGGTGGTGCCAAACACCGAAGAGTAATAACTAAGGCTCCATCATCCCCATCCAGATCCAGATTACCCTTGGGCGGCTTCCAGGTCGCACAAACTAACTAGGCAATTGATGTTTGACCAATTCCTCATAATCCATGCCGCATCCTCAAGTAGTATTTATTGAGACTTATCCCCTCTGAAACAAAACCTACGCTGCCTCTTCAGGTCGTCAAGTCTATCCAGGCCTGCTCTTAGCCTGAAGTCCAGCGCCCGTTCTCCCATTGGTCGTTGAGTTCCAGAGTGTTAGGTTAAGATATTGTAGTCGAGATCATTTCCCTAGCTGTCTAAGCACAATGCGTGATTTGGTCAAGCCTTTTGCAGTCTCTTGATCAACGCTCGCCTCAAGGTAGTCAGCCCAGTGTTCACTCATTCTGTTCCATTGGTAATCCCTGTCACACTCTTAGATACATCATATATGTGTGCAACAGTAACGCGTTACTCTATGTCTAATATGTAAAAGCATTATAGACTTGGACAAGTACAAGGTACAGGTAAACTTAACGAAGATGATCCCTACACTTAAGACTCTCGACTGAGATATTGTGCAGAAATATCTTCACGAGACGCGAAAGCAGATCAAGCTATTCTTTTAGTTGAGAACCTGTATGCATTCTACAGTGTATATGACTATTGCCTCTACTACATGTCCAAGGTCCCTTCCTTCCATACCAGGCTATGAATAGGCAATGCACTCCTTTACTTCCTCAGTCTTTTTGCCCAATATCCAATATATATATTGTGCGGCGCAAGTATATTACACATCATATTGCCATTCCAGTACTTGATTCTTGGCCAATTCTCCACGATCCATGTTGCTTCCTCAAGATCTATTTCTTGGAAACAATTATTGCTGAACGATAGTAGACGCAGCCACTTCAGGTTGGCTAGCTCATCTAGACCAGTTCTTAGTCTCAAATCCAGCGTCCGCTTTCTTGAGTCCACCTTTATTAGTTTAAGAGATTGTAGCTGGGTCAATTTCCCAAGTTGCTTGAAGACACTACGTGTCTTCTCCATGCCCTCAGTAGTCTCTTGATCAGTGTCTATCTCAAGATCAATCTCCAACATAGTCAGTCCAGTGCTCACCCATTCTGCTCCATTGGCAATCTCTGTCATTGTGATTTTAGGTCCCACAAACTTCTTCAGGCGTGGACAATTGGATAAAATAGCTTGAACAATCCCATCCACATCCACAATGTTGCGCTCATTGATCATCAAGCTTTCAACAGTTTCACAAAGCTTCTGCGGCCTTGTCTTCCATACCATTTGTCCATTATCAAAAGCCTCTTGCTTGTCAGATAGCAATTCCTGCAGAGACAGCTGACCGACTTCACGAAAGATGTCTAGCCGTTTTAATCCAGGCATCCGTCTGAGCAATCTCGCCGTGCTCTCGTCTTTTAACTGCGCGTTTGTCAAAATCAGCTCTGACAAGTTATCCTGAGTCCAGGGATGCTGAAGGAATACTTCCTTGTAGAAAACATCGCCGTATTGCTCATATTGGAATGAAAATGATTCGTAGGAATCAAAAAATTCCAGTACACGCAATCCTGAACATCTTCTGACCAACACCCCAAGGCAATATGCTTTTGTGTACGAGTCCTGGCTGTATACTCGGATGTTCTTAAGACTTAGTGTGTGAATATTCGAGAGATTATAATCACTGTCCTCATTACTAAGGAAGCTGGCAGGTAGCCGGTTTAAGGATAGTCCATTCAAGTACAAGTACTTAATTTTCTTGCACACTTGGAGGAATACATCGATTTCGTCGTCTATTTCTACGGAAGATACTTCTAGATGCTCGAGGTTGGTACATCCCAGCAATGTCTCCCAGAGTTCATGCGATGTTTCAACAACGTCCAAGCAAAGTCTGGTGATGGTAGAGCTGTGGTTCTTGAGGAGGGGTTTCAAATCGTCATTCGGCTCGTGACACCATCCTTCGAATGCGATGAACTGGAGGCGATCACATCCCTGCAATGACCAATACTCGTATGGAATGTCAAAACATTTCATTAGGTCTGCAAAATTATCACTTCGAAATGTTATCGCTTCAATGTATTTCTTGTGTTTCTGTAGTGTTTCGCCAGTAGGATATACGGAATCAGGTACGACGACACGGATGTCTTTCCATATACGCCTGATAAGGGTGCTATGAAAAGTCTTGGAGACGCGGATGCAGTTCAGGAGGTCATTTCGCTCGAGAAAGTCTCCAACAGGCGAGATGATTTCTGGGAGCTCCAAAGGATTCACTTTTAGATTGTTCATGTTGTAAAGGTTGTAGAGAGAAGATGCTGATGAACCTGTTCACAGCTGGCATTCTTTGTTTTTGTTGTACAGGTCACACACGCTTTGGTCACAGCCAAGGTTTTGACATTGTTCCTTGTCCACTCTTTGGTGAATGTCCTTTCTTCGTCCAAAAGTCCCATCAATACACTGTCAAACTGCGCGAGAGTGTAGGAATCTCGAAGTGTACAACCTGCCTCACGTCTAACTTGCTGATTGGACGACATGAGTGTAAAGACTAAAGGCCCTCTTACATGCTGAGCAAGGACAGCTGCTTGGAATAGGTCATGTGAGACGGCGAAAGACAAACGAAAGAGAAGCATTCTGTTGACCTGATAAATGGATTGCATGTTCCAACCCGGAATCAATACGCTAAAAAGACTTAGCATTAGAAATTAATGGCAATAACGGGTCATACTCATTAATGCGATAAAATCCATGGTCTGAGGTTTTTAAACGGACCTATGTCACCTTATAGATCTTATAGATAGATACATAGTTATCTGGTACAGGTGCCTCTACCAGAAAATGTTAATACCCCATGGGTGTGGTATGTGGACCCATATCTTATTCTCACCGACCTTCGTATTCACATATCTGTCTACAAATATTTCTGACCTGATAAAACTTGTCTACAAAATATTTTACACCTGATAAGTACACTATGAAAAGTCTTTGGAACATGGATGCAGGTTACAAGAAGTTACAAGAAGCCGTCAACGAGTGGGATGGTTTCTAATATATCACCTTTTATTTCTATCACAAGTCTCATCCGATTGACTACCTTATAAGATGCATGTATTACTCCCATGCTGTATAGAGTGTTTGGTATGCCTTAATAAGACCGATGACATTTCTTTATTCATGTCTTCCACAGCTGGATGAAGCTCCAGTAGGGTTTGTAACGAAATAAAAGGGTTGACGTGATATTTGTGTGCAACAGTAACGCGTTACTCTATGTCTAATATGTAAAAGCATTATAGACTTGGACAAGTACAAGGTACAGGTAAACTTAATGACGATGATCCCTACACTCTTCCGACTGAGATATAGTGCAGAAATATCTTCACGAGACGCGAAAGCAGATCAAGCTATTCTTTTAGTTGAGAACCTGTATGCATTCTACAGTGTATATGACTATTGCCTCTACTACATGTCCAAGGTCCCTTCCTTCCATACCAGGCTATGAATAGGCAATGCACTCCTTTACTTCCTCAGTCTTTTTGCCCAATATCTATATTGTGTGGCGCAAGTAAATCACACATCAACTTGCCATTCCAGTACTTGATTCTTGGCCAATTCTCCACGATCCATGTCGCTTCTTCAAGATCTATTTCTTGGTGATCATCATTGCTGAACGATAGTACACGCAGCCACTTCAGGTTGGCTAGCTCATCTAGACCAGTTCTTAGTCTCAAATCCAGCGCCCGCGTTTCGCTATCATTTGAGTCCCGCTTTGTTAACTTAAGAGACCGTAGTTGAGTCAATTTCCCAAGTTGCTTAAAGACACTACGTGTCTTCTCCATGCCCTCAGTAGTCTCTTGATCAATGTCTACCTCCAGATAAACAGTCAATTCGGTCAGTCCAGTGCACACCCATTCTGCTCCATTGGCAATCTCCGTCATGGTGATTTTAGGTCCCACAAACTTCTTCAGGAGTGGACAAATGGATAAAATAGCTTGAGCAACTCCCTCGTTTCCGTCGTCCAGTTCGACCACCAATCTTTCAACAGTTTCACAAAGCTTCTGCGGCCTTGTCTTCCATACCATTTGTCCATTATCAAAAGCCTCTTGCTTGTCAGATAGCAATTCCTGCAGAGACAGCTGACCGACTTCACGAAAGATGTCTAGCCGTTTTAATCCAGGCATCCGTCTGAGCAATCTCGCCGTGCTCTCGTCTTTTAACTGCGCGTTTGTCAAAATCAGCTCTGACAAGTTATCCTGAGTCCAGGGATGCTGAAGGAATACTTCCTTGTAGAAAACATCGCCGTATTGCTCATATTGGAATGAAAATGATTCGTAGGAATCAAAAAATTCCAGTACACGCAATCCTGAACATCTTCTGACCAACACCCCAAGGCAATATGCTTTTGTGTACGAGTCCTGGCTGTATACTCGGATGTTCTTAAGACTTAGTGTGTGAATATTTGAGAGATTATAATCACTGTCCTCATTACTAAGGAAGCTGGCAGGTAGCCGGTTTAAGGATAGTCCATTCAAGTACAAGTACTTAATTTTCTTGCACACTTGGAGGAATACATCGATTTCGTCGTCTATATCTTCGTCAGATACTTCTAGACGCTCGAGGTTGGTACATCCCAGCAATGTTTCCCAGAGTTCACGCGATGTTTGAGTATTTTTAAAGCAAAGTCTGGTGATGGTAGAGTTGTGGTTCTTGAGGAGGAGGTTCAAATGGTCATTCGGCTCGTAACAGTTCCATCCTTCGAATGCGATGAACTGGAGGCGATCACATCCCTGCAATGACCAATACTCGTATGGAATGTCAAAACATTTCATTATTAATCTAAGAAACGCGTCTGGTTCATCATCACTTCGAAATGTTATCGCTTCAATGTATTTCTTGTGTTTCTGTAGTGTTTCGCCAGTAGGACATCTGGAATAGGATTCGGCGACAAGGACGTCTTTCCATATATGCCCGATAAGGGTACTATGAAAAGTCTTGGAGACGCGGATGCAGTTCAGGAGGTCATTTCGCTCGAGAAAGTCTCCAACAGGCGAGATGATTTCTGGGAGCTCCAAAGGATTCACTTTTAGATTGTTCATGTTGTAAAGGTTGTAGAGAGAAGATGCTGGTGAACCTGTTCCCACAGCTGGCATTCATTTTTTTTTTTTTTTGTTTTGTTGCACAGGTTGCACACTCTTTGTCCAAAGACATTGCATTTGTTTGTAATGGCTTTTTAGATTTGGTAAGTACGAAGTACTGTACAAGTGGAGTAAATGAAATACCCTCGGGTGAGATTTTATGTACAAAGAGATCCTTGAATTATTATTATTTGAGAAACCATCTTTTTATAATCTTCATCGTATGCACCCATATCCAAAGCTCATGCCCTTTACACCAGGATCGTGGATTGATAATGTATTTCTCTAATCTTTTGGTCTAATTGTTAAGGACTATGTTGTGAGACTGAAGTAAGCTATGTACCAAAGTGTACACATCTTCCTCATTAGTTGGATGGCCATTCAAACATCTGATGCTTGGCCAGTTGTCCACTATCCATGTCGCTTCTTCAAGACCCATTCGCTGGTGATTATCACCCCTGAACACCAAGCTATCCAAATTCTTCAAATTGGCTAGCTCATTCAGACCTGCTCTCAGTCTCAAGTCCAGAGTTCGTTTGTCATTTTCTCTGCGCCAGGATGTTAAGTCAAGGGTTCGAAGCCGAGTCAATTTTCCCAGTTGTCTGAACGCAATGCGCTGTTTCGCCATGCCCTCAGCAGTCTCTTGATCCACGTTTGCCTCAAGATAGATAGTCAAGTTAGTCAGTCTAGTGCTAACCCATTCTACGCCACTGACAATCTCCGTCACCATGATTTTAGGTCCCGTCAATTGCTTCAAGTGTGGACAATTTGATAAAATCGCTTGAACAATACCGCTCACTTCAAAATAGTGTTTATCGAATACCAATGTCTCAATTGTTTCGCAGAGCCTCCGAAGCCTTGTCTTCCGTATCATTTGTCCATTATGCAAAATGTCTTGTTTATCGGTTCGCAATCCATATAGCGAGAACTTGCCGAGCTTACAATGTGGGATATTTAGCTGTCTTAATTCAGTCATCTGTCTGAGAAGTACTGCCATGTCCTCGTCTTTTATATTCATACAAGGCAAAGACAGATCAGATAGATTTACCAGAGCTCGAGCGTGCTGGAGGAATGCTTCCCTGCAGAAATCATCGTGCTTTGCATGGTAAGGTTCCCCTTTCTCGTTGGAATCGGCAAATTCCAGCGCATGCAATCCTGGACATCTCTTCACCAACATACCGAGACAATACGAGGGCGTGTGCGGGTTTGGAGACTGAGTTACCTTTACATCTTTAATAGCCAGTGTCCGTATATTTGGGGGAAAACATTCATTGGCCTCGTCACTTAAGAAGCTGACAGGAAAATGGTGTAGAAGTACAAAATCCAAGTCCAAGTGCCTAACTTTCTTACAAACTTCAAAGAGTAGATCGACCTCATCTTCAATATAAATGTAAAAAGCCCCGAACCGATTGAGGTTGGCACAATCCAGCAGTGTCTTCAAAAGCTCTTGTGAAGGTTGACCATGGCTCAAGTGAAACCTGGTGATTGTAGCGCTGTGAGCCTTGATCAAGTTCAAAAGTGAATCTGTTCAGATCGTTCCTCTCCTCGGTATTCGATGGGCTGGAGGCGACCACATCCTTGCAATGATGTATACTCCCCCGGAATGCTGCCTGCTCGAAATCTAATCTCCTCAATCCATTTCTTGTTATTTTGCAAGGCACCGCCAGTAGGATATCTGCATAGAGAAGGTTCAATAGTGATTTTTCTCCATGAATCTGATAAAAGTACTATGAAATGCCTTGGAGACAAGGATACAGTTTAGAAGATCTTTTCGGGCGAGAAAGTCGCCAATGAGCGAGGTGATTTCCGGAATATCCGTAAGATTCAATTTAATGTTGTTCATGACGAAGAAATGATGCCAATGGAACATGGAGAATGGAGGTCACTGTAGGACGTTTTGACGCCACCACACATTTGATTGGCTGTGTCAAAATTTGCAGGAACGGAACAGTGAGTAGTGGCATCTTTCAAGATTTTCATGTGCTGCTGGCGTATAGTGTAAACGAGAGTTCATAAACTCTTTTTGGCAATCTGTCTTTCTCAAGTACTATCATTCCATTTATGACTGAGGTGACATGGGTATTAAACAAGCGGCCGAATGTCCTCAGCCTTATCTCGACTGGCAAGCTAAACAAAGAGCTAGGTGTAATCAAAGCAGCTGTACTCATCTTTGACACTTTGACAGCAAGGTCACCCCATTCAATGGGTCAATACATTAAGGATAAAAAAGAAGAATGGGAAAAAAATAAAAAATAAAGCAGCATCATACAGCTTGATAATAACATGAGTTTCAATCAACTTCAACTTCAATTAGGTCCTGGTTTGAATTTCTTGTGGCTGAATATGTACCAAATTTTTATACACTGAGAAACGCACGTTCAAATAGTCATGTCACCCATATCAGCGCATGGCGTTGAATGATGTGCGGATAGTAGGCTGTTTATCAAGCGATCCAAATAACTGATTCTTGGCCAATTGTCCACAACCCATGTCGGATCCTCAAATCCTATTAGCTGGCGGTCATTACCACGAAACCCTTTAGATTGGTTAGTACATCCGGGCGTCCCTAAATCCAAGCTTAACGTTCGCTTTCCCTCTTATTCCTTGGACTCCAAGATGTTAGGTCAGGACTTCGTAGCTGATTCAGCTTCCCTATCCGTTTAAATGCAATACGCTACTTTCTCATACCATCTACAGTTCCTTGGTCGACATCTACCTCAAAATAGATGGCTAGGTTAGCCAGTCTAGTGCTAACCCAGTCTGTGCTATTGACAATCTCTGCCACAGTGCTTTTAGGCCCTCTTAGTGGTTCTAGTCACAACAATTCAGAAAAGTAGCTTGAAATATTTCATTCGCGCTGGCACTTTGTGTATTAATCAACAGCACTCTAATAGTCTCACAGAGTCTCCGTAGGATTGCTTGTTTGTCAGCTAGTGATTCTTGCAGAAAGAGCTTGCAGAACTTGCAAAATAAAGCATCTCGCTGTCTTAATTCTGCTATATGTCTCAGAAGTGCTGCCATGCCCTCGTTTTTTTATGGCCATGTAAGGGAGAAGTAGGTCTAATGGCTTTGTCAGTAGCCAGGGGCGGTGAAGGTATGCTGTGCTTAAGAAATTATTGTGGATTGGTTCCTTTGGATTCTCGCAAAATTGGGATCGCTAAATTCCAGTGTACATAATCCTAGACATTCCCGGCCCAACGTACCGAAGTAATACAATGATGTATCCGGATATGGAGGGCTGATTTTCTCGGCACTGTAAATCCTTAATGTGTATAGATCTGGGAGAATATACTCATTGGTTTCGCTATCCAAGAAATTAATGGGCAACTAGCGTATGGAAATATTCCGCAAGTCTACCCTAACTTGCTTGCTGACTCTAGGAATATATGAACTTTGACGTTTATACGTATGCTAGGTGTTTTTGGGTTGTGAACATTGATGGACTTCAAAAGCCCTCCGAAATACCTTCCACAGTTCGATGAACCGGAGGCCAACACGTCCCCGCAATCAACCTTACTCACCTGGGATAGCCCGCTAATAAACTTGGCTGGTTTTCCCAGCCCCATTCGGACAACGATATCTCGCCATCAATCTTTTTTTTTTTTTTTTTTTTTTTACTATACTGCATATCGCATGTTTTCTTGGAAAGATTAATGCCATTTCCTCATTCTTGCCATCCACAGGTTCGTGGCAAAAAAAAAAAAAAAAAAAAAAAAAAAAGCTGACACGACTTTCATGTGTAACAGCGTTTACTTTTAGGAAATTCCTCAAACGCCCTAGCGTCACTCAACTTGAATAAATCCGGATTCCCTAAGAGCTGTCATTTTATTTTAGACTCATTCCTTACTTCACTCAGCCTGGACCAGACGTTGAGCAAACTAGCATTGTAAATCAGCTCTGTCATCTGAGTTCTATGTCATCTTATGCAGACATGGATATATCGACCTAGCTCTTCTTCTATGGTCCTATTGAATCCAGCAGCATTGAGCGAGCGAATGCCCATGTTGTAGAAAGGTATGACTAGAGGAGGAAGGGGAAAGAAGTGAGTGGATGAATGCCTGAATGGTAAAAAATATATTGTCTGATATCATCAATGACAAGAGTAATCTGGACAATGGGAATAATAGCCTTCCGAAGACCATTGTGTATAATTGAGTCATTTAGAGAAACAGGTGAAAAATAAAAAAAAAATAATAATAAAAAAAAAAAAAAAAAAGTAAGAGGAAGAGTCAAACAAAGGCGAGATCCGACTTTGACTTCAGCTAAAACACATCACTCATGCACAGCAACAAAATGGTAGCACGGTTGGCAGCCTATAGCACATTTGCAGAAATGAAAGCACTACCTGTGGGCACATTAGGCGATGCAAGTCAGCTAAAGAGCAGAGGGCTAGGTTAGAGAAGAACAGGCTATCAGAAGCACATGTTCAACTCACGTCTTCAACTCAGAATCTTTGATCATCAGCCTTTGAAAGCATGCACGCGCTAGTTGTTAAGTTGTACTTTGTGATTTTGAAGGCGATATCAGTAACACTAGATCAATTATGGCTAAAGATCTGAATTGTAACAATAGCTGTATTGACTGAAGCATGGTTCGGTTGTTTTTGATGATCACTACCAGCGTTCTGAAAGCCTTTTAATATAAACCTAAGTTATATTCTTCAAAAAAAGAATGTAAAATAAAGACGAAGTATTCCTACACTAAGTATATAAGCTCGGTTGAGATATGAGTACAAAGAGATAAAGCGACCCTTGAGATACAAAATCAAGCTTCGATATCCTGCTATGATCATCTTTGTGACCATCACCACCGTGTCATTATCGCCACCAAGTAGGTGTGAAGTTGGAAGCTCACGCTCAAGGTCATTGCTCTCCATAATAGATTGTGAACTGACAATGTATTTCTCCGCTTCATTGGTCTATCTACAAATGGCTATATTGTGCGATTTAAGCAAGTCAGACACCAAAGTGTCTACAATTCCATTTTCCTTCAGTTCACCAATCAAGAATTTGATGCTTGGCCAATTATTTGCAATCCATGTCGCATCCTCAAGGTATATTCGCTGGTAACCATCATCTCTAAAGCATAACCTATGCAGCTTCTTCAGGCTGGCTAGTTCATCCAGACCCGCTCTTAATCTCAAGTCCAAAGTCCGTTTTCCATTACCACCCAAGCTCCACCCTGTTAAATCAAGGGAACGTAGTTGAGTCAGTTTTCCTAGTTTCTTAAAGACAATGCGCGCCTTCTCCATGCCTTCGGCAGTCTCCTGGTCAACGTCTGCCTCAAGATTGATAGACAATTCAGTCAGCCTAATGCTAACCCATTCCACACCATTAACAATCTCTGTCACCGTGATTTTGGACCCCATCAGTTGCTTCAGGCACGGGCAATTTGATAAAATAGTTTGGACAATGCCACCCATCGCAACACTTCGTATGTCGAACACCAATGTCTCAATTGTTTCGCAGAGTTTCTGTAGCCTAATCTCTCATACCATGTGTCCATTACCCAACACCGCTCGTTTGTCAGCAAGCAATTCCTGCAGGGAAAGCTGGTCAAACCCACAAAACGGAACATTGAGCCGCCTTAGCCGAGTCATCTGACTGAGAAGTGCCGCCATATCCCTGTCTTTTATTCTCATGTGGGGAAAAGAAAGATCTGATAGGTTTGTTAGAGCCCAAGGATGTCGAAGGAATGCTGCCCTGTAGAAATCATCGTGTTTTGGTTGCTTAGATCGCCTATATTCGATGATGTCGACAAATTTCAGTGCGCACAATCCTAGACATTTTCTCACCAACAGGCCGAGGCAATACGAGGGTGTATAAGGATGTGGAGGGTTGAGTATTTCGACGCCCGTAATATATAGTGTGCGTATATTTGTGAGAAGACAATTGCTGAGCTCATCATTCAGTATACTGATAGGTAGCTGGTGTATGGCTACACCATCCATGCCCAAGTGCCTAAGTTTCTTGCAGACTTGTAGAAATAAGTCAACTTCGTCATTTATACGTGTGTGAGATATTTCTAGACGCTCGAGGTTGGTGCATCTTAGTATTGTCTCCCAGAGCCCCGGTGAAGATTGAGTGTTATCCAAGCAAAGCCTAGTGATAGTGGAGTTGTGGGTTTTGATGAGGTTCAAAAAATCTATTGGTATGGGCAACCTCCATGTTAATCTTACATATTTGATGTCGTGGAGGCGGTCACATCCCTGCAATGATCCATACTCCTCTGGAAAGTTGATTTCAAATACAATCCTTTCAATATGTTTCTTGTTGTTCTGCAGTGCATCGCCAACAGGATATCTGTCAAATTCGACAGGTGTTGTGACAACGATATCTTTCCATATGCACCTGATAAGGGCTCTATGAAAAGGCCTTGGAAACGCAGATACAGTTTAGAAGGTCTTTTCGATCGAGGAAGCCACCAACAAGCGAGATGATTTCTGGGAGATCCAATAGATTCAATTTAATATTGTTCATGTGAAGAGATGATGTTAATGAGTATCATGAATGTGCAGAGGTATGTCAATAGACAAAACTTTGCACGTGTGTTAAATCAATTGCTTTAGTAGCTGCTTCCCCTTTTGATGTTGTCTATGCTCTAAATGATAACGTCCATGTTATATTGGTTGCTTCGGCATCTCTAACGTCCATCCCAAATGACCCTGCACACTTGGTTGAACCATGTCATGCTCTTACTTCATATCCGGCAATGATATGAAGATTAAAAGAACATCTGGCAATGAGAGGAAGATTAAAAGAACATACACAAGTGCCTCTCCCATCATCTTAATCTTTCTGCTCAATCGTCTCTACATCACTCAGCTCCCCATGGAATACAGGGGGACATCTCCCGGCCAATATACTAGGGCAATGAGCACTTCGTCAGTAGGATGTTTTTTTTTCGAAAAGGCGAGATCATGATAGAGTAGAAAGAAGTATCTCGGAGACAGGGATACAGTTTAAAAGGTCTTTTGATAAAGGAAGCCATCAACAAGCGAGATGACTTCTGGAACTTCCAAGGGATTCAACTCAATGCTGCTCGTGTTGCAAAGAGACGAATGCTGAAATGTGAATGGTTGGTTCAATTCAGAGCTCTTTTTATACGTATTTGTCATGGACTTATTGCCACCACTTCATTTTAATTGATTGGACTTTTTTTTACTTTTTGCGCCCACTGTTCTGAATGACTGATAGAATGTGGTAATGATGCTGTATCCATGCCAACCGCAGTCAGAAGAACTCTAACAAGGTTCGTGGCAGAATAAAAAAAAAAAAAAAGTTGATTCGACTTTTATATGCAACAGCAACATATGATTGCTCTTTGTCACGATAAAACTGTTCACTTGCCGCGTTCCTCACAAACCAACAAGAATATTATGTGAATTTAATAAGGGATTCACTTCCGTAGATGAAGATGGGTCAATCTTCGGGGGGCTCAAGCGCTTGTTTCTAGGCCAATTGGTCACAATCCTCTTAGATGCATCTTTTTTTTTTTTTGGGATCGACAGTGGGGAAGGTTAAATATGTTGCACAGAGTTATGGCAATTAGTGGCGTTAGTTCGATAAAAGATGATTAAGCTAATCACTTTTCATGTATTCCATGCATTCCATTCATAAAAAATAAAAAATAAAAAATAAAATAAAATAAAATAAAAAAAGATGATCAATAATAGTAGAAGTAATAAAGGTAGCGATGAATCGATAGATGAAAGATAGAAAGTTGATGGCATACCGGCAATGAACAAGACGTGGGATGGAAACTATTTAAACTTATTACATTTATTTTTACTTTTTGTGCATGGGTCACAAAAAATATGCAAACAAAAGATTTGCAAACTTTAGAAAACGATTGAGCAGAGGGAGTATGTAAATGTGGCTGACTGGTAGGGCATTCATCTCCATCTCTATTCCATCCCATTCATTCATTCATTCATTCATTCATTTGTTCATTCATCTGTTCATTCCTTCGTTCATTCATTCCTTCGCTCTTTCTCTTTTCTTATTCCCTTATTCTCTTTCTCTCTCTCTCTCTCTCTCTCTCTCTCTCTCTCTCTCTCTCTCTCTCTCTCTCTCTCTCTCTCTCTCTCTCTCTCTCTCTCTCTCTCTCGCTTTTTTTCTTTTTTATTATCATTTCATCAAATTCATTCAAGGGTAATCTACTCCGTCATCAAGCATATAACAGCCATCAAAGACCACAGGCACATCTATTTTTTCAAATTTAGAAAACGATTTAATCTAGACTCGCTCAAAAAAAAAAAAAAAAAGAATCCTTCAACACAATGTCGAACAATGACCCAGACAAGACCGATCCTTTTAATCGGGAAGACTTGCTTGAGCTCGACAGATTAGATCAGTCTCGGGCTCACCGTTATCAAATAGATCCTCTCTCAGACTCATCTGAAGCTGAAGACGAAGACCTGGAAGCCATGGATGAGCATCACACATTAACGGGCAAGAAGGAGTCATTACTAAAGCATCATCTTCACCCAGACAATCATATTAATTCAACCTCATCCCCTACTACGATGGCTGCTTCACGGTCTTCACGAATCAGCAATGACGACGACGACACTGATACAATTGATGTTCATATTATCCCTCTCTCCACTTCCGAAGCCATCGACCGTCAACGTGGAGATCTTCAAAGGAATGTTTCGTTTAGTAATGGATTGACATTGGTCGTTGGTATCATCATTGGCTCAGGTATCTTTGCATCCCCAGGCCCTGTCCTGTCCTATTCAAAATCTGTGGGCGTCTCCTTGATCATTTGGTTCGTCTCTGGTCTGTTGGCGTTTGCAGGATCGTTATGCTATGCAGAATTAGGAAGCGCCATGCCTAGTTCTGGAGGAGGTGAACATGCATATTTACAACATGCCTTTGGCAGTTTACCTGCATTCTTGTTCAGCTGGTCATCAATTGCACTTTTGAAGGTAAAACAAAAAAAAAAAAAAAAAAAAAAAAAAAGAACTAGAGAAATAGACAAATCTTGTATCTGAGCACGAACCAATGAACACAAAAAGAAAAATAGAAAATAGACTTGATTGATGCATGGAATCTTTGAGCTAATTTCTTCCCCACTTTTAATCTTCAAAATTATTATCCTCTAGCCAGCTGGAAATGCCATCATCTGCGTAAGTTCGCTAATGTGAAAAAAAAAAAAAGAAAAAAAAAAAAAAAAGCGTTGTTTATTGTATTTATTATTTCAGGAAACCAGCCGGAGTAGCTAGATCAATGCTGTCTAAGGAAATACATGGATTGATTATCAAATTATCTGCAACGTGTTTCAACGATCAGAAATGAGCATAGGAAAAAAAAAAAAAAAAAGAGGAAGCTGGAAAATACAACAACAATGGATAGTCTCACACGCATATCAATTCATTCTATGATTATTTCTTTTTTCTTTCTGTTATTTATTTTTTTTTTTTAAAAAAAGGTCGTTTTTGCAGAATATGTGGTCAATATTATCGCTCAGTCATCATGGGAACCAACTCAGCCAATGCGTCACTGGACCTATAAGCTTGTTGGCGTTATTTGTGTTCTCGTCCTTTCAGGATTAAACTCTATCAGTGTATCGGTTGGAACACGGATTCAGGACCTGTTTACGTTTATCAAGGTGGTAACGTTGCTTGTCATTGGCATCACCGGTGTGGTCGTGCTGGCTCAAAAATCATTATCAAGCCATAACTTTGATCATGCGTTCGAGGGTGAGACCCAACCCAGTTTAGGTGATATTGCACTGGGACTATATTCTGGCCTATGGGCGTATGATGGATGGAATAATCTGAACTACGTTTCTACAGAAATGAAGAACCCGACCAGAGATTTGCCCAGAGTCATCTTTGCAGGCGTACCTATTGTCATTATCTTTTACTTATTGGCCAACACAGCATACTATGCGGTATTGCCTGAAGCCACAGTCATGAGTACTAACACTGTTGCTATCGTAAGTTTTTTTTTTTTTTTTTTTTTTTTTTATTTATTTATTATTATTATTATTTTTTTTTTTTTAAAAAAAAAAAAAAAAAAAAAAAAAAAAAAAGAGATAGCTATTCTTTCCTCTCCTGGAAGGTGCATAATTCTCAGCGATTTTTTTTTTTTTTTTTTTTTGCCTCGACAGGACTTTGGAAAGCAAATGTTTGGAAACACAGGAGGGGTATTGTTTGCACTCTGTGTGGCATGCAGTTGCTTTGGTGCAGCGAATGGATCAATTTTCACTGGAGCACGCGTGATCTACGCATCAGCACGCGAGGGCTACCTACCAAAAATGTTTGGCAAGATCAATGAGAAACGGAAAACGCCGATTGCTGCTCTAGGTCTGCAGGCAGTCATGACGAGCATCATGATCCTTGGAGGCACCTTCTCGACGCTAGTTAACTTTTATTCTGTTGCAGCTTGGCTCTTGTAAGTGAGGAACGTTTTATTTTTTTCCTTCCTATTTTAGGATCTGGAATTGGGAAGTAACTTTTTTTTTTTTTTTTTTTTTTTTTTTTTTTTTTCCAAGTTACTTGGCAAGTATCCAGGGTTTACTCTACCTACGATATTATGAACCAAATCTAAAGCGACCATTCAGGGTATGGACCATTGTCCCAATCATGTTTACGTTCCTCGGCTTGTTCTTGTTCCTAATGCCCTTTGTGCGTGCACCACTCGAGTCGTGTTTATCGATGGTAATCGTCCTTGCGGGTCTGCCTCTCTGGGTGGTCAAGGAGCTTGTCTCTGGTAATAAAGGCACACGATGGGAAGACCTTAAAAACAAGATGCTGAGCTCATTAGGCTTCCCACCCTCAGGTGGCCGACATGAGCGTCTAGTCGGGCACTGAGATTTCATGCATTTAAAAGAAAAAGAAAGAAAAAACCATGAAAGTAGAGGATATTCATAGAATCATCAAAAAGATAAAATAGAATGGAATAGTCTCTTCACCAAAGGCAAGTATTGCACATGATATTGAAGTTGGAGTACCTGAATAAGCGTCTAACCTACAGAAGATGTATTGTACTGGGCTGTGTTTTCAGTCCAATGACGACAGGTGGACCGGGTGAACAATGGGGGGGGGAGAGAGAGCATCCTGCTTACTGCTTAATGATTTAAACGGCTCTCTTTTTATTCGCATGTGCCAGCACTGATACCACTGGATACCCTATCTCCCTTTCTCTTTGTTCAGACTTTTGCTTACTCACACAAGGATACTGGGAACAGAGAATGTAAAAGAACCGCCAATTGCTCTCAAGTTCACGCCATTTTCTATGGCTCATAAAATATAAAAAAATGAGCATATTATATATCATTCAACGAGGCAAAGAGGGTCTTTTTTTTTTTTTTTTTTTTTTTTTTTTTTTTTAATTCCCCACCTTTCCTCTTTATCTTTCATTCATTCTTTTCTTCTTCTCCACCTCCTCAACTGTCCATCTTTCCTTTTACTTTTCATTTTTCATCCTTGCTTAATCTCCCTTCTCCAAAAATAATAATAATAAGAAAAATCCAGGCACGATGATGATGAAATCAACTTTCGCACCCCTCTTTCTTCTTGTGGCCTTGATTGCTCTTTCTACCACTCAACAAGTGAAAGCTCAAGATGTTACGCCTACGACCACTCCTACGACCACAGCCAATGCCGATCCAGTGACCTCAGGATCGGGATCGAAACCCACCATCACAGGAGCCCCCTCAGTCCCAGGGGGCAATTTCACAACCATGCCCAACTTTTCATCCTTGGCCACCATGATTGCATCCTATGCAACAGGTCGATCTGTTCATCCTGGAAATGCCCCTACTTCTAAACCATCTCCCAGCTCTGCAGCGGCTTCTAGTTCTCTCTTGACGGAAGCTTCTCGTTCCTCTTTGATGGCCGGTATGGCTTTGGTCATCGTTACAACATTGATGTCTGCCATTGGAACTGTTGCTTTCTAAAAAAAAAAAAAAAAAAAAAAAAAAAAAAAATACACACACATACACACAAAGGATTAGATTATACTTAATAAATTTAAAACAAACAAAACAAACGCTATAATTACATGTGCATGTGTATGTTCATATTCATATTCACGTTTATTATTATTATTACACATTACACAAATAAACATTTAGCCGATATTTCAGGAACCTTTGGTTGGAAACCAGTCCAGAGGGGGATTGTGTAATGCAAAATGAAATGGACATTGATATCCAATTAGGCTTATTTAACTATTTTTTTTCCCCACAAAGTAGAATTTTCAGATTAACATTTTGCGTTGTCCTTTTTTTTTTTTTTTTTTTTTTTATTGTTCGTATTATAGATGTTCTATGTAAGCGAAGAGGATGGTAGAAGGTGAAGAAGAATAGAAAGGGGGGGGGGGAGATGTATATAACAGGCGATTTGGGTTTTTAGTTCTTGGCTTTGGTAGGTCCCAACATAAGCTCAGGGCGAACCCATTCCTTGAATTGCTTCTCATCCAAGAGACCGAGAGAGATGGCAGCCTCCTTCAAGGTGGTACCCTCTTTGTGGGCCTTCTTGGCGGCCTTGGCAGCATCTAATTTGCAGAAAGAAAAAAAAAAAAAAAGTCAAAATCAAAGAATAAAAATATAATAATAATAATAAAATAAAGCAGGAAAGCAAGAACGTACTGTCATAACCAATGTAGGGGTTCAAGGCAGTGACCAACATGAGCGATTCGTTCATGATAGCATTGATCTTCTTCTCGTTAGCCTCAATGCCGACAACGCAGTTGTTGGTGAACGAAGTGCAAGCATCCGACAAGAGACGGATCGACTGGATGGTGTTCTTGATCATGACAGGCTTGAAGACGTTCAACTATTCCAAGAGTAATTATTATGTTTTTAAAATAAAAAATAAAAAATGTCGTTAGCACCTTATGAAGGCATTCAGACAAAAAAAAGAACAGTGTGCATCCATCTATATAAGAAACAGTTTTTTTTTTTTTTTTTTTTTTTTTTACCTCAAAGTGACCATTGGAACCAGCAACGCTGACGGTGGTGTTGTTACCCATGACTTGGGAGCAAACCATGGTCATGGCCTCACATTGGGTAGGGTTAACCTTGCCAGGCATGATGGATGAACCAGGTTCGTTCTCGGGCAAGTTCAACTCACCAAGACCGCAACGAGGACCAGAACCCAAGAAGCGGATATCGTTGGCAATCTTCATCAATGAAACGGCCAAGACGTTCAATGAGCCATGAGCCTCCACAATGGCATCGTGGGCTGCAAGGGCCTCAAACTTGTTGGGCGCAGTCTTGAAAGGAAGGTTGGTAATGCTGGAGATGGCGTCTGCGACCTTAACATCAAAGCCCTCACGAGTATTCAAGCCCTGTGTAAATAATATATAAAAAATAAAAATGATAACGTATCAGCATCATGATAAGTATTTATGTAAAAAGGAAAAAATTCCCAGCGGAGTATAACCATTTGAGGACGCGATTCATTAATGTTTCTTTTTCAGTCTGGATCTTTGTTTGCTTCTTTATGATCCTGATGTTTGCAGCAAGAATAAAAAAAAAGTCGTTCCCCTTCCTGGTTTGTGATTCTCCAGACTGAAATCTAAAAATCTTTTTTTTTTTTTTTTTTTTTTTTTTTTTTCACATGCATTTCAAAACATGAGGCCTATTAACTTACAGTGCCAACAGCGGTACCACCTTGAGCGAGGTTGTAGAGGCGAGGAAGGGTAGCCTGGACACGCTCGAGACCATAGGTGAGCTGCTGAACATATCCAGAGAACTCCTGTCCGAGAGTCAAGGGGGTGGCATCCTGCAAATGAGTACGACCAATCTTGATGATATCCTTGAACTCCTCGCTCTTGGCCTTAAGAGCATCACGCAAGGTAGTAACAGCGGGAATGAGGCGCTGGTTGATTTCAATAGCAGCAGCGACGTGCATGGCTGTGGGAAAGGTGTCATTGGAGGACTGAGACATGTTGACATGGTCGTTAGGGTGAACAGGCTTCTTGGAGCCGAGTTCACCGCCCAACAATTCAATCGCACGGTTAGAGATGACCTCGTTGACGTTCATGTTGGTCTGGGTGCCAGAGCCGGTTTGCCAGACGACCAAAGGGAAATGGTCGAGGAGCTTGCCCTCAATGACCTCATCAGCAGCCTTGACAATAGCCTCACCAACAGTCTTGTCGAGACCGTAGGTCATATTGACAGTGGCAGCAGCACGCTTCAAAACACCAAAGGCCTTGATGAGAGGCTCTGGCATACGCTCAGTAGGACCACCAATGTCAAAGTTCTGAAGAGAACTATTTTTTTTTAAATTGATATCATTTAAAAAGGTGGTTAGGATCAGCGTGTATGCAAAAACGGCAAAAAGCGGGGTAAGAAAAAAAAAAAAAAAAAAAAGTTTACTCGCTTTCCATTTTAACAGACAGTCCATTCATGGTGGGGTAAAAAAAAAAAAAAACGTTTAAAATGAACAGTGTTTAAAGACTTACCGCTGAGTTTGGGCACCCCAGTATCTGTCAGCAGGAACCTGGAGGTTACCAAAGGTATCAGCCTCCTGACGGAACTTTTGGGCCTGTGGAGAGAGAGTAGGAGTAATGGACATCATTTAACACGGTGTAATGTCAAAGTTAGCTTGGTGAAGAATAAAGTAAAAAGGAAAAGAAAAAGAGATTGCAATATGTCGAAGGAGCCTTTTATAGGCCATCAACAATAGAACAGATGGTCCACGTAAGGGTGTGAAAAAATAAATTAAAAGGAAATGTGAATGTGGGAAGCACAGGGGTAACCATCACTGAGACAGCACAAATGATTACAGGGGAGTAAAGTGAAGGGAAATAACAGGACAGGCCTTTGTTGCACGAAAGGCAGCATGAAAAAGTTCTCACTAAAAACAACAGTAAGAAACGACAGCAATGACCATTGTCCAACAACAATAGCAATAAAGAGGCTTCTTACCCAGACTGAAGGAGCAGCGCTGAAGGAGCGCATCTGCTGGCGCATGATCTAATGGACATCATTGAAAAAAAAATAAAATAAAAAAAATAGACATTTAAATGTAATGTTCTGATCAGTTTTTGTTCAATGTTTTTTTGTTGTTGTCGAAAAATAAGAAATCGCTTTGATATTATTCTTTTGAAAATATATCCTTTTTTAGTTATTCCTTCACTTTTTTTTACTCACGGGTGTTGCCCTGACGGCATTCAGCTTGAGGATGTTCATGGCGAAATGATGAGCAGAGGAAAAAAAAAAAAAATAGAGAGGAGAGAATAGTTTCGAAGCGGGATTAGGAAACAGGGACAGTGTCGCTTTTTATAGTATTGACGCGACCTCAGTTATCTACTTCAAAATCAATTGAGTGATCGAGTGATTGGGCAAAATCGATTTAATTGAACGAAGAGTCCAAGGAGAAATTCGGGACAACAAAGCCACCCGATTTGTTTCATTCCACGTGAGCACAAAACATAGATCTGGCAATCATAACTAAGCGCGTTCACTATTTCGTTATTATTCTATTTAGACAACTCAACAACTGCTGCTCCTTCTCGCTCTCTTCTTACCTTCAGCTCTCACTGCCGTAGTAAAGGCAGCGAGAAGCTACCTTTGAGCGGCTGTTCGAAATGACCATTGATGGCTTGATTATCAATCGTGTTTTTAGGCTTGCTCGCGCTTGGTGTGCATGGAATCAGCATTGCGTTTGACACCGCATTTTGTTATGGAGCTCCACTATCAACCACGCGTACTTGAAAAGTACTCTATGCTTGCCATGGCTAAGACACTAATACGGCAGGATGATAAAGCTGTCTATAGAAAACGATTAGGCCATTAACTGGAAGGCCGTGCAGATGTCAGGAAACTTTTATAAATTTGGAACGTGTACAATATGGGGAAACAGTACATTCGTCTCGTGGCACGATAATTTAAAGGAAAATAATAATTCAAACATATCTATATTGAAGATCCATATGCAAAAAAGGCAAAGCATTAGAGAGTGAGATAGTCGTGTATAAGTTCGCTGAGGGAAAGAAGCCAACGTCGCTGAACGGATTTCCATTTTCTAATAAAGACCCAAGCACCGGTTGGCTATAGGTTTGCTTATTACTCGGAGGCGCTCAGATAGCGAGACCATATTCGTTGGCGAACGAAGAGAAGACAACGAGGAACTCAGTAATATCGTTATTCTTTTGTGTATCGCCGCCAACCTTGTCCCAAATAAGGTGAAAGGATCAGTCGGCCCTCCGCCATCCTTGCTGCCATTGGGATGAAATCTATATTGTTACACTAGCATATCTATAACCGGCCGCATCTTCCCGCAACCAGAAACCTCATAGATTGTAAATAAACGGGAATAGACGGGAATAGCACGGCGATATTTTCTCCATAATTCCTGCCGCCATGTCTATCCGCCTTGAGTTAATCGAGCCGGGGACAGCTAAAAGTGATAACCTTCTTAATCCGTCCTTCCTCTTGCTATACTGTCGCCAAACCCTGGGATTTCACCGCCAGTTACAGAAAATTAATGTCGTCAACAACATAACCTTTAATGAAATTGGGCCAGTTTGTGGATTAATCCCTTGCTCGGCCTTGTTGAAATTACTTTTATTTGTTGTTCTACCTTACAAATACAAAGTCAGTAAGTGGAAGGAGATATCAGGGATAGATGATGACACTTTTGTTCTTTAAAATATTGTCACGGCTTGGGCGCAAAGGACTGTTCATTAACTATTTACAGCCAATGAAGGCAAGATATAAAAGAGAGGAGCGAATGGGACTAGATCATCAACAGCCATCAGTCTGTCCTCGTTATTGAGTCCTTAAAACACTGGCGAAGCAATGCATTTGCCACTTGATAAAACAAATTAGTGGCGTTCATAGTCAAACAAGGTTTCGTCCAATCACATTTCAATAAAAATGTATGGCTACTCTGTGATTACGATTTAAAAAGATGCTGGTAGCTGCTCTGTGCCAAATAATAATTATTCTTGCGCATGGATAGCATATCGCACTGAGACCAAACCATTAGGCCAGTGGTCCGGCGCATTAAATGGGCAAGTTCGACAATTTTGAATGAGACCAGTGGTAGTCAATATCGCTTGTAGAGGAATATCGCAAGCAAATAGGTTATAACATGTTATTATTGGGCAAATGCTTTTTTTTTTTGTTATTTAAGCTATTGATGGGCCTGAGCAATGCCACCAGACAGCTCCTGAGCTCAGCTCAATCTTGAGGAATTATCAATGACCTGGTTTTACAAAAGTGGACGTCTTTTTGGTCATCAAAGGCATTCCAGGTCCAAATGGGGTTATGACCTGCCTTCTCTTTTATTTGGGGAAGGAAAAAAAAAAAAAAAAAAGGCGCGGTCAACTTAGAAGCATATACTGAACCTTATTGAGGCGAGGGTCCAAGCTCTCAGTCATACTTGTAGACTAATGAGAGGCCCTTCAAAGTCCGGTAGTCGATGTAGTTGGCATGCGGTACTGGCGCCTGTAAGATCGTGAGCTCGCTAGTCCCTATACTAGGTAACGGGCTGAGACGTTTTAAAGAGAAATAGTGTTTGTTTCTTCGTAGGAATTGCATTTATGACGACGAGTCCCATGTAAACACGGAACAGGGATGCTGAATATGGTAAAAAGCTGGCAGGCAATAAATCAGTTCTTGATCTCTTTGACTCACTTGTTGTAAAACATTTCAATAATACATGTATGTAGTTTTATTCATGGCCATCTGGAAGAGACAATAACGATTACTCTAGTATCAGCCTGTGAATGTGAAAGGACAGTCTTACCTGGATGCAATAAAGAGCTCCACCAGCGATAAGCAGAAGCACAGGGTCGACTTTAGGCCAGAACAACAGATGGTTAGCTATATGTTTACTTCGTAGTAAACCAAGTGGCTGCGCAAGAACTTAACTTTTTGCTTCTCGGTGACGTAATTCAGACATTTAATGTGCTGTTTTTCGGATTGTTGGTTGCCGGAAGCTGATGAATAGAAGCCATGCCAAAAAAAAAAAAAAAAAAAAAAAAAAAAAGAAGGTCCTTTTGCTCTTGAGGTGTAGGACGGAAAGGACATTCAACAAGCCCATAGTCTGTGAAGGTTTGAGCAGCGTATTTTTATTTGTATGGAGATTATTCAAATTCAAAGGATTCCATGACCCTGTTCTCCTTTCAATGTCACACAAAGGTTCAATGAGTGACTGATGAATGAAAGCTGTTGCAAAAAAAAAAATCATTATCCTAAAAAGCATATCTTTTACGCTTACTTTATGTCGAGTGTCTGCGCTGTATCAAGAAAAAATAAAAAATAAAAGAAAAGAAAAGCGCGACTTTTTCAAAATATCAGGAATCCAAACAATTAATAAATGATTCGCAACTTCTCTTTAAACATGCATCAACAAAAAAAAATAACCATGCATCGAAGCATTTATTTGGAAATTAGATCAGACTTCAAAAACTTCAAAAAAGCGTTCATTGGTCTTGTGGGCAATAGGAATTTGATGGTTTTCTCGTGTTTCAAAATATCTTGATGAGGGGAGAGTGTTATCTGTAATGAATTCCTTGATAAAGAATGATTGACCTCCCTTCCTCTCTGATCAAGTAACTGTTGATTCTCCTTGTAAGCAACCAAATCTTTTTTTTTGTATGCGCAGGGATTTAGTATGATTGCGTTGTGTCCCATAGTCCGGTCATTTGTCTGATTTTTTTTTTCCCACTTTGAACAAGTCGTTCTTTTGCTTCGAAACAAACATTCACAACACTTGTTCTAACAGCTGTCTTTCTATCTTTTTTTTTTTTTTTTTTTTTTTTTTCTTTTTTTTTTTTCCTTGAACCTGCTCCCTACTCTTTATTCTATTTTCATTGGGCACTTTCTTATCTTCTTTTTTACCCTTCTTCTTTTTTTTTTTTTTTTTTTTTTTTTCCCTTCTTTTTTTTTCTCTTTCTTTCTCAACTAACAACCTTTTTTCTCTCCTCTCTCCCTTCCTTCTTTTTTTTTTTTAACTCCTGTCGCCATAATGTACTGGCGATTTGGACATCAAAATGCGTCTGTTATCGACCACCTCCTCGAGACCGGCAACGTCTCACTCGAGGAACTGCTCGAACAAGATGACCTGATCCAGGAATGCAAGGCACAAAACCCTCGGCTCATCGAATAGTAATTTGCATCACCAAACAAAAAAAAAAAGCATTACAAACAAACATTCCAAAAAGTCATTTGGGGTCTTTCATTCATTCATTTCCTTTCATCAACATTCTACGTTGAAAAAAGTATTCGTCACTTGGGTATTTCATTTAATATCAATTATCAAAGCGGTTTCGCTTGTCTTAAATATTGTTCATTATTTCACACCTTCCATATCCTAACTTTGTGCTTAGAAGAAGGGAAAAAAGGGTCTGTTCGTTAATGACAGTTTATAAAACAATCGTCTGATGTATTCCACTTTTTGGCGCGCGGGAAAAAAAAAAACGCCATGATTAACACAGGTCCATATGAAAATTCCTGTCGTCTATACACATATTACCCTGCGTTCTTTACTGACCTCGTCCTTGGGTCGGAAAAAAAAAAAAAAAAAAAAAACATCTGCAAGGAACAAATTGTCATTAAGCAATGGGGCATTCAAAAATGTCAATGTCCATCATTTGACATCTAACGCGCCCGCGCCATCATTCTGGTAGTTTATTTTCTGTCTGTGTGGAATCCACCCCCTTTCACGAGCAAAGAAAATTTATACCACCCCGCCAAAACAGAAACGGGAAAGAAGGAAGCTTGATTCGTTATTAAACCTTCTTGGTATCTTTCCATAGACTTTTTAAAATGGTCAAGAAATGATTGTTTAACCCATCCGTCCTTCCATTCTTATCATCATCGGCTTCCCTTCATAGCCTGCGCGACCCAACTGTACTTCAACAGTTGTTGGGCTATATTATTAGTGATGACCTCGAAGACCGTGCACGGTTCAAGTAAGTGTTTTAAGAAAGAGAGACCACATGCTCGTGAGGAAAACAGTGTGGCATCACGACATCATTATCATAAATATTGACATACGCAACAACATGTGTACTACAGACGTGTATGCACACATTAAGAGAAAGGAAGAAAAGAAATAATGATAGGACGAATGATAAGGAAATAATAATAATAATAAAAGTACGGGAAAAAAGGATGCGGGAACAAAGTAGGGCTGTGTGAATTTAAGAGTGTTGAGTGTGAGGCGGATTGTGCATGTGTGAGAAAACAAGGGAATGGGGGTCTGCGCGGGCAGAGGCAGAAAGCGTGATTACGTTGGTTATTCACTGGATAAAGCTTGGGACTACGGAAAAAAAGTATAACTGACACACAGACGCACACAAACAACAATAACTCAAAGGAGGCAGCAGGAGAAAGCATTTGGATACACCATTCGGCATGGATTAAAGAAGAATACTGCTCCAACTCAGTGTTCCCATGCTCGCCACTTCTGCGGACGGGAAACTACTAACCTTGGATCAGGTAGCACGAGGCATCCCCCAATAATGAACAAACAAAAAAAAGGAAAAAATAAAAAAGGAGATGAGATGGACAACGTACGGAACAGTCGCCGGCTACTTTTTTTTTTTTTTTTTTTTTTTTATAGTTAATGGAATGATAAAAAAAGCTAGATCTGAATTAGGAGGCATATGGCTATCAAGGATTAGAGGGATTAACAGTAACTGTTGGAGCGCATAGAGGCAGATTTGGAAGTTACACTGCATAGAGAGAGGAAGAGGAAGAGAAAGGGCAAGAGAGAGAAATAAAGGGAAAAGTCGAGATTCTGACTTGATTCTTCATCCATAGTTGTGCTAAGAATGATTTTTTTTTTTTTTTTTTTTTTTTTTTTGTGTTGATTTATTACAGGTATCCTTTCATCGCATGCGAAGTCATTGCATGCGAAGTCTGGGCAATTTTCGAGTCTGCGTTGTCTAATCCCGATATGCTGGTCAGGTTTTGGGAATTCTTGGATCGACCAGCGCCCTTGAACCCTGTGCAAGCTAGCTATTTCGCCAAAGTCATTGGTGTTTTCCTTATGAAGAAAACCTCAGAGGTAAATAAGAGTAAAAACAACAGATCCATTGGCTTGTCTAAGTTTAATCGTGTGAGCTGTGCTACGAGAAGTTCTAATATCATGTCAACTCTGTCACTCTTTTTTTTTTTTTTTTTTTTTTTTTTTTTCCTCTGCAGATGCTTCAATTCATCAAAGCACAGCCTAATGTTGTTTCCAAGCTACTCACACACATGTCGACTTCTTCAATTATGGATCTACTGCTTAAGATCATCAGCATGGAAGAATCACCAGATGGCAAAGGAACTGTTCAGGTGTGATGAAGCATGGCTTTGCTTTGCTAAGCAAATAGGAGATTATAAAAAGTTTAATCGTTGCTGACCAAATTATATGACTCACTTGATTTAATACGGTTAGTGGTTAAGCGAACAAGGATTGATGCCATGGCTTGTTAATCAATTGGACCCTAATTTTGATGGGGAGGTACGATAAAAACAGTAGTATCAGGAAAGATTGTCGTCAAGTTGGGTAAACGTTTGTTTTACAACTAGAGCGTCCACATTCATTGCTAACATTGCATTGCCACGGTTGTTTGCTGACCATTATTTTTAGGTTCATTCAATTGCATCACAAGTTCTGCTCGACATCATTGCCATCTCACAATCATCTCATCCTGAACAGCCTTCTATCGGAACAAACATTTTGATCGATGAGCTGAAGAGCGAAGTAATCGTGTCTAAACTTGTTGGATTCATGTTGGATCGTAACGCTCCCTATTCAACCTCAACGCTTATCAACGGTGTTACTATATTTATTGAATTGATTCGAAGAAATAACAGGTCAGTAGGAAAAGCTGTCCTTTTTTTTTTTTTTTTTTTTTTGAAGTCCATTTGTCAATTTTTTTTTTTTTTTTTTTTTCCTTTCGTAGCGATTATGACGTCGATCCTATTTCTCCGGATTCATCCGAGCATATACGTGAAGCTGTGGATCTAAGCGATCTGTTGAAAGTACTAGCGACTAGGATCAAGGATTTCAAAGATCTTCTAGTTGTCCCTCGATCGGTGGTAAGTACAGAGTGCTTATTAAACGAGACATATCGGACACTAAGGAGAACACAATCGTTAATTAGCATTTCTATACATCTCCCTTATGCTAGACTGGTCCTATTGAAACATCAATTGGAAGACAGGTCCCACTTGGTTTCGAGAGATTGAAGATCTGTGAGATGTTTGCAGAGTTGCTTCATTGCTCGAATATGGCGATCCTTAATTCACGGCCAATAATCACTGTATCGACTGATGGAACAGTCAAAGTGCCGACTGTTTTGTCTGACCAACCCCTTATTCATCATTCACCTACGGTCAAAGAAGAGCTAAATAGCGTTAGGAATGGGCAACCAGGAGATGAAACTCCCAAGGAAATGGCAGATCAGGACCAGGAGATGAAGGAACCTTCAGATACAGACAGGGATGATGTCAAGGACAAGGGTGAAGCTGAAACAGAGAAAAAGGCGGCACCAGAACAGAGTGCATCCAACTCAACCACAGAGCCAAAAATAAGTAATGTTGAACAGCTGGAGGATGCGACAGCAACTTTGAAATTGGATGACCAAGCAACCCCAAAAGCCTCGTCTCCAATTAATCCATCTTCAAATGAAGCCACCCCAACTGCTACCCCAATAGCGACTCCATCGTCACCAAGCACAACAGCAACAGCAGTAGCAGTTACAGCAACCAATAGCGATGTGCTGATTCCTGTGGGTGATTTTTTGAAGATGCAATTCGTTGACCATCAGATCATCCCTACATGCTTTGATCTGTTTTTCCAATTTCCATGGAACAACTTCTTGCATACAGTGGTTTATGATATGGTACATCAAGTATTCCACCGACCCATGGGTGACATTGGCCGTGCGGATATGGACGGTAACTATATTCCGCCTAGAGCAGATCTAGGCGTCACAGAGGGCTGGAATAGACGATTGACCATCTCGATCTTCAAGGATGGCCAGCTCACGAAGCGGATTACGGATGCTCAGCGTCTCTGTGATTATGAATGGTAATGATTTATTTTGTTGATTCTAAGGCGCAATTGGGCTTTAGCATATACACGCGTGCTAATGCTTTTCTTTTATTTGCTTTTTTCAATTTTGTAAATTCTTTATTGCTGGACTTTTTCTTCTTTTTTTTTTTTTTTTCTGCTAAAAGTGCACAACCCAAGGGTGTCCGTCTTGGATATATGGGACATCTGACATATATTGCAGACGAAACTGTGAAACTGCTGGAACTGTATTCGCAAACGTCGTTACTGCCAATGCTGTATGAATATATGGATTTAGAAGATTGGTGGAACTATGTTTCCAAGGTACTAAAGGAAACCAAAGAACGCGATGCACAAGTTTTGGGAGGAATGCGTCCCAATCTCAACCCTATGTCCCACAAATCTTTATTGGATGATGGAGCCGATGACGATTTTATGGACGATCACGGAGACGACTTTGGTAATGCTGGTGGTTTCCTTGGCGGCGAGGGTGGCATTGTCCACGAAGGCGATGTTGCAAGTGACCAGGTAAACAAAATGTCTGTTTATCGTCTTTATAGTTGATTTTTTCTTTTTCTTTACTGCATTTTCACTTCTTCACTTTATTCTATCCTCCGGCCATAACGAAAGAGGAGGAGGAAAAGAAGGAAGAGAAGGAGAAAGAAAAAAAAAAGCTTGAAATTTCAAAGATATAGCCTTTCCTTTCTTTGGTCCTTACTCTTTTTTTAACTTCAAAAGTTTGCGCGTTATCTGAGTGAACAGATCTCTACGAATTTGCCCGAAAAGTTTGGGTCGTCAGACGAGGATGAGGACGATGAAGATGGCAATTGGATTGGTGAGTATGGTACAGACACAGATTTCGAGAGGCGTCGGGCAGCAGCAGCAGCAGCCTCAGCCTTGGATGACCCATTTGGAAGTAGACACGCTATGGATTTTGATGATAGCGATGAAGATGAGGGCGTGGATGAAGAGGCGTGGAATTCCCCTGTAAGTTCCATAATAGCTTAATTTTTGGCTTTCCTGATAAGTATTTAAGCTCATTGTGAGCTATATTCCATATTCACTCGTACTATCATTAACTTTTTTTTTTTTTTTTTTTTTTTTTTTTTTGTTTTTAGTGGCCAAATTCATTCGGAGACACAAAGCTGTCCGGCCTTGGCGCTGCATCACAGTTTAATGCATCCTTAACAGATTGGTCCGAGGACTTCCAAGATGGTTTCACAGAATTCAAGACAGCATCTGCGGATAGCAAGAATGATTTTGATATGCCACCATTCAGTATCGATCCATCATCTTCTTCTTCTACAGATCAGAAGATTGAGTCTGGATCAAATGTTTCTACAAATACCCCTGCTGGTGATAAAGAGGCTTTGGGCGATAAAACTAGTACTGCTGAACAGACAACGTCATCTTCGTTAGCACCGACATCAGAATTAACTAGTGGTACGCGGACACAAGATGACAAGTCGTTGCCTTCAGCAGGATCAGAACAGCAACAAGAACAACAAATGGACGTAGATATGGATGTAGTGCCATTAGCGCCTGTGGTCCATGGGCAACCTGCATTAGCTGATGATAAACCGGTTTCTAATCAGGACAATAATTCTCCAACAGCAATGACAAGTTTATCCTCTACAAAGGATAAGGATGTCTCGGAAGGACTGTCTTCAGAGAATGCCCAAGCAGCTTCATCAGCAACGTCGACAGATATTCAAGTTGACCTTGAACCAGTACCGTTGGCGGATCCAAATGCTCCCAAGCTGCATGAAACTGATATTATTTCACCGACATCAACAACAGCAGATAGAACACTTGAAGACAAAACAAAGGACACACCGGTTAAGAAGTCAGATGCGACCCCTTCATAATCTAATGTTAAAGTATGGAGTCTCAGAAATGTAACCCTGTAAGGGAGAAAGAGGCTTTAGCACGAGTGAGCAATAAAAAAAAAAAAAAAAAAAGGAGGATCTGAGAGAAGATGAAGGTGCAGGCAGAAGATAGACACATCACTGGGCATTCATTCAATAAACACACCATTCAAAAAAAAAAAAAAAGCCTCATCAAAGTAGATTGCATTACTAGTATGACAAATGACGTTAAAAAATGGTGTATGTATATAGAATATTCTTGTACATTCACCATGAAGAGTGCGATGACCAACTTGATCATTGGACTGCGGGGTACCGGGATGACATGGCATGACTGACCGTTGAATCATCTTGAGACTGCCTTATTCTTCTTTTGTTTTTTTCTTCACATTAGAAAAAAAGAACAGTGATGACCAGATAAATGCGCTCGAACCAAAGGTCATCTTATTGTCTAAAGAAAAAAAAAAAAAGTCATTCTTCCTTTAATATTTTGACTCATGATTTTTACTTGCTTTTAGCACAGTAACACAGGATGAACGTCAAAATGAAAATGGGCGCGGGATGGGAAAAAAAAAAAAAAAAAAAAGAACATGAGGGCTTACTTGTAGGTGAGGGCGAGTCAAAAATAGTAAACTTCCTTCGCATTGACCCAAACAGCTCAGGCACAGCCTCTCACTCTTTCTCACATTCGGTGAGTTTAACCAGATGTTTGGATGTTCCAATGGATCACTCTCCATACCGCTCGGGTCAGTATTTCTTTCTCTCTGCTCCAAAAGAGCAAAAAAACAAAAAACAAAAAGCTCTAACAACATCATCAATTATACCAACAATGAGTAGCATGAATACCAAGGGACAAACATGTCTTGCTTTCCCCTTTTTTTTTTTCGTTCCGAGGAAGTGGTGAGAGAAACATCCCAATACTTTGGTAAAAGAAAAAAAAAAATCGCGATGTAAGATCCAGATATGCCCCTATTTTTTTTTTTTTTTTTTTTTTTTTCGAGATATGTGGTTAATTTATTACGTTAAAATTTGGAATCGGCAATCAAAGTGATCAAAGGGAGAGAGACTCCAGTCGGGCTGAATTCGTCCAGGCACAATTGTGGCTGGGAGATGAGGTTTTTTTAGTGATACGCGTGCTGTCTGTGAGGCTTTTTTTAATAAGCCAGTGGTAATTTTGCATGCGCCTTTTTTTTTTTTTTTTTTTTTTTTTTTTCCTTTGAATGCGTCTTTTTTATATTTGCATGCGTCTTTTTGATATTTGTATGCGTCTTTTTGATATTTGTATGCGTCTTTTTGAAAGCGTTGCACTCCATTGCATTTGCACTGCACTTGTTTGTGATTGCTTGTTTCGCTTCTGTAAAACCATTAAAAATTATCTTTTTTCCGTTCAAACAATCGTCATTGCATGATTTCCCAGTTTTCTTTTCTTCCTTTGTCCCATTCCGTCAACATACCAGTAAAAGGAAAGGAAAAACATAAAAAGCTGTCACCATCACTCAATTTCTTTTTACTGGTTCTTTTTTTTCCTTTTTCCTTTTTTCCATTCAAGTGCCTTGAGCTAAGAACGATACTACATCACAAACACCCTGAAACCCTGTGAGTAACTACAAAATCAAATCAAGGTATGTATTTCTAAACACTTTTATACATTAGATTACTTCAGTCCCATTATTACGGTTGTGATTGGATCAAAGGTGGCAACGGTGTTGCACGAGAATACACACAACGCGCTACAATGGTTGGACAGCAACAACTTTATGATCAAAAAAAAAAAAAAAAAAGGCTAAAGGGTTTTGGAGTGCGATCTGAAGGGAATGCAGACATGCAATTATATACGAATATGTATATATATATATATATTACGCATTGGGTTAATTCGTCCAAAAGGACCCTTGTCTATCCATGCATGTCGCTTGCGTAAAATGTTGGATTGGCAATGGTTACCAATATAAAAAATAATAGCAATAATAATAATAATAATAAAAAGGAAGGAAAGAAAGAACGCTCAGAAAAAAAAAAAAAAAAAAAAAAAAAAAAGAAACGCGTGGAAGGAATGAGAAAAAGCAACCTGTTAGCAACACCGCAACATAATACTTTTTCACATTTGATTGTAGTTATGCTTGAATGATCATGGATCATGGATGATGATAATGTGAAACACAGACGCGAAATGACCCAACTTTGAACTGATGACAGGTTTGGTATAGGCCTTTTTCGGCCAAAGATGACTGAGGACAAGACAAGAGTTTAATGAAGAAAAAAGAAAGACGATATGAATATATATTATAATATCATATATCCTTTCCTTACCTCCACCTTTTTTTTAAATTTTTCTCTGTCCTTCTTCTTTCTATATTTTGTTGTAAAATATGTGCTTGCGTGGGTGGATGTGCATCTGTAATGCATAAAGAGAGGACGAGTAATCCATCGGCTGTTATTTTTAACATTTTTTATATAAAAATATATAAATATTTCTATATTCATTCGTCCAGAGTGTAGATGCAGATCAGCCAACTTGACTATATGGGACTATGTTTGGGATGTTGGGAAGGGACGATGCCCCTGTCCCTTTTTGTTTTTTTTGCTCTCGTTGCAGGTCCTGGGATCTGTCAATCTGTCAGTCTTATTTTTGTCTATTTTGTCTATTTTGTCTGTCTGCATGTATCTAAGATTTGACACAGTCGCAGTGACATTTCAGCAATGATGACAACCGTCCTTTTATTATTGCATTATTGTATATAGTATTGTATTACTGTAACTACTGTATATGTTGCTGTATTACTGTATCCATTGTTTTACTGCTTTTTTAAATTCTGTCATATAAAAAAGCATCCTTCTTGTTTCTTGAACCAGCTTCTTTGTTCAACATTTAAATCTTTTTGCTTTGATTATCATCATCATCATCGTCATTTCAACATCGTCACCACCGACAAATCTCCTTTTCCCCCTTTCCTTCTTTCACCTGATTCCACCCTTCACCAAAAGCATTTGTGTTCTCATTTTCCACATTATCTGTATCACCTTTTAGCTCTCTTCCTCGAAAGAACAAGCATCTGTCTACCTCAAACACGTCTTCCATAGACTAACTGAACTTCCTTCCGTTCTTTCTCAAACGCGACTCATTTCGTATTATAAATACACATCGACGATCTTCCTTCCCCCCCTTCTTCTTTTTTTTTTTTTTTTTTTTTTTTTTTTTTTCTTCTCTCCTTTTCTTTTCATTTTTAATCTTTACTTTTTACTCTTTACTTTCTATCTTCGGTATCTCGTTCTCTTTACACCACTTCACTTTTCTCTACACACTTCTCTACTTTTACAACAGAAAATGAACGGTGTCGATTGCGACTGGTGTCTGCTTTGTGAGAGGCATACTCCCGAAGGAGAGGCCTACTGCTCAGAAGAGTGTCGCTCCACCGATCTTATGTCATCCTCGGCAACGTCCTCATCTTCTAGCTCTGCAGGATCAGCTTACTTTGGCTCATACGACTCCAAAGGCTCTGTCCCTGCCATAACCTCGCCATCATCCTTTCCCAACAACAGCAGCAATGATAGCTATCAGATGCCTCCATTTGTCCGTAAGCAGCGTACTAGTATGCCAAACATCTATGCCCAATGCGCTGCAAACCCAAACCCTCCACTATCGCTTATGTTCAGCTCAGGAGGAAACACCGCCTCAGCACTGAGCCACCATTTGATGATGCAACAGCAACAGCAACAGCAACAACAACAACAAAAACAAGCTCACAACGACTCAATAAATCAGCCCACAGCTGCAACAACATATCCGCTATTCTATGCTACACTCAATGCCCTTAGGCCTATCACATCAACTGGTTCTCAACAATAATACGAATGAGATGATAAAACCCGATCCAAGACAGCTACTTAGTATCATAGTCCCTGAGCCTACTTGGCCATACAGTTACCCAGAAAAAGAAAAGCCTCGTTGACGTACCTCCCCTTTCCACACACACTTCGATCTCCTTAATATTACCGTCGCTTCTCCTTAATTATCCATGCCCTTTTTTTTTTTTTTTTTTTTTTTTTTTTTTTCCTTCCTTCCTAATGCGTGCCTTTCTATTACAAGCAGTATCACAGCTCAGCAATTTCTTTTTTCTTTCTTTTATAATTTTGCACTTTTATTCCTTTATGATCAATATTTTTCCAGTCTCTTTAATTTTCATGCATCAAAATTTGGCAGCAAAGTAAGAAGTAAAAAAATAAAAAAAAAAAAAAAAAAAAAAAAGGGACAGCGCGCGGGAAAACAAACAAAGCGGCTCGACCACATTCAAACTTACCCGTGCAAGTCAAGCTAAGCCAATCCAAGTCGCTCAAGTCAGCCCGGTCCACCCGATGTCGCCACTCTCAACAAATCTATTTGGTCCAATCAAATAATCAGGAATTTGTTGTGAGTCGTCACTGTCTCTTTTATCCTTTTCTTCGATCCACTCTTTACTGTCTGCTCTGTCTCCCATCAAGTCAAGCTCTCATTCGTCAGTCTTCTCATTCCTTCGTATCTTCGTGGGATAGTTCGACAGTGTTATTTCTGTCGTTCATGCCTACCATGTCCGTGTGAGAATACCGATCTCCCTCTCTCTCCTTGTTAAAAAAAAAAAAAAAAAAAAAAAAAAAAGACAAAGGGAGAGAAAATTCATCCTACTCTACTACGCACTTTATTCGCGTATCCGGGTACGACTAAATATCAGAGTAACTACGGGACTTTCGGGACAAGATGGCGTTTGCGCAGAAGTGAGACAAGAATAATATTTGGAAAAGGAACATGCCGAGTCCCTCTGTTCTATTCTTTTTGGTCCCTTTTTCTCCTTCCTATCTTGATCCAGCCGACACTTCCCAATCAAGACAAACATGTCCTATGACCCCTATTGACTGCTCGGCAGTCGTAAAAAAAAAAAAAAAAAAAAAAAAAAGACTGATGATCATTGCCACAACCGATTTATAAGAGCCTGTAGACCATTATGTTCTTTGCCTTTATGCTTCTTTCTATAGTTCTTTCTTTCTCTTTACTGTACAGAGTTTTTTTTTTTTTTTTTTTTTTTTTCTTTTTTTTCTTTTTTTTCTTTTTTTGTACTTGTCTCGGCTCATTTCCTTTCGTTTTTTATCTTTTTTTTTTTTTTTTTGCTATTCCTGCATATTTAATTGTACTTGGTTTTACATGCCTTTGCTTTATTTTTTATTTTTATTTTTCATGAATTGTATATTATTATAGTCTTCACGTTGCTTTTAGAAAAAAAAAAAAAAAAAAAAATCCAGCAATGTCAGAAAGATGCCCTGACATCACTTCTGAAAGTAAATATAACTTTGAGCATTGTAATGTTTTCTTTCGCGAGTTGGAATGATAAACAAAAGCATGCTGTAGTCTAGCAATGCAGGGCCAAATTGGAACCTTAGTTTTTATTAATACGCGTCAGACGTCAGATTGTACTAGTTCAAGTAATTAAGAGATATAAGGGAATGGATCAGAATAGACTCTTGCAGGCGAGAGATGCTACAATATCCAATATCTTAGACTGTTGTAAACGCATCCATGTTGTGTCAAGTCTTCTCTATTTCTGTGATAACTATTCAACTATCCAACACTGCTCTGCATTGCATATCTTTATGACGCGCTCTGCATATCCTCGTGGTTTGAGCAGTAGATCAGTAGATAGGAAGAACGTGTCTGTACTCTCTTTCTTCTCTCTCTTGTTTTGTCGTGAAAATATAAGAAGAAAAAAAAACCCCTTCCCACTTTGTTACAGCATACAGTATCCCACATTTTCAAGCCTTTAAGAGTCGTCAAAGAAAAAAAAAAAAAAAAAAAAAAAAAACTCTTTCATTGTCTCAAATGGTTCGTTTCTCGACCCTGGTCCGTGATGAGCGGCAGTCGAACTCATCAAATAGGAAAAATCATAGGCAGTTGGCGATGACCGTTAGTGTCACTCTGTTAGCCATGTTTATGCTTTCCTCTCAAGGACAAGGGGCCAACGCTCATCGTTCTCATTTGAAGACCCAAGGGTCCATCACACCAACTAACAGAGCTACAAAACTATTCTCCGCGCAAAGATTGGTATCAGCACCATCACAAGGCTCAGGGAGGCTATATGGCGACATTGACTTTCATGGATTGGTAAAACCTATTTCTTTCTACCAAAACCAAACAGAATCAAAACCAATTAAGGGTTTTCCCCCGAATGGGATTGATGATCGCGATGTTGATATTGGACGGCCACGTCTACGACCACCCACAATGCCACTATCGGTCGAACGTGACGAGATCGCATCTTTTGCTTCTTCAACGACGACTACCCGCGTGAATGCGGCGTTGTATCCACCCAAGGATAAGACCCCCGATGTGAAATCACCACAGGTGCAAGCATGGATTGCAGAAATTGATTGGTCCAAAGTACCAAATATCCCAGTAGCAAAAGGGTTACCGGATATTCCCCATTTCCCAGAATGTCCACCGGCCGACAAGTTGGATCGCTCGACCTGTTGGTGGAGTTGTTCAGGATGTGTGGCTCCTTCGGATGTGGTGACTTGTCCGAATCAGAATACCTGGGGCCTAAACTATGATGATGGGCCTAGTTTAGCAAGCCGAGAGATGATTCGTTATTTAGGAGAACAGAAACTGACTGCCACATTCTTCATTGTGGGGAGCCGAGTGGTAGAATTTCCAGATATTCTGAAGGAACAAGTTGCACAAGGCCATCATATTGGAATGCACAGTAAGAGGGCGAAGAAACAAAAGCGTAGACTTTTTTTTTTTTTTTTTTTTTTTTTTTTTTGATTTTAAACAGTTGGCAACTATTCACAACATCTTTTCTAAATCAAACGTATTGTTTTTTAGCCTGGTCTCATTCTGGACTGACAACGTTAACAAATCACCAAATTGTGGCCGAGATCAAATGGACAGAAAAGATTATTCGAGATGTCACTGGCTTGACCATGAAATACGTTCGTCCACCCTATGGTAACATTGGCTATTGTCTTTAGAAACTATTAATAATTACGAAGATTTTTGGATATAGGCCCACTTACCCAACACTTCTTTTTTTTTAAAAAATCAAACTATTGTTGTGATTGCACATATATAATATGTATAAAAGGTGATACTGATAACCGCGTCCGTGAGATCCTCCGTCAAATGGGCTACACAACAGTGATTTGGAGTGCAGGGTGGGATACCAATGATTGGCGGATGCTTCAGAATCAGATCCAAGAACAACAGATCTTGCGAAATTTCCAAAACAACCTCAATAATCGAACAGCAATCATGTCATCAACAAGGACCCCAGGAGGTCCAGTGACGTTAGAACATGACTTAACGAATGCCACGGTCGCTTTATCTCAAAAGTTGATCCCCATGGCTATGAGCAGTGGACTAAAACCCATGAGTATAGCACATTGTTTGAATGATCAAGGGCCCTATCAGCATGGATCCAAGTTGGGACCCAATGGTGCAGTTGAGAAGATCAACAATGGAGATGGCAAAAGCGCGTATAGAGGTATGCCAGGGATGGAAGAGCAAGATTTCAAATCTGGTCATCGGAACAAAGCATCTGCAGCAGGAGGATCATTACACTCGACAGGCATCATCATGTCTGTTGCACAAGCCTTTGTTTTGATTTTGGGAGGAATGCTGATATAATAAATTAAAAAGATATCTTTTTTAACGTACATGGTTAAATAAGTTATTTTCAAATTGTACTGACCACGAAGAATCACGTAAAACCAGGGACGACGCGTGTTTTGTTTTGTTTACATTTTCAACATTTAATTAATCATTCAACGCCACACCATCCACCACAGACGGGCAAAAAAAAAAAAAAAAAAAAAACAGACTGTTACGGTTTTGCAAGGCCTATGGCTTTTACAACAAAACACTGATTAGATAATTAGTTAGACGCGTTTTTTTTTTTTTTGTTATTATTTCCTCTTCTTTCCTTCCCTCCTCTTCTTTCTTTCTTTTCTTTTTTTGTTCTTTGCCCTTTACCCTTTTTTCATGCACGTTTTCTACATCCATTGTTTCCGTTTAATTTATCTAAATAAGAAACAAAAGACGCGTCTTCATCCAGCATTAACAACAAGCCATTCTTTGTTGTAACTCACTCCACATAACTCACCCACTCGAGTTTACTATTCCAACTTTTAAGATCATTCTATCTCATCTTTATTGCCCATTGTCATGTTTGTTATCAAGCGAGGTAAGTGTACTCTTGTATGTTTACTCTCTCACATTTTCATATACTCTTTTTCTTTTGTTCTCTCCACAAGGTCTATATAATTTATTTAACAAACACATTCCGTTTTAAACAAATGACTATAAACTAATGACAATGAACTGTTAAACCATTAAACCAGATGGAAGACGCGAAACCGTAAGTCTTGAATCCCTCTTTCTAATGTTTAAAGACAGATGTTGATTTTGTGTCTTTGAAATGCTCATGTTAAACTCACATTTACTTTTTGCATGAACAATGCTTTCATTTCCTTTTTGTTCCATCGTAGGTCCACTTTGACAAGATCACTTCCCGCATCTCCAAGCTATGCTATGGTTTGAACACTGACTTTGTGGACCCTCCTAGAGTATCCCAGAAGGTAAGAAAAGTTTTGTCAATCTATACCAATAACAAAAGGAATTCTTTTTTTTTTTTTTTTTTTTTTTGTAAACAGGAGCAAGATTAGCAAGCATATCCCTACAGATCCTCTATCTCTTCTCTTTCTATTACATCTTGTTACATTTCGTTGTTGTAGTCGTAAAAGACTTGACATACTTGTTACAACCGTTTGTCATGGTAACAACGGTCTAAAAAAAGCAAAAAAAGTAGATAAACAATAGCAAACAAGTTTGAGCTGCTTGAACAAATCAAGAAAGTTTTTTTTTGTGTTTGTTTATAAAGTTATATACATCTTACATTTGCCACCAGTTTTTCCTCCCCTCCCATGTGCCAATGATGGTGTGTATTCTCCATAGTTTCATCATCCTTATTTATTAACCCAACTTTTGACTCTATCTTACTCTGCATCCTTCTAGGTTGTCCAAGGCATGTACCAGGGTATCACTACAGTCGAGCTTGACAATCTAGCTGCTGAAACAGCTGCATATCTGACAACCAATCATCCAGATTATGCCACACTTGCAGCCCGTATTGCCATTTCCAACTTGCATAAGGAAACCAAAAAGGTCTTCTCTACAGTCATTGAAGATCTCTATACCCACTTCCACCAAAAGCTTAAAAAGAATGTGCCCTTAGTTTCCAAGGAGACATATGATATTGTGATGGAGAATGCGGATCGTCTCAACTCGGCCATTATCTACGATCGCGATTATGGCTACAACTTTTTCGGATTCAAGACCCTTGAAAAGAGCTATCTCTTGCGTATCAATGGCAAGTTGCTTTTTGTGTTTATTATTACACCTGATCGTGTTTTTAAATTTATTCAATGGCTAATAACGGTCAATTGTTTGCTTTTTTTTTTTTTTTTTTCTTGCAGATATCGTTGTTGAGCGTCCACAACACATGATTATGCGTGTTGCAATTGGTATCCATGGCCGTGATATTGATGCTGCAATTGAGACATATAACTTCATGTCCGAAAAATATTTTACACATGCGACTCCTACGTTGTTTAATGCTGGAACACCTCGTCCTCAGATGTCAAGCTGCTTCTTAGTTCAAATGGCAGACGATAGTATTGAGGGCATCTACGACACCTTGAAGACATGCTCTCTGATTTCCAAAGCTGCAGGCGGCGTTGGTATTAGTTTCCAAAAAATTCGTGCATCGGGATCATACATTGCTGGAACCAATGGCAACTCGAATGGCATCGTCCCCATGCTTCGCGTCTTCAACGATACCGCTCGCTTTGTAAACCAAGGTGGCGGGAAAAGAAACGGATCGTTTGCCATGTAAGTAACTGGAGACTATACAAGTGGAGGCTTTGCGATTTGTTACACCAAAGATCGACAAATCAATGACGCACAGATATCGTCCGTGACATGACATATTCATGTCCAAATTCTGGCATATTTACCTGGAACTAAAATACGAATTCATCACTCCCATTTTCACCTTGTACTAGGTATCTGGAGCCTTGGCATGCGGATGTATTTGAATTTTTGGATTTGCGAAAGAATACTGGCCATGAGGAACTCCGTGCACGTGACCTGTTCTTAGGTCTCTGGATCCCCGATCTCTTCATGCAGCGCGTCCAGGAGGATGGTGATTGGCATTTGTTCTGTCCAGGAGAGTGTCCTGGTCTAGATAGAGTCTGGGGCCAAGAGTTTGTTGATTTGTATAACAAATACGTGGCAGCCAACAAGCACCGCAGGGTTGTGAAAGCCCAAAAGTTGTGGTTTGCTATTGTGGATGCTCAGATTGAGACCGGAATGCCCTACATGCTATACAAAGGTAACTTCCTCATGATTCGGAAAAAAAAAAAAAAAAAAAAAAAAAAAAATGGCGCCTAGACAAGACGTTCATTTGTTAAACAATTCAAATTATTGACTTTTTTTTTTTTTTTTTTTTTTTTTTTGCGATGGTTTATATATTATAGATGCTTGTAACGCCAAATCTAACCAGCAGAATCTGGGAACTATCATGTGCTCAAACTTGTGCACGGAAATTATTGAGTATACTGCACCTGATGAAGTTGCTGTCTGTAACTTGGCATCGATCGCCTTGCCAAAGTTTGTAGATGTCAAGAACAAGTGCTTTGACTTTGATCAAATGCATATGGTTGTTAAGGTTGCGGCCAAGAACTTGAACAAGGTCATTGACCGCAACTACTATCCCGTCCCCGAGGCCGAAAAAAGCAACAAGCGTCATCGTCCGTATGTTGAATCATCTATTAGTTGAATGCACAATATGTATTGGATGTACTCGGAAGGCTCGAGCTAATATGTAACTATACACTCTCTTGATAAAAAAAAAAAAAAAAAAAAAAAGTATTGGTCTCGGTGTCCAAGGACTTGCTGACGCCTTTGTGATGCTCCGATACGCCTTTGATTCACCCGAAGCCCGTCAACTAAACAAGGACATCTTTGAGACTCTCTACCATGCAGCATTGGAAGCTTCTTGTGAGATGGCTAAGGAACAAGGACCGTATGAGACTTATGCTGGATCGCCTATTAGTAAGGGTATTCTTCAGTACGACATGTGGAATGTCAAGCCTAGTGATCGCTGGAACTGGGATCGTCTTAAAGAGAATATCCAAAAGTATGGAGTACGCAACTCACTACTGGTGGCGCCTATGCCTACAGCCTCAACCAGTCAGATCCTAGGCAACAACGAGTGCTTTGAACCTTATACATCCAACATTTACCAACGTCGAGTTATGAGCGGCGAGTTCCAGGTGGTGAACCATCATCTTTTGAACGATCTGACTCAGATGGGCTTATGGAACGAGGCGATGAAGAATCAAATCATTGCAGCTAACGGGTCGATCCAGGGTCTGTCAGAGCTAGATGATGATTTTAAGAAGTTGTATAGGACCATTTGGGAGATTCCACAGAAGGCATTGTTGGAGATGGCAGCGGATCGTGCTCCATTTATTGACCAATCACAGTCATTGAACGTCTTTATGTCAGATCCATCATCCAGCAAAATTACGTCGATGCACTTTTTCGCATGGAAGAAGGGATTAAAGACAGGCATGTACTATCTCCGCTCGCGTCCTGCTGTGGATGCGATCAAGTTCACAGTAGATCAACAAGCTTTGTTGGAGAGTTTGAAGAAACAAGCCCTAGTGGCGAAGGCTGTTAAGCAGCAAACATCAATTAAGACATCGACATCTGTGAATGGATTAACGACACCAGAACTGGAGTCTCCCAAGCTGGATGAGGCAGATCAAAAGGCACTCGATGCCATCATGTGTTCACTTGAGAATAAGGAAGCTTGCTTGATGTGCAGCGGTTAAAAAAAAAAAAAAAAAAAAAAAAAAAAAACCTTTAACTCCTGTTGTATTTATAGTTTTATTCATATCTACTTTTCACTTTTTCTATGCACCCATCGAGCTGCCCATAGCTTTCACGTTTCTTATTTAATAGTATCTTATTGGTTGCAATAGCTTAGTGGTCCTCATTCTACCATAATACGAATAAAAAATTTGCAAATTCTGAGAAGAGCGAAAGTTTATCACGCTCCTGCATTCTGCTACATGTGCATTGAGGGATACATTATTAATTGTTGATACCATTGAGATCCATTTCATATTGATAATAAAGCTAAAATCACTGCTAGTCATGGGTAATATCGAAAGACAGCTTATTGCGATGAACATGAACAGAAGATGTGCACGCGTTCTGCGTGTGAGATATGGATGACTCTCTTTTGCTTGCACACAAAACAGCTCTCATTCTTTCTTGATTTCTCTCCCTGTCTCCTCTCTCTTGGCCTTCGTCTCAACTTTTTTCCTCTTCCCCCTCTCAATCACTACTTTAGACACTCGGGTACAACCACCTCCTTGACCTCTTCCCAATTCCTAACCCTTTTTTTTCTATTTTCTATCTTTTTTTTTTTTTTTTTATCACAAAGACAATAATCATCCCCTGTTGCTTGTACATCCAGAATAAATCATAGAAAAACAGTTTAGAAGAGTTCTTTCTTGCTTTTGTCCATTGTCCTCTCCATTGCACCTTTTTATTTTGTTTTTTATTTTTTACAACAAAAAGATAAATGGTACCATGGTTCGGCGATATTTACAGCCTTTGCTTTATGGCCTGCGTCCCTTTACCGACTTGCAATCTATTGAAAAACGCAACTTTACAAGCACGACCACAACCACAATCATACTCGTCTACGATACAAGTACATGAACAGGAACAGTTTCATCAATGTTTTTTGTATGGTAGTAATAACAATGACTCGTCCATTCAAGATCCAGGCACCATGACTGTAAGCTTGTTGGGGTTCTTTTTCATCGCATTCCTATTGTCTAATTCACATCGCAAATCCTCTGCTGTTGGTAAGTAACAGAGAAAAAAAGCTAAAAAAAAAAAAAAAAAAAAAAAAAGGGCGGGAAAACTGTCTCATGAGAGAGAAAGAGAGACCATGACCTTGATCAAATGTTGCTGATCATACCCTTTTTTTTTTTTTTTTTTTTTTTTTTTTAAACAGGACGGATAGAAATGAGTATATTGTTCATGATATATTCATGTATTCTATTCCTTCAGATCTTCACGATCGGTGGCGTTGGCTCTAGTAGTAAAAAGTTTATCATATGGGCTACGGCACTCCATCTTGGAGCAACGGTTAGTTTTTTCTGGACGCTCATTGTGAATGCATTTATCCGTAAGTTCTTCACTAGTGCTGATTTTTATTTTTATATTCTTGCCATGATTGTCCCATGATATAAACAACGATCTTCCTTTTCTCCAACACTTTTAATATCATATCTTAGTTTATCAGTTTGTCGACGATGGAACGAAGCTTACCACTCGTGTAGGTGTTTTTAAAAGAAAAAAGAAAAAAGAGTAAAAAGCTAAGTCAATGTGAATTACACTTTCTTTGAGCTAAGGTTTTTTTTTTTTTTTTTTTTTTTTTTCCCCTTCTTACTTGAGCATAGTTCATTACAGGAACTAATCTTGTATGGATAGCAGGGACGACATTCATGTCGTTGGATTTGACTATGGATATCACTGGGAAGCATTATGGACAAAGCCCAGGACTCTTTTTCCTGACATTGATATTCCCAGCGATCGCAGTGTTGCTGTACATGATACTTGTCACTATTCTAGTGTTTCGGGTTTTAGAGGTGTACAAGTCACTCTGTAAGTGGATCGAATTTTTACTTATCACACTGTTGCAGATCAAGACAGGAAATTATTGACTATTAACACCAACATTTAATCCAAAAAAAAAAAAAAAAAAAAAAAAAAAAAAAGTCTACATAGCCATAGCGTCAATAATGTTTGCAGCTGGCCAGGTGGTTCGATTTGGAGTAAGCCGTTCTCTTGTGGCCTCAACTTACGGTCGAGTCAACGGCTCCATGTTCGGCACTCTATTGGATCTGATCTCAATTGCATTACTATATCAGTTCTGGAATAGTATTACAGAAGGTAAAAGACATCTATCTCTTTTTAATGTTGTATCATAGTCTTTTTCATTCATCCAGATACGCCAATTAATCCTTCCACTATCGTATTATCTGTTATCTGACCTCATAGACAGTTGCGGTGATGATACCTTTTAAAAAAAAAAAAAAAAAAAAAAAAAACGCTGTTTTTCTATAGAAATCGAATTGATATGATATTGTACAGGTTACTTTTTTATTCAGGAGGAGAATACTTTTCTTTTTTACCATCCATTTGGAAATGTTATTTCTAATGCTTGCATCTTGCGATCATGAATCTAAGATATCGAGAGACATCTCTTTTTTTTTTTTTTTTTTTTTTTTCTTTTAAACGAAGCGGAAACAATCGGACCAGACATAAAAACTTCCGTTGACAGGGTCAGGACTGAGAACAAAAGATTGTGAGAAGAGTCGTTTTTGTTTTTCATTGCTGTATTGGACTGTTCCTGAGACATTCACGATGACACTGCATGGCGTATTAGGATCCTGAGATCGCGCTAGTTTATATATTCATATAATAATTGTAAAAATAAAAATGGTCAGAGAAATGATAAGAATCCTCCAAGTCTTTTTTTTTTTTTTTTTTTTTTTTTTTTTGAATGTATATCATGTCATCTCCACATTTGGTTACATACATGGCAGTGGGTGACAGTCATATGATTCTACAGTGTGTTCGCTTGCTGGTAATTTGTTATAAAACTCTTGGAATGGTGAAATCCCCGAGTGAGCATTGCCTAATGAGAGAAACGAAAAAGAAAGAGTAAAAAATCAATACGAAAATCAAGAACTTCCAGCTGATTATCTACACACCAAGTATTTACCATTCCAGAGAATAGCCGAGCTATCGCGATAAAGATGGTTCAAGATCTTTGTTGGTTTTTAAAAAGGAAGCATTAATCCGTATGGCTTAATCAGTATTGCACACAGTTGATCATCCTGAAAGTTAAGACAGCATCAACAATATCGAAAAAAAAAAAAAAAAGTCTGGTTCTGACATACATGTCGCTTATTGTCAAACACATCATAATACAGTGTAACAAACTGGTCTGCTCCACTAGAAGAAACTTCAACATGGGCTCTAATGGGGTCCTATATGTTGACAGGGTGCAGCAAAGGGTATCATGGGTATAAAAAAAAGAAAGAAAGAAAGAAAATAACGACTGTTGAGACTGAGATTCTTTTTTTTTTTTCTGTTTATGAATGGTCCCTTCCATGACACCATGTCCATGTCCTTGTTCCTTCTTTTTGACATTCCATCAGTCCATCATCAATTCGTTTCTGGTGCTAAACTGAATGCTTATCCTGTTTTTGCAACGTACGGCCATGTCAGTCTTTTGCCTTGGAGAAATGGAATCAGTTTCTTTTAGTTTAAAGATGTCTTTGTTTAATATTGCCTTTTTTTTTTTTTTTTTTTGTGCCGCGGCAGATCTCAGTGGCTTTTTTGCCTATGACTGCTTTCTCTGTGACGATGGGTTTTGTGCACGGATCTGATCCAACAATTAAAATGCTCTGGTCGTCCTTTTTTTTTTTAATTCTTTTTTTTCTTCTTCGCCTCCAATCTTCTCCTTATTCTGCTTCATCAACACCGCAACCTTTCTTTATAATAATATGGCTACCAAGTAAATACGATATCCCTCCTCACTTTTTTTTTTTTTTTTTTTTTTTTTTCTATTCAATGTTCAAATAAACGAAACGTTTTTTTTGTCATAGATACAGTTGAAAAAAAAAAAAAAGTTAGTTTTTTAACACATCTTGCACATTCTAATTAATAAATGAACTGTTGTAGGAAGATTTTGCTCCTCGGATCTGGCTTCGTCGCTGAGCCTTGCGTCGAATACCTGTGCCGTCGCCCTGAGAACAAGTTGACTATTGGTAATACATCTAAGAAGACACTCCTCTCCCATACACACGCGCTCTTTTTTTTTTCTATTTATTGGTGGCGCGTAAAAAGAGATGTCTTTTGTTGATTATCAAAGATAACAAAAAAAAAAAAAAAAAAAAGACTTATGGGCGATTGGTAATTCGTTGTGTAGAATTGGCAGGACAGACAAGTTCAATCCAGTCTTGTTTCTTGTATTTTTGATTGTTTGAATTGTTCAAAGTGAGCGTGTGATAGTTGGGGTGGAACTGATGGGTGATGTTCAGTGAATCAACCTCTTGATTATCTTTTTTGACTGTTGGATCAAAAAAAAAAAAAAAATCTTTTTTACCAATATACTGGTGAAAGCTCTCTCCTGTCACAGACAACCCGTCACAATTGCTAAAAAGACGGGGGAGAAGAACAAGATAGGGCCCGTCGCGGGTTTCTTTTAGTGCTTAAGAGAGTGAACTTCTTTTTGCACTAATCTGTTAATTACAGATAACGGTCAGAAAGTGACCGGGCCCCGTATCTGATCGGTCTTCCCCACGATTATTAATACATTCATACAATGAGGGTTGTGACCCATCCTGATTTTTTGTTTTTTTATCCGATCACTGATCATGTCCATCTAACTATATTCATCTCTCTCTCTCTTTTTTTTTTTTTTTTTTTTTTTTTTTTTAAAAAAAAAAAATCAGCCGCTAGACGCATTGCTATTGTTCAGGACCTCGCTTCCGCTTACAAGAACACCACTGCCATCTCTTTGGATGTCGATGATGAGGTTGCCTTGGATGCTGCTGTTGCAGAGCACGACATTGTCATCTCCTTGATTCCCTACATTCACCACGCCAAGGTCATCAAGTCCGCCATTAAAGCTAAGGTCAACGTCGTGACCACCTCCTATGTCTCTCCTGCGATGATGGAATATGACGAGGCGTAAGTAAAGTCTCAAGATGGATATTCGAAACATGTATCGCCACTCTCAACAGCATCCATTGTGTCATTGTATCTAAAAAAAAAAAAAAAAAAAAAAAAAACTCTATTGTCCAATTTATATCATAGTGCCAAAGCTGCTGGTGTTGTTGTCATGAACGAGATTGGTGTTGATCCCGGTGTTGATCACTTGTATGCCGTCAAGACTATTAACGAGGTTCATGCTGAAGGTGGCAAGGTAAATAACAAATGTTTACAATCAATTAGCTTGTGGCTGACTTGTTCATGAACAAAAAAAAATTGGATTGCCAACTATCAATTGCCTTGAATTTGTCAAACACCAGATCATCTCTTTCCTTTCTTACTGCGGTGGTCTTCCTGCCCCCGAGGCCTCTAATAATCCTCTTGGATACAAGTTCTCTTGGTCCTCGCGTGGAGTGTTGCTTGCACTCAAGAACAATGCCAAGTTTTATGAGAATGGCGAGATTGTTGAGTATTCAGGCAATGATTTGATGAACTCTGCCAAACCTATCTCCATTTATCCTGCTTTTGCCTTTGTCGGATACCCCAACCGTGACTCAACTCCATACAAGCAGCGTTACAACATCCCAGAGGCTCAGACTATCCTCCGTGGTACCCTCCGCTATGCTGGATTTCCAGAGTTCGTCAAAGTCTTGGTTGATATCGGATTCTTGGATGATGCCCCCAAGGACTTTTTGACTCCTGAAGCACCCGAGATTGCTTGGGTACGTATCACATGACAGTATTCGTGGGAAAAAAAAAAAAAAAAAAAAAAAAAAAAGCTTTGACCTGATGAAAACTTTACTGTCATGCCAATTTGAAATCCAATTAACCATCGAATCAATAACTTTAATTATCACTGTTAATAGAACGATGTCACTGCCAAACGCCTTGGAGCCTCTAGCAATACCGAGACGTAAGTTGCATTAACATTGTATCGATCTAATGGGTATCTGAAAGATAGAATAGGCACATGGTCACTGACACTAGCTTATTATTGGGAATACGGTTCATATTTATAGTGATCTTGTCGAGTTGATCAAGGAGAAGGCTTCAATCAAGGGAGCCGAGCTTGATCGTATTATCAAGGGCATGAAGTGGTATGTCTCTTTGTTTATTATTATTTTATTTTTATTTTTTTATAATATGGTGGTTTACTTTAGTATGCCCGGCTGTTGATTAAAGCTTAATTTTTTTTAAAAAAAAATAATAAATTGACAGGCTTGGTATGTTCTCAACCACCCCTGCTCAGCGTCGTGGCAACTTCCTCGACACTTTGTGCGCTACTTTGGAGGATAAGATGATGTACGCCAAGGGAGAGCGTGATATGGTCATGCTTCAGCACAAATTCGAGGTTGAGCTCAAGGATGGAACTAAGGTATGAGACTTTGCGACTGGGAATATATTTCAGAACTATATCGTTTTCTAGAAGAGTTTCATTAACTGACAATGTGCCATTGATCCTTAACATATTTCCGATCTGCTATAGCAAACCCGCACTTCCACGATTTTGGAATACGGAAACCCCGAGGGCGCATCCGCCATGGCTCGCTTGGTTGGTATGCCTTGTGGTGTTGCCACTCAGTTGGTTCTTGATGGTGTGATCAACAAGCCCGGTATCCTTGCACCTATGTCTTCGGACATCAACGATCCTTTGATTAAGGCCATTGAGGCAGAAGGTGTTGTTTGCCACGAGGAGATTCTGTAAAAAAAAAAAAAAAAAAAAAAAAAAAGGTTATCAACAGTAAAAGTAGTAATACAATAAAATATATAAAATAGTTTTTAGACCTGATCTTTAGGCGCACATCAAGGATTTAACCTTTTTTTTCCTATCTGGATTAGGAGTGGAAGTTCGAACCGCGTGAACTGATGAGGTCTATGATGAAATGTGCATTGTTTGATTCACTTCTCGGCTCTTTGAATTTGAAAGTGAAGCCTATAATAAAAAATAAAAAAAATAAAAAAAACTTGCTGATCATTGATGTACCCGTGGTGACTCTCCCCTTTTCATGATCTGCTCTCCTTGACAGGTGTAAGAACACGCGGTAAAGGACAATAGTCGTAATGATCATACACTACTTCTCTTCCTCAACTCTAGTTGTTCTTTTAATTATTATCCTTCTGATGGATGAAAGCTTTGCAATCAAGCATCTCTTTTGTATACATAGGTAGGGAGAAAGAAAGATTAGATGTAGAGTTCATTGAGGGAGCGAGTGTCTAGAAACGAGATGATTGAAAGGATCACCAATTCGCTGGATAGGAAAAGCCATGTGCTGCAGCTGTGATGATTTTGGATGACAAGATCAATAAAAAAGATATTGCCCCTTTTACTTTTTCATTGACAGATCTTACAGCCATCATGACATTTATACATAAATGTGTACATGAGTATGTTATTATATTTGTATTATACATCGACATGTACTGTGTATGTATAGATATATTTTTGCAAGAGTTGGAAGCATATTGCATGCATGTTACGACAGATCACTGCTTCTACGCATGTGAATCAGCTATGTACATGTAGTGATTGAGAAAGTGAATTTTAATTCCTTTATTCTTTTCTATTTTAATTTCGATTAACAAAGAAAGCAATTACTTACTGCACATGAATTAAATGAATATTATAAAGCAAAAAAAGATAATCAAGACAAGGATAAATTACGCCTGTCAATGTTTCGGCTTTAAATGAACCTGTGGGGTCTTTTTTTTTTTTTTTTTTTTCTGTTTCTCTTTCCACTCTCCCCATTCTTTTTTTCGTTTTTACTTTTCTCCTCTTCTCCTCCTTCTCCTCCTTCTCTTCTCTCTTCTCCTTTTTTTTTTTCCTTTACACTTATTCTTCCCCTTTACTCATTATCTAACTTCTTCCCTTTTGTTTCTTTTTCTTTTCTTTCTTCGACCCATTCTTCATTCCATTTGCTTTTTTCTTCTTTTGAATTGCTCATTCTTCGCTTTGATCTGTATTTTAAAGCAGGTTGTACAAATCAGGCTAGCTTTCTGATTTTCATTTCTCACACTCACACACGACCAACGAAAATATCTTGCAATTATTGCAACACAACATTGTCCCTTTTTTCCCTCTTGTCTTCCCAACAACAGTTACTGTAGTAAACTAGCAACAACAGCAACAGCAACAGCAACAGCAACAGCAACAGCAACAGCAACAGCAACAGCAATAACAAAAATAAACCCCTCCTTCTGTCCTTGTTAAATCCTTTTATAAAACAATGTTGACCGATCAACGATTTCAGGAATGCCTTGCAGAGTTGCAGGTTCCCAAGGTGGCAGACTGGGAGCTGTTTTTGGAGTCTCATGGGTTCAAGATCTATCGCAAAACACTTCCCAACACTGCTTTGTACGAATACAAGGCCCTGGGTTACTATCCTGATGTGCCTTCTCATCTTTTGGCAGATGTCTTCACGGATCTAGAGTACCGTAAGACCTGGGACAAGAACATGGTTGGATACAACGTTCTTGAAAACGATGTGACCCATTATACCACAAAGTTTCCATGGCCGTTGTCACCACGCGAGTACTTTTATCAGTTGACGGTGCATGAGCCCAAGAAGGGCCATTTCTGTGTCAGTTCTCAAACTGTGGGCAAGATTAGAGCTGCCGATGGCACTCTTCAGAACTTTTATAACACCAACAACTACAAGTCCATGGTGACCCTTGCTCCATCTTCCATGACTTCATCTTTCTCTTCGTCATCACCACATCTCAGTATACCTGGAGCAGCATCAGCATCAGCCATATCTTTGCCTACATCATCAGATCAGCAGCACAGAGTATTCCAGTTGCCGCCTGGGAATAAATCTGTACGTGTTGAGGAGTATCGTCAGGATGTGGTTATGGTCCCATCAGAGGATCAAAAAGGCTGCCATGTATGGTTCGGCTATTTTGATGATCCCAAGGTAACGAATTAAACAAATCATACAGGACCCCTTTGTTTGCTTTATTTGATTACTTGTTTGTTTTGTTTTGTTTCCTTCCTCCTTTTCTCGTCATCCTTTCTCCTTGCCCTTTTTTATTTATTTATTTATTTTTATTTATTTTTTGCAAGAAGGATGTCAGGGTGTCAGGGTGTCAGGGTGTCAGGATGAAAATAGACTTGCGATTTATCGGACTCATATCAATTACAACATCGTATTAGCTCGTATTAGCTCTTGTATCACAACATTTGCTGATGCTATCATCGTCATCATCATTATTATTATCGATTTTTATTGTTATTTATTATTACTATTATTTTTTGTAATCTGCTCTGTTGGGTATCCACTTTTTGTTGATTTTAAATCTTTGAGGCGGCATGGGAAGATGGAGAATAGGAAGTGAAGAGTAGCCAAGTATCTTCTTGTTCAGGCAGGCTCGTATAGGTTGTAATGGCGCCTTCATTAAGGATTTTTAAGGAAATTAATGAGCTAATAAGACAAAGACTTGAGTTAGGAAGTGCAAAACAAATTTTGTTCAGTGATGCTGTTTGGTGTTGCTGGGATTATCTATGCTATTCTGATCCAAGACCCATTGGTTCACAAAGAATGATGCACAGCTTTTTTAATAGATGCACTTTTTTTTGGGCTGAATCTCGCTTGGGCCATGGCCCATGACGAATCTCCCATCCTATCCAATTGCGAGATGAACTTACCTTTTTTTTTTTATTTTTTTATTTTTTTATTTTTTTTTAGGGCCATATCCCCTCATCCATTGTGAATTGGGCTACGAAACATGGGATCCCTGGTAAGAAAAGAATGATAACAAAATTTTTTGTGTGTAATATACTTGTATTGTAAAGTGCCAATCGATGCATTCCAAGCTGACTTGCATATCAAACCATAGGTTTCCTCAAAGCGATTCAGGATGCTTGTCTCAGGAGAGCAGCAGCTCAGAACGGATCGTTTGTGCCATCATCATCTTTTACGGCTCTTAGGAATAGACCATCCACACCAGACAGTGGCATTGAAGCTTAGAGGAACATGACCCCCTCTCTCTGTATCCACACCCATAACAACAACACACTGAACACTGAACACTGAACACGTTATCGATTTCTCTTTCGAACAGTTAGATAATTAGAGCAAGTGCCATTTAGACTTTTTATTTTTTTATTTCAGTATTTCAGTTTAGCTATCCTTTCGCTGGAGTTTTGTTTGTATTTTGAAATTTTCTCTGGACTTGAATGCTGGTTCATTCAAGCCCAATAAACAGAGAATAACTGTAGGTTGGGGTTGGATAGTTAACCTGCATGTTTCGAGGTGCTGAATAAAGAATAAGAAATGACATGGGCCTCCATTCTCTCCCCCAAACACAGCAGATCATGATTAAAAAATATGTGTCTATATTTGGGGAGCCACAATTATCATTTCAAGGTGGACTTCTTCACATGCCAAGTAAAGGACCGTCTGTGGTCCGATCGATGATTGGTTCGACATACCGCCACCATGCGCAAAAAAATTAGTCCAAGCCCTGGTGGCCTGATTGTTCTAGGCAACGTGGCTGACTTGGCCAGAAAATCCATGGGAGAAGAAAAGCCGGAAAAAAATGATCGAGCATGGGTAAATGAGGCGGAGAAGAAAGGTGGAGAGCATTGCAGGGATGTGGATGATAATCCATACTTGAGGACAGGACCCTTCATTTATAAATAAAGTTGGAGGTGGCTAGCGTGCTAAGACTTTCCCTACTCTGGACTGATCAATTACTTTTATTATATCTCTCTTCCTTTCTCTCTCTAATATCTTAAATAGTCCTCCTCCCTCATTCCCTGCATCCCTCCTCATTTGACTACATCTGATTGAATCCGATTAATCGCATTTATTCATCTCTTGGAAACATGAGTCATTCTGCTGGTCAGCATCAACATGACAAGAATCATGTGAAAACAGCGGCTAGTGACCATAGTACAACCCTCAACGAAGCAGAAGCTACTGTTAAAAAGGACCACAACTCCTCAATTTCAAATAAGGGCGTTAAAATTTCACCAGCTTTGGCATGTGCTGTTCGAGTATGCATTCGATCATATGGAGTTGGGTTCGTCTTTGCAACTGCTCCCAAACTAATCAGGACGTTGATCACTTTTATCTTGAGCCCCCGTAAGGCCACACCCAAGGGTCAAAACTTCATTGCAGCCTTCCTGAAAACTATCTGGGCTGTACTCAAGGACGGTGCGAGCCCTAGAAAGGATGGTATGAGCATGCTATTGATGATCTCGTTGGGAGGATATAAGTTACTAGAAGTGTTTTTGAACCATGGGATGAAGAAGGTCATTCTTACACAGCACCTACAACAACAGCAGCAAAAGCAACAGCAATCCCAACAATGGTCCAGGGGCGACACATCCAAGGTTGAGCTCCCTGCAGATCTGCGACAGCGTACTACGATGATGGCCTCATTCCTGGCCTCTGCTGCAGCAATTATCTTTATGCATAAAAGACGGCCTGGATACGCAACAATTGATTATACTCTGTTTGCAGTGGTGCGTGCTTTGGATGTATTTGGCCATGTAGCAGTCAAAAATCGGTGGGGACCAAGCTGGTTAGGTTCTTATGGAGCCGTTGCAGTCTTTGTATTGGCTTGCACTGAAATTATGTTCTCATGGATATATGAGCCTGAGCGATTGCCAGGGTAAAGGAAAAAAAAAAAAAATCGAGAAATTGCTACGAGAATACGTGTTGCTTATGGATGTGAAGCCTTCTATTAACTAGATTTTTCTTTTTGTGTCATGTATTGGTAGGCCATATGCTTTCTGGATTACAAAGATGTCGCGAATGGACAAGCGGCTACTGGAAACCTTGCGTGCTGTTAGAGCAGGCACTGCTCAATTTGGCCAGTCCAATCCTCCAGAAGTGAGTGGATTGTTGACGAGCCTGTGCGAAGACCTTGGCATGGATCCCAAGATGGGTAAGGGCTATGAGAAGCTAGGCTTTGGAGTTGTATAAGCCATATTTTTTCATAAAAAAAAAAAAAAAAAAAAAAAAAATTAGGTCCTAAAGCGATACTTTTTTTTTTCATATATTTTTTTTTATTTAGGCGACTTGGAGTTGCGTAGGCGCCTATCTTGCAAGGTTGTGCATCAGGGTATCAGTCCATCGTGTGAGGTATTTCCAATCAACTGCTCATGGCATGTGGTCGTCTTGTATTTTTTCTATTTTTAAAGGATTGTAGTGACATTTGACACGTTTTCCTCCTTCCAACAAACACTTTATCAAGGTACACACTGGTTATCGCTGGATTCAAGGCTTCCTAGTATCTTCAGGAGTACGTACTGTTCATAAAAAACTAGGACTTCGTGAACAGCTGGATTGCCCTTTTGTTTTTCTTTCTCTCCTAAACACCTCTTTTGCTTTCATCTTCCATCATGAAAATGAATAGATCTATTTGCCAGTGCATCTCTTGCCAGCGCTACTCAATCCGAAGGTATTCTTCCAGAAACTTCATGATAATCCTATTGCCACAGTTACATCCACACTGCTGGCAACGGCTCGATCCAGTGCGTTCCTCGCAACTTATATTGCCTTGATCTGGTATGGAATCTGTTCCTGGCGATCCAAGGTGATGCCTTTGACCATGAAGCTGACTGGCAAACGCTATAACGGCAATGTGGTCGACAATATCTATGGACCTTTACTGGGATCTTTCATGTGTGGATTCTCGGTTTTGATTGAAAAGCCTCATCGTCGTGCAGAGATGGCACTGTATGTCTTGCCAAGAGCCATGTATTCTATGTGGAGTCGAGTGATGTCTGGACGGTTGAGCAGAAGGGTTGAGATGATGGGAGAGACATTTATTTATGCTTTTTCAATGTCTGTATTATTGACGGGAATGAAGTGGAGGCGTGATATGGTTCGACCAAGTATGCAGGGTCTTTTAGGATGGATGTTAGAGATGCCCAAACAACGTGGACCCCGTCACGGACACCATGGACAACACCAGCATAAGCAAAAACCAGAAGGAAAGCCAAGTAACGATATCCATCCACACACAGAAGCGGAAGCAAGCGTGAAGACAAATCAAACAAAAGTAACCGATTCATCCAGCTAGCTTGTATCAAATAAGTAGAAGCCAATATTATTGAATACATATCAGTTTATACGCTTTTTTCTGTACACCTCTTGAGGATAAGCGATAATAGAAAAAAAAAAAATTAGTGTAGTAGTTGGTTCAAGTTCTTTGACTTGTTTATTGCTTGAAAGCAGAATTAGATTGAATTCAATGTATGATAACTTCACCCAAAGCTGACATGATGTTATACCTAATGAAATTTGTCCTGACCAAACGACGTGGTCCTGCACTGACATGCCTATGCCTATCCATAACTGCGCTCCATCAGCATCCTCTCTTTACAACATCACCAATGCCAAATTGAATCCTTTGGAGGCTGCAGAAATCATCGCACTTATTGGCGATTTCCTCAATCGAAAAGACCTTTTGAAATGTATTCGCGTCTCCAAGATATTTACTCTACTTTTATTAGGTTCACATGGAGGGAAATCTCGATCAACTCACCTTTCCAAAAAAAAAAAAAAAAAAAAAAAAAATAACAGCTTACTGGTTAAGCACTGCAGAAACTCAAGAAATACACTGAGGGGATTAATTTTCTATCAGATGGCATTTTACAAGAGTATCGGTCATTGAGAGATGTGATCGCCATCAGTTCATTGCATGCGAAAATAGGGTCCTATGGGAGTCCCTCGAACCGGCTGAACTTTCGAACCTCGTCAAAACTCACAACTTCACCGTGGCTAAATTCCACTTTGGCTGTTACAAGCATTCATAATGGCTCTGGGAGATGCTACTGGTGTATCCGCATCTCAAAGACTTATCATAGGTTTCTTATTAGTTTTATATGGAGAAGGATTGTGATCTTGCCTTTTCCAAAAAGATAACCCTACTGCCGAGGCGCTACAGAATAACAAGAAGTATATTGAGGAACTTTGGTTTCGAGACGATGCTTCATGGAAGTATGCATTGCAGGGATATAATCGCCTCTGGCGCATCGAATACAAATCAAGGATGTATTCCGCACCGGTTTGAGCTTTTGAGCCTTATTAAGATTCACAACTCAAGTTAGGTGCTTAAACTTGGATTGTATGTCCATATACCAGATACCATCAACTTCATGGATAGCGAGGGAAGTGAACACATTTTCCCAAATATGCAGGCAATAAGTATTAATTCTGTCAGGATAATCAACCCTCTACAACCGTACACATCATCGTGCTGCCTCAGTATGATGGTCAGAAGATGTCCAGGTTTGGCTGCACTGGAATTTGTCGATAAAAGCGAGGCTAGCAACCAAATCACGATGATTTCTGTAGGGTAGCGTTCTTTCAGGGCCCTTGAGTGCTTGCAAGTTTATCTGATTTATTCCTCTCTTTTATGAAGGTATGGAAGTACTTTTCAGATAGTTGGCCGGACTGAAGCAGCTAGATGTTCCACACTGCAAGTTCGCTTCGACAAATGGACATATGATATGGAAAATGAGGATGAGGCCTCGAAAACTCTGCGAGACAGTGGAGACATTAATTGTCGATTCAGAAAGCACTAGCACAGACGTACCTGTGTTTGCAAGCAATAATCTTGTATGCAAAAATTGACATAGAAGTTAAACTACGGCTGTAACCAGAGAAAAAATGAGATTACTTCGCCAATATCACCCTTATCATTTTGGCTACAATGAGTTCTTTTTCCAGCATTCCGCTCAAGAATAGTATATCCAGTCATTTGTTCATTCTCTATACCATCCAGTTCATTCATAGCCCCTAGTTCAGGCCATTCTTAAAGCCTTAAATCTGGACAAGGCTTTTAACTTCGCCAAGGGCACCAAGCTAACCATTCTATAGATCTCAGCTGCAATCAGCTGAAGCGATCTACTCTCTGGAGCTTGCTTGGCTATTTAAACGCAAATCTTTTCAATATATGTCTATATACACTACTGAGCAAAAATACACCAATGGTCCTCTTTTTTCTGAATCTTCTTTCCGTTTCCTAGTCATCGCTTATGTAGGCACTATCCATACTTGACATCAATAAAGTCCCGGTCATCTTCTACATCACTAATTTGTATGAAACTTTCAGCTTGATTCCTTATTGAATAAGTGGTCGTTGACACAATTTTTGAGGTAAAAAACCGGATAAACCGATTCTTAGCTTTGACCTGCTTGCATCAAAGCCCGTGCCCTCTAGGCGTCACGATAGTAGTTTCGCAGAGCAAGCTTTTTTCCTGTGGCAGATTTGTGAGGTAAGAGTCGCTAAAATCATATGGTATTTTTTTGAATTTGACGTTGGATATCACCAGCAATGGCCTAACTTTATGACCTGAGTATCGGCTTTTGTAGAAGACACGGCACTGGGCCATATACCTAAATCTCAGCTAATTAACTTCCCATCTGAAGCCGATATGAAGTAAAGAGATATCACTCCTGTCAATTTTACTAGGGTATCATAGCAAAACACAGTTGCCGCTTCGTTATTTGACGCTATTACTTAATATCATAGTGTTCGGTAGCTCGCAGTTCAAATTATCTTCCTCAAGCAGGGCATCGTTGGTTGGTATGCCAAATGAAGAATAAGAGGCAAAAAGTAATATTTCCCCATATGATTTTACGCGACTTTCACTTCACATATCTGCCTCAGGGAGGAGGTTGTTCTACGAGACTACTATCATGGCATTTAGAGGGCACGGGCTTTGATGCAAGCAGGTCAAAGCTAAGAAAGAGCAAAGAATCGGTTTATCCGGTTTTTTACCTCAAAAATTGTGTCAACGACCACTTATTCAATAAGGAATCAAGCTGAAAGTTTCATACATATTAGTGATGTAGAAGATGGCCGGGACTTTATTGATGTCAAGTATGGACAGTGCCTACCTAAGCGATGACTAAGGCCGTTGGCGTATTTTTGCTCAGTAGTATATGTATTATATATTTGTATGAACGCGCTTCTAACACCAAGTCGGACTTCAAGAAATCAGTTACTCTGCCTTAATTTTAGATCATTTACAAAAGTCGTATTACAAATATGAATAATGCCCCAATGCATAGGGTGTCCTCTGAATAACGTTCGACATGGCAGCTTCTACGACAAGACCCTGCTGGCAATAAATCAAGTAGGCCTACATACAGGTTGCATAACCTCGGTGCTCAGCAGAGCAAATAGTGCTAACCCATCCCTATTGCCAAAGTGCTGGCATGTAAACAGCACTCTAAGGCTATCAATGTACGGAAGGTCACCCACCGCTTTGCCTATCTATTCTCCCTGTCCTTTGCTTGAGGTTTCCAGTGTTTTCGCAGGACCCAAAGATAGGCATTACGGCCACGCATGATTCCATGTCTGGCCTCGAACACGACAACCTCTGCTATCTCAATCCTACAGCAAGGCCCAGACTTGCTCAGCATCGCCACCAAAACCCAACCGACTTCATCCATCCGCAACCACTGCTACCCATCACATCACACTAAAACCCCCGCATCACATAGAAATATCTGTTGGCGCCTGCTGATTAACAAACTGCCGTGATTTTGTCCAGTTATTATAGGGACCAAAGCGCGACCTGGTCGCGAGCCTGGTAACCGATATTGCAAAAGCACTGCAGCCCCAGGTATGGACCTCAATAGTTATAAAAAATATTCTATCTCACAATATCTCTTACTGTGGTCCTAATTGTGGGAGTAGTTGTATCCCTTTACACAACTTGAAGAGGTCATTCCAGATAGATGCATGAGGACTCTCCCTTCGCCCTAAGCATACCTTCAACAATTATGCAGCTCAACAATCATGCAGCCCAACAATTTACCCGCTCGACATTTTGGATACTTAGTTGAACTCGTCTATCCTTTTTTTTTTTTTTTTTTTTTTTTTTTTTTAATTTTCTCGATCGCTTCCTTGTTCCTTCAACGCGTTTCATATAAATAAACAAACAAACAAACAAACAAGACAGAGCTATGCAGGACACATTGCGCCCATTTCATACATCAACAAACAAACGTATTGTAGACAATTGTCTTAAAAACATACCAAATAGAACGCATTACAGCTTTTCGCATATGCCTGAATAGTTTAGGCCAGCCTCACACCTCAAAAGAAGTTTCTGCGATGCTCATTGGCTAATTCAAAAAGGTGGAAAATAAGGCGCTTCAATTGGTTGATGTTTTTGCTCTTCTCACTCGACAATTCCCTCTGCCAACAAAAAAAAAAAAAAAAAAATGAGGCTAGACTGTTAGGGAATGCATCTCCTCGGAGGTCACTCTCACGCCATCATACGACTTTAAAAGTAAACACAGCACAGACCACTGAAAAAATAAAATAACATAAAATGAAATGGACAAATATTATAAAAAAATTTATTCCTGTCAATAAAAGCTACACAAACGTGCTGATGAATAAGGGAAACATTGGAGAGGAGAGTGAAGAAAATGCATAAACAAACAGAATATGTGGTTTTAGATGGATGCATCTAGAAGCGTGAACGCTAGATACAAGCGAAGCAAGAGGGCCAATATGCATAGAAATGATGGATGGTGATACTTCAAGCAGAGCAGATGGATAGTAAAAGGAGAGTGTACAAGTCTAGTGCATGCACATTGTTCATTGTTGTTATTTTATGCGTGCAGTAGTCTGGTAGTAGATAATCAAAATACCCTTGAGGTAGCTTTAGATTGCAAGTTCGATGAAAATGATAAGACTTTGTAGTAGTCCACTCTTTATCAGTGTTGGTAATGGCTTTAACAGCTATCTGCTTAAGCATACCTTTACAATTTGTTTCACATGTTGGCAATGGTAGTAATTTTGGCCATGGTAGTAATTTTGGCAATTGGCAGAGACATCGGATGGGTATTTTTGCCGTAACGGCGCTTAGGTTAGCACCACAAAGAGGCAGTGGTCCTCACGGCTTATTTAAAATGTATTATAAAATACGTGATGGCCAAAGTCGGACAATAAAAATTCGCGTGAGAATTGTTTGAGCATGAATGAAAAGGCATCATGCAGCGCTCAGGCCGGCATTGCAAACGTTTGCTTCCATATTATATGAGGATTGTGCAGGGAAGGATTTAGGATTCATGCATAGTTTTCTGAAGGGTCAGAGGGTAAGAGGGATTAACAAAAAAAAAAAAAAAAAAAAAAAAAAAAAAGGACCGTTGTTCAACAACATAAAAGGCTCCCTCCGCTCCCGTTCAGAACACTAGTCAATTAGCAGATTTGCCAAATCCCAAATTTGACCTACTTCTCTATCTACCTACCAAGACCACTTGCACTATTATCACACCAACATGCTATCCTTTAATGATGCAATTAACCAAGCCGATGCTCTTCATGCACGCATCACCAATGAGGCTCGACGAGCAGCAAATGCTCCGCCTTTGACTGACGCTGAGAGAGCTGCGAGCGAACAAGCCAGGCTTACGGCCATGAGTTCCCTCAATTCCACCATGGCTTTGGTGCGGGGCGCCCTTCATGCTGTCAGGGGCTCCAGGGAGGCCAGAGAAAAAAAGGATGAACCAAAGTTCCCCTTCAGAGCAAACCGCGATGTAGCCCCGCAAGCATTGTTCTCTCTTGGCTCTGCCGTCTCTACCGTTTCGCCTTCCTTCGCTAGCCTCTCTAGTCCCGTGGAAAACGTTAAGCAAGAAATGTCTGCCGAAGGGCTTAAAAAGAGCACGCAAACGCTGACTCAAATGGCGGAGGCCATCGAACCCATCATCACGAGCTTTGACCAAGTCTTGGTAAGTAATGCTGACTTTCCCATCCTTGTGTTTTATCATAGGAAATACTTTATTTATTCATATTCTATGCACTTCCCTCATTAGGTCAAGCCGTACCTAAAGAACTACAATGCTAGTCTGAACACGGTGCCAGTGCTTGGTATCAAGGATAACAAAATTATGTACGTGGAAACCAAGTCCAATGCCCTCGGATCGCTTAAAGACTCCTGGGCTTTGTTTAGCTCCCTTCCGCAGGACGCCGAAATCAAACCGGGTAAAAATGTCTTCCTCTTTCCGTTCAAAGGGGATATCTGCTTGGCTATAGGCCAGGCGGTATGGAGGAAGCTCCATTACAAGGACGAGACTGACCTTAAAAAGGCTGTCGACAACTGGCCCAACATGTACCAAGCGAGCTGGGTAAAGGTTGGCGACAACGTCCTTCCTGCTGCAGACCTCCGTAGCGTTATTCCATTCGCCGTGCTCTCTGCAGATCGTCAGAACATTGATTTCCATCTGGTTGTCCTCAAGGCGGATTCTTCCATGGCTGTTCTAACCAGCGATGACCTGATTAACAATGCCTCTTTCAACCCCCTGACTTTTGGCCCCTCTAAAGAAATCACTACCGAACCCAAATGGTCGCGTATCGCTTACTGGGATAACCAGATCGTCGGCTATGATGATGCCAATAATGTTTATAATCTGGATGTCAAATTTTCGGCCAATAGCTTTACCGTTTCGGACAAGACCCCAGACACGACCATTACAGAGCTCACCGCGACCGAGGCTGGTCTAGTCGTAGCACGCAGCGATGGGTTCCTATATAAGAGACTTATCTCTATCCCGAAAGATGCAGATAAAGATGCCACTTTTAGCTGGACCAAATGGATCAGCCAAGACGGAGTTACCAACCTTGGCGTCGCATCCCCAGGTGTCATCCTCGATCTAAATCTCTTGACGCGCACTCTGCGTTCTCGCTACATTGAAGTCCAAACAGCCGTTTACCCCATGGTGGATGGGATTCGAGCCTTCTGCGTTACCCATAACTACTATCTTCAACAGCTCCAAACCGCCGCCGACACCTACAATTCTACGACAGAGCCCGAGGAAAAGAAGACTCTCGCCATCAAGCAGGCCAAAGGTTTCGTCGTTCATGCACAAACCTGGTCAAGAATTCTTAGCTCGAAGATCAAAGGGTGCAAGCAAGAAGTCAATATCATGACTGACCAGCTAAAAGGGGTGCACCGCCAACTCGAGACTCAGTTGACGCTGCTAAATGACAAGTTGGCGGGGCTTAAAAAAACGCTCGAGACGCAAAAGGATGCCTTATCAAAGCTGCAAGCCGCTTTCTGGGGTATGGTCGGAGCTATGTTCCTCGGTAAGTTATCAACGCGCTTTACTTTCTTGTTTACATGATCGAAAACCCACTGCTTACACTGTTTGCATATCCTCTTGTTCATTTACAGGTATGGCTCTTGCTGTGCTTGGACTTGCCCTTGGCGGCAACCCGTTGATCCTCACTGCAGCTGGCGTTCTCTTTGTTGGGGGACTCGTGGCCATGGTTACCCTGGGTATCAAAATGGGTGAGATGGCGCGAGCTGTTAGCGATACGGAAGCTCAGATACGAGATGTTACCACAGCCATCACCGAAATGACAGCCATTGTCGACAGCTATAGTGACCTAGATACTAAATACGGTACTCTCAACGAGTTCTGGGGAAGAATGTTTGTGGATGCAAGCGCAATTGGTACCATGGACGATGCCACGGCAGCACAACTTGGAATGGACATCTTGGTTGATGACTCTTCTATTGGAGCGGCCCGAGACATGACAACTCAAATGGGCGATGCCTGCTTAAAATACCTCGATGTTTTAAACAAGCAGGGTATCAAAGTCCCCGACCCATCGGCGTCCAGCGTAACGCCTATGTTCCTCAGCCTTGCAAGAAACGTGACAGCTGCCGAGCCCAAGGCTTCGTCTGAAGTCAGGGACTGTAACGCACAGTTCCATCAGCTCGTCAAGGTTGGACAGCAATGCCTCGCTTCTGGAGACCTGCCTGGGTATGAGGCAACCATCAACCAAGCAGTTCTCGCTTCCATGGCCACCGAAGTTGCAGGCATAGAGGCGCAGGTTATGTCAGGTCGCTGGTTTGATGTCGCATCGCTACGCTCCAATGGGTCGGTATGGGGGGGCACCTCTCTTACAGCTAAAGCGATAGCGTTGTCAATTAGTGACGCTGCCGCTTTGGTGGACCAAGGATCCAAGATGAACGGCTCCTTGCAGCAGGTGAGGCCTTACGTCGTCTCGATGTTACAACAAACAATTCAGTTGGGTCAAGTCGTCCTCGACTGGTCCTCGCGTTTCCCAGAGCCACCTACACCAGACAAGGAAGCCGAAGTCGATGCTCTACAAAAGAAATCTTTGGCAAATTGTGAAGCTGCTCAAAGCTCTGCGGCCAAGGCCAAAAATTCATTTTCGAGCTTCCAGGACGAGGCCACCAAATATCAACAAGATCTGGAAAGGAACATCAATCAAGCAAAGAACGACATCGATGGAGAACAGTCGAGGGCCAACTCTGACATGAACCATATCAGTGTCCCTTGGTATGTGTATCTAGGAGGAGTAGTGGCAGTAACAACATACATTGCGGTGCAGAGATCTGAGATCCAAAACCGACTCCATCGTACTGTCGCCAGCCTTCAAGATAACATCAAGAAACTAAAGGAATTAGAGGATAGTGGCGCAAGCTTCCAGGGCAGTGCGCTCACTTGGATCGAAATGTGCGAGCGTGTCAGTGGAAACCTCGGCACAATCTATAATATCCTCACGGCCCTCCAAGGACAGGTCATGGAGAATCCAGTATTTTATAACCAGTTGATGAAAACAGAATGGTCTGAAATTGTCAAGGATGCGTCTGAGGTCCTCAACGTGATAGAGAGCAGTGCTCCTGCTACCCTTTCTGCCTTCTTGATGCCCGCTGGGAACACTATGATGCTCGCCAGGGGAGCCACTATGACGCTTGCAGCCACTCCAAGTGTAAGCAACGCTACCCTAGTCACATCATTGCTTCCTGACTCTAATCTGGGCCCAAAAATGAAAGATCAAGCGGCCAGTGCAGACCAGGTGTTTGACCAGATGGAAACTCTCCTTCGTCTCCCACACCTTGGCGATATTATTGCATACTGGGACGAGACAAAGACAAAAAAGACAACCCTTCTCAATGTTGCAACTCAATTACGAACTCAATATGTCCAATTGGCTGCCACGGAATACGATACGATTCAACACCTTTACAGCCTCGCCATCCTCCAGCGCTATCGAGCGGACAATGTTGTGAAGGGCAAACTACCGATTGATGCCTTTGTCAAGGTATCGCTAGCATCTTTGACGCAGGCTTACAAATCTGCCAACCGAGCGGCCAGCGAATTTGCCAGGTCTGCAAGTGACTTTGATTTTGCCATGAGGCAAGTCAACTCCAATATCAAGACTATCCAAGAGAAAATTGCAAAACTCAATGTGGATATTGAAACAATGGAGAAGAAGCAGAGAGATACCATCATTTGGCTTATCGCCGATATTATCGCCTTGTCCTTTGCCACAGCTGCCTTCCTGGCAAGCTTTGGGGCATTTGGCCCTCTTACGAGCGCTGTCGCCCTTGCTACTAGGATCGGTCTAGGAGCTACAGCGACGGCTGCTAGCATCAAGACTGTTATCGACAGTTTAGCCTTGGCCGATGTGGTAATGCTTATCTCCACGACGAAAGACGTTAAACGTGACCTCGAAAAGAGCGCCGAGGAACTTGCCAAAGTTCAGCCTCGCTTCCAGAACGTTGTGGATGGAGTCACTGCCATCTCATCTTCACTTTTGCAAATGGTGTCAACTTTGTCCAAAACCTTGGATAACATTGAAGTCCTCCAACAGTTCACTCTCACTGAGGCGGATGTCGAGAAGATTGGAAATGCTTGGGATATAGTCAAAAACAATTCGCAGGATTGGATGGATGTCGTCAATAGACAAGGCATCTCGCCTGTTACATTCTCTATTCGATCGCCCAACAATTAACAAATAGGTTAGCACTGAAAAACAGGATTGTTGTGGTATATAGCGCGCGACCTGTTAAAAAAAAAGAAAGAAAGAAAAGAAAGAAAAGTTGTCTAATAAATAAATATTTGCTATTACTTGGATTTACAGTGTTTGCTTTATCGTTCCATTCCACTTTTTTTTTTTTTTTTTTTTTTTTGCTGCAAACATCTTTTCACGATCTTTCTGCATGAAAACCTCTTATTCGGGTGATATACCATTGTCCGTACTGGACAGCCAATAATCTTTTCCTTTAATCTCTTCGTACAAAGGATTAATGATTATCAAGAGTTTGTGAGCCAAATGCCATTCAAATGAACAAATGAAACAAAGGAAAGAGAGAGAGGAATGTAAGTTTGGGCTGTATTATCTGTTGCTCTCATCTTTCATGAATACTCGTGTCATCTGTGTTACTTTGTTTCCTCTCTTCTTTTTCCTTTGCTCATGTTCTCTGTTGCACAGCAGTTCCTTGTTTTATTAGAGTGATTGATTGCCAATGTACATGTTCATGTGCAGTAGGATAACATACATTTACATTTATGTGTACAGATGCTGTGGCGATATGATCAGCCGCACCCGACTTTAACTCCACAATCCTTTGTTTTTCATCCTCTCCCTTCTACTCTCCATCCCTGGCACCGCATGCTGAAATACTTTATCATGTACACATAGGAATATCCACTCATCATTGACCCATTCGTTAGCCCTACTTTATTTTTATTTTGCGCCATCGTTTGCATTCGCCCACCTTTCTTCACAAAAAGGACAACAGTTTTCCTTCACTCTTATCCACACTTCCAGCATCTTCTGTTCCCACCTCTCCTTTTTTTTTTTTTTTTTTTTTCCTCCTAACTTACGTCTCTATATACATCTCTGAACATCTCTTAATCGTTTCTTTTCATTTTCGTCTTTACTTTTTTAATGAAATTACCGTCATTTTTCCGCTTGACCACACTTGGTGTGGAACGTTCAGTGACCTCATATCTCTCTGGACCCAAGGTGCTCATGTGGACTCGCGCAGTAGGAGTTCTTTACCTGACCGCAGTACTTATCGGCGCTCTGGCCACCACACCCAGTCTTCATTATTTCATCTCCTTTTTCACCAATATTTCATTTTGTGCATTATTGATCTACTATATCGTAAGTCAGGAACAGGATCTGTACTTTCCCAAAGCAACAACAAAAAAAAAGAACCTCTAAAAAAAAAAAAAAAAGAAAAAAAAGAAAAGAAAAGAGTCTAGCTTTTTTACATTTATTTTCCTTTCCTTTTCCTTTGATAAAAAAAAATAGTGGTCATTGATAAGGTCAATCCAATATTGTAGACTCCCTCAGGAGAATAAAGAAAACTGGACAAAGCAACGAAGTCAAATTGGAGAACACATTTACTGGATCCTCTACGGCACTCTGACTGTTTTCCAGTAAGTAAAAAAATTGATTCAAGAATTTCTTTCCCCCCCATTATTTTTTTTTTTTTTTTTTTTTTTTGTACTAAGAGGCTGAACTATCCTTTTTTTTTTTTTTTTTTTTTTTTTTTTTTTTTGCCCCACCTCTTTATTAACTTTAGCATTCTAGTTCCACTTGTGTATTGGTCAGTGTTGCGCGCCCATCAAAAGCCGCACACTGGAGTGTATGAATGGGCAACCATATCAGAGCATTCAGCAGATGGGATTTTCATGATTCTAGAGATCATCTTCACGCAGATGAATCTGGATATTCGTCATTTGGTTTGGGCGCTTTTTTTCATGCTGTTGTTTTTGTTATCTGCGTTCGTGAACTATTGGACAAAGAACTGGTGGGTCTATTCGTTCTTGGATTATAACAAGCATGGATGGAAGATCGTCGGATTGTTTTATGTTGGAACTGCAGTGGCAATCATTTTACTTTATGTCCTCGTTTGGGGAGTCCATTACTATAAGGAGCATTTGGCCAGTCGTAGCAAAGGAGCACAGGCCAGGATGCGTCATGGAGCCAGTGATGGTGATCATGGAAGCAGCTATAGCGAGAATACGAGTGTTAGTAGTGTAAGCGCAAGTACGGGCGCAGGCATTGGCACATGTATGAATAATGAGAAGGCCTCAATAGACGTCACACTACAATCTGTGAAGGTCGAAAAATAAACAATCAATTTGAATCATTGTTATTCATAAGAGCCCCCATGTGGCAAATATCCTTTCAAGTCAAGCAGGCGCTTGGGCCAAGCGCTTAGACAATGGACAAGAAGTAGCTATTTTTGAAATATTCAGAAACGGCTCGGCATGTGACTGCAAGAGAGTGTGTGTCAATCTTTTTTAGTTTTCAACGATAGTAGTCGCGTGCAATCCTTTTTCCTTTTTGCTTTCCTCTATTTTCATCATCACTGCACATCAACAATGATCGCTCGTTTATCTGCAACTGTATTGTCCCCATCCCGCAGATCTGTACTTTGCTGCAACGAATATCGCACCCTGTCACATTTCCGACGCAGTGGCAGTGGCAGCGGTAGGTCTACATTTTCACAATGGATCTACAACAAAAACGTAGTCCGACACAATGCGTCGTCGCCATTATCATTGTCATCACCATCACCAATACCATTACCGCTGCTGTTTCAACAAGTTTGTTTCAAGAGCACTGAATCAAATGCTTCCTCTCAAGATCCCTTTGGTCGTAAAGAAGCCGCAAAACGTCGCCATGAAGAGAAAGGATCCAATAATACGGGTGGTTCAAAAATTACATTGGATGATGGCTCTAAACAGGATGCAAAAGACGACCCTCGAAAGCAGGCTGTGGACGAGAAGAAGGATGCCCAACAGTTTCAGGCAGCACGATTGCCTATTGTCCTCTGTCATGGTAAAATGGAGAAGAGGAAAGCTTTTTTTTTTATTATTATTTTATTTTGTTTTAAAAAAAACCTCCCGGGTTGACATGAGATTCTGAGAAACATTTGACACCCATCCATCATGATGACATACATTATTCCTTTGTTCTAAGGCAAAAAAATATTTATTTTATTTTTTTTTGCAACAAGGTTTTTTTGGATTTGACACGCTTGGAACAAACCCTGGTCTTAGTATTGATTACTGGTATGGCGTTCGAGAGGCATTGACCGAGATTGGATGCGTTGTTCATACTGCCAAAGTTCCACCGTTTGCGGCGATCGAGAAGCGTGCTGCTGAGCTGACAAAATATCTCGAACGGACGGTGCCTCAAGGATCAGAAGTCAACATGATTGGACATTCCATGGGTGGGCTCGACTGTCGCTATTTGATCTCTCAATTGAAATCACGTCACTTCAAAGTTAAATCCTTGACCACTCTCGGGACACCTCATCGTGGATCCTCATTTGCAGATTACATCATGTATGATCTAGTGGGTCGAAACAGACTCGAAGCCTTCTGGACTGTGTTAGGTGCGGTAGGGCTCGAGCGTGGTGCGGCTGAAAATCTGACGGTGGAATATCTTCAAAATGAATTCAATCCAAAGACACCGGATGATCCAGACGTTGCCTATTTTAGTTATGGAGCGTCTTTCAACCCTGGATTGTTTTCACGCTTTCGATTCTCATGGAAGGTGCTCATGGACCGGGAGGGGCCGAATGATGGACTTGTGAGCGTCCAGAGTGCGAAATGGGGCAAATATATAAAGACGATTCCCAATGCAGATCACATGGATCTAATGAACTGGGTCAATGCTTTAGCATGGAGTCGTGCTAGATTTCCATGGATCGTAGGTGGATCGAGTCATGATCCTGAGGGCCGTCCCAAGGGTGCATTCGAGACCGATAATGATGATGAGGAAGACAAGGATCAGCCCTCAGAGGAACCACCTTTGTTCAATGCGATTGAATTGTATCTGGAGATCTCTGATATGTTGTATAGACATGGCTTATAGATACCATGAAACATTTCGATAGATGTAGGTGAATAATAGACATTTAATACATTATTCTTTAGCACCCGTACAATAAAACAGCATTGCATTGGGTAGGAGACTTTTTTTTGCTGCTGATGTTGCTCTTTATTATTGATATTATAATTGTTTACTTGTCATAGATCTGATTGATGAATGTGGCGAGAGTGATATCCCGAACAGAAAGACCCTGGACATCATGAGTGGCCAACGTGATCTCGACACGGTTGTAGACCTAACAGGAGCAATTGTAAAAAGACAATCAGAAGAAGTGTTTTTTTTTTTTTTTTTTTTTTTTCACTGCAAAGGATTCCCAAAGGCATTGAAGAAACGTACGTTGAACCATTCAGGATGATGGTCATGTTTATCGGCATGAAGAGCGACACGGGTCATAAAACCAAAGGCTTCGTTAAAGTCTTTGAAGGTGAGTGTACGCTTGATGGCCTCACGACCTTCAACTAGAGACCAACCCTTGAGCTCTGGTTTGGCGAGTGCATCAGTCTGTTCTTGAGGAGTCAACTTCTGGAGAGCCATTTCTTTTTCTTTTTCTTTCTTTGATTGTACATTGATAGTATTGACGATAGTGGTAGTGGACAAAGGTTGTAGTATTGGCAAGGTAGACAAAAGGGAAGAAGGACGATAAGGTGAGTGCTTTGTAAAGGAGGGGGTTTTCAATGGGCAGCGCAATGGCATTGGTACCGATGCCAGCAAAGAAACAGTTGTAAAGGAACGACGTGCTGTTGCTGTGGTGTGCGCAATCATTATCCGAGACGGTGACAGCATTTTTATTATCTCTAATTACTATCCTTATGATTACAAACTGTCGTCTGTTGTGCTTACCAATGGGCGAGATAATAGGAAGGTGTGTGAATAAGTGAGTGAATGAGAAGTAGAGATGAGAATGAAAAGAAGAGAATCAATGGAAGAAAAGTTGAGCGAATGAAGCGTGAGAAAAAATCTATTTCAAGTTGTTGTCACACACACATTCAATAACTTGACACATCCATGCTCGTCACGCTGAAATACCATCAATTGGCATGTGGCATTGTTGCATCCACTGTATTTGTTCATTGTAATATTATTTTTTTTTATTATCATTATTATAGTATTGTTGGTCGCTGAATTGGATGACCATCTCTAGATATTAAGCAATGGAGGAGTAGTATTAAAAAAGAAAAAAGATAGGCAACAATGCAATGAGCAGTAAAAGATGAACACAGCAATTTAGTACAAACAAACAATTAGAGTAGCTAATAAAACAACAAGTTAGAGAAAGGAGGAGAGGAAAGGAAATATGAAGTCGAAAAAAAAGTGGAGAGTGTAGCATGAATGTTCATGTCTTTCACTCATCATCCACGAGCTCAAACTGAACTGCCCAGAAGACAGTACTTCCATCCAATGTCCTGCAGGTGTATCTGACAGGTTGTTCGGCCAGGTACTTGCGAATATTCATGCTTAGGCCAAGACGGATCTATTATCCCATCACAAAATAGCATGTTATTAGGAAATGAATCGGCAACTTTGAAGTACATCTATACAAATAATGAACTGTATCGCGTTGCATGTTGCTGATAGTGGATTCAAATCTGATTACTTACATCGAACGTGTTAAAGTCCATGTGTGGCGAAAAGAACTCAAAGCCATAGACAAGGTCCTTGTTATATGTAAAGTCCTTTCGGCTCTGTTCCGTCTGAAAGTATTTTCTGCGTTGAGCAGTGGTAAGACTAGCCTGACCAGGGAGGAAGAACGTGGTGTCCTCCTCAACATGCTGACGCCATTCACCAAGAGGCAATTCACTGTCATCCACTGCTGCCGCGATTTTCTTGAGCTCTTTGTTAGCATCCCAGTCAGCAGAGTTAGCGGACGAGGAGAGTGACTCTGGCTGGGGTGTGGGTGGAGATGTGATGCTTGGTACTGGTACAGGCAATGTCTGTCCGCTGTTCTGACGAAGTTTATCGACCTGATCGGATGATGCACTTCGGCTGATTCCGTAGCTGCTGCCATTGTTGCTGTCATTGTTGGATGCTGTACTACTAATACTCATGACTGAGCTACGGTTACCGCGTTTAAATTTACCCAAGAAGCCCCAAGCACTTGATACTGCACCGGTCACACTGTTCTCGGACATGGAGAAGGCTCGTGAAATATCCATAGATGGTCGAGGTGTAAGTGGTGGTGATGGAGGCTTGGCGTCTCCATGACGCCAGGCAGACATTGTATTAATGGAGGAAACCAACGGACTGAGAACCCAGGGCTTTCCATCCTTGGTAAATGACGCCTTGACAACAGGATCAATGTAGCGTGCAACCTTCAGCATCATCTCGAATCCATCAGGCAATTCTACAGGACGATCAAAATCTGTTCCAAAGTAGACTTGCTGACCATCCCACTCGCGCTTGAATCGTCCCTCAACCTAATAGGATATATCATAAAAGAATTAAAGAAAATGGCAAAAAAGAAAATCCATGTCAGTCAAGACAAGTTCCTGTCCCTAAAACAACCCTAGCATCATTCTTCTATTTTTCCACAAATATTCAAAAAAAAAAAAAAAGAGGCTTTGCTAGTCTTATTTTACCTGAATTGAGAAGCGGCGGTTTCGTCCTTTAAAGTATTCGGAGTTGTAGATCGGTTCGGAGCCATCATTTGTGATTCCAACTGTTGAGGTTGAGATAATAAGTTTTGATAAATCGCGCGGATATTCATTTAAATTAAAATAGGGTAGTGCATGCAAATGCAAGTAGTCCAAAGTGATCCATGCCATCCATTTTATGAAATTGTTCAAGTTAAAATAGAACATTTACGACCAAAGAGATACGTTTTTAGAGGGAAACAGAAAAAATAGAGCAACATGGTCAGTAAAAAGATAATTTCTCAATGGAGTATGAAAGTAGCGGCGAGTTTGTTGAAAAAGTTGAGAGCACTTTTTAACTGCATTAGGAGGATTTTTTGTTTGGGTCCTGTTCCCTGCACCAATAAAAAAGACTAAGGTCGATCCCACTTTGTACAAATCCATGGAGCCTTTCACCAACAGATACACTGCACAGGCAGGGCTTTTTTTTTTTTTTTTTTTTTTTTTTGCCGAGTGCTTTAGGGTAAGTACTGAAAGCGAGATTTGAAAAAAGTTGAAGGATCTAGAGCGCTGTGTTTGTTACCATGTCCATGCGCCGCCTTCATTTTGATCAATCACAAGGAAATCAAAGCCTTTCTTCTTGGCAATTCTGCTCATCCGATTGTTAGTTGCCTAGGCTTTTTTGTTTTTATTGTCTCCAGCTTTAACAAAATAAAATAAAGGACTAGGAATCCTGTGCTCCCTGACAGTTCCTCCGTCTGATTTTTTTCAACCAAAAAGTCAGCCAAATTTGATGGAGCGTGCGCCTGCTCTTTGGAGAAAAAAAAAAAAAAAAAAAAAATTGTCGTACGAGAGAGGAGAGCCCTGGTGTATTCATATAATTACAGCATGTGTAAAAAAAAAATATCGCAGCAAAAGGGAAAGGAGAGGGTTTACTGGGGAACAAGAATGGAATAGGCATTAACTTTTTTTTTTATGTTTTTCAACTTACCAAAATCCTTGATGCGCACAACGGCACGACCCTTGAATTCTGGAGCATCAAACTCAATAGGATGGAACTCATCATTGCAATTGATGATTGCAAGATCTGTGTATGTTCCTCCAACTTTGACGCGCAGTTTGACCATGATTGCCTGTACTTTGTCACACAGAGTAGGGTATAAAAAATACTGAAAATAATAACAAAAGGTCCCTGAATCAAGAGTAACTTAGTGGAACAAGCTGTCTTTAACAGAAAGTAAAGTCTGATGAACAAGAGAATGAGAAGGGAAAAAAAAAAAAAAAAAAAAAAATGAGAACAGAGGAAATGAAGGTTGATAAAAAAAAAACTTGCAAATAGTAAATAGCGAATAGAGGGAGGAAACCGTACTTGTTGAGGTTGCTTGAGAGAAGTGAATGAGCGAGTAGTAAGAGTGAGTGGAAGAGGAGTTGAGAAAAAGAAAAGAGAGAGAATCAACCATGGACCTCCCAATGGTTCTTTAAATACCCAAAAGACCACATGGGTCTAATAAAAATAAAGTGATATGCCAAGCAGATGAATAATCGGCTTTTTTACTTTTTTATTTTTTCCATTGCATACATTGTATACATTGTAAGCATTGTTTTGCTTGTCCTCCTCCTGATAAAAAAGAAAAATGAGCGTGCGCAGTTTAAACGATACATCGCAAAAAAGTGTTCATTCAAAAAACACATGGACTAAGCCCAAATCCCTCACTGCTGGAGTTTTTCTGCTCTCATGGTTGATAAAATATATATCTCTATGCTCCAAGATGATGACTATGACCACATCTCCACTGCTCCACTGCGCTCAAAATGACGCTTGGAAACAGCGCAGTCAAAGCATTCGCATTCAGCTGTTCATCCTTACAAATCAATTGTGGGAGCCAAAATGATCCCTATTTCTCTTTTCCCTATTTCTCTCTTCATTCCCTCACTCCTTCATTCTTTCGCCCTTTCACTATTTCATTCTTTTGTTCTTTCACTCTTTCTCCTTCGTATGAGGGAGGGAAAGGAAATCTACTAACCCCTCGAGATATCAGAGGGAAAGCTCATCTTGGCTTATCTCCTCTGTGGTGCGATGTTGTGCATGCGTTCCCGTCCAGTAAATCCTCGAGACAAAAATAACGATTCATTTTCCCTTAGTGCATCTCCATAAATCTTAAAAGTAGAATAAGATTTAACGTTAATGGCCATGCTTATATCAAGAAACAAGTAGAGAAATAAAAGAAGGATTCATTCGGCAAGAGGGGATGAGAGGCATTCGAATGAAGCTGTTCATTCACCATTCAAAGGTTGTACATTTGGACTAAGACTAGAGGCTTCAGATCTCGTTTTGGACATGCTTTGCAAAATACCCACGATTTTTCGACTTTACCACCTTTTCTCTTCTCTCTCTGTGGTCACTCCTTTTCCTGCTCGGCGCTTTTGGCTATATTTCCTATTTTATTTTATTTTACTCTATTTTACTTTAACCCGCCAACCATTGGATGCCTTCACTTGTCGTTGCAAGACTTTTTTATCAATGTTGTGTACTGTACTAAAGCATATAGTCCAAATGCTTATTTTGGCCAGTGAGATACGTGCCGTCCGTTCAGATCCAACTGTTGTGTGTCAAGAAACACCCCAGGAACACACACGTGCAGTTTGGATCCAGGGACACGCACATCCTCGGATTTCATTTGTCTTTTTATTTCCTTGCAGCAAGATAAGCATTGGAGAGGATCAGAAACAAGAGGAAGGAGAAGCTAAAAGCAATGTCATGTAATCATGTAGAACTAGCCATTAATAAACGCTGTAATTTACCACTGGCATATGCTTTATATTTTATTTTATTTTCTTGTTTATTTGTTTCTTGCAGAGAATGTATTTATGGATCACCACCAAAAGACTATACAATTAGCAGACTAGCACACGGTTGCGACTAATGGCATTTGACATTTGAATTCAAATGAGAATTCACTTTGGTACTTTACTATGGCGTCAAGTACCTGATAAGGTTCTGGAAGGCGCAAAGGATACGAAGACGGCGTAAAAATGCCCAAAAAGAAGAAAAAACTCCCAAGGTCCAATTCAACCCTGTCAAACTCAATCTTGGCACATTTAAATAAGCTAATTGTTCTCATTTTTTTTTTTTTTTGGTCCACATCAAAATCTCCTTCACTTCACTTTTTTTTTATCGGGCAGCAATGACCGCGATCCTTCTGGACACCTCATGGCTCTGTAATGGGCGCGGCTCTGAAGGATGGGTAAACAAATATGGCAAAATACAAAAAAAAATGCGCCGTAGAGAAATTTAAATATTATCACTATTTTAACCCCCTTTCCTCTATTGCTCTGTTTCTGTCATCAGGGACCAGTGAGTCCAGATCGCATGGACTTCACCCTTTGCTTCGAATACAGGTATACATATACCTTTTATAGTAGTTCTCACCCTTGTCTCTCTTTTTTTTTTTGGTCCCTTACAAACTTGCTTCTTCTAGCCTGTTCTACACTGCATCAGCCTCTGTGGCTCTTCTTCTGTCCGCTAGCCGAATATACTACCTTCGCACATCATGTCAAGCACATGGTCTCGGTTGTACAGCCTGGATCTACTGGCCTACACAGGGACTCATTGCCCTTGCTAGCATTTCCATGTTGATCCAAGCAACCTTCTTAATTCGGTCTGCTGACTCGATACCAATGCAAAGCATAGGGTCATGGATTATGGGCCTAACATGGGTAAGTCCTAAGGCCATGGATGAAAGAATGGCGTTGCCCCACTTGAGCAGTTGCTTTAATACAAGATCAGTTTACTCATATCATTGACACTGAACTAACTAGTTGCAAGCCTTAGTCCTCAATCATAATGAGCATAAATACACCATCCGATCTTCCAATTTGCTATTTGTCTTTTTTATAATCTCCATCGTGGCGACTGTGATTACGCTGCATACACTTTTTGATCTAAGCATGAATGAGCAACCAGAGTTCAAATCCGGTCTTTTATTCTTGATCTCTCTGGTACTCGGGTTTGTGGTGGAGGCATGGCCTCGTGGATCCACACATGTGCAGCGGCTGAGTAATGCACAGGCATGGGACAAGGCCAACTTCTTCTCGCAGATTAGTTTTTGGTTTTTCCAGCCCATTATCGACTTGGCAGCCAAGCAGCAGATGCTCCGTCCAACAGATATTGTAAACACCCTCCCTGAGGATCACAAGGCACAGCCGAGCTATATCCGTCTTTCTACTTGCTGGAATACAAGACTACAGTGGTACCAGGATAAGGTGCACCAACTTGAAAGTAGCAATATTTCGGGTGAAATCAAGAAAAAAGTGAAGCCACCATCACTCCTAACCACGATTTTGATTGCAAACTGGAGAAGACTTGTTCCTATTGTCATCGTCAGGATCATTCTCCCATTTACAGCATACGCGGCTCCGCTATTGCTTGGCCTCTTATTGGATTATATTGGTGACGGACCTGACCATGATATTCGTTCATCCAATCAACGCGAGGATAAGCTGTTGGGAACAGCTCCATCACATTCGTTGTTGTCGTTATCGTTGCCTGGGCGCAATGTTGAGGAGAAGCCGCTCCTCTACGGCCTTATACTTGCATCTCTCATGGTTGTGGAACGTGTGGTTATGATGGGGTTATACTCGATCTGCTTAAAAGATAACCTTCTCTTAAGTACTGAAGTCAAGTCCGCATTGGTAGCTATGATTTATCGCAAGGCACTAAGGCTCTCACCTGATGCTAGACGCAAGTCATCCACTGGTGCAATCACCAACCATATGTCCGTTGACGCCAGAACGTGGGGAGATGGCATTGAACTGCTCTCTGCCTGGATATCCATCCCATTTGACATTGGAATTTGCTTATTCCTGCGTAAGTCCTCTCTCTTTTTCCCCTCCCTCTTTCCCCTCCCTCTTTCTCTCAGTCTCTTTTAACCTTAATGAAGATATTTGTTTCTATTTTCCACATCTTTAATAGTATACCGCCTCCTTGGATGGAGCTTCTTAGCCGGGGTGTTCACGATCCTTGCTTTGATTCCGCTGCAACTTTGGCGTGGCAGCGTTTACGAAGGTCTAGAAGAAGAGCGTCTCCAAACTACGGACGAACGTGTTCGACTTACATCGGAAGTTCTCTCCAATAGCAAGATTGTGAAGCTTTATGGATGGGAATCAGCTTTTCGACATAAAGTGTTGGGTGCGCGAGCCAAGGAACTGAATGTGTTGAGGCGAATGGGGGTCTTGGAAGCTATCATGAGTGTGGTCTTTGCCTCTAGCTCTGCCGTAATTAGCCTTATGACCTTTGGAGTCTATATGGCTATTGGCCATGGCACCTTAACACCCAAGGTCGTCTTTGTAAGTATCTCTCTTTTCAAGCTGATACACGAGCCTATTAACCGGTTGGCAGAAGGGTAAGATAATATAATATCTTGTGCATTTTGATATCGCCCGAATGCAAAATATACAAAACCTTATTCTCGCCTATTTTTTTTTTAAAAAAAAAACTGAGTATAATAGAACATCGGATACGATCAGTTTGATTGTCTCTACAAAGCGTATTCAACGTTTCTTGCTGCGAGAGGAAATTGACGAGACGCAGGTCACGCGTGAGAGTCGTGAAGGCATAAACAACACTGGGATTGCTATCCAACTAAAAAACGTTGACTTGTCTTGGACTTCCGGAAAGCATACTGTTCTGGAAGAGGGTGTTGAAGAAGATGAAGGCAGTGATGAAAATCAACCACTGCTGCCTCAAGATCAGAACCATGGCGCCACCGACGGTTCTAATAATGACCAACCCTTTAAACTGACACTTCGAAACATCAATCTCACAGCTATGGATAAGACGCTGACAGCCGTAGTGGGTCGCGTAGGTCAAGGAAAGTCATCATTGCTAAGCGGCATGATTGGGGAAATGTACAAGCTTCAAGGATCTATCACCATCCGTGGAAGGGTTGCATACGTCCCACAACAAGCTTGGATTATTAACGCCACGTTAAGAGATAATATTGTTTTTGGCAATGCTTATGATCCAGAACGGTATCATGAAGTGATCTGTGCCTGTGGACTGGAACTCGATTTAGCTGTTCTCCCCGCAGGCGATATGACCGAGATTGGAGAGCGCGGTATCAACCTGTCAGGTGGCCAGAAGCAGCGCGTCTCGTTGGCAAGAGCCACATACGATAATGCGGACGTGTACTTATTGGATGATCCCCTGAGCGCTGTGGATGCGCATGTAGACCAGCATCTTTGGAATAACCTGATTGGGCCCACGGGGATGCTCAGGGACAAGACTCGGATCCTTGTCACTCATGGAATCCACCATCTGGAAAATGTGGATCAAATTGTGGTCATCAAGGATGGCGAGATTACTGAACTTGGAAAGTATAGTGACTTAATGGCAGCTGGGGGATCGTTCTACCAGCTAATCAATGGATATTCCGCTAAGCGCAAGCGCGTTAAGAAGCGCGGAAGCAGTAATAGGGCAGCAGTAGAATCTGCAGATGCAACATCAGCTACAGCAGCAACAACAAAATGCATTGAGCTCGTCCAGGCAAACGACAATACTACAGTAGGAGACCTGGTAGATAACAGTGGGCTCGATTGGGATAATATTACAATGGAAGACGATGAAGGTGAGGTGTCACAAGAGGATGACGAATCTAAAAAGCAAACAGCAGCAACGGCAACAGCAATTGGGAAGGATCAGGAGGATGAAGCAGATGAACTGATTGCAGAAGAGGTTATGAAAAAAGGTGGAGTTGAGTGGAAGTTGGTAAAGACTTATGTTAAGGCCTGTACACTACAGGTCGTTTTGGCGATCATTTTTATCTGTGTGGCGGCAGAAGCTTGTCAAGTTGGATTTAGTCTCTGGCTAAAGTACTGGACCTCCAAATCCGATGAGGAGCTTCAAGGATCTCTAGTTTTATTCTTAGGCGTTTATTTCGCCATGGCTTTGGTATTTGTGGCTCTTTACATTCATTTTGTGTATCTGTCTCTGGCTGTGGCTCGTATCCGAGCATCGGAACTGATCCATCAAAATCTCATTTCGACAGTGATTCGACTTCCCATGAAGTAAGATATTTTTGTATAAAAACACACTGCTATGATACAGTGATATGGCGATTTAAGCTTTTATCACCTATTTTATTGAATCAAGAGGCAAAAAGTGGCACTTACTAATAGTTCATTTGAACCTGTTTTCATATTAGCTTCTTTGATACAACACCACTGGGCCGCGTTTTGAATCGGTTCTCAGGCGACTTGTACTCGATCGATGAGAATTTACCCTGGAAGTTCGTAGATTTGCTCTATCTGAGTACTACTGTTGCTGCAACATTCATGGTTATTGGGTTCACGACTCCTGCCTTCATCATTATGATCCCAATTATCGCAGCATTCTTTATCCTAATCTCGAGACGATTCCTCTGGGCGACTCGGTCACTCAAAAGGATCTGGTCTGTGTCTTTCTCGCCTATTTATCAGCACTTTGACGAGTCCCTCAATGGGGTTTCGACTATCCGCGCTATGGCGATCCAGAAACAATTCATTGAAGAAAGTGATCAGCTTACAGATCACAATGCGAATGCATTCTCAGCGTACATGTATTGCAATCGCTGGGTCGATTTCCGCCTTCAGATACTCAGCGCTGGTATCTCGTTCTCAGTGGCGCTCTCGGGCGTTTTGGCGCGGTACACGGTTGATCCTAGCGCCATTGGCCTCTCACTCAATTTCGCGTTGGGTGCCGCTGAGAATATCATGTGGCTCTGCAGGGATTACACAGAGTGGCAGTCTCATCTGGTTGGGGTTGAGCGTGTGCAAGAGTACACAGACAAGTATACAGAGGCTCCTGAGCATACAGATAAAAGCATACCAGATCAATGGCCTGATAAAGGACGCATTGTCTTCAAGAATTACTCCACTCGATACCGTGAGGGGTTAGACTTGGTGATTAAGAACTTATCCTTCGAGATCCAGCCACAAGAAAAAGTCGGGATCGTAGGCAGGACTGGGGCAGGCAAATCATCACTGACATTGGCATTGTTCCGAATCATAGAAGCCGCGAACAGTCATTGGGCTCGAGCAAGCGACAATACCGGATACCACATTCGGTCACTAGAGCCTGAAAGTGAACAGCAGACTCTTCTCCGTGGGCGATCTGAACCAAATCTGCCACATTCTGGCCATTATGATGACGACGTTGATGACGATGGCAACCAAAACCAGAGCGAGGAAATGGATGGTGGATCGATTGAAATTGATGGGGTAGATATTTCGACATTGGGGCTTGTGGATCTACGCAAGCATCTAGCCATTATCCCTCAGGACCCTACTCTTTTTGCGGGTACCATCCGTGACAATCTGGATCCGTTTCAAGAAGCATCCGATCAAAGTCTCTGGGAGGCACTGGAGCGCGCACACCTGAAGGATCACATTCGGTCCTTACCTGGTGGCTTATCTGCAGAGGTTATTCAAAATGGTGAAAACTTTTCTGTTGGACAACGATCAATGATCTGTTTAGCCCGAGCATTGCTTCGTAAGTCCAAAATCTTGGTTCTGGACGAGGCGACAGCGGCTGTAGATGTGGAGACAGATGAGTTGATTCAAAAGACTATCCGAGAGGAATTCAAGGATCGAACAGTATTGACGATTGCTCATCGGATCAAGACCGTGATGGATTCGACCAAGGTCTTGGTGATGGAAAAGGGAGAAGTGATAGAATATGACACACCCGAGAGACTATTGCAGCGACCCGAGTCCTTATTCTTCAAGTTGGCACACCAGGCGGGTGAAATCACGACATTGACACAAAAATAAAAGTATTCGTACATGAATAAATATTTAGCCATTCCCAGTCTGAGGGTAGAGCCGCTCCAATTCATGATGATCTCTGCTCTTCCTATCTCAAAGCAAAGCGTCTCTTTTCCTGTTTCGAGATTATTCCGTTTGATCTGGTAAAATGGTAACGCTGGACCGCTTTCTTCGGTCGTGTATATGCATGTGTATATATGCGGTACATAATGGGCAAGTATACGACCCGCTCTAATAAATTAATTGTAGATTTGCTTTATTCCAGGATTTCTCTGCTTTCTTCCAAACGATAAAAGCTGATGAAGTGACGTTTTGATAGGAGTTTATTTGTTCCATTTCCAAAACTTGTTGCAAAGAAGAGATGGCTTTAGCGACATAGAACGAAATGTATCAAAAAAAAAAAAAAAAAAAAAAGTTTTTGTGGCGAAATGTTTTCCCATATCTGGTTATCATTTCAATTAAAAAAAATACGCCACCCTTCCCCTCCTTTTTTTTTGCTTGTCTTACAGACAATTGAATACGTTACCCGAAATATACACCATCATTACTGAAACCCCCGAGGGATGGTTTTATCTTGGATATCCTCTATACTTCTCTCACCAGAACAAGTTTTTTTTTAATGTAAACTCCCTGTTTAGAAGACTGAACATGATCCCTTTCCAAATAGTGTTTGTATACAAGTATTGAAACAAGTCTTGACATGGATAACTCATGATAAAAAAAAATTAGAATAAAAATAGTAACAATAAAAATTATAACTCTATGTATAATATATATGTATAAATGTATGTGTTTACGAAAACACAAAGGACGATGAACAGATGTAAATGTATACACAATAGCCAAGCTTGTTCTAAAAGTTTGTTTACTTCATACAAGCTGTGCTTTTGTTTATTCCAACTAGGCGTGATGTGACTGTTTGCAAAGTCGACAAAATTATACAAAGGCTGCCAAGAAGATTAGAAGCCACAATAAAGGAGCCAAGATGGAGAGTACAGATGCAAGATACATGTACATTTTTTATATTTATTTATTTTTTATTGTCCCTGGGTCTCAATCATCAATTGAAATTGGGGACGTGCATTCCTTTTTTTGACCTCGTGGTCCAAGCGACAAGCGACAAACGACACGCAAGATCAGTTTTTTTTTTTTTTTTTTTTTTTTTTTTTCAAAAGTATAACAAAAGTTTCTAGGGGCCCAGGCTCTTTGTCCCCTGCAGACAAACCACGCGCCTCCATGATCTTGTACAACGTGTAAAAGGTCCAAGGACCTTGTTTAATATTTTCATTGGACCCTTTGACTACATGTCGACGTGTCGCTTTTGGTGAAGGGCTGACCATTTCCTCGTGTAACTTTTTGGTACAGGAGGTTTTGACCATGTCTTCGTGTCGCTTTTTGGTGGAGAAGGCTTTGACCCTGTCTTCATGTTGCTTTTGGTAGAGTAGCGAGGGAGGATCAAACGTGTTCTCAGGAAGGGATAATAGATAGTCTAATTGTAAAAATAAATTAGCATTCATATAACTTGTTTAGGACACGAACATAAAATACCTTAAAAATCCGGTTTTTTATTTATCCCGGTAAAGCCAAACCAGTTTTACCTGGCGTAGACATGTTCCTCTTTTGCAAAAAAAAAATTATATTTCCCCCATGTCTCCCAAGAAAAGGGATCCTTATCCCAAGAAGCTCAGCATTCGCCCACTTCCGATTGGGTACATTGATTACTATACTTGTTGTTCAGCGATAAAAACGTATTCATTCCCAAGCAACAGCCTTGTCTCTGTACTACATGCAATAATGTAATGATAAATATATAGAATAGAATAGAATAGAATAGAATAGAATAGTCATAATAAAGTCAAATTGACCATGTCAAATCGAACGCCAAGAGGATGATGAGGTGATGAATTAGCTAAATCAGCCTCCATCTTTTTGTTTATTGTTGGATTGCTGGTGTTGGCATGCCAAAAGGAATAATGCATGCAACTTTGGTGACGCTTTTGATCTGTTCATTGATCATCGTCAAAAAGGATGATAGTCAGTTGGATCAAAACCACACAAAAAGGGGTTGAAGGACATGAACAGGCCTGATCTGGGACAGAAAAAAAATGACTTATTTTTTAATGCCGACCTGTAACAAGCCCCAGCTTGTTGTCCATAAAGTTTACTCCATTGCTCCAATCTCCCCTACGCTTCAACTGCGGATCCAGTGTGGAGGGTTCAATCTCTGCTAAACGTTTAATGTCTACAGTAAAATGTTGATGCCATTGCTCGATGCCACTGCTCGATGCTGTTGCTAATGCCAATGCTAATATTAACGCTAGTCTTTTAAGAGGAAAAAAAAAAAAAAAAAAAAAAAAAGAAAAAGGTGCTGATCATGACAATCTTTTAGATCATAAAGCTTGAACTAAGACCTGATCGTCTCAGTATCCCCACCGGTTATTGGACCGCGTAATAGGGTGTTATAAAACACAGTGACAGCTCAAACATTAAATTGAAGGCAAACAGGTAATTCTAGAAGTATAATTTACAATCCAAATGTATAAATGTAATACTATATATGTATACTATTAATAATATATTATTCAGTACCCCTTCTTTCTTCGGATATTCTTCCGTCCTTCCATTTTCTTTTTCTTCTTCATCAGCATGCACGCATTCCATGTCTCCATATTCATCATCATCGTTACTGACATCGATCCCTTTCATATGTAAAAGAGAGCGAAGGTATGGCTTCATTTTAAGAACAACATCCTGCAGATGTCTAACCTAAAGAGTCTACATTTCGCATTGTTATTTGCCAAATCTGTTCAAAAAAAGTTATTTTGTTTGTTTTGTTTATTTTATTCCAGCAATGTCAGATCTAATCCGCAGTTTCCACTCTGTATTTTAAATTTTATTTGACTCCGAAGAAGCGCACTGCACAGTTGTTTTTCAAAACATTGTTTATTTTATTTTTATTTTTTTTTTCCTTTTTCCCTCAATTGCCGTTGATACTTAAACCCCCCCACTTCCCTCTTCTCTTCGTCAACACATTTTCTCCCCTCCCCTCCCATACTGAAATGCTTTATTGACCATTCATTTCATCTTAACCTAACAACATACCCAATTTACTCTCTTTTACTTTTACCTCCCCACTCTCTTAGTTCTCAATCCCATCCTCACTTTTCATAATCATCACCTTGACTAGCCATGTCTGGTGAAGGAAAGATGGAGCTCGAGGAGCTCAAGCAATATCCCACAGCTGTCGATGCTGCCATCGCAGAGACCGTTACTACCAACAACCTCGCTGCCCCTATCACTAGCACCTCTGCTGCTGTTGCTGCTACTGCTGCTACAACATCGGAGAAACATTCCGGAAGTGTCGTAGAGACCTCCGCATCCACTGTTGCCTCGGACAAAGGCATCGTCGACACTCTTCCAAACAACAAAGGCAAAAAGAACAAGAAGGGTAAGGGTAAAGATGATGAAGCAGAAGGAAAGGATCCTGCTCCAGCTGAACCCAAGAAAACTGTCAGTTACTTTTCCCTCTACCGATTTGCCTCCAACCGGGACCTGTTTTATATCACGTAAGTGATAATGTGATACTTTGTTTCACGATGGTTTTTTTTTTTTTTTTTTCTTTCTTCCATTCCTAATTTGACCTGTATATTTCTAATCTTGGATCACTCTAGTGTTGCTATCATCGCATCGATAGCTTCTGGCGTGGGTCAGCCACTGGTTGCTCTGCTCCTAGGAAACATCGTCTCAGACTTGGCCTATTCTGAAAATAAAGAAGAGGATGTCTTGAAAAATGTGGTTATTTTCGCTATCATCGGTGCTGCTGTCTTTGTTGCTGCTGTAAGTCATGACTTTCTCTTTTATTCTGTATTCTTAATTGTCATGCCTTCCCTTGACAATTGCGAAATATTCCTTCTAGTTCTAGCGGACAAGGAAATCTGTAGCTTAAAGGCATTTGTACTAACCTGATATCCTCAATTTCTCTGTCGCCTTGCTGCATTAATAGTACCTTCAAATGTGCTTCTGGACCTTGGCAGCAGAGAACCAGGTTAAACGAATCCGTGAAAAATACCTTCATGCGATCTTACGTCAGGACATTGGATGGCACGATACTGGAAAGCAATCCGAGTCGCTCACTACTCGCCTCAACTCGGACACCCAATTGATTTACGATGGTATGGCAGATAAGGTCGGCTTGGCTTTGTCTAGCTTCACGACTTTCATTGCTGGTTTCGTCATCGGTTTCACCAAAGGATGGAAGCTCAGTTTGGTTCTCCTGACCGCTGTGCCTCTCATTGGAGCTTGTGCTGTCATGATGTCCAAGTTCACGGTTCAGAGCACCACCAAGGGTCAGGACTCTTACTCAAAGGCCGGATCTATTGCTGAGCAGACATTCTCATCCATCCGTACTATTGTTGCTTTTGGTGGTCAGAAGCGTGAGACCGATGCTTACATCAAGCAGTTGGACGAAGCCTTTAACAGCGGAAAGAAACGTGCTCTCGCCATGGGTCTTGGTATTGGAGGCTTCATGGTATGTCTTTTTTTTTTTTTTTTTTTTTGCTTTTGATTTGATATCTTCTGTTATCATGTATTTCTGAGGTATTGACCTTTTTTTTTTTTTTTTTTTTTTTTTTTTTTTGACCTTGAATTAGATTATTTTGTTCTGCACCTACGCTCTTGCTTTCTGGTTCGGTGGCCGTGAGGTTCATGATGGTAAAATGGCTTCTGGAGAGGTGTTGAACGTTTTCATGGGTATGATCATCGGCGCGTTCGCCCTTGGCAATATTGGACCTAACGTTTCAGCGTTCGCAAGTGCCCAGGGTGCTGCCTACAGTATCTTTAAGACCATTGACCGCGTCCCTACCATCGACTCTGCCAGCCCTCTTGGTGCCAAGCCAGAAAATGTTCAAGGACATATTGTTGTCCGCGATGTTGATTTTGCTTATCCTTCTCGCCCTGATGTTCAGATTTTGAAGAAGATGAACTTTGAAGTGAAACCTGGTCAGACTGTCGCTTTAGTTGGTCATTCTGGAAGTGGAAAGTCTACCATCATCGGCCTGGTTGAGCGCTTTTACGATCCTCTCTGTAAGTATTATAGTACCATCTAATGAATGTACATTGCATAGAGTCCTATCCACAGTACTAGATTTCATGAACTAAAACATATGTATTTTCATTTCATTTTATCATTCATAAGCTGGAACCGTCACCTTGGATGGCGTCGAGATCAAGGACTGGAATGTTACTTATCTTCGCGATACTATTGGAATTGTTTCACAAGAGCCTGTTCTTTTCAATGCCTCTATCAAGCAAAATATTATCTACGGTATCCGTAAGGACCAAGCTGTGCCGACTGATAAAGAGATTGAGGAGGCCTGCCGTCTTTCTAATGCACACGATTTTATCATGAAGTTACCTGAAAAGTACAACACCATGGTCGGTGAAAAGGGAGCTCTGTTGTCTGGAGGTCAAAAGCAGCGCATTGCCATCGCACGTGCTTTGATCAAGAATCCCCGTATCTTATTGTTGGATGAAGCCACCTCTGCCCTTGACACCGAATCTGAACGCATTGTGCAGGCTGCCCTGGACAAAGCTGCTAATGGACGCTCGACCATTGTGATTGCTCATCGTCTCTCCACGGTCATGAACGCGGATGTGATTTATGTGATGGACAAGGGTATTGTTCTGGAAAGCGGAACACATGAATCTCTCTTAGCCAAGGGTGGTGTCTATGCCGAATTGGTCATGAAACAGCAGCTCAAGTCTGGTGGCGTTGATGTCGACAACGTAGTTCCCGAATCTGTTGATAATACCTCAACTGCTGCACCCCATATTGCCATTGCTGATGAGAAAGTTGCTGCCCGTACCTCCACTGATGAGCGTCGCAAGAGCTTCAGTTTCTCGACCAAACTTCGCCGCATGTCCTCTGCTCGATCCGTCCCTCGCTCCGAGAAGTCACTTCAGAGAGTTGACACAACTGTCTCTATTCCTGAGACACCTGAAGAGGCAGAGGCTCGTATAAAGCGAGAGAAGGCTGCCTCGATCAAAGCACAAAAGGCTCCCATCATGCGTGTTTTAAAGTACATGCGTCCAGAATGGACACTCGTCATCATCGGTGCTATTTTGAGCGGCGGTTCAGGTGCTATGTAAGTAATTGGTTGCTGGCTTTTTGCGATTATTATTTTTTTTTATTATTCAAATGACTTTGTGGCATCATTAATCTAATTATTCTCTTTGCTGTATATTTTCTCCACTGGCTTAAAGTTTCCCAGCTTTTGCCATATTCTTTGGAGATATGTTGACCGTTTTGATGAGACCTACCGATCCTAACTTTACCAGAGATGTCAACCATAATGCGCTCATGTTTGTTGTCCTCGGAATTGCGGCATTTATCTGTAATGGAGGCTCTATTTGGGTCTTTGAATATGTAGGCGAGGTTATGGCTCGTCGTATGAGAACTCGAAGTTTTAAGGTAAAAAAAAAAAAAAAAAAAAAAAACGCTATATGAATCTACGGTATTTTAAAGATCTGATATTCTAACATCTTTTCCATCATTCGTTGGCGTTTTGTTGTATAGGCTATCATTTCTCAGGAAATGGGCTTTTTCGACAGAGAGGAGAACAGCACAGGAGCACTTTCGTCGCGTTTGGCCACTGATGCTTACCAGATGCATGAGCTCATTTCTCAAATCATGAAGCTCTCCTTCCAGACCATTGTCACCGTGGCCATGGGTCTTGGTCTCGCATTTGCCAAGAGCTGGCGTTTGACTCTTGTCATTTTGGCATGTATTCCCCTTATCGGTGCTTCTCAATACTTTGCTATGGGTGCCTTAGCTGGATTTAGCAACAAGTCCAAGAAAGCGTACGAGCAATCCGGACGTGTTGCTAATGAAGCCATCACCAACATCCGTACTGTCGTCGCACTTGCAAAGGAGTCGACTTTTGAGGAAAAATACCTTAATATTACGAAAGAACCTCATAAATTCGCGTTGCGCCGTGCCTGGCTTGGATCTTTTGGTTATGCTCTCTCACAAGGTGTAGCGTTCTGGACATATGCTATCGGATTTTATGCAGGATACCGTTTTGTGATCGCTAATTTGATGGTTTGGGACGACCTTTTCCAGACCATGTTCTATGTGATTTTTATGGCTATGGGTCTTGGACAGCTTGCTTCTCAGGCGTAAGTATTTTTCTGCTATTTACAATCTTTTGTTATCCTTTTATTATCTTGAATCTTTGCAAGCATTTTACTTATCCCACTTTCTTTAATCTCTTCCCCATGCTATTTACAGTCCTCGCTTCTTCAAGGGTAAGGAGTCGTCTATCAATGTCTTTGAGCTTTTGGATAAACAGACGACTATTGATGCTCTCAAGGATGGTATTGCTCCAACTAAGGTTGATGGATCCCTGGGTCTCGAAAATGTCGATTTCCACTACCCTACCCGCCCTGATCAGCAAATCTTCAAGGGCGTCAATGTCTCGGTTCGACCTTCACAAACAGTGGCATTGGTTGGTCCCTCTGGATGTGGTAAATCTACAATCATTGCACTGTTGGAGCGTTGGTATGACGTCTTGGGTGGCAAGGCTACAATTGACAATTACGATGTTCGCGACTTGCAGCTTAACAACATCCGTGAGCATATGGCTTTGGTCGGACAGGAGCCCGTCCTGTTTGATATCTCGATTGGTGATAACATTCGCTATGGTGTCCCTGATGGCCAGACAGTGGATGATGAACAGGTCTTCGCTGCAGCCAAGGCCGCCAACATCCATAATTTTGTGATGTCACTACCTGACAAGTACGAAACCCGTGTTGGAGACAAAGGTTCTCAGTTGTCTGGTGGTCAGAAGCAGCGTATTGCAATTGCTCGTGCCTTGATCCGTAATCCCAAGATCTTGTTATTGGATGAAGCTACTTCAGCCTTGGATTCCGAATCCGAGAAGTTGGTTCAGGATGCATTGGATAGGGCACGTGAAGGTCGTACAACAATTGTGATTGCTCATCGTCTCCGCACTATCCAGGATGCAGACTTGATTCTTGTGGTCAAGGACGGCTCGATTGTTGAGAGTGGACGGCATTATGAGCTTATCTCGCGCGGTGGCCTTTATGCCGACCTGTGCAAGAGACAGAACTTGGAAGTCACTCATTAATAGATTCTTTTTATCTTTGTCTTTATGCCTTTATTGTTAATACTACTATACTCTCCAATCACAACAAATAATCATTCACACATTTTCAATCTGTATTCCCATATTATGATCACAATTGCAAACTCTTCTTAATACAACACATGTCAAGCATAATAAAAATGTATTACAATTCATTCAATATTGCAAAAATGACTATGTAAACTAATGGGTGTGACTGCAAAGGAGAACAAAATAAGAGATTTTGAGTCTGTGAGTCTGATTGTGAGTCAATGAACGCTCCAGGTGTGCCCTGACCCAACAACTCTCACTCCAGCTTAGACTTTATTCTCTTTTTCTTTTTTCATGGTTGCCTTCTTCTCCTTTCTTCATACTCCTCCTCCTCCTCCTCCTCCTTCTTCTTCTCCCCTTATTGATATACACTCACAAGCACATTCTCTTCTCATGACCCGTGTATTAAAGGCTGGCGTTCTCGGCGCCACTGGCACTGTTGGCCAGCGTTTCATCCTTTTGCTCTCTGAACACCCCGGCTTTTCGATCCATACATTGGGTGCATCGCCTCGCTCTGCAGGCAAGCCCTACAACAAGGCTACAAAGTGGAAGATGTCTCAACCTATCCCTGCATCCGTTCGTGATATGGTCGTCCAGACTTGTGAGCCCTTGAAAGAGTTTTTGGAATGCGACGTTGTCTTTTCAGGACTTGATGCTGATGTTGCTGGCGATATTGGTAATTGTTGATCAATAGCAAAAAAAAAAAAAAAAAAAAAGGATCTTTTTTTTTTTTGAATCATGCTGACTGATCAAATCACGATGAACTACATTGCTTTTTTTTTTTTTTTTTTTTTTTAGAAATGGCATTCCTGAAAGCCGACTTGGCCTTGTTTTCGAATGCAAAGAACTATCGCACCAATGAGGATGTGCCTTTGATCGTTCCTTTGGTCAACTCTTCACACTTTGACCTTTTGGCTCACCAACGAAACAAACATCAACTTAAGAAGGGATTCTTAGTGACGAATGCTAATTGTTCGACTTCAGGTCTGGTCGTGCCATTGAAGGCGCTTCAGGATGCATTTGGACCGTTGAGCAAGATCATTGTGACGACGATGCAGGCCGTCTCGGGAGCAGGTTATCCCGGTGTACCATCGTTGGACATTCTCGATAATGTTGTCCCTTATATCGGTGGAGAAGAACCCAAGATGGAATGGGAGACCTTGAAGATCTTGGGAGGATTGAACCAGGATGCGACTGCATTCGACTTGTTGAAGACTACAAAGGTCTCTGCGACTTGCAATCGTGTGCCTGTTCTGGATGGTCATACTGAATGTGTGTCGATTGAATTTGAAAGACGTCCTGCCCCTTCAGTAGAAGAGGTGATCCAGGTCTTGGAGAACTATCGATCAGAGGCACAGGAGTTGGGCTGTCATTCTGCACCAGATCAAGCGATCATTGTCAGTAGAGAGGATGATCGGCCACAACCCCGTCTGGATCGTGAGAATGGTAAAGGTTATAGTGTTACGGTCGGTCGTGTGCGCCCATGTAATGTCTTTGATATCAAGTTTACACTCTTGGCCCATAACACTATTTTGGGTGCTGCTGGATCTGGAGTCTTGTTGGCTGAATTGGCACAGAAGAAAGGTCTTATTGCCTGAACAAAAAAAGAAAAAGTTCCTTGATTATCTATTATCATAATAAATCGTTTTTTCATTTCAAGAAACTCTTGAGGCAGATGTACCAGTAGAAATTATCAACAAAAGCATCGTAGTTTAAGTAATCGTATCGTTTGAGAGCACTCTAAATTTTGGGAAGTGGAGCATCAAAAAAAAAAAAAAAAAAAAAAAAAAAAAGGAGACCTAGACACTCGTATTTATCCTCTCTCTTTTTTTTTTTATTTTTTTTTTTTATTTGTCATTCTTCTTTTCTCCTCTTTGGCACCAACGGTAATTTGTACCTCAACAGAGGTAATCCGCTCCCTCATTTTTTTCAGAAAGAAAGTACAGGCAATAAAATGTCTTCAACAGAGATATCACAATCTGCAAAGACACGGCGACAGAGTCAGCGTCAAGGTTTACGAGGCATTCCAAGGAGCTTTTTCAAAGGCGTCATCTTCTTTATACTCTCCTCAGTCATTGTCAATGCTACTCTCTTCTTTTTTCGACTTGAAAAGAACAGTAATGACATACTACCAACTAATATCTCATCAGACGTTCCTTCCAGATCACACAGTCAACTGTCGGAAGAACCCCAACGTTTAGAACGTCGAGCCATTAACGTCCCTATCCAACTCAAAAGGGGCCGTTTGAATACACTCAATATAAAACCATGGATGGCCAATTGGCTGCAATATCAACTATTGGATAAAGAAGCTGTAGGTGATCTAAGTCAAGAGATTGTTATGGATCTAGTCTATACATGGGTCAATGGATCTGAACGTGCATTCTGGGAGATGAAGGAGCATTACAAGGATCATTCGGCTCTCTTCCGTGAGTCCCAAGCCTCGTTGAAAGAAGGAGAAGAAGTTAGACAAGTTGCATACCAAGGAGAAAGCGAAAGGAAGGGTATAGCAAGAGGAAGTAGCAACGGGAAGAGAAACTATAGTAATCAAACAGAGAATAGATACCGAGATATGGATGAGCTCAAGTATTCAATGCGGTCGGTGGCAGAATATACAACACCAGGTTTATTCCGGAAAGCATGGATTTTGACAACAGAGGTTGTAATTGATGCGGTTGGAGGCGAGAAGCGAGGACAGATACCACAATGGTTAGATATTCACAAGTTAGACAAGTTCAAGGATATGAACTATGAACAGGACCATGCTTCAGAGCTGAGACTGGAGCTAATTCCGCATACTCGGATCTATGGTGACCAGAACCATCTACCAAGTTTTAACAGTCTCTCAATCGAGAGTCAAATGCATAACATTCCTGGACTAGCTGACATTGTAAGTCTGTTTTATTATGAGTGATGTGTGTCGTTTGCTTGCTATGTCCTAGCAGCTATTACTGACTCTTTATTTTTTATTTTTTATTTTTTTCTAAAAGTATGTCTACCTCAACGACGACGTGTTTTTTGGGAAGCCTCTTGGCTCCTCCGACTTCTGGACACCACTGTATGGATTTGTGTTCCACATGGATCCCAACACTGTGGTCCCCCCTTATGTTCCTGTTGCCTCCAGTACTAATATGAATGTGGGTGAATGGTCGTCACTCCAGTATACAAACTCTATCCTTTCAAAGCAATTCGGTCCACGTCATCGAGTTTACATTGCCCATATCCCTCATATCTTGAGTGTACCTTTGCTGGAAGAGATTCAGTCGATTTGGCCCGAGGAGTTTAGCAAAACTAGTTCACATCGATTTAGGGGAGAAGGTGAAGCGCATGATCTCCAGGTGTCATTCCTGATGGCGCATTATGTGATGGAGCGACTTCGGGAGACGCAGCTAACATCCTATTGGAGGTATCATTTAGACAAGAACCAGGATGGACGGTTGGATTGGGAGGAGCGTTCGAGACTGATTCGAATTGTAGAGGAGTACGATGCGAGCCTTTTAAAACAGCGGTATCATAATCATCATTACTATCATCATCGCCATCATCACCATCATCAGCAGCAACAACAGCAGTACCACCAACAGCACCAACAATGGCATCTGAAGAAACGAGATGGTTCTCATGTACATCAAAGCTCTTCTAGCTTTTTAAATAATTATAGTAAGAACCTGGAGGACGTCAATATTCCTTGGTCTAAAGAGACGACCTATGCGTTAACGGGTCTAGATGAGTACCCGTTTATGTTAGTGGATGCAGATACGTCCAAGAGTGCTAACAGACAACATACGAAGCCCTATCAGATATCGGAAAGACGACGTTTTTGCAAATTAGATCTTGATTTCTGTTTTGGAATGGCCTTTAGGGATAAGACTGTCCAGTTTCTGGATGCAACTCTGAGGGAGGGGTCCATCTTTGAACGATTGGCGTTCACAGAGTTTCATTGCGGAGATTGTCTACTTCATATCATACGACAGCAACAACAACAGCAGCAACACCAAGAGCAGGAGCAACAGAATGATTTTGCTAATGGTGATGGCAGTAATAGTAGCGGAAATAGTAGTAATAGTAGCAACAATAGTAATAGTAATAGTAATGGTAGTAGCAGTAGCAATAGTAGAAGTAATAGCAGTCGTAGCAAGCCAAGCGGTGGACTGAGTGGATTGATGCCTTTGAAGAACGATTGGGAGGCTTTTCAGTTGGTATTGAGGGATCTAAGCAAGTACAACTATGTAATTGGGTCCTCTCATTTTGAGTTTGTACAACTTAGGAACGGAATCCAGGCACAAGAGTCATTAGATCGGTTGATGCAGCTCAAGCATCAGCATGCATTCTTTTGTATCAATGATGATGTTCAGAACAACCCTTTGATTGTGCAGAGGGTACGAAGGATCTTGGGCACGTTTCTAGAAAAGCGATTCCCAGTTCCTTCTCCGTGGGAGAAGAAACAGGGATGAGGACAAAGAGAAGGAGGAGGAGTAGGAGTAGGAAGAATACAACCCTGTTACACTAAAGAAATAAATGAGTTGATGTAAAAAAAAAAAAAAAAAAAGACGATGATTAGATTAACAAACAATAGGGACAATATGCCAAAAGTTCATCAGTATATGCCTCCTGAATAAACTAAATTTAAAGAAAACGTGCTTTCAATTTACCCTTTGTGGGATGATTCATTGGTGAGGAATCGAAATGGACGATACCAGATCACTGCGGATATTACAAATTATAAGTTTATTTTTATTGTTGAACGAATAACTAGCAGGGCAATGATGCTATCATAAAAAATCACTCATATTGTTGTTGTTGTTGTTGTTGTTGTTTTTTTCCCCTCATTGAGATCCTTTCATTCTTTACTTGCTTCAAATTCATTTCGCTCATTCATTCATTCATTCATTCATTCTTTTTTTTTTTTTTTTTTTTTTTTTTTTTTTTTTTCAAACAAAGCAAACAGCCGCACAGACAAAAAAAAAAAGTGATCAAGGATGCCTGCGATCGTAGTTGCTTCTACACCATCTAAAGTCCAAGGCCTACCTCAGCCCATCGACAATTTCCCTCGTCGAGTCCGTAATAAGATCCCACTGGCTATCCGCCAGATCATTGACACAAAAGTTCTTCATCAATGGGCCAGAGATCCTCAGCATGTTACTCGAGCCTTAAACCAGAGTGTTCGTGAGCAAGAACAGAAGCAAAAGCAACAACAGCGACAGGGTATGGAACGGAGCCTCCCCACTGCTACAACTACAAACATATCAACGCCAGGAACAAATCTGTCATCGCTGGATCAATTTGAAGAACCTTTACTACCAGTGATGGTCGCTGAGGATAGCAAGAATTTTATAGACAACCCTCAGTTTACCCGCAAGATCAATATGACTGCCAATGAGATTATTGAGAGAGTGCTTGTGCGGCCATCGTCATCATCCATGCGTCGATCTTTATCATCTATGTCAGCACTTTCATTATCGGATGCAGGGTCTGACACAGAGGACACAAGAGATGCATCAGCAACAAAAACAAATAACTGGGACATCATCCAAGAGACAGAAGTGGTTAGCGTGGATGCACAGACGTGCCACAACAACAAGCCTTCAGGCACAAACATTGCACCTATCTCAAATAATTGCCCTTTATGTGAGAATCAAGCAAATCAACAAGCTGACTTTGAGCACCTCAACAGCATTAATGATGGCGACAATAATAGCAACAACAATTACAACAACGACATCTTGAGTAGGGACCTGCTGCAATACTGTCGTTTTTACTACCGTGGAATGGTCCCTTCCTCACTATACACCGATCTTCAGATCCCGGCCTTGCTATCGTCACTCTCATTACCTCAGGAGACAACTGCATTTGCAAATGCTCCTAATCGAGATCTGATGCGGATCTGGATCTCGCTCGCAGGAGCGACCACACCATTACATTATGATCGCTGTCATGGGGTTTTGATTCAACTAGTGGGGCGTAAACGGTTCGTGGTGTTTTCACATGAGGATACTAATAATTTGTATCCATACGATGGAATCGCTGGACCAGGCCATGCCAGCAAAGTCCGGGGATTGGGACATTGTTTCCCATTTAATACGGTCTTGACTTCAAAGGAATCCCCATCAAAGAATAGCTCAGGAAAAGAAGGAGAGGAAGAAGGAAAAGAAGATATGGAACATTTGAGAGATAACATGGCAGAGTTATTGGAACGATGGCCAAAAGTCAAGAATGCAGATCCTTGGGTCATTGATTTAGAACCGGGTGATGCTCTATATACCCCGCCTGGGTTCTGGCATGAGGTGATCAGCGTTGATAACTCGATCAGCATCACTGTGCCTTGGGATATGGACGCTAATGAACTGGAGCATGTACCCCGTCATATGGCATTTTAAAAGAAAAATAGACAGATTGATATATACCTTCTAAGAATAAGGATATTTTATTTTTATTTTTATTTTCAGATAGACTATTAGAGAGAAAGCAATAAAGTAGATACACACCCGATGCAAACTGATTTCAAAGATGCTGGGAAACAGACGCCTTGAATAGTGAAAACGCCCGTTTACGCTTATTATTAAGATTTGTGCCCTATGATAAGTAGAATGTAAAACAAAGTAGTTCTAGATCGTAGTTTAACTATGTGAGAATGTGATAAGAAAGATATGAGATGATTTGTGGGCATAAAAAAAAAGACAGTTACAGAGCGGTTAAGAGGCCTGTGAGTGTTCTCACAAGTAAGCTCGAAGAAATAATAATGATATATGATGTAACTCTGTTGGCAGTTGATGAGTTGGCGCCACCCGCCTCATTGCCCTGCCCACCTAATGACCGTACGTCTCCATTCGCCGCAGTAGTATTTGGAGCACCAGCGGCGTTTGGAGGAGCACCATTGATAGCAGCATACGGTATTCTGTCACGGAGACATTCAGCTACTGATTGAACGGCAAGCTTATTTGCGATACCAAAGGGAACCAATTGCTTTGCGACTGCGACAGTATCTACAGAGAGGTCGTGTTCTAATGAAATGAAACCGCCTTTGTCCATTGCCGGATTACTCTTGTAGGTAAGGAGTGCACTTTGGAACGAAGTAACGAGTGAGGCCACAGATGCTTGCTTCAAAGCGACTATGGGGGAGGAATGGTATTAATAACGTGATTACAAAGCGGTTAGTAAAGTGAGATTAATTACAACGTGCCTTTTCAAGCAGAACAGTCATATAGGAAGCAAACGTACTTTTCCAATCATTCGTGTCATAGGCATCACTAGTCCAGTCGACCACTATGTAGCCCATTTTCTTGAGCACAAAGCGGACACGATTGTCAATGTCGCCGTAGGGTGGGCGCATGTACTTGACTCTGTAGCCTGTGAAATCCTCAATTGCCTTTTCTGTCCACTTCATTTCTGCAACAATCTGCTCATTGCTTAAAGTTGTCAGCGCATGGTGTGACCATCTATATGTTTTTTAGGAGTATAGGAATGGAGTTAATAATGATAATAATAATAATATTAATAAAAGGTTACGCAAGAATGATAAGCACATTGATGCAAGGGTCTTAATTGTTGTGCAACCATATTCTGGTTCCTTTAGTTACACCTCATCTGAGTGATTGGCCCTTGCATTATCTTCTCTAGCCCCCTTTTTTTTATATTTGGCCCATTTAGTCTCTTTTTGTGTTCTGTTATCTTGACTCTCCTTGTACGCTTATGTATCACCAAGTGGAAGCTTCCCTCCTTCCCTTCTTCCCTCCTTCCCTCCATGGGAGAAGGGGCCTAATACAGCTATATACCATTGGCTTTTCTTTTTTTTACAGTAAGCTAAGGCGTGTCATACAGCATCCGAAAATATCCTTAGGAGAGTGAAGGGTTGCTATAGACGCCAAAAGACCAAGGACTTCCATTCTGCCTTGATCTCGACTCAGAATATGTATCATCATGAAGGTAAACAAATAATACAAAAAAAAAAAAAGCATTGAGTACGTACGTGTGTGAGGCTATATGGTGGCCATGTTCGATTTCTGTCTTTACAATCTCTGGATATTTGACAACATTGCTACCGAGCAAGAAAAAAGTTGCCTTGGTATTACTACTCTTTAAAAAGGTCAGGAGATCCGGTGTCTGATCTGTAGGTCCATCATCAAAAGTCAACCCCCATGTATCTTTGTCTGGACAGATCAGCACATCATCTGCATGACATTTCTGGCATGTCCTATAACAGACATTAGGGTCCAGGTTGGCTGGACAGGCTGGCGGTGCGCCCGTGTTGAGTTGAAACGCAGGCGCTCCAGAGAGATCAAGTTCTTTGAGCCATCGCTGGACTTCTGGGGAGTCAATTGGAGGTACAGCATTTTGGGTCGGATATACAGTTGCTGGCCTTGCTACAGAAGCTACAACAGCAGCACCCGGGACTCCAGCTTGTTGTGGATTGGCATATGTCGTCAATGCCAAAGGTCCGATAATACAGATCAATGTGGGGAGTAGAAATGAACGGGAAAATGTTTTTGCAGGGCGCATTCTGGCGATAGATCTGGGTCGGCTGATGGGGATGCAAGCGGCTTTTAGCTAACTTAATGAGAATCTTGTAGTAAGAGGATGTCAAGGGAAAGAACAATAAATTAAGATAAAATAAATAATAAAAGAGGAAGGAAAAGCAAGTAAGAGCAAAATTTAAAGGATCATAGGAAAGACGCATACAAATAAGACGTCTTATCAATCTATGGGCACGTAGTCAACTAGAAAATTCTCGTTGCTGTTGGGTTATGGTACGATGTGCCAGTAGCGCATCAGAGTATTTTTGTTTTAGGGTACCACCATACCTTCGCCGCCTCGTACCAGCCAAGTCCACTGGTGAAAAAAAAAAAAAAAATGCCAGCCAACTTTTTTTCATTCGTGAAATTCAGCCTGTCAATGCTGACTGCACAGATTGATTTCTTTTCTTACAAATAAGAAATTGTACTCAGTGAGGGTGCCATGAAAGTTGCTTTGTCATTATACTCGTTACATAAATGCCTTGTACTATCTCCTATCCTCATAGTCTCCAGGCTGGCCTTACAGGAAGAGATGCCATGCTAGATTCATCTGCCAATTTTGCGGGAGCAAGATGTTCATTTCGGCAAGACAAGGGTTAGAGATTAAACGAGCTTATGTAAGACTAAATGGGCAACCTGTAAAAGAAGAAAGATAGCGCTGTAAAGGATTAGAAGGGCTCTAGGCAGCTTCTTGTCAAGCCAAGCTGACTTCAGAGTATTGTATCATAAGTGAGTCCTTTTGGTTTATTCTGGTGTCCTCCATCTTCAATTATACCCTATTGCAATTCTCATTCGCAGAGCCTATGAACAAGACCTAGGAAAAATCCTTCCTTCCTTCTGTAGCTTTCACAATATGATGATACATTTTCTCAGAAGCAAACTTGATGACATGGAAAATTTCTTGTCTTGACAAGAAATAGGGTACAGATCATATCGGAAGCTATCTAGTTTTGCGAAAAACAACTCATACTACTTTTGACACACATACACGTTTTAGAAAAAGCCCCTTTTTCCTCTACAAATCTAGGAGCACCGTTTGTTGATAGGATTCCTGGTTCTCAAGTGGTTGAGACCACTTTTTACTTACGAGGTCCAAGTATCCTAATAAAAATCAAATCTTAAACTAGGAGACTATTGGGAAGCTTCATGGTGCCTACCTAGCAATAGTGTGTACGACTTTGAGTTTGATCCTAACCTGCTAGTGCATTGTACATAAGCCACTCGGACTGGTGGCGAGCCTGATCTGCGTAATATGAGACAGTGCAGAACAATATTTTAACAGTCTCTCCCTTACTTGTAGAAGTAATTACCAAAATTCTTGATTTGTGTGTACCATGGATTCAGGGATATGCTCAAGGCATACAGGATAGCAGAACAACCATCCATCCATAAATCAACGCGCTGTTGATTTGAATTCATCACTACTAGAATCATCACAGTCTTTTTGATTACAAAGGACTAAAAAAGCGTAACTTATTATCGGAACAAAAATATTGCGCCAAACATGACATGACCAGAATTCATACCACGAAGATCTAATGGTACTTTACAAAGAGCCATGGCTGGTCAAGGGACCCAGTGGACATGTATAAGACAAGGAAAAACATTTACATTATTCAGCAATCCACGTAACAGAGTGCCGATGATCAATGGCTTTGTTCTTTTGACCAACAAACAAGCATGCGATCGGTTTCTCTATTTTTTCAAGACTTGGCTTCTGAAATCGCTATATCCCGATACTTAACCAGCATACCAACTCGCACAAAAAACAGGATGATATAACTCGGAAAAAAAAAGACCAGGAATCGTGGCAGGAAGACTGTATTCAAATCCATATCTTCACATTACAGCGGCTAACGGAGGAGTATTTTTCGCAATCAAAATTACCATATTATCTAGAAGATGGCTCAACGTCTCACCTACCGCCGCCGTTTGTCGTACAACACCAAGTCCAACAGGACTCGCGTCGTCAAGACCCCTGGCGGTCGCTTGACTTGGCTCTATGAGAAGAAGCCTGGTACTTCCCCCAAGTGCGGTGACTGCGGCGTTGCTCTCCCTGGTGTAAGTGGAGGGAATTCGGAGGAGCATTGGAATAGTTGCAGGAAGTTGAACGAAGCCATGAAAAGAGGGAGTAAAAAAATGGAAGAGCGTTTGTAGGGATGGAATTGGAAAACGATCTCGGCAGTTAAGCAATACAAATCAATGACTGAGGGATATTCTGAAAGTTGATTGCATGAACAAAAACAATACGAAACTCCAGCGTACTGTACAATTTACGTGGCCTCAACATGTCCACTATCGTTGAATCATATATGTTTTAAAGTCAGGAAGGAGCGTATGCATTCGAAAGGCGTGTACTGTGTACCAAACAAATTACCAATCATCGGGAGGAGGAGAAGAATACCAATTTGAAGAATACTGTATCAGTGAGGAATGTTTTCTCTTCCGCTCACCACGTATCTGTTCACTTTCGTCTCATTTTTTTTCAAACAGATTCCTGCTCTTCGCCCTACTGAGTATGCTCGCATCTCTCGCCGCCAGAAGACTGTCAATCGTGCCTACGGTGGTTCCCGCTGCGCCAACTGCGTTCGTGATAGAATCGTCCGCGCTTTCTTGATCGAGGAGCAGAAGATTGTCAAGAAGGTCATTAAGGCTCAGAGCAAGAACGCCAAGCCTGCTAAGGCCCCCAAAGCCGCCAAGGCCTCCAAGTAAATCATCTTTTTGTTTGACAAGAGGATATAGTAAAATAAATTAAAAAAAAAAAAAAAAAAAAAAAAACAAGCATGGCATTTGAAGACATAATGTTTGAATGATTGATATGTTTTATGTGCAGTTGCACGTTTGTCCTGTTAAACCGTATTACAATGTAAAAAGTACGTATATTTTATTGCCCATTCGTTCTTCCTGCCTCTAAACGCACGCTGACTATTGATTACAATGCCTCGAAAGACGCAGGCGCTACGGCAACAGACACATATGCGCAGGACCAAATCCTCGCGCTCGCTTCAGGGCCATGAAACAAACTCATTTCCTTCAGAACAGGAAGACTCGTCTGGCAAACAACAGCAATCTCTACCAGCTCAAGAACAGATGGGTGAAAAATTATTCGATGAAGAGCTATTCTTCAACGCAGTGGATGCTTGGAATCACGTCTACTTGCATACCATTCTTGACATGGAGGATCCCATTCATCAGATGCGTACAGAGCATAAGGAGTTGGACAAACAATGGAGTCGATTGTCTCGTAAGTTGTTTGTATTGCACTTTTTTTTTTTTTTTTTTTTCCGAATATTTTTTGAGATCTGCTCATGAATGCAAGCTTACGACTTTTAACAAAATGTATTATACAGGTGGCAAAGAGGCGTTTACGGGTGAGGATAGCAACGATAGTTTCCTGGATAAGTTCGATATATTAGAATACGGATTACAGGATGATTTTGTAGAGCGTTATAATCTTTCAGTGCTTGTACATCACCTTTTCATGCCAAAGCTCGATGTTAGTATGTGCAGGAAGGGACTCAATGAATACATCAAGATGTTTAGGCAACCTCTTAAGGAAGCTTTTGCTGTGTCAAGTGGAAACAAAGGCATCCTCTGGCGTACTGTCTTACAATTGGTCTGCGTGGTATGAGGAAAAAATGTGTCCATGTTCCCTTGATTTCAGTTTTGAAAGACTTGATTGAAAGTAATCAGAATACTGCATAATAACAAGATTATTTTGCTTGGTACTGACGGTCATCTAGATTATGGCGCTTCAGGAGCGGGAAGAGGGCGAAAATATAGCCAACCTACACCCGCCAGACATTATCGAGGAAGCATGGAGCGCTGATGGAGAGGAGCAATCGCAATGTCCTGCTGCACGGATACAGAACGCAGTTGTGGTAATGTTACATAGGCACTTGCCATGGGCATGTTCATTATCTTTGAGGACTCAATTTTTTTTTTATCTCTGTGCTTTTGCGTGTACCGCTAATCGTGCATTTCCTTTGGCATTTGCTTTGAGCGTGTAGAGTTTACTAAATGATATCGCATCGCGCGCAGCCAAGGACAGCCTTCGACTTTATGGATTGTATCAAAATACACTTCTATTGCTACTCCCTCAGCTCAGAATTCGTTTTCAATCTCTAGAGGAGCCAAGTGATAAGAAATTGGTACAGGGTCTTCTTGATCTGCGAGCGAAGGAAATGCCCACATCGAGTGATTACAACAGTGATGAACTTAAGGAACTGGATGTTCACTGGTTTATGAAAGGCCCTGCTCAGGAGCTAGACAATCATAAAGGCAGAGATGATGATCAATATGGGAAGGAACCGACATTGCTATCTCAGTCACAATCGCATCATTTACAGCAATCTTCATCCTCGGTGCCAGATCTCTCAAATAATGGACAAAATGGCCATGATGCTCACAGAGAAGTGGAGGTGGAGCAAAGTGTCGAAAGTACGGTGCAAGGTCTAGAGAACAATAGGACCGATCGAGAATATGACTATACCTATAAAACTCAAGGTTCTTCGGAAATTCCTCATCAATCTAACAATGTAGCTTCTGCCAAGGAAACTTATATATTAATCGAAAGCGATGACGAGAATGACGAATCTAACACAGCGGCATTGCCAATAAATCGTGAGGATACAGATGATGCATTGCTTCTCAAGTCACAAAGTAATGTTTCAAAAGAGGATGAGCAGCCCACTGAAGAGGCTGTCCGTATTTCGAATTGGCTCAGAGACTTGCCAGGATATGTGAATGGATTCCTCGAAGAAGAAGCAAGTGTTTTAGAGGCTTCAAATACTTCTAATGAACCAGGCAAATCTTCCATTGTAAAGGTGGATAAGGGCAAAGGTAGAAAGCTCTCATCTGACAGGTCAAGCAATGACAATACAACGTGGTACAGCATTGGCGAAGGAGATTTTTTTGAGTCTGATACGGTAATGCATAGCTCCACATCAAAGCAGGAAGAAACAGCGCCTAAGAAAATAAGACGATCTCGATCATCATCAACATCGTCATCACTATCGTTACTACCAAGGTCACCAATGCGCTCATCAACGAAAGTTTCCAAACCTCAACATATAATAGACCGAGTGGCTAGAGCTGCAGGAATGTCATCTGTGAGACATAGATTAGACAGTGACTCAGAGTTTGAAGATGATGGTGATGATCTCTCATATATCAAAATGAGGAAACCAGCAACAGTAACTTCAAGCTCTACTACTTCTTTACTTCCGGTATCGAATGGATCATTGCATAACCAGGAAAGGCTCAACAATAATGCAAAGCCCAACAACAAACATGTTTTATCCGGTGTATCATGGTCGCCTTCACCAGTCCGCGACGAGAATGATGATACGAATGGCAACAAAAGCGCTCACTCACGCGCTGAAATAGATGCAGTGCAACGATTGCAAAATCGGCAGCAGCAACACTCTCCGTTGCTTGATAATACTACCGCTGCTACTGCTCAAGGGACCTCCAATAAGAAAGCGCGCAGAGAAAATCGCCACTGGACACAGCAAGAAGTGGATCGCCTGCTGGAATTGGTACCAATGTTTCAACATGATCCTCACATATCCAAGGGCATTGTAGGTAGACGTCCTCGTACAATCAAATGGAGCCAATTGAAACGCTACGACAAGTTGCATGGAAATATCTTGCAGCATCGGACTGAGGTTATGCTCAAGGATAAGTACCGCGAAAAAACAGATAATGGGGCACATAGAGGGCGTGTCAACGAATTGTTACAAACCAAATCGCATGCTACTCCAAAACATAAATTCCCATCTCCAGATCGCCGCATATTGTAAGATCATCGATATCCGCAGATAAAGAATCAATCGTGTCATACATATACAATCTACAGCCGCATTATTGTGTCAGTGTAATACACTACATCTTTCACAGTTCTCGATCATATTTCTCAAATATCCAAATGAGTATACTTTACAAAAAAAAAATTCCCACTGTCTCATGTACAAAATTGTGTCCCATAGCAACTTGAAGGCAATTGTCTATCAAGGGCTCAAAACAAAGATGAACAATCTTTTTTTTATTCATTTTTGACCTTCATTTTCTGTGTGTCGCGTATTTACTCGTCAACGACCTGAGTCTCAAGGCCCTTGAAAGAGGTGACAGGGACGTAAGTGACATAGGTGTACAACTTCTCCTTGGCATCCTCATCATCGTTACGCTTGCGGGACAAGCGGACACGGATGCGGTGCTGGACGGTCTTGACACCACGAGCCCAGACCTGCTTGTTCAAGCTGGGATCAAGACGGACATCAGCGGTGCCCATGGTCTTCTGAGCGAAAGCTTTGATGGCCTTGATGGCATGGGGAGCACGCTTCTTGAACGATCTGTTGAAAGTTAAAGGAATTAATTGCTTTTAAAAACTTTTTCTTTCTTTCTTTTTTTTGGTTTTTTTAGTTCTGTTCCTTTGATCATAAACATTTTGCTGTCTCTTTGTACCGACAAATGCTCCATTAAACACTTATATCTCCTAAATCTCATCATATCCTTGCCGGTCAAGAAACCTTCATACAGCATTCCTTTTGCAATCTCATGAGGATCAGAAACAAATAATGGAATATCCAATATTTTCTGACTGTGAAATGTGAAAAAGTAGAAGATAGAGGAAAAACGGAGCGCCTTCCCATGCTGAACAATGCTCCTGTTGGTATGTCCTGGCATATATTTCAATATATGATATATTTTGCAAAAAGAGATCAAATATTTACCTGCCGTGGACATGCTTGTGCAAGTGAATGGTGTACTCACGAGCGACAACGTCGTGGATGGTAGAGCGCTTGGTACCCTTGGATTCCTTGGCCATTTCTAAGATTTTTATTCAAGCGAGTCCGGATAAAATAAATAAAAAAGAGAGATCCTCTGTAAGTGCTTTATAAAATTTGAGTGTAGAATATTGTTTCCAGAAAGTTGTTTCTTGCTCAGACAGCCTTGATTATCGGAGATAATGCACACACAAGTAACACACGAGGCTCAAGGCTTCAAAATGATTTCAAGGTATTGCATCAGTCAATAGATAAAGAAGAAAAGCTTTGCTGAAGTTCGGTTTGTCGAGCTCTGTTGAATAATGATTATTTGATCAAGTCCATGTCGATGTTGATCTAGATGAATGTCACCGAACTTGGAATCCGATGAAATGCCCTTCTCTCACTTTTTTTTTTTTTTTCTTCCTTAAATTGAATTAGGTGGAGTAGTGATTTAGTTATACAAATAGGTTTGTTTGATGAGTAAAGATCCGCTTTTGATCGATCGATGGATGGATGTCTCCCTGTTCAGTCTAGTTGGATGTATCCGTTCCACAAAAATCATGTAAAAATTGCGCACCTGAAAAATTGCTTTTTGAATAGAGGAGGAACCCAACACTGAACGCCAGTGAGGCTCTTTTCAAATAGATTTATTCTGTACCCTTAAGAGATTCATAAGATTACACATTAGCTTTTAAGCTACTCTAATGCCCCCAAGTTTTTACAGTCCTCCTTCCTTTCACCTATAAATTCCAAGATGGTTAGTCACGTGGATTGCTTCATAACCATCCATCCTATATCCATTAACAAGGAATACATCCATCACTACACAGCAAGGACGCGGAGGCTTTCGCTAAGGAGAGCTGCATAGAGATTTTGTTCATTTAGTTATTATGGATTTCAAAGATGAAGCTGGGCGGAACGAGGAGTTAAAACGTTTGATGGAAGTTCATTATACAGAACCGCTTCATTTTAATGGTTTTATATTCAAGCAGGAATATTGAAGTTCTTGAGACGAAACATCTGATTGTCTTGTCTCGATTTACTGGATACTTTCTCATAAGACAAAAAAAAAAGAAAGAAGGAGCAGCAGCAGGAACGAAGCCAACATCAGTTAAAGCAAACAAGGATCTGATTTGACAACTCTACATCGACTTTCGAGGAGCCTTTTGTTTTACAGATATTGAAAATCACTTTCATAATAGTTGATCTAACGTGGACAATTTACGAACTTCTATTTTTATACACATGTATTCAGGAAAAGAACGCTGTCAAGCACGCCAAAGTTACCAAGGTTCTTGGCCGTACCGGCTCCCGTGGTGGTGTCACCCAGGTCAAGGTTGAGTTGCAGGAGGACCCCTCAAACCCCGCCTCTATCCGTAATGTTATTCGTAACGTCAAGGGCCCCGTCCGTGAGGGTATGTTTTTTCTTTTCTATTATGATAGCTGATCTGATAGATAGATGCTTTCGAATGACATCAGTCAGCATTAACGGGATAAAGAGAGAGAAAAATGAAAAAAATTGATAGTCAGGTCGCAAACGAGCTTTCCGTCTCTCTTCTTTTGAAGTTCAACCAAGATTTTATTGAATAGCTGTTTATTCAGGCGACAAATTTTCAATATCATGTCTTGTTTTGTTTTATACGTGCACTGGATCAATTGAACTCTGGACGACATCAATTGCTCACCACGTACCATATTCTATACGAGATGTTTGTGGGAGTCAAATATAAACAGCAAAGTTTAACATTTTTATCATATCTGCGCTTTCCTTTTTTCTTTTCTAGGTGATATCCTCTGTCTTATGGAGTCTGAACGTGAGGCCCGTCGTCTCCGTTAAAGACGCTGTCTTGATATTAGAAGTAAAAAAAAAAAAGAAAAAAAAAAAAAGGAAATAAAGACAAAAAAATAATATATCGCAGATCGGCAATGTCTTGTTTCCATCTATTATATCCATGCTTATTTTTTTGTTTTTTCGCCTTTCGCTGCACAAAAATGAAAATGATCACTTGCGCAATAGGTGTATTTTTTTCTCTATTGTTTTAATTAATATAGTCTAAGGTTTTGCTCCAGCTCCAGCTCCAGCTCCAGTAGTAACTGCGGCTCCTTTCTTGACAGTCTCCTTCATCCAACCCCTCTTGATGAACCACCTAACTAATGGCGGCGTGATCATGCTAGTCGCGACAACACGAAGTGGAACCAAGAGTTTATGAATACCATATGCGATCACAAAGACGCTCCAAAGACCTGAGGCCTTATTGTAAACAGCACCCTCATTGTTATTAGAGGTTTCAACCTTCTTTTCATCGTGATGCTTATATCCGAAGTATTTTCCAATGTTGTCGACTACCCAATCCTGAGCCTTTTCAATTTTATCCATGCCTGCAGCTTTGACAATCACAAATGTAGCAGCGAGATCGACCATCGATATACCCAAGTAGACGGCAACACCAGTATAGCCATACTTCTTGACCATGTCCTTGAACTTGTCCATGAATCCGGAAGACTTCTTCGTAGCGGAGATGTCCCCTTGCTGTGCTTTTGATGGTATGGAGGCTGATGATGAAGAGGAGGAGGATGCTGAGGCGAAGCCGCGTCGGACAACTGGTGCAAGTCTCGTGGAGGTGGAGGAATAGTGGTTGATGGCGATGGATTGGCGGTAAGCAAGAAGACGTGATAGGCGTGCATCATTATGGTGTTTGACAATGTTAGGAGAAGGGGCATAAGAGCTGTTGTAGAATCTCTGTCCCGAACGGATCGCGCTTAATGAGGCATTGCTAAAGGGCTTGCTGATTCCGGATCGGATCGGGGCCACGACTGAAGTTGCGGTGACATTGCGCAAGGCAAAGGTAATAGACGTGCTACTATTCCTGAGAAGTGTCCAGGAGGCAGAATTCATGGCAAAGCTACGAAAAAGAATGAAAAGCAAGGAATGGTAGAGTGAAAAGAGCAAGATCAGTTCTTTTTTTATTTGTATATTTTTATTCGAGCTTCTTCGGATTGATGATTGTCCTGAAAAGGAAAAATCAGGAAAGAAAAATAAAGTCGACTTTATTATTAGGCCTTGAATTATCACACACTTTTAAACACCGTCGTTTACCAAGACTTTAGGTATGCTGCTCTTGAAGCAAACATTTGATTGTTCTATACACATGCAAGTAGAGTATGCAAGAGTAAAGGATGGTGTTTCTGAACAAAAGACCAAAAAAAAAAAATAGAAGACATTCTTGTAAAAAGCATAGTTCTAGATCCACCATGCTAATAGGAAATAAGCTTGCTGTGTCTCAGGTCAGTAAAAGGAAAAGATCTTTGTTGTCACTCAGTTTGAAAATGTAGTCACACAAAAAGGAAAAAAGAAGGCTAAAGAATTTCATATATGACACTTCCGCTTTTTTTTATCTTCCACCCAACCTTTTCTTCTCACACTTTCTTCTTAATTCAAAACAAAACTAACAACAATGGGTGGAGACACAAAGTACTACGATATCCTTGGAGTGTCGCCTAATGCAACCGATGCTGAAATCAAAAAGGTACCTTGCTTTGCTCATGAAAATCGATCCAAAAGGCATTGTTTTATTTTTCAGGAACAATTGCAAAATGGGTAAATCCCATAGACCCATCAACTCAGGATCATACAATTAACCCCCAAATCCTTGGACAATACTTATCCATTTAGGCATATAGAAAGTTGGCTATGAAACATCACCCTGATAAGAACCCTGATGCTGGAGACAAGTTCAAAGAGATTAGGTAAAGGAAAAAAATAAAAAAATAAAAGTGGGTCGGACACTTTTTTATTGTCCATAGTCTTTCAATCTCTTAGGCTGTAGCCTTATTAGGCCGCAACATCTAATTCTCTTATATTTTACTTATCTTTTATTCTTTCCCTCCTGATTCTGATAGCCATGCTTATGAAACTTTGAGTGATCCAGAGGCCCGTGAGATGTATGATCAGTATGGCGAGGATGGGCCTGGCGGTGCAGGAGGATTTGGCTTCGGAGGTATGTCTCAGGAAGAAATGTTTGCGCACATGTTCGGCGGCGGAGGATTTTTTGGAGGCGATGAGTTCCCAGGAGCAGGAGGTCGTCGGTCCAAACCACGCCGTGGTGAAGATATTTCTCATAATCTCAACGTTACTCTTGAGGACCTCTACAACGGAAAGACAACCAAGTTGTCTCTAGAGAAAAATGTTATCTGCGGTCTCTGTCATGGGTAAGCAAGAGAGCTAGATCAAAACCGACACATTATGAATAGACTTTTAGATAAAGAGACTCTTTTGAAAGTTTCTTTGTGAGAATCTGCATGTCAATGATTATATCAACCATTTCGACTAATCACCGTCTTAATCTTGCTGCAATATCATTCGTTCATAGCAAAGGAGGCAAGGCTGGTGCAGTCAAAAAGTGCACGACATGCGATGGTCGTGGAGTCAAACTAGTTGTAAGACAGATCGGTCCTGGCATGATGCAGCAAATGCAGGTCCCATGTACCGGATGTAAGTACAAATATAATTTTATGTTTTTCGTTCATAAATTTTCGGATCAATTTTTCTGAACGTTTCGCCTCACATGTTTCTAATGCTCTGTCTGCTCTTGTGTTTCTTGTGTTTAATTGTCTTTCTTTCTCATGCAACGTTATTTGATAATAGGTAAAGGCCAAGGCGAAACCATGCGCGATAAGGACAAATGTAAAAAGTGCAAAGGCAATAAGGTCGTTAATGAGAAAAAGGTCATGGAGATCTTTATCGAGAAGGGCATGCGTCACGGTGAGAAGATTCCGATGAAGGGCGAGGGTGATCAACAACCTGGTATCGAGACTGGTGATGTGGTTCTGGTTCTTCAGCAGAAACCTCATGCTTTGTTTGAGCGTAGTGGCGCTGATTTGTCATGCAAAATCACTATCCCATTGGTTGAAGCGCTCTGTGGTTTCTCAAAGATCTTGATCACTCATTTGGACGGCCGTGGGATTCATGTGGAACACCCTGCAGGAAAAATCATCAGGCCCGGTGAGGTCAAGAAGATTAGTGGAGAGGGTATGCCCCATTTCAAGAGGCCCCATGATAAGGGTGATCTTTACATTACCTTTGAGGTTGAGTTCCCTAAGGACGACTGGCTTCCTGCTGGTGACCTGAAGGTAAAGACATTTATAGGAATGTTTTACGGCGCTTTACTCTGTTCATCATATGATTCACTTCTTTTTTTTGGTTAACTTTTTTTTTTTTTTTTTTTTTTTTTTTGGGCTGCTAGGTGCTTGAGAAACTCCTACCCGCCCGTGGTCCTGCTGCAATGGAGCCTGAGTTGGTCGACCATTGCATCTTGGAAAAAGGAGACATGGACGATTATGGTGCTCAAAGCCATAGTGGCAATGCATATGATTCAGACGATTCTGAAGACGGACATGGTCATGGACCAGGAGTACAATGCGCGCAGTCTTAAGAAAAAAAAAAAGTGTTTTTCTTTTTGCTCCGTTACTGGCTTCTTTTTATTTCTCTCATTTTTTTCATGTATCATAGAATGCAAAGCGACATGCAAATAAACCAGACATAGAGCATTGACATAAAAGGAAGCTATTTTTTTATTTTATTTTCTTTATTATTTTTTTTTTATTTTCTTTATTATTATTTTTTTTTTTTTTAATTTTGTTTTACTATATTCAATATATTTTATTATGGATGAGAAACAAGAGTATGGAGTCAACTATAGAGGGATGGATTTATTTATACAAATGTCTTGGCATTATTGGCGGCGGACGTTGCTCTTATCATAAGCTTGCTGTGTGCTTTGGTTTAGACTGCTTTGAGTCAAAGCACGAGCCATAGCCTTGACATTGGGTGATGAATAAGATGGATCAGTATCATTGTCATCCCGATCGTACTTGTTAAGCGATGGAGATGATGAAGAGTGCTGAAGCTCTCTGTTGTTGTTTCTAGTGCCGCGAGCAGCGCCGGATGAAGGATTGTGAGTAAGCGCCTTCCTTGATGATGGCCGTGGAGTCGTAGGCGTTGAGGGCGAATCATTGTTCTCATGTGATTGCACAGGTGGCTGTTGTTGACCACCACTCCGGTTCCTATGAGCAGGCATTTTGATAGGTGGGAGATGCAGGGCTCTCTTATCTTCATACTGCATTGCTTTGCCAGTGGTCTTGTAGCTGTCTGTCTGATAAGATTTGGCCTTTTCCATAAAATCCGCTCCATTTCCGGAACCAGCACCATTGTTGTTGCTTCGCGTGCTGTAGCTATAAGGATCAGCAGCACGATCTGCACGATAGCGTCCAGCGACGAAAGAAGTCATATCTTGAGCACCATGGATTTTCGGAGTCGGTGGCTGATAGACCGCCTTATTGTTAGTGCTGCTGTTGTAGGTATCTCCATATTGATGCGTGGCTGATCTCGTCAAAGACTCTTTCTGATCATCAAAATGTTGATCAGTGGAGTCATAATCATATCGTTGCTGTTGACGAGTAGGAGACTGAACGCGTCCATATTTCTCAGATCCCTTGGAGACATGACTCATTTCATAACTTTCATCATTGTTGTGCTGAGTACGGGATGAGTTCTTGCCACCTTGACTTGGCGTTCTGCTATGACTACCTACGCGAGCAGCACTGGCAGATCTCTTTCCTTCCTTGGGCGTAGACGAGGACTTGTTTTCGCCGTTGAGAACCTTTTGGCTCAATATCTTCTTGGCACCATCAGGGACGAGTGCAGCAACGACCTTGGACTTGAGGGCGGGGTTCTCAAAGCTAATGAGCAAAGGATTACCCTTGCTCTTATTGTTCTTGAACAGATGTCTCTCATCACGAGCCATACCATAATCATAATAGTCAATCTTGGAGTTGTATCTTTTAGAGAGGAACAGCTTGAACAGGATGGTCAAGATTGGAAGAGGAATCAGAGCCAAGGAATGCGTGTGGGCGGTCTTAAGATTAAGAACACCAATCATGACAATCTGGAAGAGGATCAGTGCAGCTAAGAGACGATTGTAGACTACACGGAAGAGGCGACCGCCAGTTTCGATCTTGGTACGGAAGACGTACATGAGCTGGTACTTGTAAGTGAGTGAGGCCAACGAAAAGTAAACCACAGTGAAAAACAAAATTAAAGGAGCAACCACAGAGTACAACAAGGCGACTGTGAGGAGGAACATGTGGGCAGAAAAATACAATGGAAAGTCAAAGACATCAGGCTTGTTCATGTTCTTGCTCTCCCGAGGTGTCACTGTGGTCTTGGCCCAGTATAAGATCAAGGACACAATTTGGGACAAGTCTAAGAGGGCACTAAAATTGCGAAGTGAGATGTAGTTGACCCAAAATAAACTGGTATCGATCACTTTCTGGGAGAGTAATTGCACAATGTTATCCTGGCGATTCACGAAATCCTTGATCAACGACCAAGTTGCCAACGAGAATTTGAAGGAAGACAAGAACAACTTGATGTCCGAGTAAAAACCCAAAATCATTCCTGAAATTGCAAAGATGATCAAGTTGTTGATGGTGAAGAACAGATAGAACTTGGCAAGCGTGGATCGATCCATACTAGATTTAGTGATGCTGCCCTGGAACCAAGCTAAGTAGACGATGATCTTACGGACAATGTGGAGAAGAATGTCCATGATCAAGACTGGTAACAGTGACTGAAGCATACTGGCGGCAAATTTGTGATCCTTAAAGTACTCCCCCAAGTCTGGGAAGATTGCGACGATGCGCTCCAACTTGGCGATCGTGGTCAATAAGCCCATAGGGATGAAGAATAATAGAGAGAAAACCACAAATGCAGTGTTGACGATAACTTTGCGAGACTTGCGCAATTGTTTTGGGTTGGAGACGTTGAACCAAATGATGTCCTTTGGTACAGGTGAGAGAAAAACATCAGGGGGATCAATCATTTTGGATCGCTTGCGGAGCTCCAAAGGGTCGCTCAAGATCTTTGCAACGCGATGGGCGGCATGGATAGTTTCATAGGAAACAAATCCATAGTTGGTAGGTTGAGATGTATTGACCTGCATGCGTGTCTTTTCAATTTGATCCGTCAGTTCTTCAATCCGCTGAGAGTAAAAATCAATGGCATCGATCTTGGAGCCACAGAGTCCTCCTGCTCTCACTGTCGGACGCTTGGAAGGCAGTCTGTTGGGGTCTGCATAGTACTTGGCAACAACTTTCTCCAGCGCCTTGACCATCTGCTTGTGCTTATCCATGAGCTCTGGTAACTTGTCAACCTTACGGCCCACAAGCGCTAGGACAGCTTTCTCAGGTAGACCCATACCATTCATGAAGTTGGCTAGTTTATCGTCGCTCTGTAACGAGGAAGGCAATCCCGCCAACATTAAAGTTCTCGAGGCCATTTCTTCTTGATAGGCCTCGCTCTGGAAGTAATGGATCCTGAATTTGAGGAAAGTCTTGTAGCCGTGGAATGTGGCATAGTACAAGAGTAAGCTAAAGAACCAGCAAGCGGCGACATGAGCCCAGAGCCAGTTCTTTTCTTCGACACCCGCCATCGTCAGCATTCCAATTTTGTCTGTTGGCTCTTTCCCGTCCATTTGTACTCGTTTTGTAATGATGACATTAATAGGAATGAGGACACAACACCCTATAATTGCCATGACAATGAATACATTTCGACACATCCGCAGAAACCGTATAAAGACTACAGCATCAAGTCCGATCTTGTCCATAAGAACTTCATCTGGACAACTCCATACTGGTTTCATCCATGAAAACCATCCTTCCTCGAGTCTTGGTGCTCGTTTACTATTGATAAGCAAAGAAAAGGAAAGAGAAAAAAAAAAAAGATTTCCATAAGAGAAGTGGCGGTTAGTCGTTGTTTATAAATGAGGAGTGATAAACTACAATAATGAATGATGGTGAGCCCTTCTTTTTTCATTTCTTTTTTGTGAAACAATAAAGCGTATGGTTTTACAACATCTGTGGGCAAATTTGCTTTCACTGCAGCTTTCAGTTGCTTACTTACTCTTGTGGCGAGGCTTTATATTTTCGTGCATAGATGACTATATTTTAACATAAGATCATTAGATCGAGAGAACGAAAGTTAGAACGGAGACTTTTTAATTGTCGGAGGAATTTGTTACAGTTCTAACCCCTCGTCCTTTTTTTCTTTTTTCTTTTTCTTTTTCTTTTAAACGAACAGATTTATTCACTATTTTATTGGTTTGACGACTGCTGTTGTGGTAGTGGATGTATTATAAGTGTTAAAAAGAAAAAAGGGAAAGTTACCTCCATTCTTGGGTCGAAGCCAGCAAAAAGCCCCAAGTGTGAGAAGTGAGAGACCAACATTAATGCCCAAGTTGGTAGCGAGAGCTGTTGGTTGCAGCTCGTTGATGGCTGCAATTTTTTCCGCTTGACTGATACTCGTCATGTTGGATGTTCTTTATGGTTATTTCAGAACCCCTGTCTCTTTTTTATAAGGTGGTGTTTGTATATGTTCCAAGGGTTATCAAAGCTTTATAAAGCGAGAACAGAGTCGAGAAAACAAGAGTTGGGCCGAGTTGAGGTTGATAGGAGGGGAGTTGGTGAATGAATGAATTATATCGTCAAGTGTCGTCAAAAAGGTCAGTCAAAAGACAAGTGGGACATAGGAATATGTGTAGTGATAAGAGAAAGAAAATCTGATTGGAAAACTTGTTTTCTGTTCAGGAACGGTCTCACAAATATTTAAATATGAAACGATGCAAAGAGGAGGTTGTTTTGCAATGGAAGGGGGGGAGAGGATGAATGAGGAGTTGATGAATGAGGAACGAAGAAGGAAAGGAAGGAAGGAAGGTAATGACAAAGAAAAAAAGGAAAAGGAAAAGAAAAAGAAAAAGAAAAAGAGAGACAAGGGCGTAGAAAAAGGGAAAAAAGAAAGAGTAGGGCCATTATAGCCGCCTGTTTTTATATTGCTTAGATGATATGTATCTCCTTTTGACCTATTGACTTTAATTAGATCCTAATCTTATTTGTAACACTTTGATTGCACTCAAATAACTTCTTTTCCCATGTTCTCATGTTGAATATTACCGCTCATTTCACAATTTTGTGAACAATAATTTAAACGGCATCAGTGACAACAGCATACGCATGTTGTAAACGGACAGCCCATTCAGATCTGCTAGGGAAAAACAAAACAGCGACAACAGGTACACAGTAGACTGACAATAAAAGAACGAATGAGAACAACTTTACATACTCACACTCGGATAGTATTTACTTTTTGGCTAGTATTACTTTGGACATGTCCTAAAATGGTCCGATTGCGTGTGTTGTAAAACACTAAACTAGAGTTAGGAAATAGTATCACACCATTACACAAGTGTTGATGCATGCTATGCTATGCTATGCTTGGACAATAAACCGTGACGCTGGGTGACGATGGTGACGAATCCATTATTTTGTTTTGTTTGTTTTATTTCATTCTATGCGATGAAACTAAAAAAAAAAAAAAAAAAAAAAAAAAAGCTTCCCAACTGGAGTACAAAATAGACTTGTCAAAAGAATTATGTCGCCGATGATGTCTGATGTTCGGGTGTTGGTATTTTTTATTTCCACATTTGCCTGCGTTACCTTGACCCCGTGGCACATTCTCCATCATTCTGTGAATCAATCCTGGGCGTATTTTATTTATTAGCGCGGGAAACTGAAAAGATAGAAAGCCAAGGTGGCTAAACACACACAAATCAGCTAAGCAAAAAAGTCCCGAGAAACATTTGCGTGCGCAAGGGCCGATTCCCTTTTTGATTGACTCCCTATTCAATTCGAAACACGGGGGTTATTTGAAAAATTTTATCCAAGATGTGGAGTGATTGTCTGCCCACATGTACACACCCTAATTACTTAAACGGGAGACAGTTCGGGCGTTGAGGCTGGGGTGGAACAGTCGCCCATGAAGCAATTTTGGCAATATGAAGCAAAGAGAGATCATCTACAAAATCCTGAGACGTTAGGCAATAGAACTTGGAAACTTAGCTGAGAGAAGTGTCTATTTGAGAGCCTTCCTGAGCCTCGTTCAGCAGCGAATAGAGGGAATCACATAGACAATGCTATTGGGTCGTGATGTGGTGCAGAATAGAGAAAAAATATTTAGGTTGTCCAATATTTCCGCCTGATTTTCGTTCACTTCGATAGTTTCTTCTACAAATGTCGAAGTAGCAGTCGAAGAGACCAAAAATACCGTCACAACCTTTAAATCAGAATCTCCATTGGCGCTTTCCCAATCTTTCTCTTCGATGGTTGTGTTACACAACTTCCGTTTATTCGATTAATAGCCAACCATTTCCACCCCTTCGAACAGACAATTTTTGCTCTATTCACTGTTGAACGAGGCTCTGGTGCATACTGAGTGAATATAGAACATACCTCGAAAAAGAAAGTTTATTATTATTATTCTTTATATTGCACATGTGAGTAGCCCTAGATCCGTAAAACGAAAACTTCAATAGTTCATGGACAGATAAGCTAGTTCAATTAGCCATAAGGAAGATGTCGATTCCAAAGAACGAGGATCATAGTTTGTATATTATCAGTAAGCTTTAACCATATCATGTAAGTACCAGTATTGGGTACTCCAGGGGGTAGGCAGCGTTGATACGACAAACTTGTAATTGTCAGATTTCTTTTGAGAGAGAACTTGCACCAATGTTCTCCGCTCCGACTGCATCACCGCCGAGGTAGACTCGGTAATTATAGCATATGGTAGTATTTCAAGCGAGGAAAGATGACTTCGAGGAAGCATCTACAAGAATCATGGAGACATTCGTCCGGTTTCTTGAATGATGACGCGAACAAATATGCCTTTACAAATATCTCCACACTAAAGCTTCACAAGCTCAAGCTCAACATAACCAACCCTCCGCATTCGCACACAGTATCATATTGCCTTGGTGTGTTGACTAGGAGATGCCCAGAATTGCAGTCATTGAAATATTATGGATGTGACGAGGACGACGATGGAGTTGATGATATTGGCGGGAATAAGCTACCTTTGTACGATAGATTCTACAGGACAGCATTCCTTCAGCAACCCTGGGTATTCAAAAGGTTGTCCAGTCTATTCTTCCCCGCCACATATATAAAGGACGAAGATATGGCAGCAATTCTTAGGCAGATGACTATGCTAAAACAACTCACCATTTCGGAGCTTCTATTTATTTTTTCTGACCCTGCTGATGATTTGGATGATTTCGGTCAGCTCTCTATCCGGGAATTGCTAGCAGACAAACAAATGACATTGAAAAATGGGCACATGGTACAAGAGACAAGGTTCCGGAGGCTATGTGAGACAATCGAGGAAATAACGTTTGATGTATACGGCTTCAAGGCGGATGGTATTATGCAGACGATTTTATCCAATTGTCCATGCCTGAAACGACTGACAGGACCTAGAATCACGGTGACAGAAATTGTCAATGGTGCAGAATGGGTCAGCACCGAGTTGACTGACCTGAACATCTATCTCAAGGCTGACGTTGATCAAGAAACGCCGGAAGGCATGGAGAAGCAGCGCATTGTGTTTAGACAGCTAGGGAAATTGACCCGATTACGCTCCCTTGATCTGGTAGCACAGCGGTGTAACACGGATGGTAGAACACAGACGCTGGACTTGACGCTAAGAGCGAGTTTAGATGAACAAGCTAATCTGAAGAATCTAGAGAAGTTAGCGTTCAAGTCCGATGCATCTCAACGGATGCAACTAGAGGATGCGACATGGATCGTGAACAATTGGCCAAAACTTAAAGAGTTGCAAGGCTCCATGAACAACTCAGTTGTATGCGATTCGATAGTTGCCGTACTTCGGTCGCGTGGATCCTTGTCGTTCCGATTATAGCAAGGCAGTTGTTTACAGTTCAAACGACACTTTTTTTCTGGCCGTATCCTTCATATCAATATATGTATATCAAGAGATTGTTAATTTATTTAATGTAAATTGCTTACCATCGAAGATGACTACGATGGTATTGACAACAGTAAGTTCCTTTCCAGCTTTTCATTTAAGAATGGGGTATTCGATCACCCATGTTGTCTTGTCTGCCTTAGTTCATGATTCGAACTGTTCTTAAAATTGATCAAACATAACCGGGGAGAATCACTAATTTTGAATAAAGCGCTTGCAGTTTGTCTATCCAAGCAAAAATGTAGCATACTAGTCGCTCTAGTATTGACATTGCTTGGAGTGTTGAACTGTGAGTTCTTGTATATCAAAATGCTCTGTTGCTATACAGCATCATCAGTTCCGGCATTATAAAGATCAGTGTGTAGATCAGAACAGAGCAGCACTTAAGTTTAATTGTGGTATGGCTCATACGCTTTTGCATCTAAAAGGAATGTTTGTTGCTTGGCCTGATTGCCCGGGTTGCATGCCCTTGTGCTAATTTTCATTGCAATCTAAAAAAAAAAAAAAAAAAAAAAAAATGATGGCAAAGCTTCATGTAAAAATATTTGGCGTAGCAGAAGATTTTTCCACATTGTGATCACCTTTAAATTACATCTCTTGGATTGTCCTAAAACCGTTTCACTTGTTGATAACTTCCCTGGTCAAACAGACCTCACGTTGCGTCTGCATCTCAAGGGCTTCTTGTCATGCACTTGTTAGGAACATTTAGAAAAATATCGCTATTATGAGTCAAAGAGGCAAACTTCGCAATCCTACTGAGAAGGTATTACAGAACAACAAGGGATATATTGAGATTATATTTCAGAGCACTGCTCCGGAGGAGTTCAAGTCGTTACGGGGGTGTGGTCGTCTCCGTGACATCGAATACAAAGTAGATCAACCTTCTCAGACCTCATTAAGGCCCATAGCTCTGCAATCACGAAGTTCCGCCATGGAAATACTCTAACTCCATAGGAGATTTGAGAAGCACTTTTGGAATGCAGCAATCTCAATTTCCTGGAGGCCGCATCCATGTAAGTAAGCAGTGATGAAGTCGATCTTTTTCTTCAAATATGCAAGGAAGCTAAGAGGATGAGCTTGAATAACGTACCCTTTCCCCCAGCTACTTTTCAACTTCCTGAGCAATGGCCCTATTTTGTTCATATAAACGCATTTGCCTGTGCAGCGTTGTGATACTTGCCTCCGCATCCGTACACACCATCCTATTGTGTCGGTATCTTTATTAGGAGATGTTCAGAATTTTGCACACTAAGGCTTGATGGGTATAACAGGCAATAATATTGAACAACCGGTGTGTGATGAGTTTTACGGGACAGTTTTCCTTTAGTATCCTTGGATACTGACGGAGCTATCGTATCTATCAATCGCAAAAATGAATATAAAGGATGGGAAATTGATCGAACTTCTTAAACAGGTAACCAGGCTCCACCGTCTAAAGGTCACATGTTGTGATTTCGTTCGGCTCTCCTTGCGAGGCTGTTAGCAGGTGGGCAGGGAGTTTTGTATAAAGGATCATCAATACAAAAGAACTTCCTTGGTCATACCTATAAAAAATTGGGAAAAGAGATCATATAGCACGAGAGATGTGAAGCAGTTGTTTCGCTCAACACAAAACACCCTATGTTGCCATGCAGTTTGTAGAAGCTTTCTTTTATTCGTTAATTAGACACGATGCATTAATCAGATGTAGCCTTCTATGACTAGCTTTCCTCCCAACTGGAAGGTTAATTCGGAAAAATTAAGTTGAACAAACTGAACTTTATTTTTACGTGTATCGTTGCACTCAATATCCTACCATTGGTCATTACTATCCGGGTGGCACTCTACTAAATTGTAATTTTGTTCACTCTTTGTAAAGGTACTGCTTGATCTGTTCATAACTTTGGGGTGTCATTTGCCGAGACATGCAATGCACACAGAGTTTATTATTCCTGTCTATACATGCTTGGTGGAAGGCAAGTTGAGGATGGCTTTGTGGATTGTGGGAGCCATCCATATCAAGAGGTCATCTCGAGAGATGTCCCACTTGACACGGCTCCACTACATATCACCTTTAATATTATGAGCAATTCACACTTGACACAATTTTGTCGGGTATCCTATTGGGAGGAAAAAAGGAAATATGGCAGAAGGTACTAAAGAGGGTCGATTGTCCGAAAATTCACGGGCATAAACAGATCAAAGATTCATTATCTAGTCTATGCAATGGATTAAACTCAAGATATAGTAACTTGGGCTCTTCTACGCTTATTTGCCACTAACAAAGCGTCAAGGTATCTTCTAACTCTTCTTTCTTTGCAATGTCGTCATCATATGTCCTGTAGCGATGTAGAAAAGGAAGTAGAATATCGAACACATTGTCTTTCATTCCTCTCTCGTTTGTATTGGCCATAATATGGAACACCCATATTTGCTTAATTTGTGAATACCTTGGTCATGCGGTGGCTTGAGAAAAACAAAAAAAAAAAAAAAAAAAAAAAAAAAAAAAAACAAACGGTACAAGGCTTCGCCCGCCATTTCGATGATTCCGCCATATTTCGACATTGTCGGTCGACTAGTCAGTAGCAACTCACATCCCATTATTCTTCAAAAAAAGAAAAGAAAAAAAAACTGCTGAAGAAGTTTTAATGACCTATATCCCGGAAAGTTAATCGGAGTAAATGGCCAAACATGCCTAGTATCATGGCTGCGAGTATATGATAAGCATCTAACAAAATAACCACAATACAACAATCATCCTTTGTTTTATTATGACGCGAATTGAACTGTTTGCTCACAAGTATCCGGCTGCAGTACAAATGTTTAAAATCCACTTCCTCCCATGTTCTGGGATTCGCGCTGGACACGGCTAATGTAGGTACGTGACACAATGTTCCATGCCTCCATATAACGATCCATGCAGTTGGACAAACAGTTCTAAAAGAGAATTTTATTCATCCGTTATACAAAAAAGGCATGGTCAACTCATGGTTCATGTAAAATAAAAAAGAAAAAAAGGAATAGAACCAATGCAACCATTCACACATAAAAATAAGCCCTCAACATGCTCATATTCTAATAAATCGGCAATGAACTGCACGAAGACCTTGTAAAAAAAGAAAGAAAGGGGAAGAAATGTGATGATTGCTTTTATCAGATAAAGCTTCTACTAACCTGTTCACTGTTGTCAAGCTTAGTGCTGGGCTTGAGTACGCACCTTGCAAAGCACTTTTCATTGATTTTCTATTGAGAAAAAGATTAAAGGAAGGTGGCCAATAGTTTAGTCAGAGTTAGAGATAAAGTTGACGAAGCATTATGCGTGAAAAAAGGCAAAAAAAAAATACATACGTTAATGAGTTCCTGAGCATTGGCAAGCGCGAGTTCGCTGCGGACCTGGTCCATTACTTGCTGCTTCTTAGCGTCCTACGGTTGTGGTTCAGTATTTTAGAAGTTGAGCAAATTGTTAAGTGACCTCATTTGACATGACATTTATGAACAATAAAAAAAGGCGAATCCCGTCTCAAACAATAAAGAAAATAAACGTACCATAGAACCTCCACCGTAGCTGCCAAAATCAGACATGATTGTAAAGCAAATTCAAAGAAAAGTAAGAAAAGAGAAAGATCAAGGGCGTATTGATCGTTCAAGAGAGAGGTTGATCAGAATTTGAGCGGGAGCATCAAAAAAGGTCATTTTGCCTTGGATACCCACGTGACACAACCTCATCCAGACATGCAACACTTTTTTGTTTCACAATCTTATTTTGCATCATCAGATGGTTGTAAAGGACAACGCAGGAGAGGGAAAGAAGTCTTACAGGACAGAGCAGGCACAGGATAAGCTTCTTGATAATACATTAGAAGAATCACAACTATGGGGCCTCCTCCACGTATGCCTCGGCCATACGAGCTGGACCCGGACGTAAAGGCTACGCTTCGTGTCGAGTCATTCCAGGTAACGGAGAGTATATGAGACGATAATACTACGCTACCAGGTCGAGAAACAAAAATAGAAAGAAAAACAAAGAAGAAAAATGGCGTTCAGCTGACTCAACATATCTGCCTTCCATTCGTTTATTTTCTTCATCTTTGGAATAGGGTGTATTCAGTCCCAAGGTGTTTATTGAAAAGCTATCTAGTGGAATCATTACCACACGTATTAAAGAAAACTCGAATACATTCGACCCAAAGCCTTTTATTCGAACATTTGAAAGCTCACTCGAGGAACTGGAAAAATTAACCAGCAAGATGCAGAAACATACTATTGAGCTGGAACGTGAAACACAGAAAGAAGAGCTGGTATTCAAAAAGCAGGTCAAAGAACTTGGACTCGGATTTGAGGTAAATGGATCAAGATTGAAAAAAAAAAAAAAAAAAAAAAAAAGTCGGTTCCGGCATTACCTCTATAACAGTTAGAAACCGATTAATATTTATGTGTCTTACTGGCTGAACAAAAAAAAAAAAAAAAAAAAAAAAAAAAAAACGAAACCGTAGGATGTTCAAGCTACTTTAGAAAGCCTAGATTCTCGGATTAGTGAAGTGGGAAGTACAGCTATCAGGATTGGTATGTCGGAACTAGGGAACATATTATAAGCAAGAATAACAGAGAAGCATGTTCGCAAAGGATGATGAAACTTAAAATATTCACGTCTTTTTTATATTTATATATATGTATATATGATAGGTGAGAAACTGGAAACAGCAGATAAGCAACGAGCAAGAGCGGTACTGTCGAAAAAGCTGATGGAATACTTTATGCAGTTTAATGAGGGTCGGTGTCCGACTCTGGAATCTCTCATGACACAACAGGGCTTGGAAGGACAGATTGAGGCTGCTAGAATTCTTCGACAACTGGCAATTCTAGCCAAAGAAGTGGACCTCCCAGACACACAGCTGGTACTGGCCCATAATTACTTTGTGGTTTTGAATTATAGCAATGTGCATCAGATAAGGAGATACCTAACCTGACTAACCTTGCTTTACTACCACAGGCACGTGAAGGGATTGAAAAGTTTAGGGAACAGTTTGAAACAGATATGCTTTCTTCATTCGACAAGGCTTACAAGCACGCGGACCCTAGAGTTATGGCGGTAAGGATGCTTTGGACAAAAGCTTACATTTGTTTAAATACAAAAACCGCCATTATCATCATCAACCGAGCTTTATCTGACGAGAATCCATTTTGATACATATAGCATTGTGCCAAGGCTTTGCTAGAATTCAATGGAGGGCATTCATGTGTTCAGATATATGTCAATCAACATGATTTTTTCATGTTACACTCCAAAGTCAACGAATCCTCTCCTTTGGAAAGTCCAGATCAGTAAGAATAGCTGCTTTTGCGGTCCTCGCCATCAAATCGGCTGACTTTATGTTATTATCGACGTCATTTATGTTATTATCGACGTCATTTTTGTTTTTTAGTCCGCACTCTAACAGCTCCCTATTTGAAAATATAGAGAAAATATCACGGACCCAGTGGCCCCTATTCCACCAATTGATGCCGGACTGATTAAGTTATATGAAGATATTCGTACTACAGTTGAACAGGAGGCTGAAATCATTTCTATGGTTTTCCCTAACCCGGCTGCGGTCTTTCAAGTATTCATCCAGCGTGTTTTCGGTCAATCTGTAAGCATATTTTTTGATCTAAAATTCTTGGACTTCAAGTTTGTTCGGATGCATTTTTTTCTGTTGCTTATCTAATCTCTCACCACCCCACATTTTAGATCCAACAATTTATTGAAACATTGCTGGAGCGAGCACAGGCGAAATCTACACTTGCATACCTCCGTACACTTTCTTCCATTCATGAGCACACAGTAACGCTGGTTGAAGACTTAAAGAAGTGTGAAGATACTCTCAAGGTTGGCATTAATGCCAATGTCAAGGGTTCCAATGTGTCCATGACGACTCAACCACTTGCACAGACTTTAGACCGTTGTCTTGATGATCTCTTTGTCCCTTACCTCGAAGGGGACCGATATCTGGAGAAGGAACTACAGTCTCTCTGTGAGATCTATGATTCGATGTTGGCTAAATTCACAGCTTATCAGGTAATGATAAGGATATGCATTTCGCATCTTTCTTAATACCTCTGTTGACCTTATCATTGCTAAATAAATGAGCTATTTATTTTCTTAATTCAATCTTGATTAGCTGCAACGCCGTGGCGGCAACAAGTTCAGGGCGATCATTACACGTACGTTCAATCAAATCATTGATTCATCGAACAGTCGCCAGTCACTACCTCCGGTCGTGCAAGAGAATTTTGCAACAGTAAAGAACCCTGAAAAGTATCAGAACATGCAGGTTACGGAGGACGATGGAAAGCTTGTAGTCGAAGTAGTCATCAAGATGCTCAAGATCCATGCAGAAAGTGTTGTCAGGAGTGTGGGATTGTTACCCGTCTCGGGAAGGTAAAGGCTCAAAAACTTGCTGATCTGACTGACACTATATCCGAAAATGGACAGATTTGTATTGATATGAATGCATGCACTCACACTCTCTGTTTTTAATTGTTAGGCCAAAAAACACTGCAATTTTATTTCAACTTCTGAACGACTATATTGGGATGCGTTACGTGGATGCAGCGCTAGATTCGTAAGTACAGATTTTTCTCCGAAACGGGCGGTTGTTATACAGAGGGAGAGAAAATGCATAGTGAACTGATAAATGCCCTGTTTTTATTCAATCCATAATAGAGCTCTTGATGACTTGTCCGCGGCAGATCCAAAGTTGCCACCTGATATGAAACCTATCAGACGTGTCAAACTTGTAGGTGGCATTGTTCATCTGCTCCAGATGCACTTCCAAACCACTATTGTAAGTTGAAAAAAAAAAAAAAAAAAAAAAAAAAAAAAAAGTCCCCGGGAAGCCGCAATAATCTTTTACTCTTCTCCCTAACTACATTATTTGCTCCATCATACTAGCTGCCATTGACTGTGCCTTCACCACAAGTATATCGCGAGACAGTCATCCAAAAGAACAAGCTAATGGGAAATGTAGAAGCCAAGGCTAACGCAACATTACAAAAGGAGATCGATGTGATTCTAGTTTGGCTGGAAACATGCTTGAGTCGTCAACGCCGTGTAGACTTTAAGCCGAAGGATGATGAAATCGACCTGACAGGTCTAGCGACGAAACCGTGTATGGACTGCTGCGAGTTCCTGAGACGCATGTATGAAGCGATCCGCAAGAATATTGATGGCAAAAACATTGAGATGTTCCTCATGGAGGTTGGAATAGCGTTTCACGGGTATGGTTATTTTATTCAAGTTTTGTGCGCGCATGCCTGATAATGCATTCATGTAGCAAATGACTTATAAAGATATGTCATTATTTTTTAACTAGGATGCTTTTGGAGCACTTCAAGAAGTTCTCGATTAGTCCTGTTGGAGGAGTACTACTTACAAAGTAAGTCTCATAGGTTTATTAGAGTTACCAAACCCAAGCTTTCTTTTATGTCACAAAACTAGGACTAAATATTCACCTTCTTATGAAATGATGTTCTAAAAAAAAAAAAAAAAAAAAAAAGAGATATTGCAAAATACCAAGAGTCTATAAAAGTATGGAACATCCCGTCGTTGAATGAGCGGTTTGAGATGCTTCGTCAACTAGGCAACGTCTTCTTGGTGAAGCCAGAAATTTTACCTTCAGTGCTGAGTGAAGGCTACCTGGCTAAGGTAGACTTTAGGTCATTGTACCCATATCTACAGATGCGTGTTGACTTCAAGACCTCGAAGATTGATAAACTGTTTGAAAAACTGAACATGACCACTGAAACCGGTCCATCCAATGGCGGAAGTACGGGAGGAACAGCCAGCAGGATTGCTGCGTTAGAAGATTTGACAGGCGCCAAGTTTTTGAGCTATACCCTTCGCTGAAAAGAATAAATTTATTATTTTTATTAGACTGAAGAAATAACCGAAAGGGAAAGGAATGACAAAGGGGATCTGTCTATCCTCTTCTATAGATACACATATTTTTTGTTTGTTTATCTTGTTGTATTTTACGCCTTTACGTTAATTCACGTTATCTTTGGGTGGGCTTTTCTTTCTTGTTATCATATCCGACACTTATTATTATGCTGAGACAAAATTTCCAATGTATCGGATACTATACATGGGAGAACAGAAGGTAGTGAAGACAAAATGAGGATATACACTATCATTCTAGAAATGATGTAGAATATTTTCTGCGGCGGACCAATTTCCTTCTCATTCGGAGCCACTAGCCTCGCGCCTTTTTTTTTTTTTTTTTTTTTTTCTATGGATATTTAGCGGAAAAGCGCAGCGAACGCGAGCTTTGCAAAGTAGATACGATGTTCTAGACAACTGGAAGACTGGCAAATAATAAAGAGTGCGCGCTTTATCTTGATACATCATATCCAGAAGACATGATGGTAAACCCTAGAGATTCTACTTTGATGCTGTTCAATCCAAATAAAATCCCCGGAAAAAAGTCCTCTTCTTTCAAATAATACAAAGCTCTATTCAACTTTGTTCCAACCTCCTCCCCCCCCCAAAAAAAAAAAAAAAAAATCAATGAATATTCACACACTAGAATTTATTACTGTAGTATTATATATTATTTTGTCCGAGAAGATCATACTTGTATTTAGTCATAATGTAATGGTTTTTTTATTTATTTATTTATTTTCTTGCATACTTTACTCACCCTACTCACCTCATCCTTTACCGTCGCTAGAAAAGAAATAAACCCTTTAAGAGTTGGGGAAGATGGAAAGAAAAAAAGAAGCCTAGACATTTTATTGTCAACGTATCTAGATTAATAGAATATAGAACAGTTGACAATTGATGACGATCATTAATAATAAATTATAAACATTTCTTTGCGCCCACATGCTCGGGATTTCGCGCAGTAGGAGCAGCTGGCCGTTGAGCTGCCTCGCCGTTTGAAAAATTGCAGGCATCTCAAGATAGGAGGACGATGGTTGTCATCTTCAGTTTTTTGTGGATCTAGCAGAAAGGTTCAATTAGGGGGTTTATTCGTAAAAAAAAAAAAAAAGAAAGAAAGAAAGTAGTGATGTTGAGCCCATGATGCATTAAAGCATTAGGTTTACCTTCAAAGAGGTTTTTTAAAGTTATACTCTATACATTTGATGGAGCTTTTTGACTCTCATTTAGTGTGTCTGGTAGCAATATGCATGACAAACTTTTATTTTTATTACTACAAGAGCAAGAATACATGTACGCAAGCAAAAAAAAAAATGTACGAGGGCTGTGTACAAGTAAGTATACGCATCGTAAATTTTTTTTTTTATATTTGTTTGTCTTTTGGAACATGAATAGCAAACAAGGCGAGAAAAAGAGGAAGAAGTTGAGTGAATGGACAGACAACAAAGATGCACGTAATGGCAACATCAAACAATGAAAGAAAACATCCATAACTGCAATGTGTTCAAAAAAAGATGGGATTAAAAGGACAGGAATCCAAATGGGGTATGTTTCGCAATAAGATAAAAGAACACTAAGACAATACATGCATGTTTGTGTAAATGGATACTAATCCTCTCGAAGGGACAAAACGGCTCATGATAAACCCCTTTTCCACTTCATTTGATCGGCTTCAATGGATGTCTCTCAATATGGATAACCACTATAAGCAGAAAAAATTAGTATATCCAGAAAGCGATCGAGAGAGGAGCAGAAACAAAGTGGAGATCAATATCCCTGCATCCCTTGAGCACATCTGTATATACTAGCTTAAAATAACACAAACATAAGGATGAACCGCGCTCTAAACACATGTCAGAAAATAAATTCCTATTAAATATAACGATTTAAAATAAACAAACGTGGGAAGAATAACAATAATAAATCACTGCCGATCAGGCCATGACACCATAAAATCACTGCACATCGAACAATATCTATGGAAAATATATAGATATTTATTGATCAAAGACAGGAAAATGAGCATCGGTAAACATGAATTAGGAATAAGATACTTCTGTTTGTTACAAAGTTCCAAGGAAGCAGATCGGAGGGCTTGAGGTAGAAGAGACCTTTCCTCTTTTATGGAATGCAATAAGAGGAAAGGAACAATGTGAGTCTCGGTTTTATTAATATTAAAGACATACACCGTCGCTTAATTACTTGATGCTCCGCAACCACATGGCTTTAATATCATGTTTTAGCCAACCAGGGGATTCCCTTTCTGTCGATATGCCCTTTTTTCATCCTTTTTTTCCCTCCTTCATGAGAAAGTAGCACATGCTTCTCTTGAGCGGAACTTCGAATCGGATGCTTTGCTTCTGCTGCAGGGATACTTTTACCTTCTGATACTCAGCTGCCTCTGCACTCTTTGTCATGGAAGAAAGTAAAAAAGTGTGGAGAGAGAACGCTTAACACTAATGAGCTGATAGCGAATGTGACGGAATCAATGACTTTAGCGCACTTTCAGACGCTTGATGAAGCCTAGAATGAGGGCCCTTGTAAAAAACCAAAGTCCGCAATGGAAGACAGGCAATGATTGGAGAATCATCTCTTCATGGTAGCATGACCTTTCTAGTCTTGCTCTCCTATAGGTGGGGAGCAGAGCGGGATTCTATTTTATTCTTTTTTATTATGTGATGGATGAGGTGGAGCTCCACTAATGAGTTTCTGTGTCCCGGGAGAGAAATTGGATTGGCCTGCATATTGCTTTTGGCTGTTTGGCCTCTTTTTTTTTTTTTCCTCTTTCCTTTTTTTAGTGAATGATGTATGTATACAATATTGACATCCAACTGATCACTGATCTGCATTTGTACCCCTTTTGTATTTATTCGATTCATTCATTCCTAATCAAGTCATCCTTCGTAATCATCCCCAAATTTTTGCTTGACCCTTACTCCTATGCTCCGATGGGTGTACCGATCATATACACTGATCCATCAAAGATATTAACACGAAATAGCCGTGGTGCCTGACATCTCCCTGGTGATTATCATAGTTGGGGAACGTAACATCCCTCATTTACTACTTGCACATTTATATTTGGCTTTACTTCCTTACTCATTACTTATCAACATATATACATCATAGAGCACTGTACACGGGCAAAAATTAGATGAGGAATGATATTATCATATATATATATATAACAATGATTAAATAATAGCACTACACAATATATTCAATTTTCGAATAGTAAAAAATAGAGTAAAAATCAATAGATACTTTATATGCAAAGCACTTCGATTTATAGACTATCGATTGAATAGGGCTTTCGGCCGTTCTGCCACTCACGAATCCTTTTCTTTCTTTTCTGCCATTGATTTCTTGCCTCATGCTGGTCCACCTCACGGCTTCCTATCCGTACCAGCCAGTTTTTCTCTTTCTCTTGTTTATTTGCTTATTTTGCGTTCTTCGGAGTATTCTGTATAGTATAACCCCATGGAGATCATCTCTCATCTTTCTTGTGGAATGAGGAAAGAAAATCCGCAAGTTTGGCGTTGATCATTGTCTTTCCTCCAAGAGGAAATGGGAATGTATTTTTATGGATCCAGGAACAGGGGGGAGGGGGGGGGCAAATAAATTAAAGATATTGAGAACAATTGAATGAAACCAGGTTTGGGGAGAAGGACTATTTCGAACGTAGGCTGCCTCTTCTAGGCTGTTCTGGAAGAAGGGAACCAGCTTTTTACTGATCTTCATATATGGCTATAATACTTTATGTATATTTTTACTTATTTCCTTATTTATATTCCTTTAGTAATACTCCAATTGAGAATAGTTTAGGCCGAAGGGCCAGTGAACAGCAACTGTCTATTTGTTATTCTGTTACTTCAATGATTTGGTTATGAGCCAATAAACGTTTCTATTGGAAAAGAGATTGCAGATTATAGTTCACGCTTCGATCCATACTTCACATGGAGTATATCTTGAGGCAATATAAAAGACTCGGAATTTGCTTCTTTTTTCCCTCCTTTTCTTCATCTCCTCTTCATTCCTCCGATCGCCACTATCCCTTCTTTTTTAATATTAAATATTATTACGTCCTCTGCTTCAGTTTCTTTCATTCATCTTTTCGTTTTCCTTCTATCACTACCATTTTCATTTGTAAAAGCATCCATCGCTATTGTGTTTGATATTCCGATCGGAAACAAATCAAACTACTGTTTGTCTCACCTTTATACCCAAATAAATTTTCATTCTCACACAATTCTCTAAACCCAAACAGATCTCAAGGTTGATCCCCTTTATTTCCTCCAACACACCCTCCAACACACACACATACATTCCTCTCTATCCCAGAACCATGTCCGCAGAGAAGGAAAATGAGATTTACGAAGCCCGTAGTGTCCATAGTGACAAGGAGTCTATCGTTGACCTCATGGCCGAGAGGCCTGAGCAAGGATCCAATCTTTTGGCGTATGCCAACGTCGTCTGCGTTGTTGCAGGTAAATAATAATAATACTTTTTACCTTGTCAATTCCTTCTCGTCTACTAAATACTTGAACGAAAATCTTAATATATATTTTTTTTTTCTTTTTTTCTTGTTCTTTCCAGGAACCGGTACCCTGGGTCTCCCATATGCTCTTAGATTAGGTGGATGGATCAGTGTCGGTATCGTGATCCTTTCTCTCTTGATGTCTATTTATACCGCTATCCTCCTCATGAAGTGCCTTTACTATAACGGAAAGTACCGCCTTTCCTCATATCAAGAGATCGGTCGTCATGCCTTTGGCAAGCCTGGTCTCGTTGCTGTCTGGTTCTTCCATACCACAATCGTCCTTGGTGCACCAATCATGTACCTGATCTTATCAGGTACAGAGATGAAAGGTCTGGTCCCCAATGACGCTATCAGTGTTAAGGCTTGGATTTGGATCTCTGCTGCGATTGTTGCAGTTCCCTTTGTGGCAATGAAGACATTGAAGGAAGTGGCTGTCATGTCCATCTTTGGAGCTTTGGCAACTGTTGTCCTGGTCATCGTTGCTGTCCGTGGATCTATCATGGACTTGAGCAATCCCACATACGCAAATGTCGGTCATGATACTGTCATCCTTGCCAACCTGCCCACTACGGTTGCTTCCATCTCGATTTGCTTTGGAGGAAATGTCGTCTACATGCATGTCGAAGAAGCCATGAGATACCCCCGTAGCTGGAACCGTGTGGTCGCTGTAGCTCTTTTTACTTGCTCTATCCTCTACTTGGCCACAGCCATCCCCGGTTACATCACTTACGGCGATGCTGCCAGATCCCCTATCCTCGAGAACTTGCCCAAGGATGTCTTCACAAAGATTGGAACTGTAGTCATTATTATTCACGTCATCTTGGCAGCCCCTATCTTGTTGACCTCCTTTGCCTTGGAATTTGAACGTCTGTTCGACATCACAGTGGCTCGCCGAGGCAAGATCATGGAGCGTGTCTACCGCACGATTACTCGCTTGATCGTCGTTGGTTTTTGCGGAATCATTGCCTGCACTGTTCCATATTTTGGTCACTTTTTGTCTCTTTTGGGAGCCCTTGGCAACTGCACCTTGATCTTTGTATTGCCTATCCTGTGCTATTTCAAGTTGATCGGATGGAGACATTTGAAGTGGTATGAGTTGGCTTGGTGCGCTCTTATCGTGCTCATTGGTGTCATCTCTGCCATCATTGGGTCTATTGATGCTATCAAGGCTCTCAAGGAGTCCATTGAAAAAGATAGCCAGTAAACAATCAAACAGTTTTTTTTTATCGATTTTGCTCGCGGAGCACGAGCCATACCTTGTTCTTCTGCTACCAAAAAATCCACGGCAAATCAGTTGTATATTAGCTTTTTTATTTTATTTTTTTTATTTTACCTCCTCCCTCTGATTTCTCTCCAAGAGCTCTATTCTATCACTCCACAGGCGAGCTTACTGATATCCGAAGTCGTTGCTCTTGATTGTATATGTATAATAAAATAAAGAGAAAGCGTCAAAGTGTACACACATGCAATCCGTTAAACTGGTCTTGTAAATCTTGGGTTACAGTTACACAGGAATTAATTAGCCACTTTTGCTGTGCTTTCACTTTCTTTTTTTGAAGTGGATCCAAATGCAAACATTGTTTATTCTATTTTATTCTATCTCTATTTGTATTATACCAATAAATATATATATCTATGCTATGATGTTTATATTTTATACTTGTGATTATGGTTGCTGTTGCTGTTGCTGTTGTTACATCTCCTCGTCGCTGTAGTCGCTCATAAGCCCTTCTATTTGTACTGCACTTTCAATGGCACTATTATTAGTACCATCAATGTCATCGTCTTCTTGGTATTCTTCAACATCATAACCATCGTTTTCATCATACTCAAAGTCTTGCTCTTCATCTTCACTACCCTCATGATCATCATTCTCAACCCCTTCTTCTCGATCACCCTCTTCGTCATCATCAATGCTATCTGTGAATTGGTCGTCTCCTTCTATCTCGATAATCCCTGTCACGCTCTTTGCTCGCTCTCGGATCTCTGTCACAGCTCCTTCGTCCAGGCGGCAATAGGTGATATCTAAACGCTTAAATACTGTTGTCCGCTGATGAGCCGTTATCTTGTCCAAAAACTCAATCACGCCCATCTTTGTCACTTGGTCACATCCCAGAATACACAGGTCGCAAAGGTTAGTCGCTTGTTCTGACAGATAAACGAGAGATTCATTCGTGATTTGCGTGTTCGCAATCGATAGCCACCGAAGATCTGGCAAGATGTTCACAAGGCTCTTCAAATTATCATCCGAAAACTCGGGAAACACATTTCCGATATCCAAATCTCTTATTCGCTGCATCTTGCTAATGAATAACTCGAAATCTGAAAATGAATCGGCCAGGATACTATTCATGTGCAACGCTTCCAAATTAGGGCAAGCTTTCGCCAAAGGAATGAACAAATTGGCTGTAAAGGGTGCATCAATGTTGTTCAAAATTAAGCGCTTCATGGACGAGAGCCGCCCCTGTTGAGATGTGGTCGAGTCGGAGGCAGCTGAAAGACCTTGGATCACCACTTGTGTGCAATCGACTTCGGTAAGGTCAAGCTTGACCAGCTGGTGGCACCTGTCTAATATTGGAAGAAGACTATCGTCTGTTACACCTGAGGAGTACTCAAGGTTTAATGACGTCAAGTTTGACAACAAGGGTCCGAATTCCTCCAATCCAGATGACTCAAGATTACAGATGCTTAATGTCAGATGCCGCATTGACTGGGCGTGTCGCTCTTCAAAGATGTTGGTCCCTTTGACAACCTTGAAGGACTGGAGCTTATCTCTATTTTGTGCCAAAATCATCTCTGCTACCGCCTGACTCGATGTTTGTTTCATCCTAAAACCATGTAGGCGAATGTAAGAGAGGGAATGTACAGTCTTGGCGATAGCATAAAATAAATCATCGTTTAGGTCCTGACTATTCCGAAGATCAAGTCGTGCGAGGTTGCTAAAGCGTGAGATCGCGTAGATCAGCGTGCTGGTTTCGATCTTGGCTGAGGATTGGAACTCGTCAACTGAAATGCATCTCTTGGATACTTTACGTATAAGCCGGTTGAAGCACCGCTCCTGTCGAAACTCTGAAGGTGGGGATGAGGACGCAGATGAAGTGATAGAAGCCGCTGTACGAGACTCGTATCCTCTCCATGTTATACAAAAAGCGGTCCAATCCTGAATCAGGTTCGCAAACCACTAAAATTGAAGGAGAACAATGGGTTAGGAAACTGCTGTTGAGCCCCCACATGGAATCATCAATCATTTTTTATCATAAAAAGAAAGGGGGAAAGGGGAGGAAGAAGAAAAAAAAGGAGATAGAGGATGACCTCAATCAATGATAGACTTGCTCGTTAATTTTAATGACAACACATGCTTATTCCTCCTGCGAAATACGATTTTTGTTTAAACTGAGGAAGTTGATATGATGGTGGCTGGCAGATACTATTACTGTTACTACTTACAGAGCAGGAGATTTTCTCTAAATATGAAATATAGTCGTACGAGCAAGTCTGATCGTGAAGAAGCGATGCTTCCAGTGTGCGCATCAACAACCGCTGCGCCCGAGTATCGGATGTTGAAATAAACGGAGATCGATTTTGGTCCAACAATGTTAGACCATCGAAATCGGACGAAAGGGGTAAGATCGAGAAGGAAGAGGACAAAGGATCCAAGTCGCTACAACTGTGGATACTAGTGCGATCGCTTAACATGTGCTCGGCCTTATAAAGATACTCAACAGCAGCCTGCGACCATGCTCGGGAGACTAGTAGACAGGCATGAAGTGCTTGGCGATCATTTCGGAGGTGGTGTGCTACCAGCTTGATCAGTTCTATTTGGTTATAATATTGACATGAAATAAAAGAAGCATGGTTTAGTGATGGGTTTTTCGTTCTTGGTGGACTGTGTTTTTTTTTTTTTTTTTTTTGACTTCTGTAGTTGCGGAAAAGCATTGCAAAACGGCCTTCAAAGAAAAATTCTTCATGATCCACACCAACAGGACGAATAGAAGCACTCTGACAAAGTGGTCTTGGCATTTTCTACCTGCGACAAGACACAAAGAAGCCTCTTTACACTTTGCATTCTCTTTATCGAAATTAACTGGCACTGCCTCCAAGGAACAATCTCCAAATGAACAGAAAGAAACAGAGCAAGCGCTAGAATCTGGAGCTACAAAGCTCAGACCAGACAGACTAGGGCTATTCTACTTTTTTTTACAAGTGTAATGGGACATGGGCGTACAAAAAAAAGTCTTCCGCAATGACAAAACTTGTTCCACATTCTCCAATGTTGTTTCATTCACATTCTATGGTTAATAAACGATGCATGACTACAATGCATGGCTACAATGCAAAGTCATGCCAACCCCAGCCATTTCACCAAGCAAGGTCTTTCGTTTGTTTTCTTGTTCTAGAAATGAACAAGTGAGGATAAGAAGGAACAGCGATTTGGTGGTATATGTGTCTGTGTGCATCTCTTCTTCTCCATGAGGACCGCATTTCAGGGGTACCATGTGTTGTTCGTACCAGGAGGTAGCGAGATAGGAACAGTGCCATGGGCTGGAGCATGGATGAGAGCCACGTTTGATGTAGACGATGCCATGGTGTGACAAAGAATGGTATCAGTGGAAAATGAAAGATGTGATTTCAAAAAGAGCTGGTATAGGGTAAAAGGAGGGTGAAATGAAAGGGAGAGGAGGGGAACTCTCTTGAGTCGCTTGAGACTTGGACTTTATGAAAGAAAAGAGAGTTGGATGGTTCTGATTGCTCTCTCATTTTCTGTCTCTCCTTTTATATCTTTTTTTTTGTCTTTAATGTCTGAAGTCTTGTTGGTTCCTAATGGGCTACCATCCAATCACTGCAAAAAGAAAAAATTCGTATTTGTGTATTTTAGGTCCACAATGCATGACATGCATGTTCCGTTTCTTCTGCTTTTGCTATTTTGCCTGTCTGTCTGGATGTCTCTATCTGTCTACCTATCTGTCTGTCTGTTCGGCATCCTGTTCTGTTCTTGCTTCTTTTATGGTATTCTTGATGTTTCATAATCGTTGTTTCATTTGCTAATGAGGATGTGGAGTCTTTTTTAACTACGTTGTTCTGTCTATTCTGGGCAGTGACATCTGACAGGGCATAAGCATCTATCGACCGCAAGGTTTATGCCTCATGTGCACCATCTGTATATGTGTGTATCTGTGTGTCGATGTGTGGCAAAGAATAAAATGAAAGAGCAGATCGGCTACTTTTTTTTTTTTTCTTTTTTTTTTCAATGTCGTCATTGAGGAAAATTTCATAGCGGCAATCAATTAAATAAATTTAATAGGCTTATTTTATATGCTGTGCACTTCACTTTCATCGGCGGAAAGACATACAGGGATAGGGATACCCCTATTTTTGGTTGGATCAGTGTTGTATTTGCTAATTTATCAGGTACATGTACAACAACACACTTCACTTTTCCCCTGACGATTAATCTGACTCTAATACATCCTTTTTCTTCCCTTCTTAACAAGAGGAATTAAGAAACAATATAATCCTAGTATATATCCATGTATTGCCATAATACATGACATGTATACCGTCCGTTCCTGATGATTGATGTCGAAGCTGTTCAAACTTGGTCTGTCACATGATATGACTGCTTCCCTGTGGCCGCTTTTTTTTTTTTTTTTTTTTTGAGACTTGAAGCAAAGACACAATAACAAATCAAAAACCATTACATTGTCTCTCATTCCTTCATTCATTAACTTTCTCCAGTATACTTCCATTAATTATTCAATGCGCATTGCAGAAGTCAAAAATTCAAGAGAACAGCGCATTGCTGCTCATTCTCACATCAAGGTGCTCTATTCGAACACTTTTTGCTTATTGCTCGAGATCTTTTTTAAAGGCGCGTCATTTGGAAGTCAAGTTGTTGTAAATTTCGACTGACGACAAGGGTAATTTTTTTCCACTTTATGACATTTATTAGGGCCTCGGACTGAGGGACGATGGCTATGCTGAACCGATCGCTTCTGGATTTGTTGGACAAGAACAAGCTCGTGAGGTGCGTTTTTTTTTTTTTTTTTTTTTTTTGCATCAATTTTCTCAAATGGACGGTAGATAATTTTTCTACTACCGCAGAAAAAAAGACGGAAAGAAAAAAGAAAAAAGAAAAGAAAAGAAAAGAAGAAAGGATATCCATTATTGAATCCATTCGATCGAAGGACGTGTCTGAATGAGAAGCTGGATATTCATCCTATTGCATTCCTCATCTGTCACAATAAATATAGGCTTGTGGTATTGTTGTTGATCTGATCAAATCAAAAAAGATGTCAGGACGTGCATTACTGTTCGCTGGTGCCCCTGGAACAGGAAAGACTGCCATCGCCTTAGCTATTTCACAGGAGTTGGGACCTAAGGTCCCATTTTGTCCAATGGTAGGAAGTGAAGTCTTTTCTAGTGAAATCAAAAAGACAGAAGTTTTAATGGAGAACTTTCGTCGCGCTATAGGTAATAGATTTTTTCTTAATCGAAATGGCCCAGTCGTATTCGCTCAAAAATGCAAACCGCGTATAACTAAACCTTTGCTTCTTTTTTTCTGTCTTTACTAGGCTTAAGGATCAAGGAGACAAAGGAAGTTTATGAGGGAGAGATAACAGAATTGACGCCAGAGGAGACAGAGAACCCATTAGGTGGATATGGCAAGACAATTTCACACGTCTTAATTGGTCTGAAGACCGTTAAAGGGACAAAACAACTAAAACTGGATCCATCAATTTATGAGAGTATTCAAAAGGAGAAGGTCACAGTAGGAGACGTCATTTATATTGAGGCTAACACTGGAGCAGTCAAGAGAGTTGGTCGCTCAGATGCTTATGCAACGGAGTTTGACCTGGAAGCAGAGGAATATGTACCACTGCCTAAAGGTGAAGTCCACAAGAAGAAGGAGCTAATTCAAGATGTCACCCTACATGACTTGGATGTCGCTAATGCTAGACCTCAAGGTGGTCAGGATGTCATGTCGATGATGGGACAGTTTATGAAACCAAAGAAGACAGAGATCACAGACAAGTTGCGCAAAGAGATCAACAAAGTTGTCAACAAGTATATCGACCAAGGAATTGCAGAGCTAGTTCCTGGAGTATTATTCATTGACGAGGTAAAAGAAATTCTTTAGCTCTGCTGATTGTGACCAGAATTGGTCAAAGTCTATTTCTTTATAGCTAACTGCCTTTTTTTTTTTTTCTGTCATGTCTAGGTTCACATGCTTGATATCGAATGTTTCACTTACCTTAACCGTGCCCTAGAATCAACCCTTTCACCTATTGTTGTATTTGCCACCAACCGTGGCATGTGCTCTATCCGTGGCACAGAAGATATTATTTCGCCTCATGGAATCCCAGTTGATCTCTTAGATCGTTTGCTCATCATCCGAACTTTACCTTACACCTTGGAGGAAATCCGCGTCATCATCACCATCCGGGCGAAGACAGAAGGATTAACTGTACAGGACGACGCTCTAAACCATTTAGCAGATGTTGGCCTTAAGACTAGTCTACGGTACGCAATTCAACTCTTGGCTCCAGCCAATATCATGGCCAAGATTAACGGACGTGATGAAATCTTCAAGGGTGATGTCGAGGAAGCTGGAGACTTGTTCTTGGACTCGAAGCGTAGCGCGAAGATCGTCACGGAGGAAAACCGAGGATTTATCGTCTAGAGTCATGATTTGCTTGCAAAGGATTCCACGGATCAACAAATAAAAATAAAAATAAATAAAAAAAGAAAATGTAAAGAAAATTTGCATTGATAGCAATAACAACGAAATGATAAGTTCTTTTCAATGGAATGTATGCTTCAATGTCCATCAGGGTACATTCTGGATTGTTATCATACGGCTGTTTATCAATAGCAAGAATATATTCCTAAAACGCCATAATGAAGACTCTTGACTTTACAAGCTTACGAGTCAAATAGGATTGAGAGGGAAAAAAAGGAATGCTCTCTAGACCATAGTTTGAAAATTTCTGCGGATCGATAGGGATAGACCAATGGTGACTGCATGCATATTTTACGTACCCTGATGGCACTCTAGTTTATCAGTACCTACATCAGATGGATGGAGTCTATACATCGGAGCAAATTGTGCAATAATATCTATAATCGGTCGTGATCCAAGGCTGCATTCGGTCCCATCCTATTCTTCCTGTTCTACATACTCCTCTTGTTAATGGCATTATCTCAAAAACATACATGCCGAATGTAGTAGATGCAAATATAGTACAAAAAAATTAAAAAGAAAGATCTAACAAATGCAAGATTCGGCCTATTCAATCCGATAGCAGAGCCAGGGCGCCGTTTTATAGCGTAATTCATATAATAGCAGACTGCTGAGCATTTTTAGATCAAGATGGGACAAATATAGAAGAAATGAATGTTAGTTGTGTGGTTGTGGTTGTGGTTGTTCTCCTCGCTTTTTGTGTGTGCATCCTGGACCAACTGATTAAGACAAATATTCAACTCACCGCCCATCTCTTTTTTCCCGATTGGTCCATTTCCTCTGTTTGTTTTCCTTGCAACATCATTTCCTCCATGCTTTGTTTATTTGTTTTGTTTATTTTATTTTCCTTGCCTGAGTTCATTTTCCTTGGCTTTAATGGAAATGATGCTAGTCTGCCTAATATGATAGGGCGCCGACAGAGGAAATTTTCACATTCATGATTGAGAGTGTCACACATGCTCATGCCTAGTGCTTCATAGGAGTTTTTTTTACTGCAAGGAGTCGATTGTCAAACAAACAATTACAGCCTCCGGAAATCAGGCCGAGAACAGTCTGCTGATGGGAAAAGAGAGGATTTCTTTCTGACTCTTAAACCTGACTATTAACATCACCTTTATTTCTTTTGATATTCTATAATTTACAACATGATACGCCTGTACCTGTTGGAGAAGAGACCACGTTGAGTAATTTAAGCCATACTCCCCACTTTTCCAATCAAGGTCATATTCCTTTAGCTAAAGAGACGAAAGAATGAAGAGGAAGGTAATAATTATTTCTGGGTAGTGCTTCCATGACAAGAAAGCAAAAAAAAAAAAAAAAAAAAAAAAAAAAAGAACAGGAAGCCGAAAAGGTTCCGGCGCGTCATTATTTATTATACTTCATTGATAATAATCTGCAGCTCACTAAGATGCAGCTTTTGATTGGGCGCAAGCAATAATAGTCATTCTCAATGCTTGATGAGAAAATAAAACTTTCCCCCTATTCAGCAACACACAACAACAAAAAGAGGGCAAAGAGGATGTCTCGTGTCAGGGCTCAAGCTCACACGGTTTTCAATGTTACTCAAGAATACAACACCTTGCTTAATGACACATATTAGATACTTAATCCATATTATTAAATACATATTTTGTACATGTATACTTTTACAATCAAATAATTTGAATCATCCATTGCATTGATAGTGATGGCGATGATGATAGTGCTACTCAATTTTCACTTGGATATAGAACGAATTACGCATTTTTTTCCTCTCTTTTTAGTCAACTACATTATTGGAAGACTAGAGCGCATAAAGAAAAGAGTGAGCAAGCGAAGGAAGGTGTGATTAGAAAAGATGGGTAGATGTCTGGACGTCTCATGCTATCCATACTTCCAGATAAATGAGAGAGTATATGCACTAATCATCGCTGTCGAGGAGTAATACTTGATGATGTCAAGGATGATGAATTTTTTTAGTCCGCATACTCTAACGGTACGAGACACTAAAGTGAGGCACTCCGCACACGACTGCAAAAGCAGTAGCAGAATGGAACACACATACTCCAAGGGAAATTTTTTATTTCCTTAGCCCCCCTGCAAGAGCATTTTGGGCCAATCGTAGAATTTATTTTATGCTGGAGGCGCAGGGCTCGCTCTCAAGTATCGATAGTTGAAATGATTGAATAGGAAGCGTCCCTACTATTCTCACGGGATATGCTAGTGTTCTCGGTCCAAATACATTCGTACAATCAGTCCATCGAATTGTCTTTACTTATTGGATATCAAAGGTGAGTTTCTTTTACTATACTACTCTGGGAAGCAGGGATCGGTTAAGACTTGATCCAATAGTAGAAGGCCGGATATAAAAATAAAAAATAAAAAACAAGTTGGTTTGTCAATGATGGCTGATGATGACTGATGAGTTTTTGTTGGTTTAGCTGTTAGTTGCTTTAAAGTTCCATGCGAACAAAAGGTTTTTTTTCGACAGGCCAATCCCATGAACTTGATCATGCTCTTCCCAGGGTGACCCAGGCCTATCACAAGAGAGAAATCTTTTTTTTTTTTTCTTTTTTTCATTTTGGGGCCTTTTTTAGCTTGTGTGAGCTTACAGTATGCTGATAAAAAGGGTTCATTTCAAGACCTCTTCTGAGTAAAAAAAAAAAAACATGCACTTTTCTTTGTTCTAAACAAAGAGACTGAGAGCTGGTCAATCAAAGGTGATGCATTTCATCGACCCCCTGCTTTTTTTTTTTTTTTTATTTTGTATAAGGAAGCATCTAGACTCTCCTTATCCTGACCTTGATGAGAAAAAGAAGATGTAACTGTTGCGGTTATTGTTTTTATTTTGTGCGATAGCTCGTGAGAAATGCAGCAGTCTTTTGACAGGAGAGAGAACTAGGAAATGACGAAGCACTATGGGGTGAAGCAAGCTGGCCACAGTTGCTAACTGTTGAAGAAGTAGGTTTAGCTTTTCATTCATAGAATCAACCGGAATGCAAAAAAAAAAAATCTCACCACAGCAGAGCAGGCACTGCCAGAAGACTTTGCCTGCGGAAATATTTTGTGATTCATTTTCTTTGGAAACAAAAGAAACAAACATCCAAACAAAAGAAAAAGCGACACTCACGCGTCTTAAGCCTGCACAACCACAACCTACATGCAAACAACGGCGTGTTAATCTGAAGGAGAATTTTATTTATTTGTTTGTATTGCTTGGCAAGACTCATCCGCGCAATTCTGCGCCAGAGGTGAGCGCGAGAGAAACAAAAAAGCAAGTGAGCAAGCAGGACACACAAGTTCAACCCAATAGAATTTGTGTATAAATAAAAATCTAATACAAATGAGATGTACTAAAGAGAATCAAATACTGAATGCAAAGATGTAATAATAAAATAGAATCACAATAGAGTAACCAGGGAGGACATGGTTTTGGATTTAGATCCAATTGAGCCGACAACAGACGAAGCCATCCTTTTGCAGTAGCGAACACACAGGTGCCAATTGCGATCCTGGGGTTGAGAATAGGGCAAGAACTTGGAGGAAGGGTCGTGGGTGCTTCACACGGGTATGTGATCTTCTTGCTCGAGCCCAATCGTACAAGGAAAAATTTGTATGAACTCTTCTCAATTTTTATCTCTTTCCCTTCTTACTTTCTTTCGCTTCTGCCATTATCCTTCTTTGACTACTTACCAACCCTTATCCCTCTTTCTCTCACACTCAGTATCCATCATAGTCAACTCCAACTCCCCACTCCCTCTCTAAATTTTCACTCTTATTCTCATTCTTCCTGTTTCTCTCCATCCTCTTACGGTCACTACCCATATCTTTGCTACCTTCCTCCCTCTCATACACATATAATCGTTACCTTCTCTCTCTATTGTCAATTCATCCACATCCTATTTACGTACCTGTAAGTGCTGAAAGATCCAAGATACATCCAGACATACCTGACTTGGTCTCTTTGTTTCTCCATTGTGTCTATTGTCTCTCCTCAGCTATTCTCTGTCGCGATCCTCTTTGCCACCACAGTCAATTTTTTTTTTTTTTTTTTTTTTTTTGGTTGAAAGATACCATAGTACTGCCGAGTATTCCTATTGATGCCGAAAAGGAAATGACATGCTCAAAGAGTTGTGATACTCACCAATCCTTTCCTCTACCTACTTTTCCTTTAGCATCCCATTCACTTCATTTGTATACCTTTCATAGCCAATCATGAAGCCAACATTTGCTGCTGCGACAGCCGCAGTTGAACCTTCTTCCCAACATTATGACCACTATTATTCTTCCACATCCTCTTCAACTCCCAGAGCATTTTCTCCAGAGCGGAGTTACAGCCAACGTCCTCATCAATACTCGTCATCATCTTCTTCTACAGCCTTTTCCTCCTCTTCGTCTTTTTACACCCGTCACCATCCCGCAGACGATCAACATTATAGTCAGCATCGGCACCAATCAGGCGGCTATCGCCAGCATTCATCAGAGTACACTGAAGATTCACGCAGTCACCCTCACCACTCGCATCGGTATGCAGATTCATCACAGTCCTCACATTCTGAACCCCAGCCCCATAGCTCCTATTCTCCGCGCCCAACTGGTGCCCAACATGCATATCATCAGTATACACAAAACTACCATGCTTCCGGACAAAATGCCAAACACACTGAGGGATATGAGGGTAAAGTGCGTAACACAACCCGAGACAACAACGACCATTTAGTAACAGATTCATCTGCCAGGGACCAGCAACATCACCATGATCAGTATGATCGTGATCCTACTTATGGTTATTTGAAAGCACATTCACCGCGTTCACCATATTCTCCAGCAGATGAGAGTCCTCCCTCATTAAAATATAATTTACCACCTATCGAGGTGCCAGAAGAACCCTTCTACCGCAGTGATCTTCCTGGTCGCCACATGCGCTATTTTAGCAATGTGACCAGCCAGGACCGCGAGAACAGTGATGGTTACTTTTCTTCAGCTCGACATGTTGCGCCAAGCAACACGACCGGTAATTTTGGTCACGGGCCATCCATTAGCCAGTCGTTGGAACGATTCGAGAATACTCGACAACGGCAATGGCTTCAGCAGCAGCGTCAGCAAGAGCAACACGAGCAACAAGAACAGCAGCCTCAAGGTGCTCGCTTACCCTCCCTCTATACTGCATTGCCTGAGCAACGGCCAAGTGGTAGTTCATCTTCGATGACACAAAGGTATGAGCCACAACAACCACAGTCGCTGGCTCGTGCACGCTCGCCTACACGTCCTATATTAGAACATCGTCATGGATCAGATCATCCTTACCAAGAATTCTCTCAGCAAAGTCAGCAGTCGTCGCAGCCATCAGGTCAAATGAACAAGGTCAAGCCACTCCAGCCACGTTCAATCGCACCAGCACCTACTTCCTCAATTCATCACAAACCTCTCGCTTCTCCAACTACAACAACCTTTGCTCAAAGAAAGGCAGCAGTTGTCCATTCTTCTGCTCGACATAGTATGATGAAGATTGAACCCAAAGATTTAGACTTCATTGCACCCTATCATCATGTACAGCACTATCGACAGCATCAGGAACAGTACCAGTCATCAGCATCAAGTGAAACACGGCACGATATCAAACGCAAGTGGGATCGGGATCATTCTCCCATCCGTACTGACACACGCTTGAAGCCATCCCTCGAGCCAGTCCAGCAGCTGACTGAGACAGCCTCTCAAGAACTACATCTCCTTTCGCACCGTTCAATTCCTTCTATACAAGCTCAATTACGTGCATCGGTCCAGAAGAAGAACATCATCAACGATAACCAGCAACAGTCTATGCGAACAAAAATACAGCGCTATCAGATGACAACAATCCGATGCTGGCATGGTGCCATCGCTCAAAAGTCATATGGCATCGAGAAGCGATACCTCTGTCCCCCGCCCATGGTTCAAGTGTCTGCAGGCGTGAATACAAAGCTTATTCGTGATGAACAGCCTCATGTGATCATGTCTATCTTACATGAGAAGCTGAATGGTGGTCCTGGACGCCAGGCCCAGAGCGGTAGCGAGAACTTAATGGAGCAGGATTGTGCCCTTGACGATCGCCTCAAGTGCTCGTTTAGAAACCTTCATGTAACAGGCACTGGCTCAGATAGCTCCAAACGATTCAAGCTTGGTCTGCAAGTCTTTTTGAACAAAAACTCGGCCATCCCGACAGCCATTATGGACTCGAACCCAATTCCAATTATCTCTAAACCATCCAAGAAGACCGCTAAGGCTGGTAATGCCTCTTGTTTCATTTTGAATGGAATGAGCGTCTCTCTTCTAAATCGTATCAACGCCCAAACAGTGCGAACAAAATACATGGCAGTTGATAACAACGCAGTCTGTGCTAAGATTGGTTCTTGGTCTTCTTTTACGATTAAGATGGTGAAGCCTCCTCCAGCACCTCCAGTCAAACTGACCACAACTAATAATGTTAACGTATTCCGGACCCCTAATCACTCGACCAAGTATGTACCAATCCGCATGAAGGGCGATGGTGGTCAGCCCGTTGGTATAGCAAGGCAGCCAGAGCAGACCGCCACATCATACCACCAGCAGCAACAACATGGTCCATACCGCCATCAGCAGCAACCACATTCGTCGCAGTCGCACATAGGTTATCATCAACAGCAGCAACAGCGACATCAGCAACAACAACAGCAACAGCAGCAGCAGCAGCAGCAACAAGACCAGCAGCAAGAGTCCAATTACGTTTTCTCCAATTCTGAACCAGTGCTTTATGGCTCAGAGATTGTTCTCATCAACGATTTGACTGGGATCGCAACGGACCGCTTAATCATCCGCAAGGTCGAGAACGGCAAGGTGATTCGCAATGGAAGCGGACCTGTTAGCCAGATGCAAAAGATTGTATTGCAGCATCCGGACCGTGTCCATTTAGAAGATGGTCGTCCTTATTATCTCAGCGCATCTTCTATTGGTAGCCCCAAAATCGAAGGCAAGATTCCACTGCAAGCCGCTATGGATCGCAGTCCTTTACTTGAGTATAGGACGTCGTCCAAGAAGGCTTCTATTTTGGATTTGACAGAGATTTCCGAGGAAAATGAAGACGAATACTATACAGATGAGAGCTACCATGGTAGACATGGCCAGGCATCTAGACGCGTTTCAAAGGGAAATGAGAATGTCTCAGTCGATGACTTTGTCTGTTGGACCATCGCTGGTATTGGTAAGATAACTTACTAACTTGCTCTACACCTTTTTTTTTTTTTTTTTTCTCTTTCAGAGGTGTTTTCTGCCCATGTTGCTGGCCTTTGAATTAACGATTATCTCCGCATTTATAATAGCCAAATTTGACTACACTTATTTCGGGCCAATCCCACTATCAAACGACAATGAGGTGAATCCTCATAAGATACCTCAGGTACTTTCGCACCCACGCTACAACAGCCAGTCCAATACGCTGATGATGAAGGTCAAGAACGTGTTCGAGAGGCTTTCAGCGGCTGATGAGGAGGCCCGTCTTCGATCCACGTATATTGATGACCCTTATGAACGTAAAATGAGTCTCTCTGAGTTTGTGTACCGGCGATGCGAAGATGTGAGGCAGCCTATGGAGGATGAAGAAGGCCCTATTCAACTCTGGTTGGCGCAGCATGGCCCTATCCGTATGAGACGTCGTCTATTGAAGGATGTACTTCCCTCAGGATCTGAGGAAACAGAAAATGGGGCTAGTCAACAGGATCAAAATGATAATGATGAGGATGATGCCTCTGACCTCGAGGCTGAAGTCGAAGCCAAGCAGCAACAGCAACAACAACAGCAGCAAATGGAAGACAAACTGCCCAAAATCCCAACAAAGCCCAACGCAGCGTACAGTCATCAGCAACTAAAGCATCAACAGCAGTTAAAACAGCAACAACAAATGCAAACTCAACAACAACAGCAGCAATCTGCCAAGCGTGCTAAGATACTCAGACGCCCAATGGGTTTGGAGGCAGAGCTGCCTTATGGCTGTGAAGTACGTGCTGCTATTGACAGTGAAGGCAATGCGCATGCAGAAATGGACCTTTTGATGGTGGAGCGTGCTTCGGGTATTGCTTACCCAACTGGCTACAAGGTTGTATACTCGCGTAGCAATGAAAGCACCGAGTGGACTGTTGAAGTTGTCATAGCCTAAAAAAGCAAGTCAGGTCATTGATCTGTTTGTTGCTTTTCTTTCTGTAACACTATAAGTTATATGTATAATAAATCAGTCCTTTTATTGTAATAACTCGAACTATCTCTGCATAAGGATCCTTAGAACTAGTCATAGCCACCATAGCTATGTTGATGCTACTAATACTACTGGTACAGCTTCCAATAACAATTCTAGAATTGACACCAGTAGTTTCTATTTTGATTCCTTCCAAAGGGTTAAAGGTACTATAGCAGGTGCTGGAAAAGCTTGGTACTAATGTGGACATGACTCCCTCATAAATACGACCTGTAATAATTACGCCGTGCTCCTGCATCCCCGATCAACTTTCAGCCATCAATAGATATATAGCTAGGGGTTCCGCAGCCTTGAAGTTGAAATATAATCACAGGCCGGGAGTATCGCAATGAAGGCATGGTAACCTGAAGAAGATGGAAGTGGATATATTTTAGGATCAAGATCGTCATGTTGTCTGTATGTTGGGAATATAATGAGGGGATGATTGAGTCCTTGCAGATCAGCCTTGATGGCAACGCTTCCTGCTCAAACTGCTGGAGTTTTCGATGCTAAAAAAAAAAAAAAAAAAAAAAAAAAAAAAATGCTGAATAATAAGATCGCGCCGTGTCTCGTGCTTTTATATATTTATTTTTGCTTACGTCCTGCATTACGGGAACATGTACATGTGAGGGCTTGGTAGGGAAACATGTTTTTAGCCTGCGGAAGAGACACCTCCCAATGGGAGCACGATGGCTTGTCACACCATCTACTCAAGTCGGTTGAGTATGGTAAGCGTGGCCATCACTAATCTTCACCTTCCAGTGTGGGAACCCTTAGTAAACAATTAATGCAGCATACAGATATTTACAGAGGGATACCAAAAATAATAATCTCAATCTGAATAATGATGTGGTGTTCCTTGGTCCTTCGATACCAAAGGTTGTGTGATAGTTGATCTAATGCCGCTTGCTTTGGAAGAACAAAGACAAATGAGTCCTATGCTAATTTTTCTGTTCGTTTGCTACGTAGCGCCACCAATCTCATGTTTTTGTGTAACCAGTAAACCAGTCCTTCCATCCAGAGCGATTTTTTGCAATCATACAAACAGTGGTCAATCATCAGTATTGCGTTGACCGCAAAGGAAGGAAAGAAAAAGAAAGAAAAGAGGTTTAAACAAATATCATCATCAATAAGACTGTAAGAGCCCTGATACATTTTTTCCACAGCTCGAACCCGTAGTCAATTGCGGAAGGGTTTTGAGCTCGATAGCCTTGAAAACGCATAGAAGCGGCGTCAGTTATGACTAAGCAAGCGAGCTTCTTGACGTGTAAAGACGATCTTTCACAACCACACAAAGCTCCCAAGAGAATACCGACATCCTTGCCAATCCAGAAGTGTCTTACTGCCTTCTCTACTGGCGAATGGCTTCTGTTGGCGCTACTCCAAGAGATCTTTTGGCGTATGGAAAGGTCAAGTGGACTAATCAAACAACTGAGGTGAGCATCCAATCCATCCAAACCGTGTTCAATTAACGGAAGCTTACACTTGTACACGCACTTCTTTTCTACGTGACATTAACCTTAGCTATGTATTTCTTTTTTTTTCTTTTTTTTTTTTTTTTTTTTTTTGTATCGGAAGTTTGAGGAATGGGAGAGTCCAAGAAAAGCTCGACCCCCTTCAGGGTCATGCCTGTCTTGAATATCATCGCTCCTGACGGAAAGGTAAAGCATTATAAGTATAAATAAGAAATATGCATATAAACAAAATATTTAATAAGCTTCGTGTCTTTTCTATTAAACAGGAGAACTTTATTGCAGAGTCTATCGTGATCGACCACTACCTTGCAAAAAAGTTTGGACTGTTGGGGGACAACGAGTGGGAAGAGTTCACGATCAAGAGCCTGTACAACAATATTCATTATCTTCGTGAGCGCTCGCTCATGAGAATGACATGAACATATCCAGACAAGCGCAGACAGGGATTGGACACTTTCCTCAAGCAGGTGCTGCCTGAATTTATTGATGACCATGAGTTTCATCTAGAGGCTAGTGGATCAACGGCAATAAGGTAACCGTTAAAGATAGCTTCTTTATGATAACACTTTTTTTTTTTTTTTTTTTTTTTGTTCAAACTGATTAATCATCCCTTTTGTAAACTAAAAGCTCTCACTTGCAGATATCCATCTGGCCAATGTTATCGATCACTTTTCGCACCTTCCTGTCGCTAAAGGAATTATGGCACAGTTCCAAAATAGCGAACTGTTGTGGAGGGTCAAGGAGAGTGTCGAACGAGGCCCTAACATTGCGGCATGGAGGGCCACGGATGAGTTCAAGACTTTTGCTCAAGGATCCATCGACATTTACGCTCGCTCTGCTCCTCCAATCGAAGAAGATGCCACGACTAAAGAGGCTTAGAAAACCAAAGTATGTCTACCTACCTTCCTGCCTTCCTGTCTCTCTTAGAGAATGCAGTTGTGTAAATGAGACCATAGTTTATTGAATGAACGAATAAGCAACATTTGTACATTACCTGGTCAACATCATTTAATAAGAATACACGAATAAAATGTTACTTCTTACAGAAGCTCTCGTAGATATCTCTTCGTACGGTCTATTCATAATGATGCCCACTCTCACAACTGAGTCATCTTACACATCAAAACCACATCCTGGGTAGTGCCAAGACGGTGAACGATCACAATGGTCGCTCGATTGATATGTGTCTTATATAGCACCTCCTACATCAATATCTCGGATTTATAATCTAAAAGCTAAAGCATAAGTCTTGCTCGATAACAATAACTTGGAATTCTGTCCGCCAGATAACTGTGAACACTTGTCATAAACATGTTTTTCATACTTGTTTGCGGATAATATCATTCATAAAATTATGGGTGTTAGCAGCCTAAACTGCTTTGACAACTTGCTCACGAACCACAGCCTGATCATCTGTAATTTTGTGGCGAAAACTATCCCCATTCGAGACATCGAGCAGGACAAATCTGATTCACAAAAGTCATATGGAAGCACAGTTAGACGTAACCTTACTAAGAGAAGCCTGAACGACCCTCTCATACTTTATAACCAAAGCAGATATAGCCTCGTCTAACAACAAAGTCTGAGGATCTTTAATCAATTTGCGAGCAATACTAGTAGCAATACCTTGCTTATGGGCGTCAGATAACAAAGCTCCTTTCTCTTCAACCATGGCGTCGTACCCATTTGGCAGACTAGCTAGATAGGTAACAGGCAGCCTCAATCCCTTCGCTGCTGATCTTTATAAGTATCGAGAGTATGCTTTGTTCAATAATGGCGTTAATCCGAATAACATCCAGTGTAACCAAGCCATCCGAAATAATTATTTGTATTTATATTATATGCTCTGCCAAATAAACAATAGTGGACCTACTGTCCGACCGGGATTAATACCAACATTTATCATTTAAATAAGGATATCAGAGCGGCTCGAATCGTGGGCAGACGCAGAGAATCCTAAGAAATTCAGGAGGCAACAAGTCCCGTATATGTTATGGTGCACATATGACTACACAAACATTACCTGAATGTAAACTGACAACAAAGTTGTTAATAAAGACAAACACACGAACGAAGGCGGTGTGTGTGCGACAATTTTATCCATTCTCCTTTTTTGACGAATATGACTATTTCTGGTAGTCATTTTTGTTGTGGAAGCTTTATCTCCATTTAAAAAATTACCAGCAGGCCCGACATTCCCTCATTTAAATATCTCTTTTTTCTTTTTTTTAAAAAAGCCGCCAACTATTGGGCATAACTCACTCACCCTATTTTCTTATCAAGGCTCTAATAACAATCATGCAAAACTTCAAAGAGCGGTTACGGGATAGATCGTGCTGAATGGTTTCAAAATAAGATAGGATTTATAACTTTACAAAATAGTAGGAATCAAGGATTATACAGAAAATAAAAGAAGTGTACTTAAAAAGGAAATATAGACGGACAAAAGTTTTTAAACTATACTTTCTCTAGCACTGCATAGTTTGGCTATCAAACAACAAGGTATTAACCTTCTCAACGCTCTTGCGGCATTCATATCCGTCCTTAGACTGATGCTGATTATCTTGTTGTTGATGCTGTGCTTGCTGTTGCTCTTGCTGCTGCTTTTGTCGATGTTGTTGTCCTTGCTGTGGGGTGGATGATGCATCCACATGATGATCGTTTACAAAAAAGGGCAGGCTTCCACCGTGATGATCAACATCCTCTGTCAGGGTCGACATGAACGAGTCGTGGGATGCTGTCGATCCATCTGGAGAATATCCAGAAGGTGTATCACACTGTGTTTGTGCATCTTGGCGTGTACTGCCAGACATGCTAGATTCTCCATTATTATTGGGTCCATCGTCTGAGAGCGATCCTTCCATATCCATGTCATCAGATGAAATTGCTGGTGGGGAAGGAGGATCCGCTGTATCATCTTCCATCATGGCATGCTGCTGTGGCGGTTGCGACTGTGAAGAAATAACTCGAGGCTGTTGGCCAGCAACTGGTTGAGTCTGTTGCGAAGCAGGTGTAGGGACAAGAGTGGATTCAAGGGCAGCTTGCATCAGATTAAGCGCATGAGAAGCGGTGAACGTATGAGAGGAGCCTTCGAAATCACCTGTAGTCTGGGTCATTGGGACAGAAGTTTGTACAGATTGATGGATTTGCTGCTGTTGTTGTTGCTGCTGCTGTTGTTGTTGTTGCTGTGGTAGTAATGATTGTGTCTGCTGAATGGCTGTCTGTTGAACAGTATGCTGGTGCTGAAGCAAATGAGAACCTGCTTGTTGCATCAGATCGTACCCCGTACCAACTGTCGAATCAGCATGAAGATTACCCAACTGCAGTGGATCTGTATTAAATGAACCCAATCCGGTAGAACCATCGACCTGAAACATCATTGAGTCAATGGGTGCAAGTCGAAGGGCTTCAGGTAGTTCCAGAGGATTGGCAAAGAATTGCTGGTCTTGCTGAGGATCTGTGCCACCAAATGCAATAGCAGCCATTGCCACTGCTGTCGCAATATGGCTCTGCCACATGGAACTGAGTTTGGTGGAGCTTTGATCCTTACCCTCGGGCAAAGGCATCGAAAAGTTTCCATAAGGATGACGAAGTTGAATCGAGGGCGCAGGTCCTGGTCCATCTTTAGCAAGTTTGGCCAACCTAGCAGCTTCATAAATATTTCCAATTGACGTTGCCTGGAGTTGCGTCATGTCGATGAACGGAGCTACGAACGTCGAAATATCGATGAAAGAAGCTGCCATTTCTGTCGGAACAGAACTCGTTTGGCTAGCAAAGACATCCAAAGCGACAGCAATCAATGATTCTGCCACAGGGAAAGTCTTAACCAACTCGTGAGCAGCCTTGACAGTCTTGGAGAGCCCAGCACGTGTCGTCTCACGGTTACTTGGTGTGGGAGTGATAGCATTATGGACATGAACTGTGCCTGCAGCCAAGAGACAGGCCATGCCATAGTAGCAAGTATCACGGAGTTGTCCATGGAGCATCAGTGAGTCCGCAATATGACAGACATTGGTGGCAGCAGCGGTACAAATATTCCTGGAAGACACTAGAAAGTTAGGATCAATGGCAGCAGAGTTGACAGGGCGGAGATAAGGGCGATGCAGCATCGTAAGAGTAGTGTAGTAGAACATGTGCATCAAGGCAGTTGGTGGTGAAGGTGGGTGATTCGAATTAGGCGACATGGTGTATGGTGTGTACATGAGTTCATTAGGGAGTGAAAGGAACCACGACGTCAGACTGTTGTGCAGCTGAGGGAGTTGTGTCCGAGAGATGTCAGCCAAGAATGCGCCATTGATCTCGGCTTCGATGCAGTGCATTGTATTAAGGACATTGCCCATCTGCATAAACAACTTAACAGCCCATAACAATCGGCAAGAGATAATCCTCTCGGGCTCATATGGATATTCGACTGCATCGTCGCCACCAAGCTCAGAAATCCAGTCATCTGATGGCATCTGAACATTATATTCCTTGTCGCGCAAATTTAATGGTCGTCCAAGGATTCCTCCTCCAAGTCGGTCTGCAATGTAGACAGCCCACCAAACTCTCTTCCTGATTTCAGCTTCTTCGGGTTCGTTCACTTGGACGTCTTGGCGATGTAGACCAATATCCTATTGAGCAACAAAGCGTTTCATACATATGACTGTTAGTGACGATCAAAACATTAACTCGGAATAATGGCACAATACCTCTATCAATTATTGAGTGGCTTACATGAGCAATGCGTGTGGCCATTCCAGTGTAAAGCCAGCCACCTGAGTAGTTACCAACGGCGTACTGATGATGAGACATCAGCAACAACGCCTGTACAGTACTGATATGAGAGACATGGTACGTCTCGTCCAGAATAATCTTGGCTCGATTGAAGTATTTTGTAGAATCCTGTTTGATTAGCGGGTCGTCTGAGTACCAGCAAGCATTGCAAAATATGGCGTTGAGAATCAAGATTTGTGAGAGATCTGGCCGCTTCTCTTCGTACTGCCGCATAAACGACTTGCGAATGAACATGGGTGCAAATGGATACATGTAACGGAAGAACAAACTGAGCAGATTGTCCATCTCTGCCTTGGAGGGAAGTTCACGCTCGCTAGTCATTTGAAGCGAGTGGGACCATAAATCACTGTCATTCAAATGAGCCATAGGCAGAGGATCTAATTGTCGTCAGTAGAAAACAATTGGTTATTGTTGCTATTTGTTAACACAATTGATCATCTAATTATACTTAGTTAAAATACGTACAGACGCCTTTGCGGTAACGAGAGCTGAGCTGACATACGTAGAACCCGGAACTACTGCCGTGGAAACTATGATAGAGCAAGCAGACCAAGGAGAAGAGTAAATAGAGTTAGTAAAAAATAAAAATAAATAATAGAATCCACCTGTGATTCAACTCTGTTGTCAGATTTGTTTGATTGGGATGTGCGGCAGACAGAGAAGGCAAATCCAGCGTGCAAGCATGTTTGCCCACTGGAGACTTTTACTGCTGTGAGATAGCACACATCTTCCTTTTTGCCCAAAGGTAAAGTGGAGAATATTATGTGGTCTTCACAAGACATGCGATGCGAAATGCGATACGGGAAAAAGACTCTTTGTGATGTATGATTTTAGTTTAAAAAACCAAATAAAGCTGATGCGTTCTTAAGTGTCACTTACTGCTGACCATGTCCGTCCAAGCTCATTGTGCTCACAACAGATTTGAAATCCTCCCCTTTATTAGTCCCACATGAAGAGCCCCCAATGGAAGATGTCGAATCTTGTGGGTCAAGAAGTGATGAAGGTGAACCCGGGTCACTATCCCGATCAGGTCGTGAATCTCTTCGCTTTGCCTTGGGTTTTGTGGACCCCTGATCTTTCGAGACTCGCTTTTTGTTCATATTGTTGGATAAAGTAGGTTGGCTTGGATTAGAGGTAGAGTAAGAGTTGGAAGAAGACGGTGATGATGAGGAATGAGGATCCATTGTATTGACTTCTGATCCAGGTTTAAATGACGATGTTGATTTTCTTGAAGTTGACGAAGAGTGCTTTTGATGCTTCGTAGTTATATCTGTGGATGGTTGATAGGGAATGTTGTTGTAACTGGTTTGGCTTGTATAACTGTAGGAATAAGCAGGCGATGGACTTGGACTGAGACTAGAGAAACTTGTTGCGCTACTAGCAGACATTCTTCGATCAGATTGATAGTCCATCGAGTCTCTATGTTCCGTCATCTCATCGCCAGAGAAGGAGGAAGTCGATGATATGGAGCTGCGATCATGTTGATGTTGATGATAGGATGAGGGATGGGTACCGTTATTGTTATGACTGTTCTTAGAACGGTGGTATTGTTGCTGTGAATGGTCAAGTGAGGTGGAGGATGTGGATTGGGAAGGGCGAGGTTGCTTAGCGTAGAGACTTGAGGGACTGTTTGTCTTGAGGAATAAGGCCTCGTCAACAACACATTCAAGATTATGGGTGACACATCGAGCGCAGTTTGGCGTGCCAGTACACCTGAGCTTCTTGCGACGGCAGTTTGTGCAGGCTGTGCCGGCTTTGAGTCGCTTTTGACGGACAACTGGAGCTTCCATAATTTAGGGTATAAAAAGAATTTGAGTTGTATGAATGAGTGTGTGGAGAGAACGAGCGCACAGAATGTGAGTAATAAGATAGTGTCAGAAAATTTAGTGCAACTGTGAAAGAGGGAAGGGTATCAAGATCAACGTGGAATGCAAGGTGATAATTAGTATAAAGATGAGTGTGGAGAACAAGAAGATTGGATACAGATACAAGAAGAGACAAAAACAAGCAAATAAGAAAGAAAAAGAACAAACAAGATAAAAAGAAAAGAAAGAGGAAAAAGAAAAGGGAGCCACGCAACATGTTTTTGAAAGATCAGAGGCGAGTCCAATCAAAGCCAAGCTAATTTTTTGAAGAACGAGAGCATTAGACATTAGTACCAACTCATAAATATCATATTTACAAACAATCAGACATCGACCAAAATAAAACGGATGCTTTTTTACATTATGTTTGCTTGTCTGGCAATGATCTCCCTACTCCAACCTCAGTGCTAATATTGAGCTCAGGTTTTGTGGAGAACACGATATCAAACTTTGCAATCGCGGGAATTGTAACCCATGTCCCTGAATAGCACTGTTTATTTTGTTATTATCAGTTTTAATAGCAAGGGTAGTCCTTGTCACAAAATAGAATTGAGATTCAAAGGGATGCCAAGCCGGCTGCTATCTCAGGAAAAAAAAATGAGATGACGATTCTAGGTTGCTCCACCAAATAAATGTGAGTTGTTTTTACGTACGTGCATTTGCATGCATGTTTTTTGTGAGACGCATCTGCTTTATCCTCGCCAAGAAGCAAATCATTTTGATGCCGACTTTATTGATCGTGGTAAATGACGCTTTGTTTTTACGTGGCACACACATGGTCCTTTTAATTATTGCTCGCAATGTTTAGATCCTCAAGGCAAATTTATTCGAAACCTGGCATGGCGAGAAAATGAGTGCCCGTAAAGTGTACTTTTACCCCTCTTTCTTCAGTCGGCATCAGTAGAAGTGAGAGAAGGCCATTTATGATAGTGAAAGAGGTAGTTTCCTCCCCTTTCATGACCAGAAAGGTGGTTTACTCGCAAACGCCCATTTGTGGCTTTTTTTTTTTGAGTTGAGTTGAATCAGGGGCATCCCAACGGACGGAGAAAAGAAAGAAATTCCCATCCCCATCCTCAATTCGTGTGTATTTCATGCCAAAAACTACCACCTCCCTCTTTTATGCTGCTAGTCAGAGAACCTGCTATTACAAGGCGAGGGCACCTTTCTCATTGTTCTGATGCTGCTTGTTGCTTGACTGCCCGTTCTTTCAGTGTAATTTTTGTTAGATTAAACCGAGTCTTCACATGCTAATGAATTAAACCAGCCTAAAGTCCCTTGTTTGTTGGATTTACATCAAACAAGGAAGAAGGACAGATGGTCACACAAGGACCTCGCATCAGATTTATGTGTCTATTTCTTGCATTGCCTACTCATTGGATCGATTAATATGAATACGAAGGTCACGCTGTCATTGCGGCTCAAACAAACAACAAACAAATGCAATTTTTGTACTAAAAAGTGGATACGACAAATGAATATCCGAGATATACCAAATGCAGAAAGCATATCAATAAGCAACTATAATCCTAATCTGGCTCCACAGGCGTGGGAGAAACTAACTTTCCATCCTACATCTTAGCTCTTCTAGCTGTGCAATGTTTAATTGAGAGACTGATGAATATGTTTATGGAGCCTCATATATATATAATATTTATATAGCTGGCTTCACTTCATATTTTTGGATAGCCTCGAATGTATTAGGAGCCAGTAAGTTTGGAAAACATATGGGACCAAACCTGGATATATTTCTATAAATATTTTAATTTTCTTATTGACTCCAAATAAGGCTAGGACTAAACTAACTTCAGCGCCTTCATCCTGTTTGATTGTGGAGTTTCTATTGATGTGGAGAAGAGATGCCAGAGCCAAGAACCGCTTTATAAAAGTACAACCATAATGTAAAGTTCTCTTTTTTAACATTATTTTCACCGAGACTGGAACCAATAATGTTATAAAGACAGCACAATGCTTCGTGGGTATCTCCTGAGTCTTCGTCTAATATTTCAGACCTTTTGCATCAGGTGCAATTTGGTTTGCCATTGACAAGAAAACGCGATCACGAATAAAAATGTAACCGATGCTCAACAATAAAAAAGGAAATAAAATGTAAAAAAAAACTCCGAGCCGAGCATAGACGCGCAGATGAGAATGAACCGACGCATGGACAGGCATGTGTACATGTATAAACGGTTTTCATTAACATATATTTATATATAATACATATACATGTATATTTACATTTATTTGTTATTGTGACAAATGCATAGGCACAGACAAACAAGAGCGCCCACAATTGACTACGAAAATAAGATCGGTGTCCTGACAGTGAATCCGGAAATAAGCCAATGATTTAGGTGGTAGCGCTGGCAATAGAAGTAAGCATGATCTAAGAAACCAATTTAACATTTACTGCAATGCGATTGATCAACGCACAAGTCAGTCAATCAAAAAACACCATTTCCTAGACTTGGAGCTTAGATAGCGTGTCATTTTTGCCATTCGCTCTCCAACAACTACGGAAATAGAGTAAGGTTCTTCCAACTGCAATAAATCCGGGGATACCAATAGTTAAGAACGGAAATGCATAGCATTAGGCTTTAGATATAAAACCATGCCAGTCTGGCCTCCCTTAATGGCGCACGATGTAGCAAAGTGCTAGGGGGAAATGACTCCTTTGCCTGTAGCAAGAACAATGACTTAAAGGCAGAGAAGTATGTCGTTCTTGACATACTTCATTGTTTTAGCGATAGGAGCCTTCTACATCTTGATCTTTCAGGGCCTTTCCTTGTTCAAGTGAATAGGGGCCATCTCCCCTTCCTCACACGTTCCTTTTATAAACCCAACTTCTCAATCATAATATGAAGCATACCAGCATTGATGATGCTTGTAAGGTGATGAGTAACAATGATAGGATGCCCAGCTGCTGTTTGGATAATATGCTTGGACTATGCGGCCAGACGAAAGTCGTTGCGCTCAGGAACAGGATGCAATGACCCTTTATTAGTGTAGCGTGATAGCAATATGCCATTTTTCACTCTCAGGAAGCGTGGGCCCCTCTCATCCACCATATTGCTGTGCTTTTTGGAAAGCAGTGAGATGAAGCCCTGAGCACTAAACAACTGACAAATGTTCTCAAACTCTTCATCGATTGGTGCGGGCTGCCCCTTATGAATGTTATACGCAGTTCTGCTGGATCATTACATTGAATAGAATAGAATAATCCCCTGGGGAATACGATCGATTGTTTCACAAAGATGACAGACGTTGGTATCTTTGAGAGCATAGTCACCTAAAGCAATGGAGCCAACAACTTAGTCGTAAAACACTCGATAAGGCCAACAGTTGTGGATTTACCGCTACCGGAGTGACCGACAAGGCTAGCTTTCTGCCCTCGATATCCGCCTGATTAAGGATATGTACATCTAAACGTGTTGAGCAAGGTATTTTGTATAATATTTTGGTCATTGAAACCACCTCGAGTTACTTTTTTGAGACTCGATGATACAATATCAGGAGCGCAATCAATGCCGTGCAAACAACAGCCCGAGCGTTAATGTTGGCGGAAATGCTTCCGGTGCAGAATGCATCTGTGATCAAGCGGAACAATATTGTCAAAATATCGTCCGACCCCATGTCGTTCTCCTGGCTTTTCAATGTCGACAGTATAAGATAGGGCGCTACAGTCATTTCCATGGATGCTGTAGTTCGCGCTATCCCTTGCACTGTTAGGAATGGAGCAAGAGTCAGTATGAGGTGAAAAAAAAAAAAAAACATTAACAAGTTAGAAATTTCCATATCAACTATGGCTCTTTTGTATGAAGACTGCCATGTCTTGTTATCATTACTATTATCATTATTCGCCTCAACGTCAAACAAATACGATAATGCCATCTGTCGATGTTTCTACAGGTATGGAGCAATCTCTACATTTTACTTCTGCAAAAAACGGTTCGCTGGGCAAGAAATCAGCGACTGTTATTTATTTATGTTTGTGAGTAGAGCATAGTCCTGTACACAGCAGCGCACATGTATTATTAATGAAGGTGGTAGCCTTACTCACCATTAAAGAAGGCTATAAAAAGCCAAATTAACAACTGATTTAGATAGAAACCAACTTATCTTACTGCATACCTCTTTAGTATAGGCCTGTGTACTGTACAAGGCTTCCATAAAAAAGGGGTCCAAGGAGCCGATTACTACGTCTTTTATGTCATTGCAAACGTAAAATTATCCTCAAAATAGTAAACGTGCCAAAATGTTCTGCCCGTCAAAGATCATCCCTTATTTACGGGAAAAAGGTATCAGCGGCATGCCGCCTTAATGAGAAGTGCTTATATCCAAACCCATGGACAAAAAAAAAAAAAAAAAAGCGGGAAAAACGAGGGGAAGAGGTTGATTTAATGATATTAAGGACCCATTAACAGGCTTGAGCATCGCAATGAAAAAACGACCATTTGTTATAAAAATAAACAGCGAGAAAGTCTTTTATTTGTTGTAGACTTGGGATTTGGTCCCTGTCTCCTTTCTATCTAGATATTTGCATGTATTGAAGACTTTGACAGCCCCACACGTACGGTGATCTTTTAAGCTACACCAGTAAAGAGTTCAAGGAGGTTGAGTTCGAACACTGGACCAAAAAGGGGTTGGACAAGTGGACAGGCAGGCACAGAGTTGGGGGAGATAAAATGAAGGGCGTAACAAGGGGTCATTTCCTTTAAGATCAGACGTAAAGAATGAAATCAAGGAAGATCACCTACAAGCATTGGCCAAACTAGATAGGCTGCGGCCCTTGCCATTAGAGTAATCAACTTCATTAGTAAAGAAGATAAGGTATCTTTTTAAGGTAAACGACTGGTTACGGGTATGCTTCAGGAAGAGAAAAGGAGAAAGGAACGGCTGCTAGCAGGGCTTTATACATCTTTTCGGAAGCAAGGAAAGGCTAAAAAGATCCCATCCAGTCCTTGACGGAATCAGGCAGCCCTATGGCACATACCATATGATATTCGTAGTAGGGCTGCTCTTGCCGGTTCCTTAAAAGCTCTTTGTCATCCTAGCTCGTCTTTTTCTTCTCTCTTTCATCCTTACCAGTCTTTCTTTTTCGAAAACTAAAAAAACTTCTGCATCCAACGCTTTCTTGAACTGTCCTATTTCATTCGCAGCAGTTCAGAGAAACAAGCTCTTCCTCGCAATCCACTTTCCTCTTCGCTTGTTTCCGTCTCAATCACTAACTACCCGATGTGGTTTAGGCACATCTACACATTAGTCAAGGCAGCAGTTCTAGTGACCATTGTAGGTGCATATACGCGCAATGGATTCGATTCCCCTTCACTCTTTGCTGCAGGCAAGTCACTACATTAAATACATCATGTCATACACCTTTGTAAGATTTGTAGGCTGGGCGCAGCTCCATCCTTTCCTTCTTCCCATCATCTATTACCGCTGTGCTTTAATGTGTTTTTAATCATACTAGCGATATTCTTAATCAAGCATAGATCAACACCATGATCTACATCTTTCCGCTCCAGCATTACCATTAGCACCACTATCGGCATCGTATCTTACCAAGCGCTGGCATCCAGAGCCACCACCAGTGCTTCAACGTCCTTGTTTGGTGATAGATAAGATCCATGGTCGCGCATATATGATTGGCTACGACTCTAAAGATAGACTCGTTTTCAACTTTATGGACTCGACTGAAGCCTGTGATAGCAATAAGCAGGAACGGTACAAAAGCGAGGAAACAGGAGACGGTAGTAAGGGATGGCAAAAGGAGGAGCCGCTCGATTGGCAACACGCTCAGTGGATCTCTCTCCCCTTTCCAGGAGGTGCTGTCCATCGTGGGCGTCGTTTTGATACTGGGCACTGCTTTTTAAGTAGCGATCATAAATTCATGGTGCCATCCTATGAACCGAAGGTGAAGGTGGGTTTTCAGTATGGGATCATGGTCGTCGGACGTGGACCCACATTCGGATCAATCGACCCTGCACATACCATGAAGAAGAGTATGAGAAAGGAGGCAAGATGAGGATGAAGGAGGATACCAAAAGGATTAAATTTGAGCGCCCTGCTCGAATGATTGTTGTGTATCAATCCTATCGCGAGCATGCAACACATCGTCACCGTAGTACAAACCACCTTGATGGTGACAACAACGACCAAGAAGCACTGGACACAATTGTAGCCCAATGGGAAGACCGGCATGGACGTCATCACCTTACTGGCGTCCAGCTTGTGAACCACATGGTCTACTCATGTCATGATATCAAGATTGGGCAAGTTTGTGTGTTCTTTAAATGTATTCTTCCTCTGTTAATGAATTTTTTACTTACTCCCATTCCTTTCTTCCCCTTTTTCGAATGTATTGCCTCTGACCAACTTAGAAAAGGTACTCTTCCTCCAAACATCACACTCGTGGCCTCGCCCAACAACCCTTATCACTATACATTCCATAATGCCCCCAAGAAATACAAGAATGAAGGTGATCATGGCAGCCCCTGTGGAAATACAGCACTATTTCTCTTCGGCCCCCAAGGCTCGGGTTGGTTCAACATCTCCATCGCTGATCGTCCCAACCCGAGACCTATTGACATCATTTACAGACAGCATAATGTTGATAAAGCTATCAAGGATGGTTTTCACCCTCTGCCTGATATCCATATTGAAAATCCACGGGCAGTTTACTATGACGATCAGCTCTGGATCTTTGGAAAGGTAAAAAGAATAAACAGCAAGGTCAAGAAGCAGTTACAATTCAAGCTTCCTTTGAGATAGAAAGCAAATGAACTAACCTTACTCATTATCTCCAAACCTTGGTAGAATCATCGCGGCGTAGGTGTCTAGAGCATTGATGTCTCGGGATCATCTAGAAAAGACTATGAGATCATAGTCCGGCCCCAAGGAGGGCCTATTCCTGGCAGTTTGACCTGTGCATTATTTATGGTGGATGCGACCGAGCCGAGAATTGCAGTACTAACCTGCGTCCTGGCGAGCGAGGCCGAATTCAAAGCGTCGCCCCTGTCTCCATTTACAGGCCAGGTATCCACGACAGCGGTGATAACAACAATGCGAATAAGAGTGAGAATCATGGAGGTACTAGCCATACCGGACCAGATGATAGCTTAAACAGTGGTGGGGACTCCGACAGTTCAGGTTCAGGCGATTCTGGCAGTTCTGGCGGCTCGAATGGCACTAGCAATTCAGACAGCTCAAATTCAAATGCCTCTAGCAACCCTGACGATTCAAATAATTCTGATAACCCTAGTTCAGGTGATTCTAGTAACTCTGGCACAGGTGGTTCTGACAACTCTGGTTCTGGCGGCTCGGACAGCTTGGGTTCAAATAACTCTGGTAACTTTGAAGGCTTAGATGAGGCTGGTAACTCGGGGTCTGGTGACTCAGGGTCTGGTGACTCAGGCGTGCCGGCTGATTCTAGTTCATGGACTCCAGACTCAGGTGTCCCCGCGGGTACCGCCTCTGAAGGCGTACCCGATGTTCTCGACCCCAACGACCCATACCCGAACCCTGATACATCAGGCCAAGTCTTAGTTGGAGTTACATCTATCCCAATGAACACAGCGAGCGTTACAACTAGTGATACTTCTGTACCCTCAGTTAATGGCTTTCCAAATAACGTTGCCAAGAATAGCGATGATGGTTCGAAAAATCATATAGATATCATTATTGGCAGTGTACTTGTATCCCTAGCCTTAATTACGCTTGTTGCTCTCATCTTTTTTGTAGGCAGGAAGCGCCGTTCAAATGATAGTGAGCTAGGGGAGGCGGGCTCTGGGGCAGACCAAAGCATAAATGGCGCTGGGATCTTTAGCTCAGAGAGGTATGTCGGCAGCGCGCATACACAACCCAAGCAGCCCACTGGAATCAATGACATGCCGGATTTGGCGCCAGTTACTCCTAGTATCGGCGATATAGGCCTCTATGGGCTCCCTGGCCTTGATGGTCCTTCGGGCACTACGCGCCCTGTCGCAACCGTTAACAGACACAAACGCAAGGGATCAGTTAACGTACACCATGAGCCTAGTGATGTCGCTTTTTTTGAGCCCTCTACAGAGTCTGATAGTATTCCATTGTTAAGGTCCTTGCAAACCTCTAGCCCAAAGCCCTTAGTAGGTGGCGGAGACCACAGTTTACCGCACCAAGCAAGCCATACACTGTCCGCAATGGTACCTATCACTACGACTGGTCCAAAGGCTGAAGTACAAAATTATTCGTCAAATACAAGCAAAGGAGACCTTGCTGTTCGAGCCATTGGGGCGGTTTCAGGAGCAGGCGTCGCAGCACTGGTGATCCGCCAGCATAGTGAAGGACTCCGCACACAAGTTGAAGGATTTTCATCGACAACAACAATGCTCACCCAAGATGAGACGCAAGAAGTCCTCTCTGGCCGTGATATGATTGAAAGCTCGTTGAAACACACAAATACAAACACGATCGCCTTGGAGTCGTCTTTAGTCATTCACCAAGATAAAGTCAAATGCGCTTCATCCCCTGAGTCAGTCCCACGGATCACCGACGGCAAAACGGCTACAATTTCTGAAGGCATGGGTCGTAAAGAGCCCAGTATCCACAAGACCCAAATCACACTTAAGCTCAGTATCGTGTGCTATGAACGCTCCGATGCTGCTCAGGCAACACCCCATGCAAAGCCAGGCACTCTGCTCTTCTCCCAGATGGAGATGCTTGGGAATACACCTGAAATTAACACTCTAGGTTCCGCATTCTCGCATGTTCGTGACATATCGAAGACCACTAACCAAGCGGCTTCTGGCCCTAGTGGGATAGTCCTCAGCATTGAGTCAGAGTCCCACAGGCGCTCTCTGAAGTGGATGAAGAATGAGTCCCAATGGAAGCGTGAGGCAGGCATGCTGCAGTATTTGAAGTCAGATCAGTACATCGCAGAGCTTTTCACGCTCAATTCCTTGCCAGCGTTTGCCGAGTATCGCTATGTGTCAGTTATGGGTCCGTTCAACTATACACTTGAGTCTTACATCAAAAGCCGTAAGGGTGTTCACGCCATGCACCGGCCTCCTGCTGCACCAAAATACACTCTAGCTCAACAAGGGCCACTCACTTTGATAGAAATCAAAGCGATGACAGACAGTATTGCATCGGCCATCAGACGGTGCCATGACCATCACATTGTCCATCTTAGCCTTACGCCGGCGAGCGTATATTTGCAAGATGCTTATGAATCTTACGGTCAAGGATACACCTCTAGCCACCCATCCTATCCAAACAAATCTGTCTGGGAAAATAAGAACGTGTCTCAGATTCAACAACGATGGAAACTGTGGAATTTTAGTCATACTCGATTTGTAGGTGAAGCAGTGGATCTCAATATGGAGATGACCCCATATACCGCACCAGAGATTCTGGTAGCTAGTCATCACTACAAGAAGCATTTGGCGGTGATAACGGCTATTAATAATAAGAGCCCGAACGAAGGCACTACAATTACAACTATGACAAAGGGTAAAGTAACCAAGACGACAACAACCGACACAACCAAGCCCATCACGAGCCATGATACTGAAAAGTTAATAGCGAATGCAATGATGGATATGTGGTCTCTTGGACAGATCGTATATGAAATGCATACAACTCAGTCCATGTTCATGACACATGAAGATGCTCTTGAGAAGCTGTCGTCCGTATTAGAAAGGCGTGATGAGGATGGTGATTTGGACAAAGTCAATGCGCACAGCAAGATCAGACAGCAGCTGGAAGACCAGATTCAAAAGATAGAGCGGATCCCAGACCACGGTGCACGCGAAGTGATCAAGGGGTTGTTGGAGATGCAACATAAACGCCGGTTGGATCACGATGAAATCCGTGAATTATATTTGAACATTAAATAAGTCAAGCACAAATCATCTTAATAGTAGAATAGACAATTATTAACTTTATTATGAACTAGAATGTCTAGCGAAAGGGGGCTGGTTCCTGACTTTAATAATCGTTGACACCATCTCAATTGGAAAGAGCAGAGCAGCTCAACAAAGCAGACAAAGCGAATCACTCCACTCTTCACTCCACTCCTCACTCCATTCAAAAGATACTCCGCGCCAATCATGCAACCTTATTAAGGTAGAGATCGTTAGTATACACATGTATCTATACAGATTTCATGGTGTCTTCTTTTACAAAACAAGCTGTTCAGTCCAAATGAGCACAGACAGTCTAATGTTCAACAAACATACCAGACGAAATGGAAAGACGTTGTACTTTTTTTTTCATAATCCACATAGTGATCTCAATGAGATACAATTGCATCTTTCACGCTCCTGATACTCGAGTTGAACCATCAACAGCAATATTCTTATGAATTCGCCAAGGTCAGCAAGACTATGATATGGTGAGTAAAACCCATATTTTGCTATAATACTTGAATGACAAGACGACCCAGCGATTCTGGATCCAGGTTGAAAAAAGCAAAAAAAAATGAAAGGGAAGGTTGAATAGCAACTGAATGCTATTCGACAGGCGTTAGTTTTAATCAAGACAATGTTAGGAGCATGCCAAAGCGATGCTCAATTTGCACTTTATCTGTCTCTGTCCATGCCGGTCAACCAGTTAGAAGGAGAGCAGACATGTTAACGCTTGCTATGCTAAGCAAAATGACTTGTTGCGCTCTTTTTTTATCAATCACGGTAGCTCTTCTTTTCCTCACCTCTTTTCCTTCTTTCCTTCTTGTTTTTCATCTCATTCTTCTTCATTAACATTTCTTAATTTGCTTTTCATTACAGCTTCATTCAACATGGAGGAGAAAAAGAAATCCGCTTTCGGAAAGGCGTTTGCTCGCACATTTAGTCGTAAAGAAAAATCACCTACAACAGTTCCTGCAGCCCCTTCTGTTCCTGCAGTTGCTCCTGCTCCAACTACAACTCCGGTTGCCCCTAACTCATCAAATCCAATTGATCCACAAGAAAACGTGACCCTCTCGTCTTCTCCTGCCACCAATGCTGTTAACTCTGCTTCACCCATTTCCGTTGCGACGCCCAATCCGGTGACTATCTCGCCTCCCGACTCGGCCAACGTCTCTCGGGTGGCCTCTCCAACCCATGATGACTCGCCAAAATCGCCCCAGAATCACTCACTACACTTGCGTGAAGGCACTGCAATGTCAAATGCGAGCTCTACTAGCCGTCATGGTCTTGCTGGTGAGGAAGGCGAGGGCCTTAATCCTGCAGACATTCTTTTAAATCGTCTCACAGCCTTCAAGGACGTCATCAAGAACCTGCAGCACTATTTTGAAGAAGTGGTCGAGGTCGAGACTAACGTCAGCAAGGCTATGAACAAGGCTTCAGGTGTGATTACTGTTCCTTTCAAAGATGGACAGCAGTTCTTGGGCAAGGGCGGCCTTCAGGATGTGTGCACAGGCCTGAGAGACTCTGCGAAGACCAGGAGTGACCAGCACGCCAGTGCTGCTCGCTTTGTGGACGAGACCATTGTCAAAAATTTGCGTCGACTCAAGCAGGATATCAAAGGCAGGATCAAGGCGCTCAAGACCGACTCTAACTTGTACAACAACAAAGTATTCAAAGAGCGTGAGCTTACTCAGGAGAAGGTCGCTGCTTTAGCCAAGGCTATCGGTCTCTTTGATATGTCTGGCCAGCATCAATCCGACATGGAAAAGGTGCAATCCGACCCTTATGTTATCAATCTTGGTGGGTATTGTTTATATGGTTTCTTTATGGGACTCTTGTACCTATTCACTCGATGGCCGCTATTAAATGCTTATCATTTGATTTAGCGCTAATCTTGTTCTTTATTCTGTATAAAAAAGCATTGAAGTGCCAGCTGGCCAAGCAGGTCCATGAAGAAAATCTTTTTGCGCGTGCATTGAAGCAGTGCCAGGATGAGATCAAAACCTTTGAGGCTCATATCATTAAGGAGGTTAAGCAGATCTTAGCCTCGTTTGCCGAATACCAGCTCAATAACGCTACGAATACCTTCAGTCAGTCCTGGGCCCCCACCCAGCTTGCCTTAAACATGCTGCAGGAGGATAGTGAATGGAGTAACTTTGTGGAAAAGTATGGCCATCGTCTCTTTCCTTCAGATCTCGTTGATGCTAATCCTGACGATTTGGACTATCCATGCAAAGATAACCCTTATGTTATCCCTGTCAAGACAGCTCATCTTAGTCGCCAATCCTCAGTGCTCAAGAGTTGGAAGGAGGGATATTTTGTCCTCACGCTCTCAGGGTGGCTCCATGTCTTTGGATCAGCAGATCGTGAGAAAGATTCTGTTCCTGACCACTCCATATATATCCCTACCGCCACCTTGGGACCCCATACTGAGGCTGGTCAGAAGCAGCATAGCTTCTCATTAGAAGGGAAGGGTAAGGGTGGCCTCTTGCACCGTGATGCTCAGACTTTCACGTAAGTATTATTTTTATCACATTTCAATGTTTGCAACTTTTTCTTCAATATCCTAATGTCTTTGTTTGTTTCTACGCTTGCATACATGTTACCTTTCATTTCGTTGCGTTTAGCCTTCGTGCCCACTCAAGAGAAGAAATGTTGGAATGGTGGAGCGAGATTTCAAAGCGAGCTCACTCATCAACATTCACCCAGCCTGGCGATGGTAGCTTGGACCCCATTTCGCGGTCAGGTTCCGTTGTGAGATCATCATCTGTCGTCCAGTCCAAGGTTGCAGATCATCCACAAGGGCCTTCTCCTCCATATGCGGCTAACGAACATCACACCATCGATGGGAAGGCTACATCTCCCGTTGTTTCTCCTGCTGCTACTTCTGAAGTAGCTGCTTCGCCAGTGCTTGCTCAGCATGTGGCTGCTCCAGCCCCTACCTCCACTCCAGCTCCAGCTCAATAATTAGCGGTGGATGAAAGGGCTTGCTCGCGAATTAAATAATTATTAATAAACAATCTGCGTCACAGAAGGGCGAAGCGTTTGGATAAATTAAGGCATTAAAGCCTCCTTTTCATTCTTTGGCTTTACATTTGTTAATGTCATTGTCAAGTTGTCAGTCATTGTTCTCATTCTTTCGCCCATCTCATCATTTCACTCGTCCACTCCCACATATACACACGTTCTCTTCTCTCTCCCTCGTCCCTCGTCCCTTTTTTTTTTTTTTTTTTTTTTTTTTTTTTTTGTAAAAATACAATTACCTCTACAATCATCATTATTTTTGGTCAGTACCGGATAAAAGCAAAGTACAAAGTGTTCCAGCATCTCAGTGTTCTTTTTCTTATCTTTCGACCTTTTGAATTTATTATAGAGCTGGAACTAGATCTGTGACTCTGCAATGATAGGATCAACACTTCTCAACGAACGAAGCCGTCAACTGCAACAGGCACAGGCACAGACACAGCGTCAAAACCAGACATCAATTCCTATTCATTTTTCACCTTTGGCCCAAACCGCTCCTCGGTCACTCTCGCCGGAAGAACAGCTGGCGCGGATGACTCTTTTGGACGAGCTCATGGATGACATTGGCATGGGAAAATTTCAAATGCAACTCTTGGTAATGACAATAATAAATAAAGAACAAAAATGCCAACCGTGGCATTATCATCCCAACTGTACTTCTGGGTCTACTTTTATACCTCATTGGTTGTCATTTTTATCCTTTTATTGTCTAACATTTTAATAACTCCATGACTACACAGGTTCTCTGTGGATTGGGGTGGTTTGCTGATAATGTAAGTAGCAATGGCAAAAAATAAAGGAAAAAAAGTTGATTTAACAGTAAGAATTTCTCGTAAAACATCTATTTTGTCTTAAACTTGATTCCATTCACGTAGATGTGGCTACAGGTAAGAAATAAAAGTGATAATTTCAATGGTGAAGTGGTGAATACACGCTTGGGATTTAAACTGATCAAATAAAAAAATGCCCTCTATTCTTCATTGTTGATACTCCTTCTTTTGTCGATCGATATCGCATGGCGATTAGTGCATGGCACTGATTTTACCCCGCGTCCAAGGTGACTACAGAGAGCAAATTTAATACTTTGTTGCTAGTTAATTCATGACCAGCTGCTTGATTCTCTTTGCGAGTGGAATGCTCATATCTGAAAGGAGACTGTGCTAATGCTACCTATCTCTTGTTATCTCATTAAAATCAGCGCAATTTGAGGTCCAAGATCAATATATTGGTATTCTTTCTAGCTCCACATTCGTGGGAATGATGTTTGGAGCAATGTTCTGGGGCATGCTCTCAGATTCTCATGGACGCAAGCAGGCTTTTAATTTTACACTCATCGTCACAACCATTTTTGGAATCGCTGCCAGTTTCGCCAACAGTTACTGGTTGCTATGTCTCTTAGCCCTTTGCTTGGGTTTTGGGGTAAGGATCCTACTATTTGCTTTTTCTTAGTTACTAATTGCATCCAAAAATGTCAAAGGAGAGTGACTCTTTATTTTGTTCCTAATATCAATAATTACAATCCAATTTCATTAATTTTTCAGGTGGGCGGGAATATGCCAGTAAGTAATCCTAAATGAAGCTGCTCGTATCAATTCTATCATTACGGAAACATTGAGAGCGAGCTTCCAAAACAACCATTGATTTAAACTGTCTCCTTTCTCCTTTTTGTTTCTGATCCATTTCTCCCTGCATTATTCATACGGATCATAAGGTGGATGGTAATAATAATGAAATTAGGAACTAGGAGGATATGATCAAGATATGGCTTACTGTTGTAATCAGTTACTGCTCTGCTAAGCCTTCCATTTTTTATTAACAGGTGCTTTGTTCCTTGAGTTTACACCAAAGAAAAGTCAGTATCTTTTGACCTTTCTATCAATTTTCTTTTCATTCGGTGCGGTGGCAACATCTATTCTCGGATATATTTTACTACCACCATTCAGCTGCGAACTGCCTGTGCCAGGCGGCTGCCAAGAGAAAGGATGGCGATACATGTTTCTTGCATTAGGTGGTGTGGTAAGTGAATCTCTTACTGGAAGTACTTTTATTTTTATTTTATTTTATTTTATTTTTTTTTTTGGCAATAAATGATGAATAGGGTATATTGGAATGAAGAATTAATTATATTTTTAAAAAAGACGCTGTCGATGGTTGTTGGACGCGTCTTACTGTTCAGATTAGAAGAATCACCCAAATTTCTATTGAATCATAACCGCCATGAGGAAGCAGCGATGGTTCTCCGTCGAATCTATAAAATCAACCACCATAGGAACCAGCATCGTAACTCAGAAGTTTTTGAAGAGAACATTGAGACCCTCACTTCTCGATTCAACTGCTCTCACGTTGCGGATGAACTTTCCTCACCACGGTCCTCAGAGGAGGAGCTATATTCTGACTCTGAATCTGTACAAGAGACAGAGCCATCAGATAATCGTAATAACGCCGCAGTAGGGCCTGCTAGAAGGTCACAAGATGATATTCATCAACGTCCAGGACCAATACTACGAAGTAAATACGGGATGATGTTTTATAGAAAACGTCGCCAATGGCAGCAAAAGATTGATGTCGCTATCTCAAGAGTGAAGCCATTATTATCACCCAGGTTTCGACTTAGTACGATCTTGATCTGGATCATCTGGGCCTTGGTGGCATTTGCCTACACAGCATTTAACGTATTTTACCCAAAGTTTTTACAGGAACATGGTGCAGTAGGCAACCAATCCTTACGACAGGTCTACCTGGATATCCTTATTTACTCTGCTGCTGGTGTGCCTGGCTCGTTTGTATGTGATAAAAATAGCCCTAGCTGTTAAATGATGGTCTCTTTCAACTTATAATTTTTAACATTTCGCCGTCTGCTAATCTTTGTTTTCTTCTTTTTTAAAACTATACAATTCACTAGCTCGCCACAATCATGGTTGAAGGACGGCTTGGTCGTCGCTACACAATGGCCGTTGCAACACTTGGAACTGCTCTGGCCGCTGCCCTTTTCGCAGCCTTAAGCAGCCATGCAGCCATGACCACATTCTCGGCTATTCTTAGTTTATTGGCCACCTTGAACTATGCTGTCTTATACTCGTACACACCTGAAGTATTTCCTTCTGAGATCCGTGGTACAGCTTGCGGTGTAGCTGCAGCCATGTCACGATTGTAAACTAAGCATGAAATAAGCAAACTAGAAACGACTCAATGTCGTCCCAGTACAATATAATTCTACTAACTCACACTTATGTTATTGTTTCTTACTGTTTAATCGTAGGGCGGGTATTTTATCACCTCTGATTGTTGGAGCCATGCTTACTGTCAGTACTTATTTCCCGCTTTATGCGTCCTGTGTGACTTTCCTCATTTCCGGTATTTGTATGTGCTTTCTCCCTATCGAGACCAAAGGGCGAGCTGCAGAATAGAAGGAAATCAACGAGTGTAAAAATGATTACCTATAATGTACTTATTAGATACTAGAATCCACGAGGCCTCCGCTCTAAGTTAAACTTTTCATTTCTAAAGACTATTTTCAAAAGTTATCCCAGGATATCTGTGTGAAGTTTCTATTTTATTATTTTTGGCAAAGACCCACGAGATTATATAGGGTTTATAAAATAGCTGTGGGAGGTTTTTATAATGTCTTTCTAATTGTACAACGCTATAGAATTGAAGAGATTTTTTTTTTTTTTTTTTTTTTTTGATAACAAGGACCCACGAGGTCATGTAGGATTTATTTAGATGTTAACTCTATAAATGGGTACATCCTGTTCATAAACCACGTCAGCATTGAGTAGACTTCCTTGGTCCCAGAGGACCTGTGGCACGGCTCTACTCCCTACTTGACCTGTTGTGCGCGAAGGTCATCCTTTAGCCGCTGTCCTCAATCATCAAAAATTTACAGCTTTCCAGGCGCTCCATAATCGCCAATTCCACCTGCTGCCGGTAGCTTGCCGCCACTCGCCGGTCTGCCTCAGTCCTGATCGCCTTCACATCTGCTGTTCGTCGTTGTCCCTGGTGAGAGCCAAAGAATTCACCTCTGCTACGTCTGTGCCTCCCAACACAGTTGCGTCCCCTGGCGCGTTTGCTCACAAAGGTGATACCATTGTCTCTTTCCCAGTTGACGGTGACTTTGCAGCATCTGTTCCAGATTTCAGTCCTGCCGAGTTCCTCGATTGACTTGACAAAGCGGCAAACAATGTACCTTGAGATCGATGCTGTGGTTCTGAAGATCGTCTTCCATTTTTGTATCAGTCCCTTCGGCACCAAACCGTGTTACAAGTCTTGGACAGTCCAGTGGGCATCCTCACCCTCGTTCCTCCGTCCCATTTTTTTTTTTTTTTTTTTTTTGATAACAAGGACCCTCAGGGTCATGGGATTTATTTTCTACACTCTATGAACAAAATGCTCCAGAAACTATAGTCAATAAACAGCTATTACTGCACAAACGACAAGAGCCGCTGTATCCATGATTTCATAAACCCTGACCGCCGTGGTTGGTACTCAAAGTCCACCTTTCCGACGTGGCCTGTTGCGCAACGCGACAAATTATCCGCTATCCATAGTCATCAAAAACTTCATTCCACCTAGCCGCTCCATCACGTCCAGTTTGGTTTTCCCAAGGTAACTGTCCCGGACTCGGCCATCCGCGATCTTGTAGATCTCTTTTACATTCAGCTTCTGTCTTTGTCTGAGGGAAGGGACAAGGAAATCATTGCTACTACGTCTGTGCTCCCCAACACAGTTGCGTCCTCTAGCGCGTTTGCTCATAGCAGTGATTCCACGAGCCTTTTCCCATTCAACGGTGACTTTACACCGTTTGTTCCAGATTTCTGTACGACCGAATTCCTCTATGGCCTTGACGAAGCGCCCTGCCATATATGTAGCTATCATTGTTGTTGTCTTGAAGCCAACTTTCCAACTCTGAGCAATGGACTTGGGCGTAAGTCCATGGTAAATGTCCTGCACAGACCAATCTGGTGTGTGCTCTCTCTCTTCCTCATCATCGCCGTTCCTATCACCATGGCGTCGTACTTCTCGCACACCATCGATATGCATCTCCAGAGTTTCCCAAATGTAGTCCTCCTCTGCCGCAGTAAAAGTTGGCTCTTTTGTCCTTGGTGGGTCTACACCTCTCTCTCTGGCCCTTTGTGCTTGCTCCTGCACTGCTTTCAACTCTTTCCTCCATGTCCCCTCCCCTATCACATTCACATTTTGGATTATCTCCTTCCACTTCTCGGCCTGAGTCTCCATCGTCCTTGGACATCTCCAGATGTGCGATGTGTCTTCATCCTCTGTCCCACACACTCTGCAGTTGCCGTCTTCATAAAGGTCTGGCCTCCAGTGTCTCATATATGACTGTATAGGCAACATTCCATGGAGTTGCTTGATCCTGTGCGCTCGCTTTTGGCAGTCCGCTGGGCTGGTGAAGAGTCCTTTCGGTAGGTTGCTATCATGAACAATGTTCATAGTAGCTCGCCAATCAATTTTTGTCCAATCCTTAACATGCTCCTGCGTCCTGTTCTGAGCGATCCACGTGTGATGTGTACGAGTTGTTGACTGTAACTTAAGGATCTGCCTTAAGTCATCTTCCGCTGGTACACCGTTGAACTTTGCATGGCAGTACATGTCATTATGCTCCGTTATGTTGATATCCCATAGCTCGCCATAATGTCCATGTTTTGCTGCTTCGTCCGCTTCTTCGTTCCCTCTGTTGCCGGCATGTCCTTTGACCCACTCGACCGTGACTTCCGATCCTTGTTGAATAAATGCGTTGTGTATAGCTGCCCACCATACTGCATACGGTGATCTAATACGTTGTCGCAACGTGCTATCCACTCTGCCTCGGACCAATGCTCGGAATTGAGTCACAACTGCGCTGTTATCAAGTCGGATTGTCATAGGTCTGTTTCGTGGGCTGATAAGTATTCCTGCCAACAAACCAGCTAGCTCTGCCTTTGTCGAGGATGCGTTGCCTGCTACTCTACCAGATAGCGCAGTGTAAAACTCACCCTCTTGTGTCTGGACTACCACACCAAATGCCATACTTACTCTTTCAGTGCCAATATCTTTGAGAGATCCATCCGTATAAATGACATTACCCGGCTGGGTATTGTACCGTTCCCTTTGGCGTTGGATTTTCTCCTCGGTATTGGCACTAATGATAACTCCATTTGTGTCCCTGGCTAGGCCTCTGTTGACTTCAGGGATCACTTTTAGGCACGGTGTCTCGTTGGAATCCAGGTCGACTTTTGCTCTCCTTAGCAGAGCTTGCTCGCTCAGACCCTCATATCTCCTTGTGTTCTGGGTCCGGCGTCTCCTCGCTTCTTCGCGGGCTCGTATGCGTTCACCATGCCTTCGCTCTCGGTCCTGGTGGCGTTCTGCTCTTCTGACTATGGCATCTAACTTTGCTCTTTGTCGCCTAAGATTATGTTCTCTGGTTGCTCTGCGCGCCTCTTTCATAACAGCTTCTCGTCTCTTTTTCCGCTCCTTCTGTTGATCTGGCACTTTGTCCATTTATGAATTTATCTTTTGGCACTTCGTCCAACTTTTTATTATCATTTTGTTCATTTTCTGTCAATCTTTGGGATCATTAATAAATCTTTCCACGTCAATTTCCACAGAACTGGCTCTTGTGGCGCAATTGGTTAGCGCGTCTGACTGTTAATCAGGAGGTTGGTGGTTCAAGCCCACCCAGGAGCGATATCTTTTGGGAAAAGGCGACTCAAAGTGTTTTTTTGGGATGAAGTTATTTGAACTGCCCGTACACACCTTATTTACACGGGTCTTTATTTCATCTACAAACAGCAACATGTATCCTACAGATTACATGATTCTAGCTTTTTATTTCGAAGGAGATAAGCGAAGGTGAGTCTAGAGTAGAGGGGAGTCTGGGATTATTACTGTTGGAACTTGCAGCGCCGTGAGAGCTGCGATACTCATCGCGCTCTGTCGCAATATTATGATAGGTAAAAAACACTAATGCGCTAAAAAGATTAGCAGTAGAAATTAGTGGCAATAACGCGCCACACAAAGACGCGATAAATCTTTGATATGAAGTTTTTAGAACGAACCTTTATCATCTTATAGATAGATACGTAGTTACCTGGTACAAGTCCCTCTACCAGAAAATGAATAAATGCCCCATGGGTGTGGTATATGGATCCATATCTTATTCTCACTTACTTTTCTACTGCTTATTATCTATCTACAAAATACTTTTCACGCTCTATTTCGCTCTACAGTCACCCGAAAGAAAGTCTGGTCAAAGTGGGTTATTTTTATTTTTTTATTATTATTTTTTATTTTGAATCTCTAACAAACAGCTCATTTGTGACATATAAAAATACTTCACCAACCAAGATGGAAATTTACACTTTTGTTAATGAGGCCAATGTGGATAATCACTGAGGTCTTTGGGCAGCACATGCTGAGGGAAAACGGGAAGAAATAGGATTGAAGACAGCACTTCTCTTCATAACCATTTCAGAATTTTATTTTTTCAACCAAACTTTCTTTCAGGTGATTGTACAATATGAAGCTAGTCCCTAGCTGTAGAGCATCTACATGTGCTGCTGAGTATGCAGTACTGCGTGCTAAAGACGACCCAAGGCAAGTTCTGGCTATTTTATTGGTGAAAAATCAACCCTGATTGAGTATGATAATAAACTTGGAATGTAATGAGACAAAAATAAGGAACAGAAAAGAGTAATTATGTCTCTTTTCTATCACTATTAGTTACGGCTATGCTATTAAAGTATTTTAGCTATTTAGATATAGGGATATAGGCTTTGAGTGCGAACTGTCACCAACTATCAAAAGATAAGTAATCTCTCGGGTTACAAACGAGTGAGAGGATAGACATTCCACAAAATAAACTGAGGTCTACCCATTGTATTTTCGTGAATTTGATAAATAATATTTAGTGCCGAGGGCGCTTGAGCTCTTAATAAAGAAGGACAGATATAAGGACATATAAGAAAGAGAAAAGAAAGAGAGTAGTAACACGGCACGCTATGCATCGTAGCAGTGAATATGATTGTTTGTATATCTACCGAAATAAACTACACGTTAATTACTGAACTCATCGTTGTGTGCTTAATAGTGACGGAAATACTAGAGATGTATGCACGCGCTAAATGAAAGAAAGCATCGGGGAATCTATAACAACACGGCCAACAAAAGTGCAAAGTAGAGCGGCATAGTATATTTCAATTATAGATAAATCATTTGTAATTCTGTATTTAGTCCCAGAGTCGCATAAAGAATATCAACATCTACTCGGAGCTACGTACGACCTTGATAGGATAAATATTCTGGTCAGTATTTGATGCTTGGGTATCGGCTCTGGATCTAAGCTCGTATCGTGGAAGGCTTCCCGGTAGTGGTATTTAAGACTGAAATAAAGACCCCGTACAAATAAAAAAAAAAGACCTGGGGAGCAGTGTAAATAAGGTGTGTACGGGCCGTGCAAATAGATTTTTTAAGTATTTGTACGGCCCCCATGTAAATATCTTTTTCCTTTTTTTTTTTTTTTTTTTGGGTCACAGTATTCATATACAATACGACGCACCAAACAGGAAGATCCTATATCGACAGATGCCATCTGAAACTTTGAGATGGTTTAATGATCTCAAGGAATGGATTAATCTAATTGGGGCCCCATATTAAATACACCATTATTTGACAGCCTATTTTTTGGGCAGCCACTTAACTTCACACGCTTGGGTAGCAGCTGGGTTGTCAGATAATGAGGTTATTTGCACGGGGGTTATTATTTCAGTCTTTCAATTAAACCCCGTCTTTAATTGGTGGGCTTCCTCTAAATAAAAATGTCAATAGACAGGAAGCATTAAGATCGCATAAATATGTTGATGCGCCTCTAACCGTTACTGTCACTGGTGTAGCTGAATGTCGCGATCAAAAAGCTTGGTAGATCTTTTTTGTTGGATGTCAACAAGTTCAACAGGAGCTCCTGTGCTTCTCATCGGCACAGAATTGTCCTCAGTAACCGAAATACGAGGGTTTTTACAGACAAAACTAGAAGTGAGGCCAAATAACGCTAGGTAGGTTGCCAAGCAAATCATGAGGGTGTTCCGTATTGTGACAGGATGACAGTCAATTATTGGACACTGCTTTATTTGCGACTCCAGAAATGGGGCAACCCATTTATAAAGCTAGTATCTTATCAATAATCAAAGCTCAGGAAAAACGCATTTTTGGATGGGTATCCCGTTGTTACCCTTTAATGAGGTATTCGTTAATTGGGGAAATGATATTCGCCCATGTGAAAAAGCTACTACTTGCCAAAAAAAAGACTTTAAATCTGTCTAGCTCTGTATGAATTGATCAAAATTGCTAAAACCACTTTCTATCTTTTGCAATATTCTCTTGGGAGTGAGCGTATTATCAGACATATATATATATATACGAGAGGCCTCTTTAAGCATATATCAGTTAGCCAGATGCAACAGAGAGAGTAGCTTCTTTAATCCGATGCTCAAAGATATAGACTAGGGATAGAACCAATACTAAATAAAAAGAGCAAGTGGATTGGTATAGCATCAGTAGCACAGACCTTTTAATGGTTCTCAAATCTAATCGAGCATGATATGGGCGTTACAAGTTTTCCTTTTCCAAGCAGGGGAAATTCCTACTGTGCAACCATATTGAGTTCGAACTGACTTACAAAATGAACTGTACTCATCGCCTACCTCCGATGGCAGTAGTAAATCATCCAGTTATTGCCTCCGGGGCACAAGCTACACAACCGTAAGCTCTGTCATCGATTTTTTCTAGACAATCGTAATGAGTCTGGGAAATATCTTTAAGCCATAGACATCAGAACAGTACTCTCTGTAACTGACATGTTCCACACCAATTAGCTATCGAGACAGCACCACAGGAAACCGAACGTCCCTGACTTTGGATTATCCAAGAAAAAGGAAAGCGAGGATCCATAAGAGAAAAACCAGTGCTTGATGGGCCTATTGAAGGCCTCTATCCAACCTAGTAGCTAGCTTAGTGATAAGCTCAAAAATATTATCCTAGGCTCTATCAAACGCCATTACTAAAGAGTTAATCTGCTTTGCACTACTTCCTACCAGCCTTGCACTATCGCCAGTAAAGCTACCGCCATTCTTTATAACTTCGGTTCGCCTCCAACCGATACCTTGGAGGCTCGGTTGCATCAGCAGTAGAAGTCGTAATAACACAACCAATCATTCAACTATAGGGACAGCAATTGTATCTATAGTATCTGCTAGCATCAATATATATAATTTATTCATTACATCAACCAGTTTATCTAATTTTTTTTTTCCCTAAAAAAGCGAGGGGTGGTATATTAGTGCTTTACTCTTCATTGACACGAAGGCTATCGACGAACAAGCGATATTTCTGGGCGCCAATATGGTCTAGATTCTCGACATGAAGCGAGAACTTGAGCTGTTCCTCCGCGCGTTTCTCGCGAACTTCACACCAGTTGCGGCGGTTCAACAGCTTCTTATTCTCAAGTGGGCTACCATCTACATCCTGCTGGAATATTTCAGTCATTTCCTCTGAGGTATATTCGTTCAGTTTGTAGGTTTTTGACGTCTTGTGCAGCGCAGTGATAACGGCGCCAGGGGGAGGGCCACTAACGAATACGAAAATATCGATGCAGAGTGTTAGATACATCTAAAAGAGCATGAATAAAATAAATAAAACCGAAAAAAAAAAAAAAAACTTACTTGACGATAGCAGAGGATACAATTTGTACCATGTCGTAAGGATCACTCAACCGATCTTGACTTGCAGAGCCGAACAAGCGTCCAGCGCCTCCCACATGCACCTAATTAGTCATGAAGCTTGCGTGAGCGTTATTGGGCGCATTTATCTTTTAAGTATTTCAAGGCTTTAACTCTAAACCCAATCAGTTCACTAAAGGCTTACATCACCACCAACAAACGTAACACGGATACTCCGCTGAACAGCAATCTGTTGGAGCATTTCAACAAGACGTTTCTTTTCCTCAGTGTGAACTGTGCAGGCCCAGGAGTCAACCTAAGAATAAAAAAAAATATCAGTAAATGTTCACGACATTTCCTGTAATGTAATCTTTTTTGCTATGGGATGCACTTACCAAATCGTCCAAGAGCTCAGGTCCAAACTGGCCCAAGACGTTTTCAAAGGCTTTGCATTTACCAAAAATTTTCCCTATTACGCTTCCTCTAGACAGCTTATCACCCATTTTCTCCAACGCTTCTTCAAAAAGCTTCAAGGCCGGATAGACTAAGGGCGTCCCCAGAACAATGACTAAATGCTTCGTTGTTGGCAACAGTCTGGCTTTGATTTCCTCCTCCATTAGGTAGTACGTCTCATCCGAGAGAATCATCTCCTTGGAACGCTCTGATCGCGTGTCGGGTAAGACCACAAGCGTGTTCTTACCAAAGTGAGAAATGCAGCTCCAGCCTTTACCAGATTTTGAAGTCAAGAGCCCTGCCTGCTGAGTACTGCTGGCATTTGTATGCTGCTGAAAGAGAAGATAGAAGCGAGAGGCAGCTGCACCGATACCTAAAAAAAAAAAAAAAAAAAAAAAAGTTAGAGCTGCTATAGTATTGTGTTTTAGTCTGAGTGCCCTCTCATAAAGATTCCAACTGAAATGAATGGAAGCGGCAGACTTGCATTCGATTAAAGATGAAAGAAGGAGGTTGCTATGATGTCTGCGATGTTATCTTCCCTTACCTTGCATGACCTCACAGAGCTGATACCTTTCAGGATAGGAACCATAGCCATCCAGGATGTCGTGATCATCCCAAGTGTTGACCGAAGGAATTACAGAGAGAGCTTTGGAGTAAGTGCCAATGGTATAATGTTGGATATAATGCTCAAAATAATATTTCTCGACTGCATATTTCTTCTCGTTATTGAATTCAGTGGCGATACGCATGTCCCCATCCATTTTTAGCCACTCAACCATCTCGGGTGTTGCTAATACATCATCATTGTAGATTTGATCACCGCCGCCGACCATGGCATGAAACGGCTTCTTGTCATGAGTGGCCAGCAGGTCATCCCATAGAGGGTTTGCTCCATTAAAATTCTTTTCAGGATCCTCGACGTCGGATGTGAATCCATTGCAAGAGTAGAATGCCCAATTGTAGCCTTCGTCCAGAGCAGGAAGATAAAAGTTCCACTTCTGAGGCTCATCAACGCGTTCACCATTTTCAGTTTCGAACCAATACTCGATCATCTTTTCGCGATGAGACATCAGTCTTAAATGGATATCATAACGGAAGAAATGATTGCCTTCCCAGGATTCCAGATGGCGTGGATGTGAAAACCCAACACGGGCTTTGGTGGGGTCGCGGATAATGAGGCGTGGAGGAAGCCCTTCCTTGTCGGTGACAATCAGGCAAGAGCCTATCCAGCGACGCTTTTCAACCAAAATGTCCTGGAACCGAAGGACGGGCCCACACTTGAACTGAGTAGCAGGACGGATGACTTCGTAGTCTTGACGGATGACTTCGACGGAGCAATCATCACACTGATCTTCTTCGTCCAAAAGCGGATCTACTATACAGGCATCCTTTTCGTGAATGGAGACAGTAGCTTCTTCCTTGTCATCTTTTCCAAAGAGGGTAGTGACCTTGCTACCAATCTTGGACACAAAGTCTCCAACAATAGATAGATGAGGATGGTCTTCGTGGAATGTCATGAATGGAGAATGGGTAAATAAAGTGTATAAGAAAGGATAAGGAGCAGAAATAGTAAAAAAAGAAAGATGAGAGGAAAAGCAGTGGTATAAATATTCGTAAAAGTCTTCAGAGAGTTAATATATAACGCCAAAGTCTAAGGGCATGCGATGCTAAAGACAGTTAAATAGATTTTTGGTCGGTGCCATCGTTGGTACTTGAAGGGAAGTCCGCATTTAATGTTGAAAGTACTCTGAAATTAAGCATAGTGTATATCTTACATGAATTAAAGAGGTGTTGGCATGAATAGATGAGAGCAAGAGATTAAACGGAGAAACCTTTCCACGAGGACGAGAGAGTACAAATATGGACTTTGCCAATAAACAAAGGGCTTTGATATGAACGGGCTAAATGATCAACACCTTTTGAGATTAGGATCGCTGTGTGCCTGAGATATATATATATCTGAATATATACTATATAGCCAAACAAAACGGCTCACTAGGGTATTCATTGTTCAGCTATTGAAAAAGGTTGTTCCTGTGGATGCTTTCTTCCTCCGACAAAGTAAAAATAAAACCATTAATGGATTAGCGGATGCAGCAAAATGGTGGCCGAATATATGTCATAGTATACATCACTAAATAACTTTGTACATGTATGTTAATTTCGCCCTCGCTAAATGACAATGTCAAAGATAGCCATCTGTCTGAATGATAAAAGTTTTTTTTTTTTTTTTTTCACCAACAAGGCTTTCAACATTAGTTTTTACAAGTTTAAAAAAAAAGTCCTAAGCTCATGAAATACCAACATGCACGTGGCGTAGAGCGAAATAAGGTCTCTTTTTGTGTGCGTTGGATTGCGTATATTGCCTCTCTCCTTGGTCAGTCAGAAATGCCTCATGTGCAAAAGGCGGATAGTTTGTAGGAAATAATGAATGATTGACTGACCTATTCCACCCCGATCCAAATGTGACCGTGTGCCATTTGTGCATTGTGTGTGCTTGAGAAGGCTTTTGTTCATATCACGATTGGGTGCGAGAAATGAAAAAAAGTGGCCCTTGCTTTGGCCTTTCTTTCTGTCTACAAAAAATTGAGTACGGGCCACATCTCTGAGCTTTCTTTTTTCATTATTTTTCTTGAATAAGTTAAAGGCAATTACCTCTTACCCCTTGTAAGAGCAAGGTTATGGTTGCTCCATCATTTTATTGACCAAAGCGTTTGTTAGCTTAATCCAGGATTCTATTAACAAATACGTTTGTCTAAATGAACATAAAAATTAGGTCAAGACTGATTCAAGCATTTTATTTCTCTCTCTCTCTCTCTCACTCTCTCACTCTCTCTCTCTCTCTCTCTCTCTTTCCCTCTTTCTCTCTTATACACTTTATTATTTTTGTTTCATTTCTTTCTACATCGAGCCGATTTACATTCCTTCTGCTTCTTATCATCATCAACATTATCAACATTATCAACATTATCAACATTATCAACATTATCAACATTATCAACATTATCAACATTATCAACATCATCAACATCATCATCAACATCATCATCACATTTTCATCAGTTTACAGGCTGAGTGTTGAGTGAGCATCTTGCTCCCTTGCTCCTTGTTACTGTTACAAAGCCTTTTTTTTTTTTTTTTTTTTTTTTTTTTTTTTTTGATTTTAAAGAAATTGATTGAGAGAAACGGACATGACCATCCATTCTATTTCCAACCCGTCTTCCACTGCTTCGTCCCCTGTCCTCTCCTCCTCTCCCTCCACTTCCAGTACTACACCAGTAGCTTCTCACTGGTCTCCGGTTTCATCTGCCTCCCTTACTTCTGTCACGGCTGCCATGACCGCTACTCAGAGCGGAAACGGAAATGGAAATGGGCAGTTTTGGGGTTCTTCAGGACTTGATTTGTCATCCTCTTTGAGTTCGATGAAAGGGATTGATATCCTCAATAGCGGTTTCCACAGTACTAATGAGAGCATCAATGGAGGAGGAGGAGGGAACTTTAATATCACGGACTACTTTAGCTCCAGCATCCCCAAAACATATAACAATGGCAGCGAGCGAACAGAGCGGAGCAATAGTATTCACATCGGAAGTCTAACCAACGGGTTGAATAGCCTCAGCTTGGTAGCTGCTCAGCAAAGCCATAATCCAACGACATCGTCATCGCTTTGTTCAGGTCTGTACAGCAATAACAACAGCAGTTTTACGACTTTCAATAGCGGTAATGGCACGATCAATGCCTCCATCAATAACACCCATGGCAATGGCAATGGTAATGGCAATAGCAATGGCAATCAACAAGAAGAGATCTCGACTATCTTTGTGGTAGGCTTTCCTGATGACATGCAGGAGCGAGAGTTCCAAAACATGTTTGTCTTTACTCCAGGTTTTGAGGCAGCGACTCTCAAAATCCCTAACAAGGATCAGCAAGAGGATGATGTGTTGACTCTTGGGGTAAATGGAATTAATCCTCGCAAGCAGATTGTAAGTTTTTATTATCCATATATTTTTATCCTCTATCTCCTAACAAATGAATGAGGGTTGCTGAGGTAGTTCTCATTCCTTGTTCGTCTGCATGTCATCCTTTTTTTTTTTTTTTTTTTTTTTTTTTTGAGTGGTTGGTTGTGTTTACCAGCATGAAAAAGTAAACAAATGACATGTACGCTTGGCCAACAGCACCAAACAGTGAGCGAGCACGGAGCAATGACAACCATCAAACGCTAAAAAAGAGAAGGGCCAATAGAACTTATCAAATTTGAACTGCTCATCTTATCAACATGGTATTATAGATTGGATTTGCAAAATTCCGTACCCATCAGGAAGCGTTGCAGGCCATTAGTGTGCTTAGTGGACGTAGAGTTGATGCAGAGAAGGGGTCTCTTCTTAAGGCTGAGATGGCGAAGAAGAACTTACACACCCGTCGAGGACTTTCGAATGAACTTGTTACTACATCCGGATATAACTCTGCTGCAGCTATCCCTCCCACCCCTATTGGTATCAATGCTAACTACAACGGCCCTTCTAATGGCAAGCTTCCTCATCTTTTGCAGCACCGGAACAGCCTCGCAGGCACTGCCGCCTATGATGCCTTTCACTCTGTACCCTGCAGCCCTGCTTTACCGAGTGATCTGCTTTCAACTCATGATTATCCTAGCAGTTACGATCTATACGCAGATGTTTATGCTCCCAATAATTCAAATCTAACCTTCGCCGAGTCTTTTGGTGGTCGCCGTCAAAATTCAATACAACAGCAATCTGATTTCTCATCTTTGTTCATGGGCCGCCAAAGTATACACGATATGAATGGAGTGGACCCTTTGTCGACAGGAAGTCTTGGTAACAATGCTGGAGGTCTCGTTAACTCGATCGCTGGCTCGTTTCCTAGCTCTTTCAGTAGCCGACACATTGGACCTGCTAGCTCCCAGCGCTTCAGCAAAAGCTTTTTAGAATCTGATGGGGACACATCTATGCCCTCTTCTGGATTTATCTCAAAGTCAATTCCAGCTCATACAGAGCGTGGTTTCAATAGCGTCCTTTTCAACAATGAGGATGTACCTAACCCAAGATTTCAAGGTTTACCGATTAATGCTACAGCAACAGCGCCACTGGTAGCACCAACAATCCCTTCGTCTGGTGTGGCTTCTCCTGCATTCCGTCCACCCATTAACCCTGGTGATCAGAACCCACCTTGCAATACTCTCTACGTAGGAAACTTGCCAATGAACACATCCGAAGAGGAACTTCGAGCATTATTCTCACGCTGTCCAGGTTATAGGCGTTTATGTTTCCGAACAAAATCAAATGGACCAATGTGTTTTGTTGAGTTTGAGAATATTGAATACGCAACCCAAGCCTTGAACGAGCTCTATGGAAATCCTCTCAGTAACTCAGTCAAAGGAGGTATCCGTCTCAGCTACTCAAAGAATCCACTCGGTGTCCGCAACTCGACACCATCCCAGCCCAGTGGACTCAGCAACCAGCTACATAACATGAATGGCACACCTTTCTTGGATCGTCGTGATAGCATGACCGCGATGTTTGAACAGCATTATTAAGTTAGCGGTTATTCTTCAGACTTTTTTTATTTCATTTTATTGTTATTCTGCTTATTTTGGCATTTTGATACTTAGGCATACTTTTCTTTTTTTTTTTTTTTTGAAGACGACCAAAGATCATATTCGACATTCTTCTTTTGTTCTATATCCAACAGATCAGTCGAAGCATACCCCTTATCTTACAGTTCAAAGACAACATCTATACATAGTTGGCATCAGCATATCATTTTTTCATTAGCATTCATAAAGGAAAAGAACATTATTACTGTTAGCTGTCCATATTTCTCAAGGATTCGGCGACCCTGGAGGTTGCTTCGGGGTTGCTACGTAGATAGAGTGGTGCTAGAGATCTAAAATATCTTTCTAAAAGATTTTAATCTCATCAATACTACCCACGAGTAGTCCCTTTTCCCAGTGACCCAACTAGAGGGTTGCATCCTAAAGCGAATGGAGTGGATGTTTATTACTAAGCTTAGGGGGATGTATTGATGATAGGGAACCGACTAGTGTCGTTTAGTCCACCTCTCTATCGGTGTCCCTGGTATCGATTACTCGCAAAAAAAAAGTTGCAAGCAAGGACAGGAGGACAGGAAAGACAATGTGAGCAAATCGCATGTATGGGTGTGTATCCAATGACGAGCCAAGGTAGACCCATGGCCTTCTGTGGAGCTATCTGTTAACTAATAAGTTTTGTGTGTACATCTACAAAAAAAGAAAAAAAAAGAAAAACTTTGAATGATGAGGCCCCGCTTCTCTTCTTCCTATCCTCTTTTTCTTCTCGTTCGTCCATTCTACTTTCTCTTTCTCTTCAGAAGTAATAGCAACCTCTTTTCACATAGCCCAAGGCTCTATTATTAAGAAATAGCGTGATATACTCGGAGCTTAACCCTGTCCTATTTCCTTTGCAAAAGTATTTCGTCGCCTTTACTTCTCGGATCTTTTGTCTCTGGATCCACGGCCAATGCTTAGTATTTGGATGGCTATAAGCACTCCTAGCATATTTATAGAATACCACTATGAAAAGAACAGAGTAAGCATCTCTCAGTCTCTCTATTCTCACAAGTCGACTTTCTTTTGAATACGATCGTTATGATATGGTGAGCCGACATCATCAGTAATATCAATGTCTCTCATATACCAATGAGCGTAAGGCTTACTTATCCTCAATTAAGATGCCTTCACCAGTGCCAACTACATCTGCTTATAACCATATGCCTTTCAGTGTTCTTGACTATGCTGGCGAAGCATCCATGATGACTGCAACGACTACGTGTATTGCCTCAAGAGAGCGTGACTTCATTGGTAAGAGCGAGGATATCAACAAATGTAATAAGGCCTCACCTGCCCATACTCCTAACAACAATAACACATTTGAATATATCACCGCCCAAAATAAAATCCTTGCCAATACAACGATCCTAGGGAAAGGAAAAAGGAGCGTTAATCACGTCAACAAGCGCCCCTGCTAAAATACACTGACCCGCTAGCATGACTCGCGCTAATATAAAGACTCTAGTAATAGCTTCTACTTCAGGTAGAGTATCTACTGGGCAGCCCTGCCATTCATCTGAGTATAGCAAGTGAGATACCGGCGCTAGATCAGGCGAGGGCGCAGCTGAGACAAATACAAGCGGGCAAAGTTTTGCTGTGAAGCTTTGCTTATCGGTGAGAAGCGATTGATTAGAACCGTAGGCTTCATAAGGACTCCGGAGGGTACTATGGGATATGACCAATTGGGTCAGGCTCAATGAAGTCGTGCTAGGAAGCGGTAGGTTTTGGAGCATGATAGATTGGATGTTGAGGTGTAAAGGTCAGAATGAGGATGGGGGAGCCCTTTCTAGATCTTTTACGCCTTTATTGGTTGCAAAATACAGGATAGAAGGTGATGGAACGAGATGGTTTTGTTAACATCAGGCAAAGTTAGGGAGTGCAGCAGTTCCAGCAGGCGAATGGTGATAAAAGCTAGATTAATGAGGCACCGAGCATCTAATATATAACGCATTAGCGCGTTTTCTTCTTTCTACTTCTTTGCCTAATGTTATAGTGGGTGTAAAACGAGAAAAGATCAAGCAATCTATTATAAGAGCAGAGCTTGATATATTTCCTATAACAAATAGTGATAACATGTAGCGTAGTTTTTTTTACTCGAAATGCCTTACCTTGCTCGGCAAGAAGTATGTGCCCTAAGCTCCTCAGCTCGTATAAATATTTGCTCTAAGTACCGAGGGTTTATTTGTATTTCTTCATCTTCAGCTTCATTACCATCTTCTCCCCTTGACACGCTCATAGGTACTATCCACCAAACCCGGCACTTATTCTTTACAAGGTGAAACGCGAAACCAAGCACTCAAACCCTTTGCCTTTGACCATGAAAAACATCCTTTCACTCAGCGCTGCCTTCGCGGTCTTTGCCATGTCATCTGCGGCCCCTTTGGTCGAGCTCGAAACCAAGCCTATGGTTGAACTTAGGCATTCGCCTATCGAGAAGCAGCAGATCGGCGGCCTCAGCTCACCCTCAGCTCTTGCATCCACGCTCAACACTGCGTCGGGGCCCATCAACTATGGCAATCTTAATTTGGGGACAGGTATGCAGCCTAGTCAAGTGGTCCATTATGGGATCGAGAACCAACCCAGCCACGGGTTCATTGCGCCCATGGTTGCTACTACCACTGCCAAGGAAGCTATGTTTCAATTGGCACATGTAGACAAAGCCGAGGGGCCAGTCGTAAATGCGGATTTGGAGGTCGGCAAGTTGATCTTGAAGGGTGATGTCAGCAAGTACGCAGGCGCCTCGAGTGAGAGTTTCAATGATAATGATACCAACGATGATGAGAATGTGGATGTTGCTGAGTGGGGTCGTTATGGATGGGGACACCGCCAGCCTTATTGGTGGTATCGCCATGGTGACTGGCACCGGCGTCGACCCTATCGCCGTATCCCACCTTGGTGGTACAGAAGGGGAAATCCCATGGCTGCCTAATCAAGTTTTCATTCCATAGGGTACTATTTGTACTAGTTCCTTAGGCTATCAGATACTGCTCCAATAAAGAAGACATGTGCAATAACTACGGACAGCTTAACCTTTCTTCCTCTCTCTTTTTATTATTACTATTATCATTGTTTTGTTCCTTTATTGACCAAGGAATAATGAATAAAGGAAAAAAAAAAGCCTAAGATGATTTATATTCGGGCCATTGCTACTGGAGACGAAAAGTATTGAAGCGATAAAATGATCTGAAATGCTGCTTGATCCTTTATTGGTGTGAAAAAAAAAAAAAGTAGGCTATGCGCGTTGGTTAGCATTTAGGGACGCGCCTTGCAGGCCCGACGCGCTTTGGTTTAAATCCAAGGCTTGTCAAGCGCTAAACTAGGTTTGCCCGTCCATAGGCTTCCCGATGGTACATAGTTATATTACGCATGCCAATTCCTTTTTTTTTTTTTGCCATCCATATCAACCATTATCAGAAAGCTCCGAGTTTCACAAGACCGATCAAAAGATTATCACAGATGTTACGGAGGATTATATTATTTTTATTGCTGGTTAGCGTGCTCTAATGACATCCACGCAAACCTTTGTTTGCGCCTGAGTATTAGCAGAATGTTCAGTTGGTATAGCTCTCTAATTTAGTATAAATAAGATTGCTCATCCCAAAAAAAAAAGACAGCGGCAATTAGCTTCTATTCACTACAACAGTGACTTCATTCACCAACCAATCCAAGCACAAATTTCACATCATCTCTTTTTTGCAGTGTCCGATGAAGTTTTATATTGCATTCAGCGTGGTTCTTGCCGTCGCTTCGGCTGCGCCTTTGGCTGAGACCGAAACACAGCCAACTTATCTCCTTGAAAAATCTCCTATTGGTAGGCAGCAAATCGGTGGCCTTAGCCTCCCGTCGGCCTGGGCATCAACTATAAACACTGGTGCTGGTCCTATTAACTTCGGGAACGTTAATAAAGGTACCGGTCTTCAGCCCAGTCAAATCGTTCACTATGGTACTGAAAATCAGCCTCATCAGGGATACATCGCTCCCAAGGTCATTGAAACAACTGCGAAGGAAGCCATGTTCCAGGTGACCAAGGCTGAGAAGGCTGATGATCTCATCAACGTCAATATGGATGTGGGTAAGCTGGCTTGGACAGGCCGTTATAGCAAGCATGCGGCCACGAACGACGAGGACGAGGACGATGAAGATGAGAACTCCAAGTGGGCCCCTTACCCTTGGGGTTATCCGCCGTATTGGAGACACCGTCATCATTGGCGCTGGTGGCGCCGCCATCGCCACTACCCTCCATGGTGGTACTAAAAATTACTTTGAAGAGAGCATTCTTGGCCATTGCACCATGAAGCATAGCTTTTGTGTGCGCTAATCTTGGTGGCAAGCAGGGTGAGATATTTCTAAACGTCTTTTTTTTGATAAATAGCAATAAAACGCTGTCTACAAATATAGTAGTATACAGTATGTATATTGCATACTGATCTGGCTTGTCTTTAGGTAAGAAAAATAGTGGATACGTCAATATCATTTTATAAACCTATTAATCTCGCGTATTTGAGGTCAAACGAACTTTATGTATTTGATCCTTTCCCGATAATAGTTATCGAGCTTAATAAATAAAGGTTACTTTAACCTACTGCAAAGTCGTGTTAGTCATTGTGTTTATTTTATTCGAATGTCTCTCTCAAGGTCTTACTTGAGGCATATCGGAAACCAAACAGTCCAAACCACAAGCTCCATCTTGTGGCAACTTAAAAACTGAAGTTAGTTTTTTATTGACGGCGCGATCCTCGCTTCTCATCTTGGTAGATTTTCTAGTATAGGTTTGTCCTCATTAAGTAATTCATTGCAAGCTCTGAATGGGTAGGCAGCTAAATGATGGCTTGGCGACCTCCACTGTGCCATTGGTTATTACTTCTTACATGAAAGCGAGTTTTCGGCCGCACATTGTTAGACATTGTGGTGTTGAATACCAACTCGATATCATCACTTTTGATTTCGGTTACTGTTAGTAGGGATGATAGATACCGGCTGGGCATTTTATCAAGACTGAGGTTGATATAGGCAAATCTGCAGTTCTATTGACAACAGGGGATTAAAACGTTAATAAAAAGAAGAAGCATGGCGGTGATATGGATGACGGCAGGCAAATCAGTCAAATGCCATGATGGCTAATTTTGTATCGCGTCACATGCACCTGACTCTGAAGTTTGATTTCATGGCGCGTTTTTTTTTTTTTTTTTTTTTTTTGGTGCTGTGGTGTGCAATTTCAAGCTCATCTTCTCGTACACATCATCAAGATTCTATTCTCATTATTGGACATACAAAGCAGCTCGTAAAATAAAAAGGAGAGGAACGCATTGCCAGAACAACAACGAGACGACTTTAAGTTTTAAATTATTTACCCAAAAGAAGTCGATAGACTTGAAGTCACTATCAGCTCATCACCACATCTGACAATCCAATAGCAGGGAAGGCTAATTCATCATCATGGCTTCTGCAGTGTCCGCCATCTTCATCTTGGATCTCAAAGGGAAGGTCCTAATCTCACGCAACTACCGTGGAGACATTCCTATGTCTGCTGTAGAAAAGTTCTTGCCTTTGGTTCTTGAGGCAGAAGAGGAAAGTCAGGCACCAGCTCCATGCTTCACAGATGACGGGATCAACTATTTATACATTCGTCACAACAACTTGTTTTGTAAGTTCTAGTATTTTATCGCCCCCTCTCCACATTTTCACGACTGTTTCATTGTATAATAGTATACTACGTGTGAGCGCATAGAGGAAGTCTTTTGCTAGAGATAGCGACTTTTCTTAGCGCTTGGAGTGAGTTAAACCTTTCAGTTATTGAGCCAATTATTCCTTCTAACTCTTTTTTCATGATGTCAAATATTTTATCAGTACTTGCTATCACACGCAAGAATTCGAATGCAACGACAGTTATGCTCTTCTTGCACACGATTGCCGAGGTTTTGACTGAGTATTTCAAAGAGCTGGAAGAAGAATCGATTCGGGACAATTTTGTGATCATTTATGAGTTATTGGACGAAATGATGGATTTCGGATACCCACAAACGACGGAATCAAAAATCCTCCAGGAATATATCACACAGGATGCCTATAAGCTCGAGGTTCAGGTCCGTCCACCTATGGCGGTCACCAACGCAGTCTCGTGGAGATCAGAAGGTATCCGATATCGTAAGAATGAGGTCTTCTTGGACGTGGTCGAGTCTGTTAATCTATTAGTCAATGCGAATGGAAACGTATTGAGGAGCGAAATTTTAGGTGCTATTAAAATGAAGGTCTTTTTATCGGGCATGCCAGAGCTGAGATTGGGATTGAACGATAAGGTCATGTTCGAGAGTACTGGACGAGGTATTTTTTAATTTATTTTCTCATTACTCTGTCATGTAGAGTTCATTGGATAGGATATAGTGCCTCTTCAAGGCTCTATGCGTTTAACACATCCGATTCGCTTTTGTTTTTTCTTTATGAAATATTGATAGCTCCCACGAAGGGCAAGTCGATTGAAATGGAAGATGTTAAATTTCACCAATGTGTGCGTCTCTCAAAGTTTGAGAATGACAGGACCATCTCATTCATTCCTCCGGATGGCGAGTTTGATTTGATGACCTACCGTTTAAATACCCAAGTCAAACCTTTAATCTGGGTTGAGGCTTTAGTTGAGAATTACACAGGAAGCCGTGTAGAATACCTCATTCGCGTACGTTTCTCCCTCTCACTTTCATTATTGTTGTTTTTTATTATCCATTTCAATCATTTGTCAGTCTTACTCTATGGATAGTGATTGATGGGCATAAGAGACTGATAAGCCCCCCATAAATTTTATAGGCCAAAGCTCAATTCAAGCGTCGGTCATCAGCCAACAATGTCGAGATTCATATTCCTGTTCCTGAAGACGCGGATACACCGAAATTCAGAGTATGAGAGTTTTTTTTTTTTTTTTTTTTTTTTGGGACGATCTGATGGAGTTTATTAACATTGTCATTATACCTAATACTATTTGGATTCATATATTAATCAGAGTGGCATTGGATCAGTACAATATGTCCCAGAAAAGGCTTGTGTCATCTGGAAGATCAAACAGTTCCAAGGAGGCAAGGAGTTTTCAATGAGAGCGCATTTTGGATTGCCATCCGTTAAAAACTGTAAGTCTTTGAATCGTGTCAAAGTCGTTAAAATGCATGGAGGTAGCTAGAGCCATGCAAACTGTTTTATCAAGAATTTTGGTCGCTGAAATTATCACTTCCTTCTTTTTATGCAAATAGTGGAGGATGCGGACAAGCGACCACCAATGTCTATCAAGTTTGAGATCCCTTACTTCACAACATCTGGCATTCAGGTTCGGTATCTGAAGATCCAGGAGCGATCAGGATACGCTGCTCTACCATGGGTTCGATACATCACGCAGAATGGCGATTATCAAATGAGGATGCCCGATAGTATCAAGGCTTCCAAGATGGCACCAATCTAGAGAAAAAAAGAAAAAGAAAAAGAAAAGGAACCAAGGCTTTGACGCTGCACTATACCAAGACAAACGTTGTTGGCCATTTTTACTCCTTTTTACTGTGTATAGAAACCATAGTAATTGGCAGGTCTTTTTTTTTTTTTTTTTTTTTTTTTTTTAAAAAAAAAAAATACAAACTTTAGAATACATCACTCAACATGTTATGAAAGAACTCTATTTTTATAATTTATATTTATGTTTGGAGCCGCCAGGTGTTCATTGAACCCTGTTGTCTTCTCTCTTCTTGTTCAAGCTTGTCCTGATATTTCATATGCAGTTCAGCTAAGGGTGGTATTAAATTCGCCTCATAGTCAATAGTCCGATCAAGGTTTTTCAAAAGAATCCGCAATGCATTCAGGGTTTGTTTTGTCGTAGCAGAAGCTAAGGAGCTTCGGACCAAAGGGGGAATAGCGGAAGGGAGTCCTCTTGCGGAATCAGCATTGCTTAGTAATGCAGACGGAGATGCGGATGCAGACCCATCCCTAGCAATAATGCCTGGAGTTTCTGCTGCCGCCGGCGTCCCTACTGTTCCTGCTGTTCTTACAAGTGGTAGCAAAGAAGTCGAAGATGTAGTGGAAGAGATCTGTGTGGTGGAAGACTGTGTTTGTGCGTCCACAGGCCTTGTTCTTGTCTGGATTAATCCAGGAGCTGCGGGATGGTGTTGATGTTGGTTTGAAGTGAATTTTATGTCAGGCTGGGGTTGGGTTTCAGTCTGAGACTGGCGTTGTTTAGCTCGACTTCTGCGTTTCTTGGCAGGGGCCGAGGTTGATGCTGATATCGTTGATGTAAGTGGGTTCTCTGAGATCGCAGTGGCAGTGGGCGCAGCATTGCTCTTGACAGCATGAACGACCTGCTGACTAAGGTCTGCTTGTAAGGCTGATATCTGGAGATCTTCCATGGATGGAGCAGTAGTAATGGCCATACTCACCGCCATAGAGTCATCTGCCATCACAACGTCGCTATCATCATAGTCATGACTATAGCCGCTTCCACTACTTCTACTGTGAGTTGTCTCAGCGTTGCTATTATTATCTAGATCTGGACGCAATTCCATTTGTTGATCCGTGTCTTCATCGAGCTCTTTATTTGCTCGGAATCGAGCCTCTGCTATACCGCGCTCTATGAGTTCTTGATCGGTTGAAAACCCAATAATGGTGCCATTTGCCAAGTCTTCTAAAGTCGATGCCGCTGTAGCAGAGATGCCTTTAGGTTTCAACGCATCGCCCATAAACATATGTCTTTTTGTAAAGCCCGATACCCAGCCATTGGAAAAGCTCGGCATTTCAATCTCTCGAAAAGCTGGTAAGGTTTTGATTAAAGCTGCCAACTCTTTTCCCTTTTGAATGATCATCTTGTAAGAGATATGGAAATTTCGATCTTGGTTTTCCTTAACCCAGCTAACAAGGGCTAAATCCAATTCTTCACAGAGGACGGCTCGTTTTCGTTGGCTTTGAAGTTCAGACTCGGTCATATTTCTGTATCGGGATTGTTTGTTAATGATTCTAGAAAGCGTTCCCATGGCCGGTTTGCGAGCCAAGGAGAAATGTTGTTGAGCCCAAGTAGCCAAGCTGTCCAGGGTCATCTCTGGGTTGGCAGCACGCATCTCACAGATTTGTTTCCGATGGCTATTCGTGAGGTTGACATTACGGCCTATAACGGTCAATTTCCCTGTAAAATCATTAGCCACCATATTATCTGTATCACATGTCGTTGCCGTCATCGGTATTGCTGTCGTTATTGTTGCAAGCGGTCTTGAGGAGGAGGAGGAAGGAGAGGACGAAGGAGAAGAAAAAGAAGATGAAGCTGTTATTGAGGAAGGCAGTGTTGATAAAGCAGCTGTTGCATTTTGCTGCGATTTATGGGTTTGTTGTTGCTGCTGTTGTTTCTGGCGGCGCTGCCGCTGCTGTTGTTGTTGAGAAGGTATTATTTCGTGTAAATGTTGATTCTGTATGGCTAGCGACGATGATGAACTGATGGGGATCGGCGGCTGAGAATTGGCGGGACGTAATGGCCTTCTTGCAGGCATCTTGATAATTATTTTTTTTATAGCCTGTTCAGAATATACAGTTGAGACGCGACGCGTTCCTACGGATCTGGCTATGGAATGGTTTAGAAATAGAGGTTGGGAAGAGAAAGTTGGTTGTTAAAGGATAGTCATGATATTCATGTGCTCAAAAAACGTCATACCTGCACTGTTTTCAAATTGCATGGGTTGGGCGGCCCTTTTTCGTCCCTTTACGCCCCTTAAATTCGCGCCAGTGCGAAACGTGTCTCAACGTGTCAACATCGCCCAAACTGTCATTGACCTATTTGTGTCGTCGCTGTAACAAAGTATATCACAGTAAATATTTGTTCTTTTTCATAACCTTGCAAGGCTAAACACAAACATCAAATAAGACAAGTGCAAGCAAAATTTTCCTTGTTAGTTATAATGTCGGAACAGCATCAGTCGGGCGATGAATTAGACGATTACAAGGAGCAGGATCGTTTCTTACCTATTGCTAATGTAGCTCGTATCATGAAGAAGGCTCTTCCAGACAATGCTAAAATCGCGAAAGAGGCTAAGGAAACTGTACAGGAATGCGTTTCAGAATTCATTTCTTTCATCACCAGTGAAGGTAAAAAAGAAAAATGCACAAGCTTTCTTTTATGGTCTCATAACGATTGTTCAAAGGCTGTTCTGTGGGGAACTGCTTATTTGGGAAGTCGGTCCTACATAAAGCCTAATGATTCTAATGGAACTTGATCATATCTTCTCTCTCTTTTTTTTTTTTTTTTTTTTAATGTAGCAAGTGATAGATGCCAGCTTGAGAAACGTAAAACAATTAATGGTGAGGATATTTTGTGGGCAATGCAGTCGCTTGGATTCGAGAACTATGCAGAGGTGCTGAAAATTTACTTAGCAAAATATCGTGAGGCAAGTTAATATAAGAAGACACAGATGCGAACAAATGTGCATCAAAAAGAAAAAGAAGAAAAAAGAAAAAAAAAGCTAAATCCAATGGTGAATTACATTTATAATACAGATAACTAAGATTGAACGACAGGCTGCAACAGGCAAAGACAAGGAAGGCGAAGAAGATGGGAAACCAGACGAGCAACATGGGCTTATTCAGCAGCAGCATGACTTTAGTGCAGGATATTATCAAGATGGAAACGACTATCAGAATCTTCAACAGTGAAGAGAGCCATCCATATTATCCTCAATCAAGAAGCTATCTTCCCCTAGACAACCAATCTGCGCTTTGGACCTCTCTGTCTCTTTCTCTCCTCTTCTTTGTTACTTTCTTTTCCTTGCCTACATCAATTGTATCATATTCCAACGCGAAACATTAAAGAGAAGGTCTCGATCAGTTTTAACAACAATTAAATTTTAATTTGGAAATGCATGCTCTTAATGCTTTAGACACAAGGTCCAATAAGATCAGCCGCGGAGCCATCCATTTTTTGAATTTTGTGCGCGGTAGTTTCCCTTGGACTACATTTAGGGCGAAACCTTTTTCATGTGTAGTCACAGTGCCACTATTTTAACCGTTCTCATCTTCATTCACCCTTCCACATTGTCACCACTAACAAGCACGCGCCTGACATTCATCTTTACCATTAATCTACCACAGCCTATCATATTCTCTCCGTCCTCACCCTCTTCTTTGCAAAAAAAAAAAAAAAAAAAAAAAAAAAAAAAAAATAGAAGGTTTCTGGCTTCTCATTCTCATCCATTCATACTCATTTTCTATTTTGTTTTTTGTTCACAATGGGTCTCTTGACTATTCTTAAGAAGAATCGCCAGAAGGAAAAGGAAATTCGTTTGTTAATGCTCGGACTTGATAATGCTGGGAAAACGACCATCCTTAAGCGAATCAATGGTGAGGATATCGACACCATCTCTCCTACATTGGGTTTCAATATCAAGACATTGGAGCACAAAGGGTATGAAAATACGATAAAAAATAATAGACAATGTATGAGTAAGAAGAAGGATGTTTGCCAGTAGGCGCAAAGCATTGGTTATTCAGTTCTCGCACACGATTATTCAATTTGCTGTTTATTTAAATACTTCAGGTTCAAGATGAACATTTGGGATGTTGGTGGTCAAAAATCAATCCGTTCTTATTGGCGCAACTACTTTGAACAGACAGACGGTCTAGTGTGGGTGGTCGATTCTGCCGATCGGCTGCGACTTGAGGACTGCAAAAAGGAGCTCCACGAACTGCTTAAAGAGGAGGTAAAAAATATGTGTACACATTTGTCATTCCTTGTCGAAAATTTTTATTCTAAACAATTGAGTTAACTGATCATGATTTGGTTTGATTTTTGTGCAGCGCTTGTCTGGTGCATCCCTGTTGGTGTTTGCAAATAAACAAGATCTCCCTGGTGCTCTTAATGACGATCAAATCCGCGAGGCATTGGAACTTGATAGTATTCAAACTCACCATTGGGCAATCCTCGCGTGTAGTGCCAAGACAGGTGCCCACCTTCTCAAAGGCATGGATTGGATCGTAGGCGACATAGGATCAAGGATCTACTTACTTGATTAGTTTTTTGCTGCGTGGAAAAATTAGTAGTAATAAAAGGACCTTTAATGTAAAAACATTCATTGTTTGAGGATAACTTTCTGAAAAATAGGTTACAGTGTTCTGATTGGACAGGAATGTGGGGAAACAAGAGTCACACCCATTTTTTTTTTTTATCATTGTGCGTGCGTGAAAAAAGAGTCAAGTTGGATCCGATATTTTATTATCATTCCGATAAGTTTCATTGGGGATTTTTTTTCTTTCTTATTTTTCTTTCATTTGTCGTCCAAAACCCCTCTCCCCTCTCCCCCTCCCTCCCCTGATTATAATCCAACACATTCATTCCTAACAGCCATGTCCGCAATCAAGGAGAAGCAGGCACCAAAGCGTAAGGATATCCCATTTTCACACCAAATTCAGCTATGTGAAGCGTATCGCTGCTGTAAAAGATGCTGTCTATGGATGCTCAGACAACGTATATAGGAAAAGAGTGTTGTCAGTGGACTTTTGGTTCAGCAGGCTTCCAGTTAGCTCAGGATCACAATTGACTTCACGGATCTCTTTTTTAACTTTATTTCGCATCACCTTGTGTGTACAATCCATAGCCTTGCCCTTCCAGTGGCAATTCTTGGCTGGCGCTGTTGCGGGTGTTTCTGAAATATTGACCATGTATCCCCTTGACGGTGAGTTGTTTTTTGTATCGCCAGTAACATTGGTCATCTAATTTGTCATATTGATTGACTCATTAAAAAATATATATGTCTGTTTATGAATTTAACTGCATTGTAGTCGTCAAAACTCGCTTTCAACTTCAGGTTGGAACTGGAGGGGCTGACGGTTACAGCTCGATTGGCGACTGTTTCAAGAAGATTATCAAGAACGAGGGGTAAAAGCTAATGTTATTTTCTATGACAATGTGTGAATTTTTTTGGGGCGTAGGACCAGCAACTTTACTTTATTTGCTGGGATAATGCATGCGAAAGAGAAGGCTGCAAAAGACAGGTTGATTGGAACGAGCAAATCTCGATTTTGTGCACTTTGGCATGGTTATTAATTCTGCTTATGTTTGTGAGCACTTGTGATTGACAAATGTTTTCATATGGATTACGCGCTTGCATTTCTATTATTTGTTAGCTTTGGTACGTTGTATCGCGGTATTATCCCTCCTATCATGGTCGAGGCTCCTAAGCGCGCTACTAAATTTGCAGCCAACGAGCAGTACACGATTCTGTACAGGAACATTCTTGGCCAGGATGTCAACAAGCAAGCTTTGTCTATCTTAACTGGTGTCAGTGCCGGTATTACTGAGGTAAGGAAGTGAGATACATATCGAAAAATATGTTATAGACCTAATCATTGACATAATTCTCCATTTCTTCTAATGATTCTCGGCATCATTAATAGTCCTTCCTCGTCGTTCCCTTTGAGCTGGTCAAGATCCGTCTCCAAGATAAGGCTAATGTAAGATGGTCTTCACATTGTTGTATTGAACTCAAATTTTTGTATCTTGCAAATTTGCAAGAAACAGTGGGATCGTTTTTTCCCTCCTGTACCGTCATATACTAATGGTATCCTATTTGGGTTCAACAGGCTGGAAAGTACACTGGATCGGTGGACGCCCTTACCAAGATTGTGAGGCAGGAAGGACCATTAGCACTCTACAATGGTTTGGAAGCTACAGTCTGGCGTCATGCTATGTGGAATGGTGGATACTTCGGATGCATCCAAGGAGTCAGGAACGCTATTCCCGAAGCTGATGTAATAGTTTGTAAATGGCGGTATTCAAAAGAGTGACATGAGCTATGAGTTTGAGGAATCCTTAGCCTAACGATTTTTTTTTTTTTTTTTTTTTTGTAGACTTCCAATGGCAACTTGGCCCGGAATTTCATTGCTGGAGCCATTGGAGGAACTTTTGCCACTATGTTAAATACACCATTTGATGTTGTCAAGACCCGTATCCAGAACCAGGCTAAGGGTACAGTTCACAAGTACAACTGGACTTTGCCAGGGGTTGCCATTGTTTATCGCGAAGAAGGGTAAGCACCATATACCTCGCAAAAGAGTGAAGAGTACTTCAAGAATACAGACTTTAACTTTTCATTTCACTTTAACCACAGATTCCGTGCTCTGTACAAGGGATTCGTACCAAAAGTTCTTCGTTTGGGACCTGGTGGTGGTATTTTGTTGGTTGTTTTTGATACCGTTTCAAATCTCATCCGCAAGCATGTTCTTCTAGAGAATGTCTGAGGTATATGAGTATATTTCAGGCTATAATATTACAAGCAAGCGAGAGTGGGAGTCCTTCATTTCAATCATAGACTGCATCTATTTCTTTGAATAATATCTGATGTATAAATTTTTTCTTCATTGTGTGGCGCAATGGTCTTTTATTGTCAAGTGCAAGTGACTTCGCTTTGGTTTTTTTTTTTTTTTTTTTTTTTTAAAAAAAAAACCCCCTCTTCTTTTGTCTTTACCTTTCTTTCATCCGTATTTTTTTTTTTTTTTTTTTTTTTTTTTTTTCTCTCTCTTTTGTGAATGATTTCATTTGTTGGTCAATTAGTCAATTAGTCAATTTTTCTGTTGATTGCCATCCACTGTCTTTTATTTGTAATTTTATTGCGATTATTATCACGTTCAAAGTTTGCTACACTCTCTTTATATATATTTTTGTGAAGTATGTCTGCCAACGGCGCTCGAAGGACTGGAAGAGTCAAGTTCTTTAACAGCCAGAAGGGTTTTGGTTTCATTATCCCCTCTGAAAGCTCGGAAGCAAGTCCTTTGGATGAGGGTAAGCAAAAGCGAATCCTCCACAGAAAAATGAGGTTACATCACAAGCACATCTTCAACGCTATCAAATCAAAAGATTTTCACCACAGAAATATCCTCGATGATCTTCACAAACTGATTTCGGCGTTGGGAGTCTAAAAGTCTTTATGGCTTGTTATAAAGCTTTCTCGATCCATTATCTCTTCGTTTATAATACTTAAAAAAGGCTTTCAATTGTTCAATCTGGCAAAATTCATGGATTGCGTGCTTTACCCTCTTTTTTGTCTTCCTTCTTAACGCATATCAAAAGCAGACAGCGGAGCTAAAAACACCTGTGTTTTTTTTTTCAGAACGAGTGCACGTCACCTGCACAATGAAGAGTCTAAATTAATGGTCTCAGAAATAAAGAGGTGAAAGACATTTTGATCTTTTATTCGGGTGAAAGATAAAGGAAGCTAGTATTTTAGGGATCGAGAGCGATATGTGCCTTGCATGTCTGACCTCGTTGTCGTGTACTGCCAGCCAAAGTGATGTTAGGTGAGGTCGTTAGCATCAGCAGTTAGCACATTCTTACAACCGCAGGACCGGATGGAATGTCTACAGTTGATCGCATATACGCACGACTCGTAAGCTAGGTGTACATCCACAACGCGGCCCTGACACTGACACGAATAAGTCGATAGTACCTGAGGTATTCATCAGACAGATATCATTCATTGATGGAGAAGGGTTTGAAAGCAAATATCGTCTCAGTCAACCTTTATCATTCTCTATTATTTATCCTTTCGCAAACTACCTACTTCCTTTATTTTTATTATTTTATTATTTTACTATTTTATTATTTATTATTTTATTATTTTATTATTATCTTTTTTATTACTTTTATTACTTTTTATTATTAATTATTTTTAATTTTCAAAGATGAGGGCTTAACAACTTGAACGATATCCTGGTTGTGACATATTTAGTCTTCGTACATCATACCGCCATCCAGAATGATGGAGGCTTCAAGAGTCTTGCAGAGGTGCGTTTCAAAATAGACTATTTCTAAGTTTATGAGGCAAAATGTTCTTACGAGGCATGACTAAAATTTCTTACTTCATCGATTACTGAAATAATAGGGTGAAGAGGTACAGTAACATGCTTTAACAGGAAGGATAAAACAATACTTTATACTATAAGGATCTAATCCCATTAATCTACTGCACTTTATCTAGGTTGAATACGACATTGTACCTGGCCCTAAGGGTATGCAGGCTGCCAACGTGACAGGTCCAAATGGGACATCCGTTCGTGGCGATCCGAATCTTGGTCGCGGTGGTTTCGGGTAAGATAGCAAGCATGTCTGTAGAGTATTGTTGCTGGAGAAGATTGATGTGGCATATCATGACATGGCTAATCAAACTCTATGTCTATGATGTTTTATTTAGGCATAATAATAACCGATATGGTGGATATGGCGGCTCCAATGGTATGATTCAACTGCATTCTGATTTTTTAAAAAAAGTAAAAAAATTTTGACTAATCTTTTTTATTCATTATCATTTTTTTAAAGCCTATGGTGGAGGATATGGACAAGGCCCCAGTGGCCAACAAGGATATGGCCAAGGGTATCAGCAGCCTGGATTCGGCACCCAAGGATTTCAACACGGCAACAATCAATTCCAATATGGGTACTCCCAGAGTGGGTACGGCGGAGGCGCTAGTGGTGTAGGAGCCAATGTAGGAGGTCTTTCAGATGGTCAGATGGGACAGCCAGGCCATCTTAATCAGCAGTCCCAGCAGCCGAGCCCACAGGCGCAAGGATTCAGAGGTAATGCTGGAGGGCTTCCGGGCGGATGGAACGCATCTGGGGTTCCTCCACAGTACTGAAGTTTATAATCAACCTTTTTCATAGCTTTGTGAATATGTAGTGAGAGTAGACTCATTTGTCTTTTTCCACTCTCAATGCATTAACATTCAGATTAAACTATTGCGATGAGTCATGTTGACTAAATTGATGTTAAACAGAGTTTCCACCTGTCAGGAAGGAACTCTTTATTTTAACAACCATTGTGCCTGCTATTGTCCAGATGATTGAGTTGAGGAGGTCTTTTTTGAGTATTTTTTTGTAGGACAGCTTGGAGAGGAACCTCCAGCATCAATGAGAGCTTGACAGCAGCGTCCCAGCTTTTCGATCACGTCTTTACAGCGACTCTCTTGGTAGTTGTTCTTTGTAAGGCAGGACTGGATCGCGCAAGCCTCTTTGTGGCAGGGTTGAGAAGTAGAGGGGGTGGAATCGATTGCCATTTAAGTAAACGAAGCGGAAATGAATTGGAATGAGACTATGAAGATCAAAGAAAGAATGAGATACTTGTCCTCGTGTGGCTGCTGCAAGAACCGATTTATTTAGATTTGGAATGTTACATTCAACACTATTTATTTATTTTTTTCTAATGGTCTTCCACAACCCTCAAAATCTACTAGGGAGTTTTGCAGAATGGATGCCTTCATTCTCGCATCTGATTCAGCTATACTTTATCATCATAACAACTATCGCCTTGCTTGCTGCCACACTTCCTGCCTTGCATGATTCCATACTGCTCTATGGCAAATTAGACTTTCCTTCACCAGCAAGTTCTTCGTCTACTGCTCCCCCTAAATCGGCTAAAAAGTCTATTAATCGCTCAGAAACAAAAGTCCATGATCACAGCACGTTCTTCGCTGTTCTTGGGTCGTTCAAGGTTCCGAAGGCATGGTTCGCACACTTTTATGTCTTCGCCTCGTTCTGGATGATCTATCTTACACTGGATCTCCTACTCTACACTTCTTGCTCTTCTGCTTCCATTTCAACTTCACCTTGCCAAATATCTTTTTATTTACCTCAGTTTTTAATCTCTTCATATCATTCATGGAGCTTCTTGAGATTATTGAACTTGATAGGAATCATGCCTACTCATTACCTACGCAGTAGCATGACGTCTTGGACGCCACCGCCTGAGATTGTAATCGCCATGTTTTGCTATTGGATTCAGGTCCTTCGGAGATGGTATGAGTCCTGGTTTGTGGAACAGTCTTCTAAGGAAGCCAAGCTTCATCTGGGGCATTATTTTGTCGGTATTTCGTTTTATGCTGCTATGGCCCCAGCACTTTGGGTCGATGCATATGAGACCTGGAGCAGATCAACCACCACCGCCATAGCCGAAACAAAAACATTAACAAGAATATCATGGATGAATGTAAATCCTTGGTGTTGGATGGGAATGGCTCTGTTCTTGTGGGCGTCTTGGCATCAACACCGATGCCATGTCATCTTAGCCAACCTCAGACGACCCGAATCACATGAGTGGCTGATGGGCAGCAGAAATAGTGCCGGCAATGGCACTAATAACAACAATAACTTCCAAAAGTACAAGGTGCCATTTGGAGATTGGTTCGAGTACTTGGTCACGCCACACTATTCGGCCGAAATGGTAATTTATTTTGGACTTTACCTTATGGTATCATCCGCTACCATTTTTACTATTGATCTACCGTCGTTGCCGATATCATTGCCATCATTATCACGGTCGATTGCAACAGATAATTCGAGATTTAACTCATGGGCTGCTCCAACTATGCTCTATGCTTGGATCTGGGTGGTCGTGAACTTGGGTGTTGTGGCCAGAGAAACAGATCAATGGTATCGGTCCCGGTTTGGCGAAGGGTATGCAGGTACGATGGTGATGGAAACTAATGGAATGCGACACATCGTGAGGAAACGAAGAGCGATTCTCATTCCCTTTATTTATTAGCTTAGAAGGAGGAAGGAAAGAAGTAAAACAAGGAAAACATCTGTATGTAGGATTGATGTTGAGACAAAGTGTTGTAGTTGATTAGAAGCATACTAGATCAACAAGTGTTTTCAAAGAGATAAGCATGACCTGTACAAATATGCAGAGGCAAAATGAAAGTATTGTGATCAGATCATTTCATTCATTAAAAAAAAGTGTTAGGGTGTAGTCAAAGTGATTGTCATTATCGTGGCGATTGTAATGTTCGTCTTTTGTGTAATGTTTTTTGTGATTGAGAAAACTCTAAGGGTATTATGAAAAAGAGCGAGTAGTGATTTTTTTTTTTTTTTTTTTTTAAAAGGGCGTGGTGTTATGAATGAGTCTTTTCAGTGGCCAAATTGGAAGGCCCACCGTACTTGTCCTTCCAGATCCATTGATTGCCCATTAGTTCAGCTCCTTGTGCTGTAGCCATTCGATAGTACTTTGCGGACTTGTACATGTCTTTCTTAACACCCACGCCATGGAAGTAGCACCATGCAAGATCATTCTGAGCATCAGGGTCACCCTATTCAACCAAATTTACACAGAGGTTCAAGGAAGTTAGATGTGATTTGCTTTAAAGCATTCGGAAATTACAAATAAGCTCACTGTTTATACTTTCTCTCTTACCAAGTTCGCTGCAATCTCGAAATAATAGGCTGCAGTCTTTTTGTTCCTCTCAACTCCCCATCCATGCCGGAAACAGATACCAAGTTCATAGATCGCTAGTACTAGTTCACCTTTGGCTGCAGAACTTGCGAACGAGTCTCTCGAGTGAAGGTCGCCGACAGCGTGCTCTGCACTCTTTTGAAGATACTGGAATGCTAAAACTCGGTTCGCTGTACAGCCCCAGCCATGTCGAACGGACAATCCATACATTAGCATGCCCACTGGATCGCCTAACTCAGCAGCAATTCGAAAGTAATTTGTAGCTTTGGAGATATCTCCATTCTCATGAAGCTCGATCCCTTGACGGACATAATCTTCTGCCTTTTCGGGCATCGGATTTGAAGGTCCCACAGCTTCTTCAGGCCGAACATAGCCATTCGTGGGGAAATGATGAGCAGGATGCATATTAATATTGTTGTTTCCATATCCTCCTGCGCCAACACCACCCCGGGCAGTTTTTGGGAGTGGATGATGTGTGAAAGTGCCATTTCGACCTATGGTTCGGGGATAGGGACCGCCACTATTGGGGGAAATAGCGCCTCCACCACGTCCATATTGTGATCTCATGCTTTGAGAGCTCTCGTGACTAGGCCTTGGCTCAAGCTGGTAGTGCTGATCCCGGGAACCAGTCAAGGTTGAGTAGGACTGATGATTACTAGGATGAAGATGATGGTGAGCCTGTGAACGGTTAAGCTGATGTGACTGTGATTCAAGAGCAATCTGCCGGGTGGATTCTCGATGAAGCATACTATCTGCTGATATACTACGTCCGGGCGTCAGGACTTCTCTTGCCCTCACACCATGTAAAGTGTCCTCTGTATTGGATCGCTCTATCCGAGGTTGGTCATTACTTTGTGATCGAGAGTGTGAATTGACAAAATGGCGTGGCTTTGAATGTTCATAAATAATTGGATGCTGATTTGTAGATGCCAGCGAAGATGTAGACTCAGACTTTGTAACCTGAGAACTTCCTTGATGCTGCACCTGCAGTTGTTGTTTTTGGTCTCCATTGGTACCTTTCCTTTGTGCTTCTGAAGCTGATCCCGATCCAAATCGACTGTGCTGTGAGGCTGAGGGTCCCTCGTGTGGAGCAAAAAGGCTGATATTGGGGATACCAGGTCTTCCCTTGTACGATATAGAAAGTTGATGAATTGATCGACGATATGAACGTAAAGCTCCAGCTTCGCTATCATCGTCGGTATCATCTTCATCATGCTTACGAGGCGGCTTTTGCTTTAGCCTTTTCTGGTATTGCAATGCTTGTTGCTGATGCTGGTCGTAATAATCAGCACTGTCGTGATTAGAATCGCCGTCAAACGACAGACAGAGAGACGCCGTGGGGATGTCCGTCAACAGGGCAGGCAAATCTGCTTGCAAAGGAGCTGTCGGTATAATAGATGGTTGTCCCTGTCGTGGCGGTGAAGCAGGATGAGAGGATAAAGCCGGAGACATATTCTGTTTCATTCCGAGTTCGTGCTGTTGTTGATGATGATGGCTAGAAGCTGAAGGTGATGAAGTAGAGCCCGGGAATACAGATTGTTTCAGAACAGCTCCGCTCTGTCTGTCTCCATGTCCATGAGCAGATCTGTGTGCATACTCTTGATTCTGGCCACCTTGATCCGCCTGATGAGGTAATGATGGTGATACAGAGAGCCTTGGTACACATCCACCATAATGTGGCTCTTGTTGGAACTGGTAATGATACGTCTGAACCGAAGTGGATCCTTGCTTACTTGATACTCCAGTTCTATCCCATTGAACGGTTGCATTTTGAGGTTGTTGTCGTGCCTGTGTCTGTATCTGTTGTTGCTGATGTTGCTGATGTTGTTGTGTACTTGAGCTAGTCTGTCCACGTTTATTCTGCTTGTCCTTCACGGTTGACATAAACCCATTCTTTGGCTCTATGATACCTCTGGCTGGAGGACTGGAAGGAGATACAGGTGAAGGCGGAACACCTTTTTTCAGCACAGAGTAAACTTGTTGCTTTTGTTGCGTTTGTTTTTGTTGTTGGTGTTTGTCTTTGCTTTTAGTTAGTAACTGTGATGGTGAAGGTGGTAACTGTGTCATAGATAGTCTTCGAAGCGGTGGATCAGGATAGAGTGTGTAGACTTTCGGAGTATATTGATGTTGTACATGTTGGTGCCGTGAGGCTTCTGCGGTTCTTGCAGCCATTTGGATTGGTTGGATGGGGAGGGTGATTAGGTGATTGATGTTTTTGGCTAAGTGATTCCCACTACTTTGAATATATTTTGTAATTCAATGGTGATCACTGGTTTGGTTCAATAAATCGGATGATTTACTATGGTGCTACTGCAATAAAATTAAGAATAAATAAGGGCAAATAGAGCAAGCACCCCTGTGGTCGTTCTGAGGTAATCCTTTGGTGAAGGGAGTGCAGAGACAAAAATCTGTGCGAAAAGGGGATGCGCCTACTACTCTGTCTATAATCAGTGCAACAAAAAAAAGATACATGTTGGAAGAGCGACAGTCAGTCAGTGCGCACAAAAGAACTTTTTTATACGGACAGGAAAAAAAAAAAGAAAAGAAAAGGGGACGGATGAATGGACATGTGTTCCATACAACTTTCACATGCTTCCCATGTTTTTTTTAGGTGTGCATTGAATTCCATGTCATCTGAGAAATGCTCATTATGCCACACCTTCTATTGTGTTTCCTGTCCCGAGATCGTAAACTGAGAAAAAAGGAATTACTGTTGTAGTTGATAGAAGTGACAGCAGAGTAAGGATGTGTGGAATGCTTAGAAATAATTGTGATATTTTTTTTTTTTTTACTTATAATACAGGAAGAGTGTAGAAAACACAACAGCTATGTTTCTGGGTATATAGTGAAGAATAAAAATAAAAAAATTAAAGAAAATACAGTGAAAGCAGGAGAATTGAGAGGTGGAAGAGACAACAAGTAAAGGATCGAGTTGCTTTGGGAAAAAATCTTTGGCCCCTGCCCTTGTTTTTGTCTGTCTTCAGTTCGCATGGACGTCTGAAGAGGAACATTAAAAGGCTGGTTCGAAAACAATTGTAGCAGAAAATGTTACACTAGTTCATATTTCCAGACTTGGTCTCTTGCAAACCCGCCTCTTTACTCCCTGTCTTAAATTGTGTCAGTCTCGGTGTTACCTTCCTACTGCAATATCGACAATAAAATATGCCAGCAGTATCTTGATAGATATAGATCTTTCTTCTTCACTCTCGCTCGTATGCTCTCAATCATGCTCTCTCTGTCTCTCTTTGGTAACCTCTGTCTCCCTTCTTACTTGAATATGATCAATCGGCTTTCTTTGCTTTGCTCAGTTTGGGTGTGTGATCTCTCTTTGTCAGCCTGAATGTGAATGTAAATGTGCTTTGCCTCTCTTGCTTCGTCCCTTGGTGTGACAATCTGCGCAATTTAGCTTATTTTTAATTGTTTCATACCTTCAGGCACACGCGACCATCCCCATGCACAAACCGCAAAACAGACACAGCTTGACACTATTTTTGTATGCCATCCTAAACCAGGGCAGTGGAGGATGGTCTAGATAGCCAACAACAATAACTACACAAGTCCAGAACTTCCCTCTCCTGCTTTAGAAAGAAGACATTGGATATATCGTTAAACCACATTCTTCTTCTACTTTTTTTTTTTGAGTCCCCTACTCCTATATACTCCCTTGGAAAAGGAAGGTGTCAAGCTTCCGACTCTAAATGGCATCATGTCTCTTCTCTTCCATTTTCGCTTTGTCCCCCTGCATATATAAATATATGTATATTTTAAAATAAAGCTAAACACCCCTGAAATCCAATAGAACAAGGAAGAATATCAGTTGCACCGTCTTTGGACCAGCCGAGCCTTTATTCTTGTTGGTGCATCCATGAACCCAAAGGCAACGTGGCCCCTTGCAGCCCACATCCGGCCTTTTACTTTGTCCTGGTTTTTGGATATAAAGCTGGCCTTATCCTCTTGCTGTTTCTCTTTTTCCTTTCTTCATATACAAGACACTGTTACCATTGTAGCTCGATACTCTTCTACCCCTTTTTTATGAGGAAGTGTTCACTCACGAAAATTGTTCAATAGCCTAATTTATCATAGCAGCATTACCTATTTTAAAAATGTCATGCAATAGTGAAAAGAATACAATTGTTAATATTGATACAGTACCGTCGTCGGTCGAAATTGATGAAGACTCTGCCGTTAACAATAACAACAATGGTGAACGAAAGGAGCATGGCACTAAAAGACGTATTAGCCTTAATCCTGCAAAAGTCGTTATTCAAGGCGCAAATGTTGTCAAAGGAGGAATCTCACAGAGTACGTATAGCCAATGCCTTGAAGGGATAGGGTGGGAGACGCGTTCTAATTGACGTTCTATCTGTTTGTTTCATCATAGTGGAAAATAACTTGAATGAGGTTGGCGGCAAATTAACCAAAGTTCCTGGTGTCAGTCAGGGCGTATCGATATTTGCAGACTATCGCAAGTTCCTGGACCGAGGCAATGTGATTGACTTGGCAGTGGCTGTTGTCATCGGTGAGCCAATCTCCCATCTTTGTAGAGAGCGTCGACTAAGATTCGGCGAATATGTCTAATATTCATGCACATATTGTATATGATGCTTATCTGCGGCAACCTTGCTGACACTAACCTTACTTCTATTGTTTTCTTTCCGCTGCAGGTGCTGCCTTCACGGGAGTAAGTTTATATCAATACATGATTTAAAATGCAAGCTGTTTGGATCTTAATATTTAGTTATTTTCTATGACTGCTACTTTTCGTTCCTTGGCGATGTTTTAGATTGTCGACAGCCTTGTCAAAGATATCATTGCACCTATCCTTGCCCTTGCTTCTGGTAGGGCGCTTGAAGAGAACTTTGTGATCTTGCGCCGAAATGACTCTTTCCCGAATCCAGATGTAAGAAAACAATGAAGTTTACGTGTTTAAAATGTTATATAAGTCAACAAGTCATAGCTCCTTTCTTACATTCATATAGTATTCAACTAGAGCATCCGTCAAGGCGAGTGATGCCTTATCATGGAACTACGGTAACTTTATCCAGACAGTAATCAACTTTTTCATCATATCAGCCTGTGTTTTTGTCATCGTCAAATGTATGTGAAGTCCGTGGAATGTGTCAGTTTAGCGATGTATTTTTTGCATCTTTTGTTTGACTTTACACTAAACTTTATCTGCTTCTTGTTCATGCCTCTGCCCTTCAGTATATCAAATGGGACGCAACACGAAAGTGGCGGTTACAGAAAAAAAATGCCCCTTTTGTGCAGGATCGATTGATTTTAAGGCTGTAAGGTGCTCTAAGTGCACCAGTTGGCTTGACGATACGTATGCAAGATCTGAGGTATTATATACTCGTGTATTGGAGAAAAGATCTTCGTCCTCATCAAAAAGTAATGAAAAGGAGGAATGGTAGTCTCAGCCACTACAGAGTATAAGGGCTTTAAAAGCGAATAAACACAATTATAGATTGCTCTGCCACAATTAAGAAGACGGAAATATGATTAGGGTTCCCCGCTCACTAGGTCTTCGGACCATTCTCAACTTATAGACCGCTGGTTCTTGCATTCGTAAAGCCCATAAACTCTGTTATTGCTATTGAACACTGCGCTCTGAACGCTTTATTGCAAGATCCTCTCTCATCCACTCTTCACTTGCTCGCTTGTTCTCTTTCAATATCTACATCAATGAAACAGTAATCTTTTTCTTTTTTTATTATTTCAGTTGCCAATATCAATATGGTGGCACTATTTTGGCTACTGTCTGTTGCGTTTAGTACCTGGCCAATTAACGAGTAGATCTTGTACGCATTAGGAGTATACATGTATATGTTGTGTGGAATGCAAAGAACAGATGTGATCAATAGCACATGAGGGACAGTAATACTAGAGGAGGCGTTCAAACCTGCACATTCTTGAATGAGAATTTAGGGTGATATGGAGATAAAAATAAAAGACTTTAAAGATGATGACATAAATGAAAAGGATATATGTAAGAACTATGCATGGTACATGTGGGGAAGGATAGGAGAAGTAGGTACCATCTGGATACTCTATTGGTTAGAGCAATGAACATGTGGAGACAGCTATGGTCATGATTCATATTTTTGTACATACATGTGTTCATGCAAAAAGAGGGAAATGTCCAATGCTCCCCTTGCATATCTGGTGGCTACTGCCAACAATCAAAGCTTGGCCTGGTCTAAAATTGCAGAACATGTCCAATGATGCACTTGACTACGAGTTCTTCAAACAGCTCCTTTGACCTTTACGTCCGCACGTGCCTATTGTAAGACTTTTATAGTCCAAACGTGATTTGCGGAGAGCATCGGCCGAGAAGTGAGAGCAATAGAGAACAAGCAGCGATTTTTGAGTCCACATGGGTGTATGAGAGGGGAAGAATAAGCGCTGCGAAGTAATCATGGCAGCCAATCAAACCGCGTTGTCTTCACACGACGCATTTGTCTGCTAAATCCGGTGAATCTGACTTGCTAGCTGTTTTCTTTGAACATTGTCATTGTGTAGGACAAGGGAACAGGAACAAAAAAAAAAAAAATAAAAAAAAATAAAAAAATAAAAAATAGCAGCTTTGACCATTGCCTCCAGGTGCCTCAAGAGAAAGGAAAAAAAAAAGATTGAGAACTAAACAAGCATCCCAAAAGTATCTCCCAACACACATTCAACCTTTTTTACTCATTTCATCAGTGAATAACTCATATCACAGAAGATATAATTCGGTAAAACGGCAGCCTCCGTCAGCTCTTTCCATGTCCACTTTACTCGCTTTTTCCCCTTCCAATGCCTATCCTGATTGCTTAACTGACCCCAGAACGTACATGCCTTGATCATGGACTGGATGCATAGGGGATAATTATGGCTTTTCCGCTTACTTTCTGTCCATCAGGTTTTTTAAGTCACTCATTGACCTGCCATTCTCTCTTTTTCTCTTTCTCTTCCTTTTCCCATTTAATCTTTCTGTTTCCCTTTCTCTCTTTTCTCCCACTTTACCCTCTCTCTCATTCTTTCTCTCTCTCTATTTCTTTTCCTCTCTTTTTCTCTTCCTCTCTTCTCTTCTCTTTTCTTTTTCTTCTCCCATTTCCCTTTGTTATTTCTATTTCTTTCTTGATCAACCACGAAGTGCAAGGCGAAATATCGAACCTCAGTACATACATAGATCGCATAAAACCCATCCATACTATCTTGATATTTATTTTTTTTAAAAAAGCTATTACTTGTCTACTTGAAAAGTGATCTCAGATCCTTTTCTTTCCACACTTGCCTTGCTCACATACCATGCACCGACCGTGCCCCACATCAACACACAGCTTCGGATATAGGAGCACAGCTCCTTCAAATATAAGCAGCGCGGTAGCCATCAGTTCTACCCTTTTCATTGATACACAATCCACTACACCAACAGTGTCCATATCAGGATCAGTATTGACATCTGTATCAACATCAACCACATCTTCATCTGCCTGTACATCCATTTCTACTATATCAGTAACGTCTCCCCATCCTCAACCTACAACATTAGAATATAAGGACAACGAAGTCGCCTCCAATATTGCTATTCAGACGTCTACCATCATTCCTTTTACCTCTGCAGCAACGGTCATCACATCAACAGCATCTGATACTACAAAGCTGACGAGAGCTACGCTCTCTAGTCAAACGTGTATGACCGCCACATCTAGCACTTCATCATCACACTGCGATATCAAGGCAACGGCCGCTCTAGTACCAGCGCGAGTAGAGACAGCAACGACGACAGGGTCTGAATTTGATATTGTGCACCACAATGTCAAAGATACGTTGCTAATCGTCTCGACGCTTCTCTCGCTGATGGTGCGTAAGAACGATAGTCAATACAACCCTCATGTAGATCCTATCACTTTATTTCATTCACGCGCTGTTCCTCGGATTTCTATCGAATCATATTTGGCAAGAATCCTCCAGTTTATCCCCTTCACAAATGAAGTCCTACTTAATGTATTGGTTTATCTGGATCGAATTGGGGGACTGAGTGGAATGGATATGGTAGATAAACGTAGTCATACTAGTTATAGTAATCGTAATGATACAGGTAGTGATCACCCAAGCTCCAGCAGCAGAGAGCGAGAGACAGCTGCTGATGGCACTTCAGCCAACAATCTTCCAAGAAAATGCGTGGACCTGCCCGCTCAAACTGCAGTAGCTTTCCCTTCATCCACTATGTCGCCATCATCATCACCGCCACCATCATTATTACCATCTTCAACTAAACACGTGCAGAGGTGCCCTGATTCCTCTTCTTTTTCCACATCGATTCCATGCCGCTCGACTTCAGCGTACTCCGAACCGTTAACGGTACAGAAACATGGCAGAGAGGAAGAGAGTCATTGCTCTCATCCCCAGCAGCAGCAGCACACACCAAGCGTCGATGCAACTCCACAACGCGCCTTCAAGAAGCTAAAACAAGAACATGTTTCTCCAGAACATCAGCCACCCACGGCTATTGATGTTCAGTGCACACTAGGAGGATCCACACCAGCCCCCACCCCAATATTGACTGTTGCTTCCAATGGGTTTCGAATTAACAGTTTCAATATTCATCGTCTGCTCATAACCTGTTTGATGGTTGCAGCCAAATTTACTTCGGATCTCTTTTATTCAAATGCTCGGTATGCCAAGGTATGTACTATAAAAAGTACAAAAATTCTTAAAACTACAACAAGGAGCCTCACTTGCATATTTCATGTGTACACGTCCTTCGTTTTCTCGTGTTATTTTGATCCCTCATTTTAATTCTCTTCAATATTATCATAACATATTAAACTCCCCAAGTGGACAGTATTCATATAAACAATGTACTTCCGCCTTATCGTCCGTCTTGGCTCTGTGTTCTGTGTGAATCATTCTTCTTTACGATACATCGTCTAGCACTACCCTTTGTCTTTCCGTTTCCGCCCTAGATTCTTCATTTTGTTTTCGAGACAAAATGGCATGCTTTTCCAGAAAACACAGTCGTGGTAAACTGGCACGAACTGACATTTGTTTGCTCACATTTCTGTTAAAATTAGGTGGGTGGTCTTAGCTTACTTGAGTTGAATCAATTGGAGCTCGAGTTCTTGTTTACGACCCGGTTTGAGTTGAACGTCAAGATTGAAGAACTGCAACGCGTCGGTAATGCGCTTTTACGGTTCAAGAGTCGAGAAATGATCCCTGTGCAACAGGCTCAGTTACATGTAGCCAGGCAACAACAACTGCATGTTTCGCAAGCGTTGCAGAGAGGGGTTTCTTCGGTGGTTACTGCATCTACCACTACCACTTCTACTACCAGTATCCATAAACCTAGCACAGCTGCTGCAGGCAGCAGCAAATGTCAAGACGAAAGCCGGATTATGCAGCAGCAGCAGCAGCAAAAAAAAAGTCGTTCCTCCATCCCGTCACCCACAAGTCCGAAGAATGGACCCATGTCAGACAGGCCTTTGCTGACATCAGTATCATCGCTCTCTTCCGTTTTGCCTTCTTTATCCATGGCCCCTACTGGCATAGAGGCAGCAACGGTAGCTTCCTCAAGCAATACAGTAACTTCTGGAGAGGGAACAACGACTGTGGTAGTTGCCTCTCGTATCAATACTCAACGTCAGCAGCTGCTTTCTCCTCCGGAAGAGAAGCAGAGATGGTCTGAGAATGAGGTCCAAATGGCAGAAGAAAGCATCCATGAGCAAGGAAGGGCACTTCAGGGACAGGAAGCCTCATCCTCCTCGACATCCTCATCTGCATCTATGACTGACTTTTCATCACAGTAATCCTATGTTCTTTAACACATCTTCAAGTGTAAATAATACTTTCTATCTTTCCCCCCCCTAGTTTACGTGCCCGTGCTACACATCCTTCCCGAATAGAATCATGCAGCACACAGTTAATTCAGTTAATTCCTGTATATCATCCTTAACATTCTTCTCCTAATAATACATTACACAACGCGTCTGGCTCCCGTCAGTCTGTTGTGGCTTGAAGACATTGTACTCCGACCTGATTTTGTTTTGAATATAAAATTTTTTTTGCGCAGAAAATTTTTTCTTTCCTCTCTCATTTTCCATGTCCCTTCTCCCAGGTATGCAAAATAAGACGACGTGTTCCTTTACCAATAATTGGCTCCAGCTCGTTTCTCCCCCCCCCCTCTTTCTCATTTGCTTTTATGGCCTGGATGATCACCTTTTAAAAAAAATTCAAACTAGAGTTTCTGAAAGCATACATGTTTATAATGCATAATCTGAGCTAAAAAAAGAAAGAGAAAGAGAGAAAGAGGATAAATGGCAGAGTACTTGACATATTTACCCATATAAATATCATGTCTAGCGGCGGCTATCTAACGATGTTTTTGTTGGGTTTTTTATTGTCGCTATGAATTTTAGATGTGTCAACGCATACCTTAAAGTACGAGTAGCTTGTTATGGAACTGTCTCGTGCGAGGTGGAACGCAGCTGTCCAGTAAGTTTATCATACATACGATGCTTCTTTTTCCTTTTCAACGTCTCTTGGACCTGTCTTCGACAACTAGGATGAGACAAAGCAATCAAAGCTGGAATTACCGCCTGAAAAACAGTGTTGATAATTATTGCACCTTACTGAAATATTCTCGAAAAGCAGACCCTTAGAGATCTAAAAAAGAATTTTCAACCGAAAATATGAAATGAATGAGGAAAAAAAGTACTGATTGCCTTTTTTTTTTTTTTTTTTTTTTTTTTTTTTTGTTGATCATTGATTGGTACAGGATTGAAACAAACATTGGCGAGAGTCTTGTTGTGATGTCAAGACCACCTTGGTATATGTGGCTTTGTAAGTAAATGTTACTTTTTTTTTTTTTTTTTTTTTTTTGCACAAATCCACCATTGCATGGAGAAGAGTGGGTTGATGTATTTGCTTGTATGATGAGCCCCTTTGTGGGTATGCACTGGGCACTGAAAAAAGTATGTGGTCAAGCATTGATACGGCCTAGAAAACCGTGGACTGAACCAAAGCAATCAATCAACCAATCTTCTCTGAGCATGGGTGGCTTTTAACTGCATGATGTGTAAGAATAAGTTTGCTAATCGAACGTGATTCTGTACTTTCAGAATATAGATCTCTAGCCGATTCTATTCAATCAGCACTGTTTATGAAGGACGACAATTATGGTAATTAATCTATGTTAGTGTTGCCTTTATCTATATTCGTCTTTTTATGTTTCTTTTAAAGAAATGATGATACCCATATTAGATGACGAGTCTGAATGTTTTGATGCTGAGCGGTTTTCGCGACGCGTCGTTACATGTTGAGACTCTTTTTAAATACCATTCATGCATTTCTGATAACTTTAATTTGAAACACAATACGGCATTTGTTAAAGCAAGATAAAGTTTGTAGTCGTTAGACTTTGTTGTTCTTACGCTGACTCTTTTTTAATTGATGCTTGTGTAGGTTTTTTAGAAATCATCGTATCTGTTCTTTCCATTGACGTTGTTTTCTATTTTAACTGCGATTACTGCCCAGGTAAATATCTAGTTATTGCGTCCCTATTTTTCACGAACCAAACGAAACAAAGCTATACAGGGACTGCATGAGATGATTTTTCAATTAAAGACAAGCATATGTCTGATTTAAGATGACACCTTTGACCGACTGATGCATTCGAATATACCGATACTTTCTTCCTTTGCTTCATTTTCGAAAGTTGAGCTTATTGCGGGTCTCAAGTGAGTGACTAATTTATTCATTCATACTCGTCTAATAGCATGGTTCTCCGGCTTTTTTTTTTTTTTTTTTTTTTTTTTTTCCAGCTGGATATAATGATCTAATCTGATAAGGTGAGCAAAGGCAACTTTTGTTGGAATCTATAATCCTTGGCATCTTTTTCATCATTATGATGATTTATTTAATCACGACGGTCAACTTAGCACATCATATGTGCATTGATTATAACGGCTGTGACAGGCCATTCCTCTCTGACTCTACATCTCACCTTTTTGGGCGTGTTGTAGAAGCTGAAGAGATGTCTTCTGTTATTTTTTATTTATTGAATCAAACAGAATCTACGTGTATCTTACAGTCCTTTTCTATCTTATACTTTCTTAGGTATGTTTTATTACTAAAGATTATTTAGTTTTTATGGAAGATAATAAAAAAATATTCTGTATTGTTTATTGGGACATGTCTTCTGTTTGATTTGTGAGGAAAGAAACAGGTTGTTTAAAAAGATGAGGATAGTCCAGACAGCAGCCAGAGCGTCGAAAAGCTGTAGTGTAGACTGTATTGGTGGCGTTCTAAAACATGTCTTAATGATATTCTTCTGTAATCAGGACTACTTTCACAAAGGTGAAGATTCGGTTTTTTAGTCGATTGTAAAATTAAGTTTTTAAGGTGCTAATTGAAAAAGTAATCAAGGTTATTAAAAGCAGCTACATATCTTGAACAACCACTTTGGAGATACAGTGGGTTGTCTGGCCTTGCGAAAACTGCGTGACATGGCCGATATAGCGACCATGTCATGGCAAAGGCATAGTCAATTTTAGGGTGTTATCTATAATTCATACAAAAAGAGTTATGAGTACCCAAATTACGAAACATCATTGCAATAAAGGCAGGCTTGAAAAGCAAACAGCAAACACTTACGACGATGCTTCACAGCGAAGAGAAAATAGGCAACGCTGTCAACTTCCTTGGCGGTTATAGTGTTCCAATGCTTAGTTGCTGCAGCTGCAAGATCATCGCGCGATTTCGATTTTGGTTTTAGTTTATTCAATCTACAGTACCGACGTAGTGCTGCAATATCCATGTCTGCAAACTCGACCTGCATGTATCAACGTCGTTTCCCCCAAACATTCAAATTCAATACATTGAGGTGTTGAATGAGAAATCCACAAGATATAGTTAAATAAGATTCGGTGGTGCCATGGAGCAGAAAATTGAGACATCACATTGTTAGCCATTCAGTCCAAGCACCGCAACAATAACAAAAAAAAAAAAAAAAGCGGCAAGGCGCCACTAAAGTCTGCTCATTTGTCCGATCTAACTTACAGTGATAAGGGGTGCTTCTGCTCTCCGTTTTACGCTCGCTCCGCTTCCACTGCTGGGATTTTTCTCCTTGTCTCCGCTTATACCTCCAGCTGTCGATGCTGGACGGTCGCTTCCTCCTAGGCCTGAGCTTCCAGAACCTCCACGCTCGGCAGCCAAGTTCCCGTTAGCGTGTCCCTGACCTCTCTCAGAGTTTCCTTTGTGATCATTAGAATGGTTGCCTGATTTCCCTCCTGCATTGGAATTGCCTCCTACCTCGGTCGCTTTTTGTTTTGGAGCCATGAAGATGTGTTTTTATTTTTATTTTTTTTTTTATTAAAAAAAAAAAAAAGGTACAGCAAGGCGGAAATTGATGTCGTATTTTATGTAGTAGTGAATGGGGATGAAAAAGAGTAAAAGAGGGTCTAATAAAATTGGACAATAGAATGTCAAGAAGAGGAAGAAGTGGAATCAATAAAAAAGAGATTCCTGTCCAAGGTTCAAAAGAACTGATACCGGTCACAATCCCATGTTGGATCTCCACGCTTCTCTCGCAATAATTTTCAAGTAACAGAAGAAAAGGGTGGACGTCCACCAAAAGGAGGAACCATGGATGCCGAAGATCAGCAGTATCAACACCAACATTCAAGGAGCAGTAGCCACCATCGTCCACCCGTATTACTTCAATCTGATGACTTTTACCATGGAGATCACACTAGACTTGGACATGCAAATCACCCATCCCATTCTATAGGGTTTGACCTAGCAGGCGATACTCTGAGAGATCGAGACTATTATGCCCTTGCTGGAGCCCTTGCTGGAGACGTAGAGGAGCCAGTGGCTCATGTCCATTCTCAAGCTTGTCAGGATTTGTGTCCAGTGCAGGACCTATATACTGAGGCTAGTTTCTCGCGCTTCAGTAAAGGTGCTCGCACGTAAAGTTTTTTTTTTTTTTTTTTTTTTTTTCTTTCGAGTTACGAAGAATAGAGGCACCTATTATTGACTTGATACATAAGGATGAAGGGACATAAAAAACATGCGTTGACGTTTCACCGATTTCTCTCTCTCTCTTTTTTTTTTTTTTTCTTTTTTTTTTTCTAGGAACCTCTATGGTCTTGTCGTCGTTAAGGAACTTGGAGATGCATCTCAATCATATTCATCGTTGTCAACGCCACTAGCGTCAACACTTGCGCAACATCCAACTAGTCAAAATACTCAACCAGAAGTAGCTCAGGGAAAGCCTATTCAACAAACCAGTATTTTTACAAGTGATGGTGATATGGCGTATCGTCATCTGCCTGGACGATATGTTTTTGTCGCTGCAGGAAGTACAGTGAAATGCTTCATGAGCTTAAGTGAATCATATGAGTTCACGATTGGGCCAATTGCGTCCTCAACAAGTGACTCGGCACCAACGCCAATAGAGGCTGAATTAAAAGAGAAAGATCCAAGAGCTGAGAATGAAGCACCAACGGCAGAGGAGAGTTCAAAAAACGGATCTACGTCGGGATCCTCACAGACTTCAGCACGTGCTACAGCCGCACCAATATTGAATTACGAAATTATATCCATGGATGCTTATGAACGCAAGGATGAACGAGGATGCCAATTGCTCCTGGTTCTGTCGATCGCCAAGGTATGCAAAATAGGGGTCATTGGAAGGCATTAAACAGGTGGGCAAGGTTCTGTTGCTTCCTTCGTATTATGTCCACTTATTTAAGCAGTTGGTCAATCTGGCGTAGGGTGAAGATCCGACGCAGTTCGAAGTTCGATTTTATGGCATCAATTCGTTTGGCAGTAGTATCCGAGATCTTTTGCTTCGATTACCAAGTAAGGATTTTTTTTATATTTTTATTTTTATTTTTTTTTTTAATTAACATTATTCGTTCCCGTAACAGGTTTCAAAAAAGCGTCGCTCTAACTAATTATTATACTTTTTTTATCAACTTATTTAATTAGACACAACGGATGTTCAATCCATACCTCTTGCTTGGGCTCCAACAAAGATTATTCATGCACCTCTAGAAGATGATCCCTTTGAATTGGCAGTCCTTATAGCGGGGAGCGATAGTTGTGTCCATTTGTTTCTTGAGAATCCATCGACGACTGTGCCCCGTACTAAGATCTTTGAGGAACGCCCTATCGAGTCCCACTTCCCCCTTCTAGCATCCTTTCCACATTGCGAATACTGGTAAACATGTTTTAATTATACATTGAGTGCAGGGAAAAAAAAAAAAAAAAAAAAAAAAAAAAGGTAAACTCGTCGTGAGTTAAAAGATTATTCGTTGAATCTGACCTTTACGTCTTTTTACTGTTTATGTTTAGCGTTTTGAGCTTGGTGGTTAAGGATTTTCCATCATGTCGCGTGGTTGCTGCAGGAACACAGAATGGGACGTTGAACGTTGCAATTATTCCTAGGAATCCGGAAACATTAAAGCTGAATAGAGCGCAAGCCAAGACTCACACCATCGTGCTATTTGCCCCCATCACGACACTAGTAGTTTTCACTTCGCGCGTAGAACCAGAGAGAAGACAGAGTCAACAGAGGCGGACAAAGCGATACCATTCATCAGCTAATATGACCTTAGATGTGAATGAAGTGAATGAAGTAAAAAATACTTTACTGGAACAGAGCAACAGAGGCGATGTATCTAATAGGCCTACATCAGGAATTGATGATTCATGGAAATGTGGAGAGGCTAAAAAGGAAGACACGAATGAAGAGGAGGAGGAAGAGGAAGAGGAGGATGCTAGTATTCACTTACTGGTTACATGCGCTATCGAGCAAGGATGGATATACAGGTAAAGTACTAATAGAGTTCGTGAAGGGTATTGCGGCACAATATGTACTCATATTCTAAAATGGATCATCTTGTTGTATTGACATTTCGCTTCATTCTTTTAGCGATATTATTAAGCACGGGCTCAATCGACGGTCAGATCTTGCCGAATGTTCGTATCACGACAGTATCCTTGCAGCATATGTCATGGACGCAGATTGGGATGGACGTCAGGAAATCATGATTGGGACCTATGGACGTCAGCTGATGGTCTTCAAGGAGCTTGCACCTGGTCAAGGACCGTATTCCAACAGTCTATCTACTCGATCTGAATCAGGGCATCACCATACTCTAAGCCGTTTTCAACAGCAACGACGGCAGCAATACTGCCCTACTCCATCGCTTTCTAGGTTCATATCTTCTTCTTCACCTCCCGTTTGGGGTATGACATGGAATCGCCGTCTTGCTACTCCTGTGTACGGAATTTCATCAGTAGACTTGAATGACGACGGACTAGAAGAGCTGGTGGTCACAACACTTAATGGTGTATCCTTCTTCTTACCAGATCCCTTGTCTGCCAAACGGAGGCTCGCTCAAGCAGTGAATCGAATGCGGGAGATTGAGGAATTGCGTTCAACATTGGAGCAATTGCGCAGATCGAACGAGGAGATATTGGAAGCACGGCGGGGGCGGAAAGAGGAAGAAGAAAAGGAGCGCTTAAGGAAGATACAGCGACCAAAAGAGGAGAAAGAGGAAGAAGAGAAAGAGAGAGAGAGAGTGGAAAAGGAAGAGGAAGCACAACTGAGAAAAGAAGAAAAGGAGTTCCAGACGATTGAAGAAAAAGAACACCAGGAGATTGAAGAGTACTTACAACAGGAGAAGAGGTCCTTGCAAATGGACGAGGCATTAAAAGGCGGCGAGAAAAAGCCAGAGTTAAACTTGGAGGCAACATGGAATGAGGAGCCTCGGCAATCCATACAGGAAGAAAATCAAAAGAATTAAGTGTTGAGGACAGGTTCACATCAAGAGTAAAATAGACAAAGATAAACACATCACCACTCCTAAAAGAATAAAAAAGACATTGCAATCAAGAATTGAGAGGAATTCTTTTTTTCACTTTATTGTAAACAACTTTTAGTTTCGTCTTCTTTCGCTCTTTTTGTTTCTTTTCGAAAAACTGTACAAGGGTAGCCAAGAAGAGGTGGTTGTAAAAAAAAAAATGGAGATTGAACTAAACAGACATTATTGGTAGATATCAAGAAAGAATATAATAAATGAAAGCAACAACAAGAGAATAACGTCCTTGATTTTCCTTTCATCCATTTTACAACTTGTCCAAGAAGTTCTCCAGCTTGGGCATCTCGACCTTGAGACCCTTACGCTTGCGAATGCTGAGAATCAATTCTCCGAGCTTGGGGTCTGTGTCAGCGTTTCCGTTCAACAGTTCCCAGTGATCGAATACAGATTGAGGGAAGGCCTGACCTCCGGTGGCTTGACGCAAATCGGACGTGAAACCGAAGGATTCCGCAACGGGCAAGTAAGCCTTGACGACGTACATGGGGGTGCCGGGGCGCTGTTCCTCACCAATGGTGTGACCGCGACGCTTGTTCAAAACACCATAGATACCACCCATGGCCTGCTCAGGGACAGTAATTTCGACCAAGTAGATGGGCTCCATGAGACCAGGCTCAGCAACCATGGCGGAGGCATAGATGGCGCTACGGCAGGCGGGAATGATCTGTCCACCTCCACGATGGATAGCATCGGCGTGAAGAACAACATCCAAGATGTTGAAACGGCATCCACGCATCTGTTCGTCGGCGTAGACACCCTCGCGAGTTGCCCACTGGAATGCAGCAACACATGAGTCCTTGATTTCGTTGAGGTAGGCAACTCCCTTAGTCAAATCGACAAGAACGTTGGGTCCAGTTCCGTCGGGACCGAATGCCCAAATCTTACGGGCTTCCTGGTTGTCCCAACCGAAGTCATCAGACAGAACACGGGCACGGGCCTTCAACTCATCACGAGCGCTAATCTTGCCGTTTTCAATGGCATTAGAGAGATCCTCACCAATTGGTGCAGCCTTGAGGAAGAGACGGTTGTGCTTGTTGGGAGACTTTGCAAGAGCTGTGATGGAAGACTCGGCCTTGACGGTTTCCTTGTACTGAACGACTGGGTCGGACTTGCGAATAGGAATCTGAGCATGGTCTTCCTCCAAATCCTTCAAGCAAATTTCGAGATGAAGCTCTCCTGAACCAGCAACGATGTGCTCTCCGCTGTCAGAGGTAAAGCAAAGGACGCAAGGATCGGACTTGGAGAGACGCTTAAGACCTTCGACCAGCTTGGGAAGATCAGCAGCATTCTTACATTCGACAGCAACCTGGACGACAGGCGAGACAGAGAACTTCATGACCTTCAAGTTGTGTGCAGAGTCGCTGGTGGTGATGGTACCAGACTTGAGCAAGAACTGGTCAATACCGACCAAACCGACGATGTTACCAGCAGGGCAGTCCTCAATAGGCTCGACATAACGACCCATCATCAAAACAATGCGCTGGATGGACTTAACGAACAAGTCAGTCTTAGTGCCGGGTGTGTAGTTAGGGCCCTGAATGCGGACCTTGAGACCAGCACGGACTGTACCAGAGAAGACACGACCGAAGGCGTAGAAGCGACCCTTATCGGAGGTAGGAACCATCTTGGAGACGTACAACATGAGAGGACCAGTGGGGTCGCAGGCAGCGATACCCTTGGCGCACTCATCATCCATAGGACCCTCGTACAAATTCTCAACACGGTACTTTTGGGCGGTAATGGGAGATGGCAAGTGGATGACTAACATCTCCATGAGAGCCTCTCCGGCAGGCAAGAACTTCTTCATAATAGTCTTGAGCAACTGCTTGCCATCGAGTTCTTTTTCATCAGTCTTGAGAGTGATGTCGAGCTTCTCCACTAGTGCCCAGACGTCCTCCTTCTTCTTGTTCATGGTAGTATCGAAAATGCGGAAGATGGGGTCAAGGACAAAGGTGTTGAAGGCACGATCCAAGCGGTTACCCTCTGCATCGATATTCTTGGTGGTCCACTTCTTGGTCTTTGGGTTGAAGTAGTTCTCACCCCAAAGTTTGGTCATCATCTTTTGACGATCGACACCGAACTTCTTAGCATAGCGTTGAGCAAATTGACGGATCGTGAAGGCCCATCCGTGAAGACCAGAGGCGAAGGCGACGGTACCTTGCTCGGGGTAGACCTGGACATCACCAAGGACTTCATCCTTGTAGGTGGCAATGATGACGTTAACGGACTCGATGGTACGAGAGAATGACTGGTACAAATCCTCCTTGGTGACCTGCAACTCGAGGAGGGCACGATCGACTTTGTTAATGACGACAACAGGCTTGATACGTTCACCCAAAGCCTGGCGCAAGACGGTTTCGGTCTGGACACAGACACCATCAACGCAGTCGACGACAACGAGGGCACCATCAGTGACACGGAGAGCAGCAGTAACCTCAGATGAAAAGTCGACGTGTCCAGGTGAATCGATCAAATTAATCAAGAACTCCCTTCCTAAGATCGTAATAATACAACGTAAGATAGTGTATCAACGTTAGTGTTGGTATTATTTCCAGACATTATCTGCTGTAGATCATGGTTGCAAAATCACTCTCTAGTTCGTATCGTTTAAGTTGGCCTTACCATCAGTCTTCTGCTTGATATCTGTGACATCATCTTCTGACATCTCAAAGAACAGGGAAATGGCAGTGGATTTGATGGTGATACCACGATCCTGCTCGTCCTGACGGGTATCTGTGAAACGGGCCTCACCAGCACGAGCAGAAGAGATAATACCAGCCATGGAGACAAGGGAATCTGTCAAGGTCGACTTTCCGTGATCGACGTGAGCAATGACAGACATGTTACGAACGTTCGTAACCTTGTCCATCTGTTGATATCCATGATTTAATATAAGTGTCAAGAAAATAAAGGTTTAAAATTGTTAGTATATTGAGAGTGAATCCGGCACAAAGGTTTTGATGGACCATAACATGGCCGCCTGATGATCGTTAGCCGCAGCAATGTAATTCCCACGCTCCTTTATGTGGTATGTCTCAGTTTACTGAGAGTTTCAAACGAATCCCCATGTCCACAACATATTCTCTCATTTTTTTCTTAGCTGACTGATTCTCTCCCAACCTTAATCAACCAGTGGAAAGTAATCCTATTCCTATCCAAGACGCGTCACACTTGCTGATGCGTCAATTGATAACAGTTAATGTCTCTAGTACCATTCACACACGTACACAGCTTATCAACAGTACAAATCTTTACATTTTAGTCTATTACTCGGCTAACAAGTCTTTCCCAACCCAAATAGAATCAAACATTACACAAATGGGACAACAGAAAAAGACCTCAGAGCCTTAGAAAAAAAAAAAAGTTGCTGTCTCTTGTAAGATCTGGTTCCCACGCATTTTCTCCTCACCCCCCTATATCCGATCTAAAGTTGGCTGCTATGAATTTTTTTTTTTTTTTTTTTTTTTTTTTTTGCCGCAGCAAGAGGCATAGTGAACGAGGATTGACAAGTGATTGGGTATAAAGTAATAGTAATAATAGTAGCGATAACTATAAAGAAAAAAGGATAAGAAAGTGGAATAAGAGATAATGATCCCCATTTGAAGAAAAATAAAAAATAAAAAATAGAGGTACAACTGGCAAGTGTATGTCGCAACATGACCAAGTTCATGTTTATGCTTATTGTTCATGTTTCCATTCTCACACTCCTACGTAAACTTTGGCGAAAGGAAAAATGTAAATAATAATGATAAAATAAACTGAAGGCTTACCAAGGCGCGAATTTGGTCGATAGTAAAGTTAACCATGGTCGTATCTAGTTCAGCGGGTGAAGGAGCTACGTGAGAGAGGGATGAGGGAAAGAGAGAATGAGTGAAGATTCAAAAGGGAGGAAAAAAAAAAGAAAAAAAAAAAAGGGAAAAAGAAAAAACGTACACAAAAAAAAGCCTTCGTTTTTATATGTCTCTGCTGCGTAACATTACAGTACACGCATATTTTATTCAAAACAAAACAAAACAAAACAAAAAACAAAAAAAAAAAAAAAAAGACTAGACTCGGGTTTCCAAAACGCGCCAAATTAAGACATAAATCGCGCATGAGAGTTGATCAATTTTTTTTTTTCTGATTTAAAAAACTCATTCATTCAATGTCGAGTCAGCTAGGAAGAAGGACAAGGTTGAATGAGATCCCTTTCGTCTGCGCGGATAATAGCCGTGTTTCCAATTTTTTTTTTTTATTTTTTTATTTTTTTTTTTTGTTTGTTTACACAAATTTGTTCCTGCTCTGCAAAATATGAATTATTCGACCACACAAATTTGAAACTACCTCTTATCTTTCCTCTTGGGTCAAAGGTCTAAAAGAGACTTGAGACCCCCGACCATTTACACTAACTATGGTGCAGCTTATCGGGAACATGCATTTATCCCTTCGCATAACACTTAATTGGGACTTCTGAATATGTTGATCAGGAAGAAAAGGGGGACAGATAGACGGATGGATGGATGGATGGATGCCTATTTTGATGGATGCGGGGGTATTTCTTGTATTCTTGTATCATGTCATCTCATGCCATTTATGTCCAATGAACGGTCTGTGCACCCACCAATTCCAGTCTTTTTTTGTACGTGGACATGAAACAAGTCAAGTGCAATTTTGAGCTCGTCTTTTCAAATCTTTTCATATCCTAAAAAAAGACATCAGCTGGTGCGAGATTCTGGTCTGAACGCGTTTTTTTGATCTCACATCGTAGACAGCATTGGGTTCGTATATTATCCCAAAATGTTTGTGTAATAATTGATAATCACTTCACTTGTAGTCTGTCGTTGTGCTCGTGGTATCAAAGAATAATAAGAGATAGTTATTTGGAGGAGTCATTATTGTCAATATTCATCCTTACACGCGTAGCGTACGCGTTCTGGACGCGATCCATCCAAAAAAAAAAAAAAAAAAAAAAAAAAAAAAAACCTCCAAGTGCACGGGCGAAGTCTGCTTGTAAAGTTTCCAAACACCTATTTTGATTGATTGATTGAAATGCCCTTGTGATTTCCTGAGCAGGTTGAAGTGGAAAAGGGCAAAGCAAACAAGTGGGCTAAAAATAGTGCTTCCATTTCTCACTTCTTTCCTCTGTTCTGTATTACATTCATATCCTTTCTTTTTTTTTTTGCTTGTCAAGTAAACCATTTAACTATCCGCCATTGGCGCACTAGGTCAAAAAAGACCTCTCCCTGTCAGCACTTTGCTTTGCTTTGTTTTGCTTGGCACTCCCATCTTTCCGTTCTCTCAACAGCTCATCTACATTCAAGTAGCTGCCATGCCATCCGCTCCAATACTGGGTCGGTCTCTGATCCTGTTCGTTGGATGCGCTGTCTTCTTTCAGCTCATCCTTTTCTTCAAGAGCAATTTTTCGTCCTCATCTGACTTTGACCAACAGTTCTCCTCACAGCAAAATAGGGATTGGCCTTCAGATTCATCAAACAATTGGAATGAACATGTCCGGAATCGACACCCTTCGGTGCAACTCTCACTTCGAGACTATGAAGTTTTAGATGAACTAGCGGAAAAGATCGCCACAACAGAGTCGTATCGTGTCTTTGAGAATAAGGATGAAGGGCGAATCCATGGAACAAACATCAAAAAAGACCCCACCCTCGTTCGTAAAATTAGGGAACAGATCCAGTGCTGGACTACCCACGGTTCCTGGCAACGACAGGATGGGGTGTTCACACCACTCAAACATCTAGGGGACTCGCGCTTTGCTAAATGCGACAGAAATTTTATCAAAGCATTGGATCAAGAAGGTAGCGGTCACTACTTGGGTGAATTTGATCATGCAAATGAACGGTTCCTGGTTCGAGAGGCCGTCAAATATAAATGGGTACCCGATGAGAAAATCTGTGGACCAGGATCCGGAATCGGTGTGATGGGTTTGGAGGACGATCGAGCCAAGTATCAGCCCTATACTAAGCAAAGTTTCTGTCAGGTGATCAACCAACGCGACGTGCTTGTCGTGGGCGACTTGACACAGTACCAAATTCATGATGTGTTGTTGTCAGCGTTCCAAAGTTCATTTGCCTGTTATGGTGAGCTAGGCTGCCTACACCACAGTGCTCATGGACTCTGTCAGAATGTTGGTCTCAAGTATGCTAGAAATGACGTGCTGTCAGTTCCCTGGGCTGTGGACCCAGAGGAGGAAGAATATCCAAGCGCAACAACGGTAGAGCAAGCATGGGCAACAGAGGATATGCTTCTCAAATACAAAGTGTTGATCCTGAATCGCGGTCTCTTCTGGAGAACAGACGAGGTGTTCCTGAGTGAGCTGGTCTTTACTATGAAACACCTTTGGAAGTATTATCCTGATACCCTGATTATTTACCGTGCAACTCATCCTCTATCATCTAATTGCTCGCAGCTGAAGAATCAAGGTGAGGATGAGGCAATCGCGGATAAATATGGTAACTCCGTAGTTGAAGGAACTGTGCTTCAGAAGCCGCTTAAGGAACCGCCTAAAAGGCAAATAGAGCGCCAAGCAAATGGAGAGGAGTACCGCCCATCAATGGCGGATATCCAAAGGCAGAATCGCATAGCTAAGCGTGTGGTTGAGGCGGCGGGGGGTATCTACTTGGATACAGAGGCCATGTTTGCTCTGCGACATGATGGAAGAATGGGTGACGGCGATTGTGCTCGATTCTGTGCTCCAGGACCACTAGACGCTTATGTAGACCTAATTTATAACACATTGAGGATCCTGCAAGTGTAGTTGTGTGGCTGCTACTACATCCAAAATACTATTTCATTTATTGCAGCAAAATATAAAAAAAAAAAAAAAAAAAAAAAAAACATCCTGTATGATGGAAGATGATAACACTCCTACAACTATAAAACGTTTGTATGAAAGTACAGCGAGCACACCTCGATTTTAAAAATATGCTAATGATTGTCAAGATAAAATTCTATGCATCAATAAGTAAGTGAATATTTTTTTTTTTTTTTTTATTTTTTTTTTTATTTTTATTTTTTTTTTCAAAGCTGGGTATACCGAGTGATCTTCATCCTATAGAAAAGTAACTGTGGTGCACATGAGGAAGTATTAAATACATTTATATAGCAAAGCAACAGGTCTGGCTAACAATCCTTACTGCGGTTATTTTCATCGCCGGATGATTGGGACCACCATTTTTAGGCTAATAGCATCAAGGAAGTTGTACGGTTGTGCTTTGACTCCTCAGTCCACTAATCATTGCCGATTTTTTCATTCTCTTCCACTTCCTCCCCTCCCTCTATCCAGCTTTGGATAATGTTTATAGCTGTGCAGGATCACCAATAGACAGACAGCCACTGCTGCCCACCAGTCAGGTCCCAAAACAGGCACAAGTGAGTGGGCGAGTAAGTGGAAATATCAACTCGTCCTATTACACAGTTGGATGAAGATACAACATCTGAAACGCACAAGGATGAAGATAATAAGAGTGACAAGGACGATGAATGGGAATGTTGGCTCAAAATTAGGTTAGTGTGTAGTCATTGCAGGTTCTTTAAGAAGCATGGACCTCAAGGACACATCTTTTGATACAGATGAATATTGTGACAATGGAAATGCCAGCAGCTGCAAATACAATAGAATGAGCGGCCTTGTAGTAATTAAAACAAATAATAAAAATAAAAATCGTGAGTGTGGATATTCCCAGATGATAAAGACTTATTGGGATGATAAGTAGTTCGTTTTATGATTCTGGCAAATAATTGGATACCCATCCTTAAACTAAGCAGGATATATACCTTACAACGCTTTGCATTGTCAGTAAAGAAGAAAAAAAAATGATTACAACCATAATAGCAATGCTCGATGCCAAAGGAGGAAGAGGAGGAGGATATGCAGTTGCTACTCTTTACATTGAGGCGGTTATTATCAACTGCTAACTTGGGACGAGCAAATGGTGCAAGAGATCAAGAAAATGTCTTCGATTTCATTTTTGCAAAGCAAATGGCACAAGATCAGTCGTATCTAGGAGCATCTTGGTAGGTTCTGAGTTCACCAAAGTGCTTTCTATGTACAGCCCCTCTTTTCAACCAAGTTATAGAAACAAACAGAACTATTCTGAATAGCTGAACAGTTGTTTGTATTGCAACATGTGTACATGTACTGTAGATGAGGTCGAAGATGACCAATAATCAGTGGAGTAAACACAAAGATAGAAGATGGAAAGCATTAAAGTTTATTGGCTTCGAGCCTTTCTCAGCGCAAAAAAATTTTGATTTGATTTTCTTGTGATGTTTTTTTTAGGGGGGTAATTGTGTAACATGGATTTCAGCAAATTTTCAACAAATCCAATAAAAATCTATTCATTTTAGAAGCGCACGAAATTGAGGCTTGTAACTTCAGTAAGTAGTCTTCTCAAGGTGTGGAAGAAAAAAAAAAAACAGATTCTCACCCCTTCTTTCAAAAATACAAAAATGAACTCCACCCCTCCTCCATCCCAACAAAGCGACAGAAGCGAGCTTGCTCACTCTTCTACTGCTCAAGAACAACAAACTGTCAATGAAAATGAAAATGAAAATGAAGAGCCTCTGATTCGGACTCGTCCATTGTATGCCAACAACAAATCTGCTCAACCAACGCGTGTACATCAACACTGGCACCAGCAGGAAAATCAACCTCATCAGCAAATTCATCAAGTTCAACACCATCAACAGCTGCATCTTTCGCAGTACGGTCGACAGCCCCCTGCAGGCCAGGTAATGTGAAGCCTGTTGTCTTTGACCCATCAATTAAAGGTAATCGAGAAAGTTTAACCAAATCCATTTCGCTCCATTGTTGTAGAACGTTGGGGGTTCACCTCTCTCTTTCATTCCAACCTCCGCTCTACTTTATCCATCCTACCCGGGCTATCCTGTGGCAAACTTTCAGACCGAGTTTACCGCTCCACTTTCTCCTGCCTCTTCCTTCCACTCCCCTACTCCTTCTACTCATTCTTTGTCTCCGCCTCCCCTTGGTGCGATGTCCTCCATTTCATCGGGCTCGAACGCCTATCGCGTTAAACGTAAAGCGACGACAGTGACGCACGACTCTTCGGCGTCTCGCAAACGACCATCTTCGTCATCGTTACAGTCATCAGAGTTGAAGACACAGCAAGGCATGTCAGGGAGAGCTCCATCATTCTCTTTCAAAAAAGAGCACGAAACATGTATTGCTAGGCAAATGGCGCTTCCCGAAAATTGGCCAATTTTAACAGCAAGAGGGAAGGCAAGAAAAGATCGCCGATCAAAACGGGATGTCTTTGCGGACATTGCGCGAGAGCTCAACAAGAAATTCACTACAGAAGAAAGCAAACTGAAGATTGGCGAAAGCCAAGTAAAAAACAAAGTGGAGGCCATGTATAGGATCTTTTGCAAGGAATGCACTTTTTACAATTCAACTGGAAATGGTGATAAACCTGGTGGCCTAACCTTAGACGAACAGATGAATTATAGATGTCACTATTTCTTCATCCTGTTCGAGGCTGGTTCCATATCAGACGACGGTGAGATCGTTGTTCATGATAACGAATCATTTGTCCCTCCCATGATGCGTCAGGCCAGTGCCAAGGTTGATGTTCAGAATAACGTTGAAGATGTGGAATGGTCAGATACTGAAGGTAGCACGAACGAAGACAATGACGGATACAACGATGACGATGGTAACAACGGTGGTGACGATGATGTTGGCTCTAGTGACCATGGAAGACGCGCAACATCAGTTGCCTCGACTGTTGCTTCAATAAAGTCAACAAAGTCAACAAAGAAATCAAACCAGGAAACGTTGTCAGCCCCACCAAAGACAAAAGGACCACAGCAAAATGACATAACTCAAGTGGTCGATTTTATGCGCGAGGCTGAAAACAAAAAAATGGAAATAGAAAACAAAAAAATGGAAATAGAAAACAAAAAAATGGAAATAGAAAACAAAAAAATGGAAATAGAAAACAAAAAAATGGAAGTAGAAAGAATCAGGATAAAAATGGAGGAGGAAAGAGAAAAAAGGAGGCTAAAAATGGAGGAAGAAAGGCATGCGATTTATAAGAGGGAGCGCGAGCTGGAACTACGGGGCCGTGAACTGGAATTACAAGAGAGAGAGCTTAAAATGGCTTTAGAAAAAAGAAAATTGCAATCCCCAGAACGTGACCCCAGTATTAATTTTAATCTTAAGAATGTGTTTGCATTCCGCTCCAGGTCCAACAGTGCTTCACCAACTAGGTCTGGTACAGCTCATAATAATAGCCAAGGCTTTTGAAATTGTTCGAAACACTCTTCATAGGAGATTCTTATTTCTATAGTGATGTCTCATTAAACATTGTCGCTTTTAGTTTTGCTCGCTTGATATCGCCAAGTACCTTCATTGCTGCCTCGTAGCGTTCTACTGCTTTCCAATCACTAAAGTCAATGTCTTCTTCAAGACATTCCTGTGCTTGGAATCCCTCAGTCACTCCATCTTGCACTTCACGTACCCATTTTTGTTGTTCCTGTCCTTGCTCCAATGTTGCGTTTGATTCAGGGTCCATGAGTTCCTGATCATCTTTATCAAGTCTCGTAAGGACATTGTGAAGGACGACACAGGCTAGTACATGGGCTGTAGCAACATCAACGTCTTCTTGTCTTAAAACTCTAAGTCGTAGCGAAGTCAGAGATGGAAAGCGACCCTTGAGCATCCCTAATTGCGTGTTCAATCTTTGCTCGAATGTGGCTGAGGCGCTTATTGAATTCCCTTGCATTGGCGATAAGACCTTGCATTCTGGAGTAACCTGTCATTAGGGTGGGCGACGACTTGTATGCCGCATCTCCTATTAGATGTTCCTCCTCACAAAAATATTCATGTTTTTTTGTAAATTGCTTCGTTTTCTTGAATGCACTAGAATCGTGCCAAGTCCCATAATACCCTGTATAAAAGGCCGTAAAGATACCCTCATGGTCGCAAATCGCTGTCGCCCCCATTGCGAAGCGCCCTTTTCTTGTAGCCCAAAAGTCTCGTTTCCAAGATGGGGCGCGTAGGTGAGGAAGGTCAGTCCCATCAATGATACCTATGAGATCTGGAAATCCTGCCTTTGCAAACGCCAACTTAATTTCCGCTTTTCTGTTAGCATCGGGCCATTTGATGATATCGTTGGCTATGGCACAAAGTGCGGTAATAACTCGCTGGTAGTACTTGTGTGCAGTACCAACAGAAACACCCATAGAAGGGTCAATCGACTCGTACGAAGCCAGAGATCCATTGTGGGCAAGGCGTTGGAGAGCAACCATCAATTGAATTCTGACGCTTGGTTGAACCCTATAACCAGTGGACTGGAAGCAGGGGTGGTCCTTAATAAGATCAACCACAACGTCCATTTGCTCTTTCGTCATTCGAAAGGCTTTCTTAAAAATTCTGGGACTCGAATTGGCAAGGACCTGGTCCCGATGGACCGAGGACTTGAGAAAACTCAACCTAGTCCGAGAAACTAAATATCTAGCTGTCCGATATTTCTTAATGGCCAAAAGAGGCAAAAGTGCAGTAGGACAGGTCTTTGGGAACTGGAGAGTCCACATTAGTAGCATTTTCATCGCTGATAAAGTGCCCTCACGAGCGCTCAAAGGATGGCGATCAAAATTGCGATAACGGACCATTGTAAAAAGAAAAAAAGGCTTGGGGGAAGAAGGGTAGGAAGGTGTACTTTCGTGCGTTTCTAAAATGAATAGATTTTTATTGGATTTGCTGAAATCTATGTTACACAATTACCCCTAAAAAAAACATCACAAGAAAATCAAATCAAAATTTTTTTGCGCTGAGAAAGGCTACGCGTACTTCTGAACATTAAGCAATGTCCTGTGCCAGTAAACCAAACAAGGATAAGCTGTACAACATGAGCAAGCCTCAGGATGGTTTTTTTTTTTTTTTTTTTTTTTTCTCCTTCGCCACTTGGAGTGACAAGAGTGAAATGGTTAGCGCAACCCTTGGAAATGAGGAAATTCTTCAGTTTCAATCAAGATGACAGAACAATAATACCAACAATTCCGAAATGCCGACAACATCATTGAAGAAGTTTGTGTCAGAACTGCTTCCACCTCTGCAAACAATGGTAACTCATCATGCTCTGTGTGGTTGCAAGACATTCGAGAAGTGTTTCCGGATGCACTGCGATTTAAGTTGAATGGCCATCCCATTCCTTTTAGATGCTGATGGCAACAGGTATGCAAAGTTATTATTTGTTTTTTACCATGGTGCCTTATCAATTGCTCTGAAAAGAAAATGGGTGAATTTAATTTGGCAAAGTTCATTATTTTTTGTCTATTAGAATCGAACCTCCACGCATTGCGTTCTATCTTGACAAGGTCCTGGATGTCATTACAGGAATATCGCCGATCTGCAACTGCAACAATAGTAGCAACGTCAATAGCAACCGCAAAGTCGTCATCCGTTTACCTATATCGCAGAAGTTATCAAATCTGACTTCCTCACATGAACTCCTTTTACCAATATCAAATTTGGTTCAGTCTTTCAACCAATCTTTTACTGGCAACAACGCACAAGCCGAGATGATCAACTCTAACCTTGAAAAGATTGCAGAGTTGCTGCTTGAGGCCAAAGAGAAGGATGACAAAATAATTGAACCGCAATTAGAGGCTAAGGAGAAGAATGATAAAATGCTTGAGCTACAAAGCCAAGCCCTTGACAGACTTGCCATCCTTCAAAAGCAGGCCAATGCTATCCTCACTCAGAACTTTGAACTATACGAATATCCAATCCCTCGACTTTTTATCATTTTACCTGACAACACCACCACCAAATGGGACCCAAGGAAAGTTTTGAGGAACAAATTCCGCCTTTATTTCCTCTGTGAATGTGGGGATCACACTGCAGAGACAAGCAAGAGTATTCAGAACCAAATTCATATTGCCAAGCATGATGGATATGAAGTCCGAGACAGCACAGAGTTCTTTCGGAAGTATGGGAAATATATGCTAATCCTTTTACAGATGCTCAAGTTAGGAATGGGAGCAACCCCGGCTACTTCATTGACACCAGGTCCAAATCTGATCGATGCTGCTATCGCTTACTCAATCGCTTATATGGGTACGCTTTCCAAGAAATATCCAGTTTTGGACAACGCCAACGCAATCGATGACTATGGAGAGCTTGAAGGGGCTGACCTTCGACAGCTGGACACATTCCTTCGTATTAACGATGAGGGCAGAAAACTTGGTAACCTGTACAGGATCACTACAGAAACAGGCCGTGTCAAATGGGTTTGTTTTGAACACTATCGTTGGACATATAGAGAAGCAGAACAGAAAGTGTTTGAAAATGCAGTGGAGACGAATGGAGGTGAATATGACTCGCACCTTGGTAAAGTGGTTATCACATTGGAATCAAAAACTAGAGCTGGAGAATTCTTCGATGCGCTGACCAATGCAAGACGTGTTTACGAGCTGGTCATCGCATTCAGGTGGCAATGGACCAAGACTGACCTTGAAGCATTTGAGAAAGCACTCAAGATGTCTAGTGTATCGATTCTTCGACTTGATCTTGGAGAATTTCAAGGGAGCACAACCAGAAAAATACTTTCTACATCTTTACGATACGAAATACTTGTTCGCATCATGGAGATTAGCAACATGAAGACGATTCATATTGCTCTATCCCCCGACCTCATAAAGTTTTCAAATTTACAGCCCAGAAGATCGTCACAGCTTCATCAGCTATCCTTTAAGGTGCAACCTCAATCGATCAGAGCTGGTGAATATCGAGTAATTGCAAATTCACTCAAGTCCAACACAGCTTTGACCGCCTTGGACCTGAGAGATAACTTAATTGGGGAAGAAGGGGCCCTGACACTGTCTAAGGCACTAAAGACGAACACGACACTAGCCACTTTGAACTTACTCGACAACTCAATTGGAAAAGAAGGAGCTGTAGCACTGTCAGAAGCACTCAAGACGAACAGGACTTTGGCCATTCTGGATGTAGAGTACGATTCGTTTGCGTAAGAAGGAGCCCTAATGCTGTCAAGGACCAACACGACATTAACCAGTTTGGCCTTTAGTAATAAATCAATTGGAAATGAAGGAGCTTTGGCACTAGCTAAGGCACTCAAGACGGTCACAACTTTGACTTACTTGGATTTGAGATACAACTCAATTGAGGATGAAGGGGCTGTAGCACTGTCAGAGGCACTCACGATGAACACAAGTTTGACTACCTTGCACTTGGATAGCAACTCATTAGGGATGAAGGAGCTCAGGCACTGTCAGAGGCACTCAAGGTGAACAAGTTTGACTATCTTGAAGTGGTAACTCGATTAGGAATGAAGGAGCGCAGGAACTGTCAGAGGCGCTCAAGATTAACAGAAGCTTGATTACGCAGTTGCGCTTCAATAAGGTTAGGAAGGGCACTGTCTGAGGTGCTCAAGACTAGCACAACTTTAACTACTTTGGACTTGGGGTGCGAGCGTAGCATGATATTTGTTTTGTATTTTAAAACCTGAAAGATTACACTAATAATATTCTTGTGAAATGTAGTAAGAGAAAAGATATACAAGTATTCTTTCTATTATCCAAATAAAGGCGCTCATTCTCGACTCGTTATACTGCATTTGAAGTGCATTATTAATTTATATCAGGTTTGATTCCTAAGGAGTTCTGGCATTGTTTTTTGGGCGGAGCAATTTAGAAGTGCTACTGGATATCGTGCACATGGTTGTGGAAGCTACGGCTACAGCAATAGGGCTCGCGAGGGTGACAACGACAAGACTTGTGATGACAAACACGCTATAATTTGTTCCATTTGGTGTGTCAGTTGCCACCTCGGCTGCTTGTTAGCCAAATCTTGAATCTACAAGTGGTTTTTTATTTCAAACTCTTATTCACGTACAAATGTTTGGTCCTTCGATTGAATAGCCAAGGGGAACAGATAAAATATTAGCTAAATATATTTGACTGTGGATCACGGGGACTAGCAAAATTTTTGGAAAGGAAAACGCCATCAGCTCCACTTTTGTTCTTAATCTTTACACTCGAAGCCTTACCCCTCGACTAATAAGAAGCTGAAGATAGTATCGCAGCCATGCTAGTCATAAGCATATTTGACATTTCACTGATCCTGGACATGATCTCTAACAATCTGACCACGGAGGACATCTTTACCTGCTGTAGAGTCTCTAAGACCTGGGCAGTGCTCTTCACACCATACCAGTGGCGATCTCTCAAGATTGATATCCCAAGTCCACGATTACTACACTCTTCGGAGGCCAAGCTCATCTCCAGCCATGCTCATCTGATCCGGCACTTGGATATCAGTAGCCTTCGAATATTAAGCGCATTATTGTTCAATCCAGTGCCAGCGCCTCTGACATTTTTTTCAGAAGACAACACCTACAAAACAGCATGTACCGGCCTTCGGTCACTAGTTTGCAGTATTGACTCATTAGATGGAGAAGATATGTACAGTACAAACCGATTTAATAAGTCGAAGGCGCTACTTGAGCTAATTCGGCTGAACCCTCGACTCCAGCGACTTCATATTAATATATGTCATTGGAGAGTTCCTAAATACGTCGCTCAAGTATTCTCACTACTGTCCACATCTTCTCTGACAAATCTCTGTGTTTCAACACCATCTATCTTCAGTGAAAAAGTTTACCGTGTGATCCTTCGCTCATGTCCCGAAACCCTAAAATATCTCTCTGTTCATACCACCTTTGCATCTTCACTAAGACATAGCGTTGATGAAGGAGATGATGAAGATGATGCAGACGGGCCCACTGCAAACCTACCACTCTTGCCTCATGGACAGCAACGATTATTTAGTGGACTCCAGGAACTGCATCTCACAGGACTTATGGGTATCGAATGTGCTACGACGATATTCTTTCCATTGTTACGGCGCTGCTCCTCTCTTTCTGTTTTGGCCGTACCTGAGATCAATTCCGCTCTGATGATGACGTTAGGAGCTATATTGCGGGAATATTGTCCACTACTTTCAACCCTAATAGTCTATTGGGAGAATCTTTTTCCAACTGATCTCGCCGCATTGATCAAAGAAGCTTTTCCTGTAGTACCCCCTTTTTCTTGCAGGCTAAAATCCTTGACTATCGGAGGCTGGGCTCAGGGGGCTGAACCCTTCAACCCATTTGACGAAGGTGACATAATGTTTGATGCTCTTCCTGCTATCCTGGATCATTGTGGGCCGTCCCTGGAATGCTTACGGTTACTGGACGGCTTAGCCTTATCTTGGACTGATTTTGGGCGCATACTCACATCTTGCTCTACATTGAAGGAACTGTCATACGTCCCACCTATTAATGGAAGATATCTGTCGTTCGCAAAAGGGAGGAGCAGTGGTCCCTTGGAAGGGTTGGCTTCTGGCCCACAATGGTGTTTCAAGGACATAAAAGTCCTCCACTTGCATGTATTTGACTATTTAATTGTCAAACAGGAGGCGCCAATAGTTGCCAAAAATGACTCTGGAGTAGGGCTTGACTCAACAGCCCAAGAAGCTCGAGAAGACACACTAAAAATAATCAATCTATCACACGATCATGAGATAAACTCCTTAAATCTGGTATCCTCCCGATCAGTCCAAGTATGGATAGGATTGCTTTTCAAACGACTAGGCCAACTTGTCAAGCTGAGAGAATTAATTCTAGGTTGGGAGTCACCATGTATGCCCGCCAAACAGACACTCTTCTCATGGGGGTTCAAGGAGGGTCTGCAGCATTTAACGGGACTGAAAGATCTGGAAGTCTTGCATCTATGGGAAAGTTCAATCATCTATACTCCAGAGCAAGCAGCACGACTCCCAAGGAGCAAGCGGCAGGAAAGTAATCGATTCTGGGGTCAGCGAGAGCGGCAATGGATGAAGCAACATTGGCCACGACTTCGAGAATACAGTGAAATTCCAGTCATCCAGACCGGTCCCGAACGCTTTTAGTTTGCTTTTAATGTGGATTCATAATGTATATTTATATACGCGAGCTTATATATATAAAAACACGGTTGTATATACAGATAATGTTGCTTCAAAAAAAAAATCAAAGTCAATAAAATTAGAACACAAAGCTAGAAGCTTTTTTACGCATCAAACTGAAGCGAAATAAGACTTTTTATTTTATTTTATTTTATTTTTATATCTTTATTATTATTATTATTATTATTATTATTATTATTATTATTATGGAGCTACACAACGGGGGACTACAGCACGACGATCACTACAGAGCCCTCGTCCCCTTCTTCACCTTCTTTCTCCATAATACCTAGATCCTTACGTGCTTGGTCCAAGACCTTGGCCAGTTCGAGCGCACAGTTCTCTTCACCCTTCTCCAATACATTCGCTGCTATGCGAGATAATTCAAAGTCCGATATGAGAGCTTGATCATTTGGGTTCGTATTGGCCTTGCCTAGGCCCGTTGCTGTCGATGCGTCCTGTACGGAGCCATCTGCTGTAGCTATGTTTGTCAATGTGTGGGTAGTATATAGCAGTCCACGGCTCAAAAGGATTAACAATTGATCTGAAGGGCCTCTCGCAGCGTTCGCTGGTATCGATCCATTCCTTGTCTCCAGTATGAAGCGGGTGATTTTAGGGTCTGCAGAAATATAGGGAGGATCATTCAGATTGTTGATGCCAATCTCATCCTGATCTTGCTGACTTGAACGTTCAGCCCTTGGTTCCCCGTTCTGTTCTTGGCCGCTTCTAAGCGTTTGATCGATTTTTGCGCGCAATGACTTTTCGACCCAAGGTGCGACAGAAGATCTAGCTTCCTGTTCGACCTTCCAATCCAAGTCTCCGAAAGCACGGGTTACAGGCAAGCCCAGGAATTTGCCATGTCTTGTTAAGAAGGTGTTTTGTGCAGATTCTGTTGAGCTACTATCGCTGTTACTGCCGTTGGTACTGTCGGTTGTGCACGAGGTTGAGCTACCGTTGTGTTGAGTTAAGAACTGCTCTGCAGTGAGTGCACGCTCCTTTGCCTCTGATGTGACTTTATAGTATTCTTCTGAGCCTGGATACCGGACCGAATGCTCGTGAGTTTCTGGTGGGTTGAGCCGACGAGCAGTCCACTGGCCTGCCGCGTCGTATCCTGCAAGTATGGCAACGGAGTCTCCCAATTGGGCAAGATAGAGGTCATGTCGACGTAAATCTACCCCTGTTTCTGAGGATGATGGCGATGATGTGTGAGGAGCCAAGAAGGTAACTAAGGCTGTAGATCCTGTGATGACTTGAGCGATGACCTCTTGGGTTTTCTTCACTTCGTCCTCAGCGTTCATTTCAGTACCATCGGGTTGAGCTAACGAGACGGTGATAGCAGTCGCCAGAAGCAACTCGTCAAGTTCTTTAAAGGTGGATTTGAGGGTGTCGATGACCTGAATTGGGTCAATCTTGCAAGTGTTGGGGTTGGCATGGCGATGATCACGGTCATCGTCCGAATGATCTAGTTGGGTAGAGAGGGATTCATCGAGGATTGGCACAAGGTGTTGTTGGAGATATTCGGCACATTGTGGACCATGGTGGGCTAACCGCACGAAAAGATGGAGGAAATGTGCAATACAAAAATATAAAGTTAAAGTAGTGTGAGCGATGCGATAAAGGGCATTTAAGGCATGGAAATAAATAAAGTAAAGTAAAGTAAAGTAAAATAAAGTAAAATAAAGTAAAATAAAGTAAAATAAAGTAAAATAAATTAAATAAAATGAAATAAAATAAAAAAAATAAAAAATAAAAAAAGGAGTTGTGGGGTCCAAGACGGTTCATGGTTGATGTGGTTGGAAACGCGCATTTTTTTTTTTTTTTTTTTTTTTTGTAAATAAACAATTTTTGAGGAACAAAAACGGGAAATCGAGTGCCAATGGATTGGTTAGAGTTGTTGTTATTGGTGAATGTGGTCTCGTACAACCATTCCTTATTTTTGTTATCGACTGCATAAACAAGCAAGGAGTCTTGAAGGAGAAGAGCAAAGAATGTGGGGTTGCATTGACTAATTCAGAGCAAAAGGGCTAACTTACGATCGTATAATCCGACTAAAAGTCCACCTTCAAAGCCTGTAGGTTGGATGCTGACGCGTCCATTGTGCTCGCCACGACCATTTCCTTCTTGACTAGCTTGAAAGGATGTTGAGGTAACGGGGTATTGTCTGACAAACGAATGGGCTTTGATTGAATTGGCTGTAGGGATCACAGCCACGGTAGTTACTGGTTTGTTGGACTCTGGTACTGTCATTTGTTTTAAAAGAAAATTGCTATTTAGAGAGAATGATGGTTAAGCAGAAATTGAAGCAGTATACAGTGTATAATGCGATACGATGTGAAATTGGGTGGAAGGAGAAGGAAAAGGACAAGATGTAAAGGATGATCAATGGATAAGAGAGGGATAAGAAGAGAGCGAGGGACAGAAAAAGAAGAAGAAATAAATAAATAAATGTGGAATCCGATTGTGAGGATGTGTTTGCATAAATGTTCTCTCTTTCGTTTTGAGGATGCAAATGAGAAGAATAAAAAGAAAAGAAAGAAAGAAAGAAAGAAAGAGATAGAGAAAGAGAATGAAGGAAGGAAGGAAGGAAGAAAGGAAGGAAGGAATAAATAAGAAAAAAAAAAAAAAAAAAGCTGTTTGTATGCCTGTAGTGTGTGTGAACACAGGAATAAACATGTGCTGAATATGTAAACAATTCTAAATATCGGTAAAGAAGTTGCCTGTCTATACAAATGCCATGGTCATGTTCAGCATGCACATGCAACTTTTTTTATTTATTCATATATATTTTATTATAAATATTTATTTTATTATTTTATTTTACTTTATTTATTCCAGTTGAACAAAGGTTCCCTTGCTAACCTGGACTGAGCACAGGACACAAAAAAAAAAAAAATTACACACGGTTGGCGGTTGTGGTATGTCTGAATATTTATACTTTTGTGCGTTCTGGTTGGTTGTAAAGCACATTCACTCCTTTTTTTTTTTTTTTTTTTTCAAGCTTTCAAACAACAATCCTCGCCATCTCTCTATCTCTCTCTATCTCTCTCCCTCTCTCTCTTTTGCTCTTTCTCTCTTTCTCTTGCTCTCTCTCTCTCTCTCCTACTAGGACTACTTTTACTATCTTTTTTTTTTTTTTTTTTTTTTTCCTTTTTCTGTCCATCAAACACAATTCACTGTGAGCTTTGAACTCATTAAAAGGCATTAAGAAGAAACGGTAAAAAATTATTCGATTGATGCCTACGACCCGCGGTAAACAGGAAAAACAAGCTCATTCATGCATGATAAAAAATATTTTTATACAAAACGAGTATTCAAAAAGATTTCGTTGCCACTAAAAACCCACGGTTCTAGGGTATATCTTTTGCATTTTGGTTAGTGATTCACACAAGAAAAAGCCAAGACAAACAAAAAGGAGGCATCAACGTATATACAACCCTACAGAATCATAAATGCACGGAAATAAAATAAAAGAAAAAGAAAAAGAAGCCTCATTATAATGAGTAACGGTTCTTGTCATTGTTGCTTTGAAGAAGCTACAGCAATATGTGCAAGGCGGGAGATTGTTATCAGTATTGGACGTAGTACCCTGCATCCCCAAAGGCGATGGGGCACACGCGGCATATTCCCTACTCGTAATATTCATGTGTATGCCCTGTCTTCCATGCATATCCTTTTTTTTTTTTTTTTTTTTTTTTTTTCCTTCTAAATCCCAATATGTCCGACTTTATCCAGTCCCCGCGCCCACCCAACTCTATCCCTACTCATTCTGTATATTAAATAAAATGCTGTACATGTACATGTAGAATTGGGCACCAGTTTTTCCGTGCTTGCTTGACAACATGTCGATCCCAATTTTGTTTTTTCTTCTTTTTACAAAACAACAACAATAGCAGAACAAGAACATGTTAGGATTATATTTATATATATATAAATATATGTTTATGTTTTTTTTTTTTAAAAAAAAAAAAAAAAAAAAGTTTGTCATTACCCAAAGATGAATGTCAAGATCGTTGTGCGTGGGACCGAAAAGGGCTACAACAGAAAAGCTTTTTCAGATGCTCTTGTGATTCCCGCCTATGCGAACCTTGTGTTCGTGTCCAATAAAAAAAATATTGTCTTGACTGGCACAACTGGAGAGAAGAAAGAGGTACCTGCGTTCCAAATGCATAATTCTGATCCAATTATTAAAGCGGTTGGATAAGATAGACCTTTATATCGGGTGCCTCGGACATAAAAATCCTTGCATTAAATAATACTTATTCATAGAGTCCTCGCCAAAAAGTCATAAACTGGATATATTTTTCAGGCTTTTAAATTGAATAGAATACTTCCACTTTTAGACGCAGGAAAAATACGTACAAACTCAAAATTTTAATTTTTACGAGAGCGTTTTCGATTGATAAGAGGCTCGTCCTCAGACTCGCTATCCTCTATCACATTAAACATGCTTCCAGCATCTAGCGTAAGATCCACTATCTCAGGGCCTAGGGTAACAGCTTCAGCTCGCTCTTGATTTAGTACTCTAATGAGTTCTGCATCCCACTCACTATTGTCGACTTTGAAAGTGTCACTAAGGTCCACAATAGGCTCGTTTTCATCAAAAACCTCTTGATAAACCTCTTCGACTATTTCTTCCTGTGCATGACTCCTCTCGTTATAGTATCTCATGCCAATTTTCACAGACTTCTTCCATACAGAGTAAAAGACTTTACACGGAATCTGGGAAAACAAGCTTAGTAGCCTTTTTTTCAGCAAGATGGATGTCATTGTCACCATTGCTCTCGAGGCAATTATGTTTTTCACAACTGCCCAGATCTTCTCAATAGGTTGTAGCTCGCAATGGTAGGGTGGAGTCTTGAGGATTTCATGTCCACCATTCTCCTGGGCTATTTTACTGATAGAGAAATACGACTCATCAGGAAGAGCGTTAACCAATTCCATAAGCTCGTTTTTGTTCAGTGCTTTTCCATTTTCCCTTGTTGGAATAACAATCTCCTTGCCCGTGAGCCACTCTTTGATAGTTTTCACAGTGTCGCTCTTGGTTGGTTTCCTGTTTTTCTTGTGAAAGTGATATGAAGCGCCATCAAGATGGATTTTACAAGGGCCAAGTCCCATCTTATTGAGATTCTCACAAAGTCGCTTAAAGATACTATCGAACAAACTAGCGTTGAAGTTTCCATGATAATCGTGATCTGTTGCCACGACCCCTGCATTCCTGATCTCCTCAGGTACGTCATCCCACAGTTCAGCCTCCTGCTCTTGGCCTTTTTTTGATTGAGGCTTTGGTCCCTTTGATGGCCAAACATACACGCTATCATTAACGAATTTGCCTTCAACCTTTTTAGCAGCTTCATCATAATATACAATGAAGGCTGCAAATATAACCATGATTGGTTTCCTTCCTGCATCGTTAATGACACCACCGCCACTTTGCACCCAACGTCTTGCTGCAGCATGGTCAATGTGGCAGTAAGACTCGTCCAAGAAGACCTCTGGAGTCCTAGGCACCCAACTGCCGTCTACTAGTTTTAAATTCTTAAGACGGCGCTTCAGGTAAGTAGCTCGGAAGGCAATATTCTCCTTGGAGTCGTGCAAAAAGTTCTGTCGGATCCCTTTACCCCAATACAGTCCCATTTTACGGAGGTCGCGAGTGATTGATCTTGCTGATCTGTCGATTTCAAAGTCTTCTTTCAGTTGGTTTGCAATTAAACCCGCAGAATTAGGAGTCCCGCTCTTGTTTGATTCAACTATGATATTCAGCACCTTCGAGTTTAAATCCTTGTCCGCTTCTTTTTTAGGGCGTCCAGTTCTTCCTCGCCCTGTCATTTCGACGATGCCTGTTTGTGCATATTTAATTGCTGCCACACAAGTGTTTCTCCCTACACCCATCAGAATCGAAAGGTCCATTGCTCTGTTGTCTGTCTTCTTAAACCAGTCTTGGACTGCTGGTGGCGCATTCATTATAGCATTATATGTATGAGCTATTATCGCGTATTCGTCTTTAGTAACGGACGCTTTACTGCGTGTAAATGCCTTTTTTCTCTCTCCAGTTTGTTTGTCTGACAAGAATGGATTTAAATCGAGGGTATTGGGACGCTCACCGAATTGCTCTAATGAGGTAGAACTCCTTGGCTCGTTTCTGGGAGGAGTAATCCATTGATATTCGGTAGGAGACCTAATAGGGGAGAGATCGGCTTCAGTGGGCAGTTGTGGCGATCTTCGAGGCGGAGTGAAGGGTGTGCCTGAAATCATTTGGTCGATATTTCCTTCGCTATACCAACCACCAAGATCGTTGTATGAGAGTAGGTTATTGATATCAAAAGGGAAAGACATTTTACTATCTGAAGATTGCGAATAAAGTAGGTTGACAATGAGGATGAGATCGAGAATGAGATTGAGAATGATGTTGCCCATTTCTCGCAAATTCTAATATTTCTAATTAAAAACGAAGATTGAATTGGTTTGGTGGCCATGCATCTAATTCATTCCTTCTATTCAAAAAATATATGCATTTTTGTCTTCGTACGTAAATTTTTATTTTTCAAATTTTTAATTCAAATTGAGTATTGTAAAATATATCCAGTTTATGACTTTTTGGCGAGGACTCTATTATACAGACATTAATTATATTCATTTATATAGTACCATTGTATATACAATATATATATATTTGGTTGCATTAATTTTTTTTTTTTTTTTGCCAAGACCATCAGCTTACGGCATTTTTCAATTAAGAGTCCATTCCCATGTGCTCACTATACCGTGTACAAACACGATCTACACAGAGAATGAATGAGACGCGAATAAACTATAATATACTTCGAATCTACGATCACAAGTCAGATTGTCCTAGGTATCACTCGTCCTTTCGAGCAACGTTAAAATCATAATGTCAACAATACAAATACGCATCCAAAGATCAGTCAACATGAAAATGATCCAAGCACAGATTCAGAAAGAAAAAAAAAAAATAAAGAATGAAGAGGAATATAAAAACTATTGCGCGATAACATTCGATTATCTTTCCTTAACGATACAATAGTTAGCTTCCTTATTAACATTGCTATTATGAATAAAAGTAAACATATCAATACTCTGTATTTCTTCCCGGTTGACTGCTTTTTCCCTCTCAGGAACAGGCTCGCACACGTAGATGAGGACTACATTTGTATATTTGTCAATAATGACAAAAAAAAAAAAAAAAAAATGTATATTCATGTATAAATATTTGCTTGATAAATGTCATCGGTTGTATCCAATATTTCCAGTCTCCGCACAAGATCAAGTAAATAGCTTCCCTTGTTCTGAATATTTTCCCGGATTTCTTCATTTTTTTTCTTTTTTCTTTTCTTTTCTTTTTTTTTTTTACATAGTATATATTTCCTCTTAGTATCTTTGTGTACCCATGCAAACAACCACACACATTGACGCATACTTGATTCTGCACACCAACAGGTACAGACAATATTCAATCTCTTTTTTCTTCATCAAGATCAGGAAATAATAAAAAAAAAAAAAAAAAAAAAAAAAAAAAGAATGATCCAAAGACCACAGTAGCCTTCAACTTCTTTTTATTTTCTCCGACGCGTAGTTCTT